CTATCACGCACGTGTCATTTACTTCGGATGTTTCCTCATCGTGTGTTCCCCAGGTCTCGTTGGCCCAGAGCACATCTCTCTTTTGTTCACGGATAAGACACGAAATCTCCGGAAGACATCCACGGCCGGCCTGTCAGGATGTGAAATATGTCTTCTTGAGACACTTCGTTTTCCCGGCAAGATGTTTATACGGACTCAGCCTGACAACAGCACGATGTCCTTATCTCTCATCTCATCAAATATTAAAGAAAGTGAGGAAAAATAGTGTTTTTTTCTGAAGTGGAGATGCTCTTTTGACCGCCGAGAGCGCAGGTTGAGATGGTGCGAGATTTCGTTCTTGTTTTACCGTGCAAGCATCTTTTGCTTCGGGGTTAGACTGATGCAATCACCGGTTGAGACTTGCTTTGGAGAAGTAGCGATCGATATAAATGCTCTTACAGTGTCAGAGTTGTCCGGGATGAGGCGCGCGCGTGTGCCAAGGAGTGCTGGGCGATGCTGCATTTAATGGATATACTTGACATCTTCGATCGTGCGTGGAATTATAATTAAATTAATACTCCACAGATTTTGTTCAAGGTACTATGTCATACGGAATAATATGTGAGCTAACGATACGATGTCTTTCTGAGAATCGAGGAGCACATCAATATGAGATCAGCATGGTCGTTTATCTAAACTCACTATTTATTTTTCTTTGGGGGGGGAGTTCTTCCTTAATTTTAAGCCTTAAGTCTTCTCACGTTTTAAGTATTAAACATTTTCTTCATGAGTCTGTACATGTATATCAACACAATTAATGTTGCAGATATATCGATTTGTCGTATCATCGATACGTAATCGATAAAAATGATCTTATCACACTAATTCTATTTCCAATTTCAGTTGTTTTTTTAGTGCGTAATAATGACAGTGCCGTTTCGAGATTTTAATCAAGACATGAACATTATGATTACAAGAACATCTTAACTAAGAAAAAAATCTCCCTTAAAAATACTTAATAATTATCAAGACTTCATTATGGCTGATAGGACGAGCGAAGAAAATACTAACAAATTTGATAATATTATATCTGGGTCTGCACTTAAACGGCTTTCCCCTAGTTCATGGCAAGGCAAGGGCCAATCGAATTCAGATTTGAATTTTACAGGCACGAACGATGCTTAACAAATAAAAGAAAACTGGGTGTAAGGCATTAAGTATTCACAAATACGTGGTTATATCTGAAAAGTACTTGCAGTGTTATATGGAAATTATCACACTGAAAACACCACATAACGTATCGCCTCACTAAGCAAACAATGATTTACGAAGCGCACGAACAGCTAAACACACACCACAAATGAACAAACAGACTGGAAAATATTGAACAAACAACACCTTAATACTCTTGAAACAAAACGCACACAAACAAATTAAAGGCTGGTCTTAAAAGGTGGAAATCTTCATTAATTTTATCATCTACATGCGTCAGCAAATAAAAGGGGGGGGGGGGTCTGCTCTTCGCTGGATGAAATGGCCAGGCAGTGGCATTACATCAAGATTTGATGCAAGGAAGATCCAATTACCGTGGCAACGGGCTGTAAAAATGGCGCCAGTGATGTAATTATCCGCTAGATAATGGGAAAACGGTCACTTCTTCCCTCGCTGGGTCAATCCCTGTGTGGATGAGGGGAAGATTGAAGGCGTTGAGCGTCATCAGTGAAGCTAAGATTATGAGGAGAGCGAGAAAGGACAATGACTTATGTGTGTACTGGAGAGTGGAGACGACCTCAAATTGAGGACCGAAACGTTGGATTCATTCAAGTTGCGACTCCAAGTTTGTTGTTGTGAATGAACTTTGCAGTTAATATGCATTCTCTGCATGCACGGACCGCCATGTTAAAACCAAAACGAGGCTCACTTGCAAAATAAAGATTTTTTCCCCGAGTTATTACGTAAGTTACTGAGATATTATGTATGCTTACAATAATGCAGCCTCTCTTTCAACGAAACCCTTCAACGAAACCCTTTACAGGGACAGCTGAGAGGTGCAAAATAACGATGCTGAAATTGGGGTAAAAAAAAAAATGGGGTAAAAAGTGATGAAGATGATAAAGTCTAACGGAACTTTACATTACTGTACAAGTTTTAGAAGGTGTACCGGCGCCGTGGCTTAGATGGTTAAAGCGCCTGTCTAGTAAACAGGAGATCCCCGGTTCGAATCCGGGCGGTGCCTTAAAAAAATGCCTTCTCATTTTAATTATTCGTTATTTTTTGTGTGTTCATTTAAGTTGCATTGGTCAAGAATCGGTTAGTTGTTTGGAGCAAGAAAATGCGGCAGAGCCCGGTTAGCTCAGTCGGTAGAGCATCAGACTTTTAATCTGAGGGTCAAGGGTTCGAGTCCCTTACCGGGCGGAACTTGTTTTTGTTTTCCAAGCAAACCAACCGAAACATTTGTATTCAAATGTTAGCGGCCTAATCAAGTGGAAGAAACTAAAGATGGTGCAAAAGTTACCCTAAGCATCTCGATCGAGTTTATTTTGTTATAAACTCTAAATACTGACCAAGCAGGGGATTATGAAACTGCAATGGATAAGATCCGTACTTCCTCTATCCACGGAAACCAGCTGACCTCTCAAGACCAGCCAAAAATCTCTTACTCAAAATTTTTTTTTTTCAAAACTCAGATGAAGCACATTAGATGATGTCTCACACAAGAAGGATTCCTTCCAGTTCCAATATTCGTATTTCCACACACACACAAAAACCACTCCATGAGCTGCATGACTCTAGGATAAATTGATGACAGATAATGAAGACCTATACCTCCATTCAACAGAAACCGTTTAGCAGAGGGAAAATGAAGAGTTCATTTCCAACTGAACGTGTGACGCGCCATTTTGTTCCCTTTTAGAATCCCACTGGCTCTCCTGGCAGCCCAAAAGCAATTTCGACGGCTGTTATATACTTTAATACAACTTAAGCTCACAAAATTAATTTTGGAAACAGCATTTATACTGTTTCACAATTGTGCAAATGTTTCAATTTGTTTCAAAGGGATATATCGCGGTTTGAAAATAAACTCTTCAAATGAAAACGAGACACGTACCTTGGGTTTAGTTTGGCAGACGCCATCAGTTTGCGTGGACTGGCCATTGCTGTTTACACCGGTTAAAATTCCAGGGTTATTTCCAGTAAAATGTTTTCCAAATTGCGATAGTTTACTCACAGTACATTTGTATACGGGACTGTAAGCGGCTAGTGTTGTTTTTTTTCCTTCTGACAACGGCAATTTATGCATATCGCTATGGATAATATTTCCCTGTGTAAACATAACGTGTAAAATCTCTGCCACGAAATGCACGGGTCCAGAGGTCGGCGATTACTCGGCGGCGGAATAAATGGATATTTCATTTGGATGAAATAGTTAATAAAATTCCACTTGGAATCCGTCCTTTGTAGTTAATGATAACCTTTGAGTGTCTGGTAGGATTTTTTTGATGATGGATCGGACAAAGGCCGCTCGAAAAAAACGTGAGCTGAATACAATGGAATGGGGCTAATTTTCAAGTCATAAAATATTATTGTTGAAAATGTACAGCAAGCAACTGAATTGGAAAACCATTTGTATACATAATAGTGAAGTGAATGCTTTCCATGTGCGTTGTACATACATGTGCATCAAAATATTCTGTGAGTATTTGTGCCAAAGAGTCTGGAAAGAATGCCCAACATTTTTGAGGATTTTATATATTTAAACATAAACCATTCAAACTATACAGACTATAGGCCTATATACGAGTAATGAAAACTGGAAAAGGCTGTTAAATCACCAAATAATTATCATGCCCAACCAGAAGTAAAGACGAAATGCTATATACTGCACATAATGTACACAACCATGGATGCACGGTCTATCTTGCAGCTGTAAAATAGTGTTGATACTGCTTTATCTTTCAGCTGGCGCCGTGGCTTAGTTGGTTAAAGCGCCTGTCTAGTAAACAGGAGATCCCCGGTTCGAATCCGGGCGGTGCCTTTGAATTTTATATTTTCTTCCTCTTTTTTTTTTAGTGTTCATTTACACCTAGAATAAAGCTTGCAACAAAAAAGCGTTCGAGCCCGGTTAGCTCAGTCGGTAGAGCATCAGACTTTTAATCTGAGGGTCAAGGGTTCGAGTCCCTTACCGGGCGATTTTTTTTTCTTTATAAACTTTATCGTAAATTTGCTTTTTAACGAGAGCAAAACATCCGTCTGATTTGGCGAAGATTCTTAATGTGCATAGCGCCGTGGCTTAGTCGGTTAAAGCGCCTGTCTTGTAAACAGGAGATCCCCGGTTCGAATCCGGGTGGTGCCTTTAAAGAGTGCCGTATTATTTTAAAGGATTTTATGTTTTTTAGCAAATGTTATTCAAGAAAGGGTGCAATTCTATTGTACTGTTTATTTTGTGCATCAAGGCGCCGTGGCTTAGTTGGTTAAAGCGCCTGTCTAGTAAACAGGAGATCCCCGGTTCGAATCCGGGCGGTGCCTAAAAATTGTTGGTTTTTTTTAATGGAGAAATTATTCATTGTTTCGGTTTTTTTTATTTTTTATTAAGTCGTCCAAACAATTTTTGCGTTCCAGTCCCTCATTGGGTGAGTACAGATAATGTTTCTTTCTTTCTCGAAAGGTGTCCATTTTTTTTTTACAGGAAATCTAAAAACAGGTGGAAAGCGCTTCAAAAGATAAATGCATCTGCCATTTCACTGGATATCACCGTGATAAAGTGCAGATAGATTTGCTTTTATTATACTACAACTTCAATTGCGTGTTTCTCGTGGAAATATTATTGCGACAGATGCGCTCAAGGTCGGTTCCTATTGATCGTTGCTGGAAAAATCCATTAAGTATCCTAAACAATATTTATAATCCCCACACAAACAATGCATAATAACCCTGTCCCTGTCGATTCACAAAAGGAAGAACACATCATAATCTCCATTACTTCCGTGGAAAGGAGCACTAGGGTAAAGCGGCAACTGAAACGAATACAGCTATGCTATGCAATTGGTCGGCTCGCCTTTCATCGAAATCCTGGGAATTTGATAAATAAAAGATTTCTCCCTCGAGTAACGATACTAGATCTCTTTACAGCGGTTTGACTGGTGACCACTCGAACCTGACAACAATGTGGTTTTGTTGGGGGGCATTTGGCTGAAAGTATTGACCGGAATCTGAGCGGGTTATAGAGGATCATGGCGTCATCGCACGTTGCAGTGATAAGGATATTTCGTTTGGTGTCAGCGGTGGGATTCATCGGCACCTGTGTTGCAGAACATGACATCATGTCCAAATGGAGAAGGTATACACAATATCAGATTGATTTATTACTTTCCATTAAGTTGAAAGATAATATAAATGTTACAAGTAGCCACTTACCTACATGCCTGTGGGTATATAGAAAATGTTCAATTAAGTAATACATTTTATAGAAATTTATTAAGACTTTATGGCCCGAACTACATGTATATATTTGTCCAGGTATGGAGGGGACATGGCCGTGGCTGAATCAGCCGCCATCATGGTGTTCTGTTCCTGTGACTTGGTGGTCGGTCTCTGCAATATCACCATGGCAGGTCAGCTAAATAAATCGTTTTTTTGCTAACTTCGTGAAAAATAACACAACACATCTGAAGGGAAATGTATATTCTATTAATAAATAAATGTGCTGCATTTCCTACTGAACACGAGATTTCTTCTGGTAACCTTACCTGGTTATGTTACCTTTTTGGTAACATAATAATTTCTCTCGTCTTTTATTCCTTATTTTCGTACTACTAATAGTAGTAATTAATTAGTAAGGTATTTTAATAAGTGTTTTTGGGATAATATCATTTTTTTATTGTGAATTTGTCTTAATTCGGCATATTGCCGAGATGACAATTTTTATGCAATAAACCATTTCAATTCAATTCAATTCAATTTCCTTTTAAAAACAAAAAGCGAACAGTAGTTTGATTATATTATAGCTAGGCCTTTACAATAAATCAGGGCCCTTGGGAGAATAAAAGCAAACTTTATTACTAAATGAATAAGTAGAAAAAGCTCAAATGAGTACATGTTTGGATTTTGCAGCCCAGTTTTATCTGCAAGAAGAGCTTGAGTGTCACGCGATATGTGGAGGCAGAGTGGAGTGCGCTTACTGCGCCGAGCCAGGATGTACGTGCTCGCAGCAAGACATGGAGACGTATCGTCTATGCCAGCTGGGCAATAGGTAATTAAAAGATGCAACCATGCAGATATAACAGACCGGTTCCAAACCAAACTCCATCAACCTATCACTGTATATGTTCCCTGGTGAATCCATAAAATAAACAGTGAGTGCTTGGCCGGTTTGGGTGGAACAGAGACTACATTGTAATAGGTTAATTAATCTAACAAAGACCAGCAAAATCAACAGTTCGACAAACAAAAGATTGACGATTGCATCGCTTAATTAACCACCAAATCGACCGACCGACCAGCCAGTCAACAAACAAAAAACCAACATACTAACGAACAAACGAACCTGACGAAAACCCCAACACAAACCAATCAAAATGTCAATTAGGGTATTATTAACAACAGAGGGCGCAAGAGCAACTACGAAAGCAACCACTTTGACATGAATTCTGAATGTGTGGTAAATTTATCTTTAACTGACAGAGCCAAACTGTTCCAGTGTACCAACTACTGCACTGAAAAGGATGCCATACCGATGTGCACCTGCGAACTAACGATCGTCAGACAAGACGAGTAAGTCCTAAAAAAAATTGAATAATTTGATTTTAAAAAGTTTGAAATGACGAATTCGAAAGAAAACTTGCTCCTAAAGGCAAAGAGGTTGGCCAGAACATACGTTAATATTCCTTTGGAACACATAACTTCATAAATATATATAACTTCACACAGGCCATAACTTCACCAATACAGCATCACTTTGGCATACATTTTCAAGATGATTGATAATGATTTTTCGTTCCACTTTAGAACAACGCGCACACCAGTGAGAGTTGACCCAACAACCACGGTCAAAACTGCCCACGTGCCGGCAACCATCAACACCTCGTTCAGTCACGGTTTACTGACAGGCCTAGCCGTTGGGGGATGTATTCTACTGCTTCTTGTTGTCATCGTGCTTGCCTTGGTTATTTTTGTCATCAGGAGACGGACCATGAACAGATCGTAAGATTACACATTTTGACATCTTTTTCCCTTTTTCACCCGTGAATTTGCATGGATGATTAAATCCTATTAACATGTGTGATGTAAACACGAGTAAATGGTAAGTATAAAACGGTTTAATGATTTCGGCAAAAATTACGAGACACGATCATTCAAACAATTTGGATGGGGTAAAAGGATCGGTCAGATGTGTTTGATCTAAATGAGGGCGCCCTTAGCTTACTCCAACACCGCGTTGTACATCCTGAGACACACACTTCAATAACATGATTTTTTTTTCACAACACACCAAAATATATTTGGTTATTTCAAAAGCACCCAGAGGCCTTCCAACTTTTGCTCTCGCTAAACATGACGACAACTTCTTTATTCTACAGATCCATGGCGAGAACCAACACCAATTCATCCACGACACCGATGACGTCATCAGAGGGACTTAAAGGTGTGGTATGGTTTCAATTTTGATAAATTAAAAAACAGTTCTTTGACAACATCATTGGTTTGAGATGTAAACCAGTTTACCAACTCTGTTTATCACAAAATGTGAATCTCTGTGGTATCATTAATTGAGAATTTCAGCCATTTTGTCCAAAGTCATGCATGAAATGCATTGGTCATAATTATCACAGGGGTACCGATTTGTTTATGATCACTTCAGGTGTCAACAATCCTACATACGACTCATCCAACACAACACTACCCGGGATCGCCGCTCCTCATTCCTCAACCTCGTACCTCTACCCGTACGCCCCACGCCTCACAGCCAACAGACAAATGAGCACCTCAAACAGAAACACCTCCAGCATCGCTTCGCCTCAGTCTAGCACCCAACCGACTCCCTATTACCAGGAGATTACACCTCGAAACGGAGACCAGCCGCCTACCTATGAGGACTCCGAGGGGTATACTCGTTACCGGCCGCAGACGCAGGTTGACGCGGGGCTGGAGCGCCGCCAGCCGGTATACATGGAGCTTGTGAGGCCCAGTGATCGTTCTTCCAGACCACCAGTGGACACGTACATGTATTAGGGTTGTTTAAGCACTTGTCAAAACTGAAAAACTTCAATTTCAGTCATTACAATCATATCACAATAAGTAAACAACGAGCTAATTAAGACAAAAGTGGCACCTGCGCATGCGACTGAATGTCTGGACTATAGTTAGCTTGTACCTTTTCTAACAAAAAATACATGTAGCTATATATTAATTTGCTCGAGGCTTTGGTAAAGCTTACCTTCTGTAAACAAAACAAAAACATGGATCTTGACGTATTCTATCGATTAGCAACCAAACAATTATTACGAAGTTAACCAGTTTGGGGCCCTCATTACATCGATAAAAACTTACAGATCTGTTTTGTGGCGCGATGTTCGATTGTGGCGGCCGTCACTCAAGGACGACACCGGGCGATGGACGACTATCGCCGGCACGTCTGCCTTTATCCTCCGGCCCGCTGTGGCCTGCGCTGAGTGTGAATTCCGACGATGGTTTCGCTCCATCCTCAAAAATTTCACGATAGCCGGGCGCGGGTTTTCAGCCGTCTCATGATTCCGTGGCTTGACTTCAAAGTAACAGGTGTAGCCGGCTTTTTTGATTGAAATGATTCGTTTCTCCATCTTTGGCGATTGGATTTTTGGAGCAACAAATTCAAGAATTAGCGAGTTTAATGCCGAGTTTACACCAATTCAATAAAGATTCTTGCGCAACACACAAGTCTCTTTCAATAATGGCCGTCTCAACTTTCTTCAGTTTGGGAGCCCAATTCTGAAGTTTCCCTCGAAGAAAATATAAACATCAGAATTTGAGAAGTAACTGAAATTTTCTCCTGATATCCTTGGTCGTATCATTCGGGTAAACTACCGAGTAGTCTTCCTCAAAACATTCCAAGAATAACCGTGTAAGCGTGTCAGATCGGCAACAGTTCGCCTACACGTCTCCGTATACGTTTCGGTACCCAAGCGGCAGCGACGAATGGTGCTCATGGGCCAAGTCCTCCGAAAAACGGCGGCAGCCTCTGCAGCCAACAAGCCCATAAACCGACCGAAAATAATCAGCGTCCAACTCTGCTGATTCACAAAATACAAAGTGCAGTTACATTAACTCCAAAATTTTGACATCTGATTTCTTTCTGATAGCCAGGTGACAAATCAGCAATTTCGAATATACAAAGGAAACAATTTCCGAGCGCGTGTTTATTGACAGTACTGCCTTTGGCATTAATTTCCCTTCGCTTTCATTTAATTATATTGAAAATTTTTATTTCTCGCTTTAAGTATTATTTTTTTCTTATGTACTATTTATGCATATTATGGCAGATGTTTCGAAATAATTGGTTTGTAATGGTATAGGCCTATTATTCTTTATGGAGTATCTTCTAACGAATATCTTGTTTTCAGAAGCTGATTTTGAATTTCAATTAGTATTGTACCCTTGTCTTTTAGAATAATGAGATGAATTGATATATTCTGTATAAATGCATATGTATAAATCTAGTTTGTGTTTGCTATTTTCTTAATAACTTAATGGTGATAAAAAACGCTCGCAGATTGTTTACTCCTTTAAAGTTAAAACATGTTTAGTTACAATTATTTTAGTCACTTATAAGGGAGTCGCATATAAAAGGTGGCAACTTATGTCTCTTCTAAAGTAAATTCATATGAATTGATAAATTCACATCAAGAAAAAGATATTAAACAGTGCATTTCTTACGATGTTGTTAGTTGATGGATTAACTAGGCGCCTGGGACCCATTCTGGCCACTAGGAAAGGTCAAAGTTCACGTGAGAAAATCACAGTTCTACACAAGAATTCTGTCAAACTTGTCGACTGATTTAAGGCGTAAAGTGGACACAGATGGTGTACACGTTCAAGGACAGCCTGTGCTCTTTGAACCCTTGAAAATAATAAATCTTGGAAATGCGCGACAGATATTCGCAACAAACTGAAAAGAATTATGTTGAGATCGCAAAAAAATAGCTAGGTCAGGAATACACTGCTGGTATTAAATGATGACTTTACAAAACATTAATTGTATGAATTAAATTACGCAATGTAATGTTTGCATGTGGCTTTCATGGCATTTCTCGGTAGAAAGAGAGACTTTACTTAGGACTAAATTATGTTCAAAAAGGCTCAAAATTTCCATCAAACCAAACATGACGAGTAAATTAAAACGAAAGGAAGTTTTTGCAGGTCCGTGTATATGCCTGTAGGTTTTTTCAAACCATACGCCAAAATGAAGCTTGCATGTAGGCCTATAATATGGCCAGCGCATTTAATTGACCTTTCGACCCCATGTCAAACTCGATAGGGTGGTTGAAGGAAATGAAGGAAGCCTACATAATACACCCAGAAGACTGGAACAAACAAAAGCCAAAATGTACAAGCAATTTGCTGTTGAAATAGGGGTTAATATAAATTCACATTTGTGCACCCACTTCACCAATTAAGTGATAAAATCGCAATGCGATATGATACACCAATAATACCTGAACTAAATTACTATATAAACAACACATAAACACGAACAAGATATTCTACGTCACCAAACTCTTCGGTGGCAACATTATCATCTGTACACAAGAATATGTTATTTTACTAAACCAAAGAAAGAGAAAATGACATATTTGTATTCTATTTAAAGCAACATGAGTACCAATTCCGTGGTTCTACTCTAGCGTGACTAGCAGCACCAACGTATCTATGGGGCCGTAAGGCGATATTAACCGTAGCCCAACAAGCATATATAGCTCGGTTCGAGAACCATGTCACGAACTACAATTTATAATTTAACAATACTGTAGCGAGGGATAAAATGGTCATTTATAGGCAACAATTGTCACCGTCAGAATGTGTGAACGTGAAAAACACAGCGCGGCTCCTACTACAAACTTTTTCAACTTTGACATTTTTGTTAACCGTCACACTCACAATGCCTTGGCGTACCGTATATGATTTATCCACGGTAACACGCACGCGTCCATTTTGTTTCTGTCGCAAGGAACTTATCATAAAACACAAGGTGTAAAGCTCAAATACAAACTTTGAATCTGCGATACCATACCAACCACCAAAGCAGACAGAAGCTTTCGAAATAAGGGGAGATATACTTACTTGCTCACCGCTCGCAACTTCCGCCATTTTGACTCTGTGCTAGAACTTGTCAACTTCTCCATCAATGACAACTTTTGCCTTCATAACATCCGTCCACTCAGAAATATGCGGTCCTTTGTTCGAGTACAATAGCGCAGAACACCTGTGTTCTTTTGTTTAATGTAATACATTTACTCCAGAATTTTTCGACAGTTCGTGGTCATGCGTTCAGACTCTTATATCAGTGTGTTATCTTTTTACAGGTTGTGTGCTTTTCGACCGTGAGCGCAAACTGGGCCACTGGGGGTCAGTTTTGAAACGGGCGGTATAACCCCGTCGTCATAGCAACGGAGTGATAATAAATATGATTCGAGAGTATTGCTGTTTCTGTTCAATTATTTCAAGATGTTTGGTAATAACCATACTTCAAACATGCAATGTTGAATGTTTGAAACGTAGTGGAGAGCCTATATACTTGCAAAATTTGCAAATATTTATTCACTTCTTCTAAAACTTTGGGCTTTTTAAACCCTGTTAGTAAGTGGCAACCACGCCAAATAAACATACGATACCATTACCAACCCAAAACGTATTGTTGTTTATTTCTTAAAAAAAAAAATTAAATCGCAGATTCAGCATTATTTCACCAATTTACATGGACAAACGTATGGAATCTGTTTCAAAAATATTTCAAATATTATACAATACTGGAATTTTAAGAGACCAATTTTCTCCCAATAATTGACAATTTATGAAAAGTTTTCAAATCGTACATGTTACTATACAGTATAGGCATGCTGGTGTGTACTCCAAGAAATACAATCAACAGCCAATTTACATAAAGTGCGGTTGTCTTTATCAAAGTATATCGAAATTTATCACTCAACCGACATTTGTTGACTCTACTGGATGTATTTGTTTTTGGCAGTCTGCGGTAAAATAAAAATGTACCTGCATAGCAACCGTTAAGGATTTGAGCTTGACCTTTGACCCCAAAGTTTTCGCTTATCTTCTAATCATGCGTGAATAATAATTACGGCACAAAATAAGTTTCATTGCTCGAGCACTATGCGAAGTTTCACCGGTACGTAATGGATATGTGAGATCACTGAACTAAACCTATTCATTTCATGTTAATTGTATAATGAAGAAAAATGATAATAAAGTAGAATGGTGTATTATTATGCATCTTAAAAAAACACAAAGTCGGTGAGTTATTCAAAAGTATACTCACGCGCGAAACCGTTTCATCTCCGGACTACGGTTCAGCAGGCTGATCATGCTGGCGAATTTTGGCTGCGATTTCTCCATTTCTGAGTTTTTACTAGTCCTTTTTGCCTACTGATTTTCACTCTGTGTCACTTTTCACTTCAAGAAGGTTTTCAAATGAGCAGGAGTATCTTGTGCGTAGCGCTCTAATTGTCATCCCAAAGTTTTCAGCTGACAAGTTAGCAATCTGTTTTTATTTGACGCCACACAGTGAGACTTAACTTTACCAGTACAGCCACCCACGTCAATTAAAAACACAGCAAAAGTCAATGTTTGTTTACGAAGCATGTACAAAGGATGCGTTGGCTACTGTGTACAGACATAATTACTGGTAGGGAGTTATACTACGAAGGCAAACATTTTAGACAAACGGTGGGGGGAAAATCATGTTGGACATACAATGGACGAAATGGACAGTCAGTGTATGACTGTGTGTAAACTAAAGGATTACATCTACAGTTTAGTCACCATGTATACATAAGCTCTACTTTCTTTTGTGGTGTTTAAAATTTGCATACTTCGGTAACTTTCCTCTCAACTGAAGTGCATGTCGACGCCATGTTCACTGTGTTAAATAAACGCTTCCTGGAAATATACTTTTATTGACACTACAGGTGTATTTTTGCAAGAGCTTTGTAAGTATGCAGGTGAGTAAATTTCTTAGACAAAACAGCAGAGTCGCGGAGAACCAATCAAAAGCAACGGAAACCGACACATGCGCAGTTGCGCGAATGGCCACGTGATCAAATAGTCACGTGGAAGTCCGTTTGATTTCGAGTGTAATTAGAAAATCGGAAAAAAACCTGTCACATAAAGTCGTGCAGCATCAATGTTATTGTTTTGTTTTTCCAGCCAGTGTTTTCCAAGAAGTCTCGGGCGAGAATACCTTATGAAAAAAATATCCCTTCATAATCAACCAGTAATTTTGGTCACACTTCAACCCCATAATCAATGCATTATATTATTTTTAAAAAATAACTAGTACATGACATTTAAAATAAAAATTGTGTCTTACTGGTGGACAAGTTTTATTATTAGTGTCACAAGTTTCCATGATTTTCTGATCTCGCCGATTTGCCGAAAAATGACGCGCTGCGTCTTCAATACACACCATGTGGACCGGGGCGATGAGAGGAATTTTACAAAACCTACAGTGGTATTATTTCTCCTCACACACAGAAATAGACCTAGAAATATGCTTCCTAACTAGAATCGGGGTAGAGACAGAGTTTCAAGCAATGGTAAGGTTAAAATAAGAAAATAAAGTAATGGTACCTTAAAGCTAAGTAAAACTACTGATGCAAGACAAGCTAAAGGAACACGCCTAAATGCCGAATCGATTATAAAAACTTGTCTCGGTTAGTCGTTATGTTAATCAAGCTTCCGTTGCCAAGGGCCGGGTCCATAGCAATGATTTCAGCACTAAAAACACGTCGAGTTGTGTACTTACATTCCCCGGCCGTTCAGAAATATTGTCGATCGCCTCCTGTCACGTCTGGCATACTTGGGAAACGAAAAGGTCTGATTCATCACTGATCAACAAAGCGAGACAGAAACTCTTCCAAAATGAAAAAGAACATAATTCTCCGACTTCTCAATCTTTCGAAACAAATTCGTCCATGATTCTGAACCGGAGGTAGTCGTGGTACAAAGTCACGTCACAGTCAGTTGCCGTGAACATTTTACTTGACAAACCCATTTTGTCCCGTTGAAGTGTTTTGTACTGAACTGTTGACATACTTTGGAGAGCCGTTATTTGTTGGATGTGTTCAAGTACTTGTTGCCGAGTTTGCAGGCAGTGGCGTGTTTCCTCCCCAACCGATGAGTAACACAAACTCGACAACCGTTTTAAAAAAAGTCATAGTGCGTCGAATTCAAAGCGAGCATAAAAAAATGTTAATGAAAAAGCCGGGGTTCAAACCCTCAAAATCACGTCAATTTACATAGGACATGGCACAGAGATATACTATTTGAACTTAAGAGCATGCTAGTTCAGAACTACATTGTAGTGTTTGATACAAATTGAAAACAGTGGGATAAAACAAAAAAAACATTGGAACAAAATAACTGAATTGCATAACTTCTCAAAAATATTAAGATTGACACAAGAGAGCTCGAGAGCTCGAGTCGGAGTACCGACACAACACTTTTCCCGCTTTTCCCCTGTTTTTTTAAAATCTAAGTTGGGGATAGTGTCATAAAAAACAAAAAGACTGGATCAGTTGGATTATAATTCGATAAAATATTTCATTTTCTAAGAAATTAAAAATTAAAAGAAAAATCTGACAATTAGCTTTTTTAGTGGTTTCTTATTCCTTTTCATTAAAAACTACCATCAAAATGAATAGGCCAATCTATTTCGTTACAACATCCATGTTGCAGAAAAATGTTGGGTTTTTTTTTTACCTTTGTTGTTATTTTGTAAATTGTGCGATTTCTAATAATTTATTTTTAAATAAAAGAGACAACAAAATTCCCATGACAGTGAGTCAATCAGACAGTGCGCTGGTTTACGACACAACGCGAGGTAAAACTCGTGTATTGAGCAGACGACCAGCGAACAACAAAAGCAAGATGGCGGACTCGGATGAACTCGAAATTCCCGTCAAGTTAAAAGCGATTCGCCCGTACGTTCTGCTGGCAAGAGATCACGACAAAAGGGACCCACTGGTCGCCTACTTTTGTAAGTATCACGGGGTGGACTTTGGATGTAACTCCGGTCTTGATTTATAGGAGAAATCAACTGTTGAGCTTCGGTGTCTTGACATTAATCATCCCATTCAGACACACGTAAAATACATGCACCCGTAACACCGTGCACGTTATGCACGAAGCTTCGAACATTCATTTTTATGCTTTGACTGCAACTTGCACTTAAATTTCAGTGCAATAATGAGACTGTTCATTTACATGTTTATGCAGTGATCATACACGACTACCCGTAAGAGATCACTAAATGCTGTACGTATGCGAGATCAGACAGTCATGATGGGCGTGGTGTCTGATTGGGGCGGGCGGGGGGGGGGGGCTGTGAAGGTATGGGGGTTTTTTTTCTTAGGAATAGGATCTTCTGGGGGGAAGAGCTCCATGCTGGGCCACCACTCATATTCCCTAATATGATCTTAAAAGTACCAAAAGTTGTAAATCTGATGAAAAAAACACCATTTACAAATGATTTAAGGAGTGCAAAAATTCTTAAAATACTTAAACTTTTTCTGTCATGGCCCGCCCATAGACTTAGTGCAGGAGGTCTGAGTGGTGGCCCAGTATCAAATTCTTTCCCTTCAGGGTATTAAAATTGCCGGGACAATTTTTGATAACCAGGAAATGCCAAAATACCAGACTTTTTTCCATTTATTTTTGGACCAAATTTGACAATCACTCATTTAAAAGTTGTATTTTTGTAGGTCATACAAAAATTCCATCTTATGAATAGGTCATATCTTGTATTTTAATATTCTTATATGTTTATTCCAATACAAAAAACGGGGCAAAAAATATATATACTTTAATTTGATCTCTTCAGGTGAATCTTGCCATTCCTTGTATGATAAGAATACTCACCCGTTGTCGTCACTCAGCAAACCATCGTTAAATTTGTCCTTGTCCCTCAGAGAGTGCTTGTATCTAATGACTTTGATTTTAGTGATAAAACGTAGTGCTGTGGATGACATCCTAAAGTGTAAATAAAGGTCTTGCTACATGTTCAACTACGTTTAAAAAATCACTTACATTGTCTGGTCCTATATGGGGAATTTTTCATATGGGTATAATTATATGCCTTTTCAGCTTTTCTCAAAAGTTGTAGTTGCATCAATTAACAGGTGCTCGCTTACATTTGTTAACACAAAGTGAAGGGACGACCACACTTGTTTATTTTAGGCATCAGCTAATTGCAAATTGAAAAGTAAACACAATTAGTGGCCTAGGAGCCTAGGAGGGACAGGAAGATAGTTAAAGAAATTAAGAAGTGCTAAGAATAAATGTCACAGCTTTTATCAAGTACCATTTCTGTTTACACATGTGTATTCTGGATTGATAAGTGATGATAAAATGTCATAGTCTTCACTTAGTATGTCAGACTTTATTCTTGAAATATGTGCTTCGGGATGAGAGGACTGTCATTTTTTTTTATTTACTTTGTTATTTTCAGGCAGGCGTTATGCAATGGAAACAGCCCTTGCACTGGACAAACAAGACAAATCTCCAGAGCATAGGGCGTTTTTATTTTCGTTAATGGACAGGCTAGAAAAGGTGAGGAAACAAGTTTCTTCCAATTAAGCCATAACTTATTTTTCAAAATCCTCCAGTTGCCACCATGTAAAAATTAGATGCAGCCTCAATCCTCCAAAATCGCCTGTTATTTCTTGAATGTGTTCAGTGGGGGTGACCAATGCCTCAATCCTTAAAAATCATCCAACAATCACTGTTAATGGGTTGAGGCAGTGCTGATGACATTCAGAAGCAATGCAGATGATATGGATTATAATGCAGGGCTCAATTATGCACGGCTGAGCATAAACATGCTGGGTACAGCCTACGAACTCAACACAATGCATCCTCCAAAATCAACCGACTCTTTTTTTTTTTGCCATTCAGCCTTAATCCTCCAAAATCCTCCAAAAACCGCCTGGAGGATTTTGGAGGATGTAGAAAGGTCAGGGTTAAGCCCAGCCCCTGATTGTTGACCAATCACAGCAATACTGAAATGGTCCGTTGCAAGGCATTTGACACTAGATTATTCCACAAAATCTTATCGTGGTTGTGGTATTATACAGTGAGTGAAGTTAGAGTGGCTTTAAGAAGTTATTTTTTTGTTTCGATGGTTTTGTTTCAGTCCAAGCAAGAGTTGACTCCTAACGAGATCTTGAGCAATGAGCTGGCGTCCCAGGCACACGTCGAAAACTGCTCCTTGAAGATATTTGTGTATGCAGACAATGAGGACAGGGCAGGCAGATTCCACAAGTAAAGACCAGAATTTAAGTTTTATGCAAAACCTCCAGTTTCCCCAAACAAGATTTTAAGTGCCTTCAATTTAGGGTCTAATTTTTTTACATTTTTCTATGATTAAGAATTGTCACCAGGGAAAATGGGAATAAAATCATACACTAATTTTCATTTCTGTAACAAGCTCTAAATGATGACGTTGTTACAACGGGGATCACATGACCATACCTTCGGATGGACATAGAGGGCGTTTTGGTCCAAGTGTCGATAAATAAAATAAGTGTCAATTTCTACTTTTTTTTCAGGGCAATGGTAAAGTCATTTTACAAGTCTGGTCTCCTCTTCGATGTCATGCAGACATTTGGAGAACTGTCGGACGAGGTATGTCACCATACTAATTTCTTTGAAGTCAAAGACAAGATTAAAGCAAAAAGAACTTTCTTCAACTTACAGTTCTTGTTTTTCCTTTTGTCATCAACTGCCAACAGCTGCAGCAAACAAAAAAGTACGCCAAATGGAAAGTGACGCACATCACCAGCTGTCAGAAGCGAGGAGAGACACCACACGCAGGGCCGCTGGATGAGGAAGGGGAAGAGGGTGAGTTTGTGGTTCGAATCCAACCAAGAACCGAGTTGCATCCTTGAGCAAGGCATTTAACCCTGTCCCATGACCTGTGATAAAAAGGGTACAGGTTCAAATGTCAGCTTTGTCCGTATTTCCTTTCCCTTGACACGGCTCAATATTCCTCATGATGTGTGGTCAGAGAGTATAGGTTCGAATCCAGTTGTGCCTTTAAGCAAGGCAGCTTACCTTACGGCTATTGTTCTCATGACCTGTTATAGGAAGGTCACAGGTACAAATTCATCCACTGGCCTATCATTTGTGTCCATTTGCAGGCTACTTTACCTTGTCTTTATATCCACACGACTCATGATCAGAGGGCCTTGGGTTCGAATCCAGCTATTTACTACAAAATAAATTATGTTGTGTCCTTCAGCAAGATACTCAACTACAATCATCTTGGTAGCCTTTATCATAAAACTCTGTGATAGTTGTGAGTGTTAACAATCCGTAGGAAAGGTGTTTTAAAAAAAATCCATTTCCGACTTCTCTGATTTTTTCTCAACAGGTGCCATGGCGCCCGGCAACCTCTCCTTCCCCGTCCCCCCAGGTGTGCCATCAGGAGCCTCCTCATTCCCTCCCCCGGACCCCAGCAGCCAGCAGCCTGGCCCCGCCTACCCTCCTGTCAATCCGAATCTCATCCCCCCTGGGATGCATGCCCCGCCCACCACGCCGGAGCAGCCTGGGACGTTCCAAGGGGGTATCCCGGGCCCCCAGCCTACACCGCCCTCAGTTGGCGGCCAGAATTCAAACACAGGTTCGTTGTCACGGATATCTCATCCTCCATTCTCGAGATTTTTTTTTTCAGTTGACCATTTCCCTTTGCCATAACTGTTGAGCCTGCTGTGTGGCCTCACAGCAAGTGCCTCTTTTGAAATTCTATTTTGGTTTCTCAAGATATTGATCCATTTACATGAGTTTATGACTTTGACTGTAACTCTCTTCTCAAATCCACCCTGAAATTTTTATGAGGACGCAAAGTTAAGAAAGGTACAACCCAGCCACTGTTAATACATGAACAATTTTGCCCCTTGAAATTGGAAGTACAAGAACATGTGCCATTGGCTTCCTGCACAGCTGAGGATTTTGGAGAATCCACGGAAACTCCAAACATAAATTCTGACGGAGTTAGGGTTCAATTGGCACAATTTCATTTTCACGTTCTCGTCTTTTTCTTTCTTGGAACCAGGATTCCCCAAGTTATCGACGGATGATTTCGGCAAAGCACAGAAGTACTGCAAGTATGCTGGCAGCTCGCTACAATATGACGACATACCGACGGCAGTGGATTATCTAGAAAAGGCGTTAAGGTTGCTCAAAACGGGAAAGGAATAACCGAACAGTTGGAACCAATAAGCCAGGTCGGTATTTCAACTGCGCATGCGCACAATGATATGGGTCACGGGTCATTTATCGAAGGCGTGCGCGCGAACGCGCATGGAGAAGGTAGCACCACGCTCGCACGTTAAGTACAAGCAGAAATGGCGTTCGGGTAACATCACGTCAGCGATTTCATCCTGAATGACCTTTGACCTGGACTACTTCATCGAGATATCGAACTGGCTTATTGTGTAGGGCTGCTTAGTGCAGAAATCTGCTAAGCACCGCAAATATCTGCTTAGCAGAAACAGGTTACCAGCCAAAATGCGATGCAGTGTGTATTGTTTATGGGCATTCAAGCTAAGCATTAAAATTTGCTAAGTGGTATTTTCTGCTCAGCAGAAATTGGGCCTCCGTGGTAGGATATCCAAGCCTCTGTGAAATAATCCCTGTCAGATTCCCTGAAGCATGTTCACAAGATTATTTATATGCATCATCAGCACCAGACTAAAATTTAGACAACTTTATAAAAAGGCATTTCTCAAGCCATGGGTTTGTCTCCAGGTGTGGCACAGACATCTTAATTTTAGCCCCTGACTTTGGCGATTGCTGCTCAACATGGATCGATTTTCCCCTATGAGAACTTAGGAAGATGTGGTTAAATAATCTATTCAGGCAACATTTGTTGTTAGTTGGTTCGTTAAGTCAATCATTAAGTTCTGCAGATGGTTTTTGGGTCAAAAATAGAGCCGAACCTGGGGACAAAACCAGGATTTGAAAAATGGCCATAGCTTTGATAGGGGACAGACTGTTAGGGTTACTTGTTCAACTGGGTCGGAAATGTTTAAAAGATTATTTAACCTTTAAGTGAATGACAACAAAATTATAAATTTATTGGTTTGAATCGTGATAAAGACGATGGTTGTGTGATTGATTGTGTGATAATAATGATGATGATGAAAAGTTCTGTGGCAAAAAATTGTGAAAATTGTAACATATGCAAATCATAAGGATTGACATTCAATGCACAAATGACACATCACCAGTAAATTTTGTCTCACTTCAACACAAATTAAATGTAACTTTAATCCCTGGCTAGTTGTAAACATGCAAAGAAAAGGTGTATTTATGTCTGGTGTCTGTCTCTCAAAAATGTCTTCAAAAGAATGGTTTTGCTCCTTTGCCTTGCTTTATTCAACTATGTGTTGGGGTTTTTATGAGGATGTCTGTGTGGGTACGTTTTGTATGTGAGTAGGAGAAAGTGCTTAGATAAATGATGAAATAATTACAAATGATATGTGAGATAGACGTGAACCGTGGCCTAAAAAGATAATTTGTTGCCGTCTTGATTATATTTGTCAACTTACTGCAATTTGTTTTATATGTGTGCAAATAAACATGTATATACCTATATGTAGAACTTTGTTTCACGTCTTTTCTCTTTTGGGGGTTGTGTTACACGCCATTCTTCATCCATCACCCTGCCCCGCCCTGCTCCACCCCACCCCACCCCATCCCGCCCAAGTTCTATAGCAGGATTGAATTAGTCAATCGAATTCAGATGTTTTTCTTGGTTTCTCCTTCAATTCTGTTTATAGAAAGAAAAAAAAATTAAGTGATTTCCCCTCTTGTGTTTTGATAACTTCGGTTAGCAACAATGGGTCAGAATGTTTATTAAGGAAGAAAGTTAAAAGGTGGTCGTAGGCACCGCCCGGATTCGAACCGGGGATCTCCTGTTTACTAGACAGGCGCTTTAACCGACTAAGCCACGGCGCCGCGTTATTCAAAGAAGATGTTGTATTTGCTGATTTTATTTTGTTTGTAAATCGTTACAAGAACAAAACAAGTACCATTACGCCCGGTAAGGGACTCGAACCCTTGACCCTCAGATTAAAAGTCTGATGCTCTACCGACTGAGCTAACCGGGCTCCGGAAACTCATATTTGCTGCATACTTAAGAATCCACATTATAACTGTATGTAAAAAAAAAAAACACACAGAGAGAAAAACCAAAATGGAAAATAAAACTAAAGCAACGACCGGATTCGAACTAAGAATCTCCTGTTTACTAGACAGGCGCTTCAACCAACTAAGCCACGGCGGCAGCTGTTCACAAGGTGCACCATTTTTCTTGTATTTATATCTTATTTTGTATACAAGGTTAAAAACAAATTAAGCAACTTTTTTCGCCCGATAAGGGACTCGAACCCCTGACCCTCAGATTAAAAGTCTGATGCTCTACCGACTGAGCTAACCGGGCTCTGAACACAAATTTTGCGAAGTAAGTTAACCCATTTCCAAAACAATTTTAAGAAAAATAATGATTTGTTTTATATTACATAACAAAAAAACAGGCACCACCCGGATTCGAACCGGGGATCTCCTGTTTACAAGACAGGTGCTTTAACCAACTAAGCCATGGTGCCACGCTAAAAAGATACCTTTAAAGGTAAAGAACATAATGTCCAGTTTACCAAAAAAGAAAGTTTGATCACCCGCCCACCCCCCCCCCAAAAAACCCCGATAAGTTTCAAGCATAAAAGATAATCCGATGAAGAATTACCCCCCCCCCCCCAAAAAAAAGGCACCGCCCGGATTCGAACCGGGGATCTCCTGTTTACTAGACAGGCGCTTTAACCAACTAAGCCACGGCGCCGATATAATAAACAAAAACAGAAGTTGATGATACCGGAATTCCTATTGCACACAATTATTTTAGGGCCGATATAGTTATGATGTATTAGTGATAATTAGTGAGTTATTTTGATTCTCCCTGTAAACTTGAATCTTTGAACATTTCTGTTGGAAGTCAATTGCTTTATTTTTTTTTAAAAATAATTCATTGATTTATCAATTTGTGTAGTAAATACGTTTTCGATTGATTTTCTGTAAATTGGAGGCAATGCGATTTCAGCGGCTCAAGAAACTGCTCATAAAAACCCAAACTTGTTTTTCTAAACAGAATTTATGAATTTGTAAAATTAATTTCACCTGTTCTTTTACCCTATTGACTTTTAATACACTTAACCCCATTCCTGCGGCTAATCCTTGTACGGAATAAATAACTCCAAGCAAGAAAACAAACAACCAGAAGGTGGACATGTTTTAGGCATTGTTAACGGATTGTCTTATGAATAATTCATCAAAACACAGGTGCCCCCATTGTTGACAAAAGTCTGGCCCCTACTGAAACATGAATGAAGCCCAAAAATGATGTTATTGTGAGCGGGTCAGCCGGACAATGGTTACCCCGGGAGAGCGTCTTTGGCCCCCGGTCAATTCATTCGATCGGCGCGCTGGTGGTCGTGCTTGGTCAATTACCTATAACGTCAAAATTGCACGAGTAGTTGAGACTGCAGTTTCACTTGTACAGTCTTGGAACACGAAGGGCGTACCCTGAATTTGTGAACCGGGAATAAACATCAAAGCAATATCTTTGATTTTAACCGTTGCCCGGAGATGAAGCAGTGACTGATGTTTTGATTTGGAGATGAGAGGTTTCACTCTGTCACGCGGACAGTTCCACCCAGGCATGGCATCCTTCATTATTAACAAGCACTCGTAATGGACTGAGTACCTGCCCAGACAGATTGCATTATTAAAAACAGACGACAACCTCTTGATTTATCAAACTCGGAGGCCAACGAGTCGACAATGTCTGATGTTGGGGAGGCTAAACCGTCCCGTTGCAGGCACTCACACGGTGAGGAGGATGAGAGCACGAGCAGGAAGACCGACCAGAGTAAGGGGGTTCGAAAGCCCTCAAAGACGCCCTCCCAGGCAAGCTCCGTGAGGTTCAACAATTCCCAAAAGGATCCGGGCTCCCAGGTTTCTGTGCCGCTCTCGCACAGTGACAGGAGGTCGTCTGGTACCTCAGAGGTAGCCTCAGTGACAACCAAAGATTCTATCAATGAGGCATCGGAACCAGAAAACCTCTCCATTGATGATGAGGCGGCCGAGAGAGCCTCACTGAGGTCCTCTGGCAGTACGAGGTCCGTGTCGGGGAACCTCACATCAGAGAGGGCCCCGTCAGTGGACTACTCAACAGATCTAGATCTTTCGCAAAGTGCCTCGTCACTCAGAGGAGGTTCCGACAATAGAAGCATGGGAGGCGTCTCCGATCTCTCCAAAAGAAGTGCACCCAGTGAGGTATCAGGTAAGAGCCTCAAGGCCTCAAAGAGTGATTATAACGTTTCTGAGGATGGAAGTAGACATTACCCGAATCAAGGTGCAAGTGAGAAATACGAACCATCTGAGAACGGAACGAGTGAAGTATCTAAGGATCCGGAGGTTACAGCTGATGAGGTTCCTCGGGGGGAAACCAACACGGCCGCCGTCTTTACCTCCTTCATCCAAGCCTTACGTGAGGAGACGCAGCGCCTAGAGAACACCGAGAATCTTAGAAAGTTCGAGAGTTCCCACGTCCGAGGGATCCTGGGCGAGCTGACGGACACGCTACGAGACAGTGAGGATCAGAGCCTGAGGCTCTATGAGGGGATTGAGGCGATCCGTGAGGCAGCGCAGGGACTGAAGAGAACCCTGGAGGCGCGGCTGAACCGATCAACTGATGCTGAGGCTGAGGTGATGATGGAGGGACAAGAAAACACAGGTAAGACATTTTGATCGTTTTCAGCTGTTTATTGAGGTTTTAATTTCATAACATCCATTTTTATATAATAGTGATTAGAAAAGTAATGACCTTTGCAGGGAATTATGGGCATGAGAAACCAAGTTTTATGAAGGACCTCAATTTCCCATACCACGTCCATACCTTGATGAAGAATAACCCAACACATGTGGTCCTCCTTTATGCCGACTCTTACAATCAGGCCCCCAGGTCTCGGTACAATAATAATACCTTCCCATAAATAATAAGACCGCAATATCATGCCAAAATGACGCTCGTGAGATTGTGGGTGGTCTACTGAGAATGGCTGGCACGTTCATCTGCCTGAACTTGATCATCGTGCATGCCACACCCCAAAAGAGGAGCTGATACATGTATAAAGACAGATAAACGGATCTTGAGGGTGGGGTCTCGAAAAACTCGCGCCTACGCAAAGCTACTCCCGCCCTGAGTCAATCATTATGATCAAATATTTCAAAAATTGAGATGAAAATCTTACAAGAAGAATAGCATTCACACCTGATCATTAGTACAGCGGACCCATGTTAATATTTTGCTCTGGCCAGATCAAGTCAACTTTTGGTGACTTCTCCTGAACAAACAATCGGCTTTACATTGTACACTAGCTAATCCAACAACCTGGCACGGCCAATACTCGGTATTAACGCGATATGGGTGAGGCGTAACCATACGATCACAAAACAGTGCAAATAGACATTCAGGATCACGATTGTGTTGTATATCACCCAATATCAACGCCGCCCCAGAATAAACGCCGAATAATAAAAGCCACGGCAAAATAGAATTTGTTCATCATTTATTAATGAAGCAAAGAACAACACTGAAGCAATATTGGAATACAGCATCAAATACAGTGGACTGGGCCGCACGAGGCATTTGGAGAGAAATTGTGGATGTTTTGTCGACGATTTGGATCTTTCGGGATCATTCGTTTGATTGCGAAGACCTTTGCGAAGTCACGAACGTATTTGGAGACTTGTTTAACTTCGAGGCCGACGCGCGAATTTTCAGCCCGGGCGAATCGGTTCTGAATAGCCGCCGAACTTCAGCTGAACTTCAGGTACATTTGAAACCTTTGCCTATCTTAAAACACATGGTTTAAAACAAAGTTTTCTCATTATGAATCATTACTCATTAATACAGACTTGTATTATTCTTCTTAATACTCAATCAATTTTGCCAACATTTTCCAAAAATTGTAATTCCACAATTTGGATAATTTTGTTTTCTCTGAATTTGACACAAGAATTTCTTGAGCTGATAAATCGATTGGGAGACTGTTAGGACGAATTTCCTGTTGTAGCCTCTTTAAAAGTTGTTGTTTGAGTCTTTCCTTTTCTGCAATTAATTTGTTCAGTTTCTTCGTTTGAGCATGAGTGGCCAAAATGTACACGGATCGCCATAATTGCAATGAGAACAATCAAAACCCATCGGTAAATACCTCCTTTACGAGGTCAAACCCTTCGCTTTATTAAAGTTTCCCAAGAGTTTAAAATCGGCATTTCAATTTTTCATGTGCAAGCCTCATCATGTACAAATAATTTAGCATATTACATGTCCTAGCACCACATGTACTATGCATGGCTCTGTTTACGCTGTCATAGCAACGGTATTTGCTCTTCGGCTCGGCCGTGAGGTTTCCCAGCAAAATCGACAAACTGTTGACATTAAACGAAGAGTAGAATTAGCGCGCGAAGTATTGTGTTAATCCTAATTGACGAGTGAAGTGTTTTGATGTTTGTCGTTTTTGGCCATTGAAAAATCTTGGTTCAGTTCGTGGATTTTCATCAAAGCCTGAGAATCATAAAGTTTGTTAAGTTCTGTCAAAACGTTAAAGTTTGAAGCTTATTGGAATTGAATTGGAATTTAAGCATTTCTCGCGACACCCACACTCCTTTGCGTTTGTTCTGGTATAATCATTCCAGTGAATGACTTGCAACGAGCAAATGTTATTTCTGTCATAAAGTGTCAAGAGTTTGTTCTGACTAAAACTAAACAATATGATAAACCGATATTGTGTGGTATGAATCCTGGAAACGGTTAAGTATTGATTCGAACTTTGACCACAGAAAACCTCGGATCTCTCGCTTTAGAACTTTACATTCGTCATTTTACAGACAATATGTCATTTGTATTTGATGGACATTTCGAAGTGCTCAGTCTGAGCTGTTAAATTAATTATTATAATCCACTCAATAAGTTTGCGGTTTATCGAGAAATTGTGCTCCTTATTGTCATTATTTGAGACCTCAACAAAACTGAATATTTTTTTTTTCTAAATTCCAGACGTTTAGTTTTCAGGCTTTCCGTTGATGATTAAACAGGATAAAGTATGGCAGACTTGGACGCCATTTTTTTTTTTCATTTCAGTGCCAAAAGATTTACATGAGATTGTACCTTAGGCAACGTTGGGATGGTCTGAGGTTGCCATGGTGATGATTTGCAGTCAGCGAACATCGAGCACATGCGCATATATGTGAAGGGTTGTTGAAATGTAGGTCTGATCATGTTTGTGCTAGATACTCCAGACAAGCCGGGGCCTGGTGCGTAAAGCATGCTGAGCTGATATTGTTTGGCTTAGCAAAATTGAATTACCAACGAGAATTTAAAGGGATTTTCCTCTGCATGTGGCAGGTTCTCAGTTGTTTTTGCTTAGCGGAGTACAATCGCCAAGTGCTATTCTTGGCTCCGTCAAAAGGCTCACCTAATTTTGGGGTTTATTTCAGATAATAAAAAGGCTCATTCGAGGGCAGTCGCCGCCGTTTCAGCTGCTAAGGCGTTACTGGCCGAGGTAGCACTCGACGTGACGGAGGCTGCCAAGATGGCCGCCGAGGCGGAGACGGCTGCGGCGGAGGCAGCGGCTGCGGCTGAGGAGGTGGTCGAGGAGATTGGAGAGATCGAAGACAGGCTTGATGAGGTTGAAGATGGGGAAGTGGAGGAGCAGGAGGAGGAAGAGAAGGAGATACCGGTAGGGGAGGACGCAGGGAGGCAGAAAGATGAAGAGGATCGTGAAGCAAGTGATGATGACGATGATGCAGGACAGTCTGGGGAGGATGCCCATTCACATACCTCCTCTCGCCTTGAAGACGACAATGAAGATTTACAGACCAAGGAAGATGGAGAATCGGATAGGGAGGATGAAGACAGGGAAGAGGATGTTGCACAAGAGGAGACTGAGAAAACAGACGAGAGAAAGGCGGAGACTCCTAAACCGCCGGAATCGCCAAAGAGGAGGAGGAGTATTAAAGACAACGTCATGGAATGGCCCTATCACATGTAAGAGTTGTTCAAGTTACTTTTAGTTCAGACAGGCATATGACTTCCATTTGTTTGTTTGTCTGTTTGATTGGTTGGTTAGTTGTTCGTTTTCTGTTTTGACGACATGTAGATAATGATGTGTAAGCCTAGGTTTTGAACTCAGTGTATCGTGAAGTTTTTCTTTGTTTACCGATACTAGTTTTATTCTGGTTCTTGCAGTATTACAGTCATTAGCAACAACTTTTATTTTCTTTTTGCCTAGATTGAATCTTCCAGACGATGACGTCACGGACGACGAAATCGGCTGCGTAGTCCGCTACAAGGCCGAGTACTTCACATCCTCGAGCCCAGACTTCTGCTGCGTGGTCAACAACCACATGAGCGTGGACGCGGTTGGGGACAGCGAAGAGTTGGTCAGCCACGTTGTGAGCGTAGAACACGTCGAGGACTCCCCGGGGGGAGAGCTGGAAGCCCCCATCGTGGTGGCCGTCCCGTACGGTGTCAGTCCACGCATGATGAGTACCAGGGAATTCGTGGTCAAGTTTAAGAGTGGGAACGAGGATGAGTGGAAGGTTGTCCCTATGCTGGCAACGGATAGCTCGTTTGCAGAACACAAGGTTCGCAACTTTTGTTAATTTGCACTAATTATGTAGATTATAATACAAAATCGGGGCATTTATTGATACGGTTGATAGGAGACTGAGTGATTTATGACTGACTTGGTTATGTAATGGCATGATGATGGCGACATTGACAAAAACAACAATCTTGATTCAAAGTTGCAATCGAGTCAGTCACAAGTCGAATTTCAAGTCAGGTAACAAGTAGAGTTAAAATACATTTCATATGTGATGACATGCGATTATCTTGTGATGACTTGTGATGACTTACAATAGCTTGTGATGATAGGGATGACTTGTGATGACTTGCGATAGCTTGTGATGACTTGTGCTGTAGATTAACACCTCTTCTTGATTAAAATTTGATTTAACAATCTGGATGCAACACCGTTAACTTCTCTCCATCTTGTTCCATGCAGGGTCCTTTCGCCGAGGTTCGCACGAACCAGCTCGGCTCCTTCGCAGTCATCGCCCGCCTCATCAAGGACCGACAGACCATCACCAAAAAGGGAGGCGTAGTCAAATCCTCCTCCGATCACCGCATGAACGTCGCGTACCCTCCCGGAGTCTGTAGTCTCATGAGCGTCACACTGCAGGTACGGCGTGCTACAAATTGTCTTGCGGCGAGTTTGAACAACAACTAATCGCTTATTAGGCAAACTTTGTGAATGTGGTGTCTGCAAGGTGAATTTTCACTACAATTTTGGCAATCAGGTTTTACTGAGAACAGGACACCGGGTTTTAGTGGACAGCTTGGCATCATAATTGTTCGATTCTCTGTACTGCTGTCCTCGAGTCTGCAAAAGTGTCGTTTAAGTTACTTAACTTTTTCTTGATTTTTTTTTAAGGTTCAACCGGCAGAGCAAGCGGTGAGTGATCTTCGAGCGCGCATGCGCCACTGCTCAGACCTCATCGCCGCAAGTCCGATCATCACCCTAACCCACTCCTCCAACAAGCCCTTCGAGAAGCCTGTGACAGTCACCATCCCCTGCCCTCCAAACCCGCTCAAAGTCCCGGCAGCTGGTGGTGTGAGCTCCGCTAACTCCCCGTCGAAACCCGCGGAGAAGCAAGCCCCGCTGTCACCGGACGGAGCAGTCATCATACGGGGGACCAAGAGCAGTATCTTCGGCGGAGACCCAGCAAACGACACGCTGCATCTGATGCACCGGCAATCTAATTGGAACTACTGGAACGAGGTGGAGAATGCGCAGTTCAAGCAGGTCCGCAAGGATCTGGTGTCAATCGAGTTGGATAGACCCATGGACAAGTAAGAGCCACTGATGTGATTGCCACTGCGGCCAATTTACATCTGCAAAGCAAAACATCGTATTAATTTCTTGTCCTATTCCACCAACAGTTACCTACCAACATCCTGAAGTAGGCCTTGATCTATTTAATATCGATAAACTACCTAGATCTTTATAGTCGTAATACTAACATTGTGATAGGCAAGATCAGCTCCTTCAATTCTATTTGGTTGCGGTATACTCGCTGCAATGAGATTCGAAGCAGCCAGCCAATCACGGCAAGCTCGGTGGTCGAGTGGGTTCGAGTCCCACCAAGTAATTTGTGAACTTTTTCTCACAATAACTCGTGTTTTTTAAAATACGTCGGGGAAGAGAAAAACCAAATATTGAAGTCTTTCAACAGGCTGTCAAAAGCATCAGCAATAACGATGTCCAATTTCCTCCACAGGCTCCTCATCCTTCGCATGACCTCAGACGGACGCTACCCAGCCAAGAACGTCGCCCAGACCTTCGAGAGAGCCCTCCAGATCAAATACGCAAGCATCATCCTCCATCATCGAGTAGACGACCCACAGCGCGTGGTGGTGCAGTGCGTGCCGGCAAGACAGCTGGATAGTGCCCTCAGACGGCTGAGCCAGGATGGGTATGAAGGACCACCGGATCCCAGCGTAGATGTACCCATGTCGGAGGGACAAGAGATAACTTTGAAGTATGCTCTGGGACTTTTGAAATATCGGTTTATCTCCGACTTCGGCTTTAGACTCCAACTTAAAGATCTCAGGCCTTGATTTAGGAGGCCCCAGCTTAATCTGGGTCCATTTCTGTTCTTCAGGCACATAAAAATCCAAAGTTGAATGTATTTCCAAATGGTTTGAACGTTGAATGCATCTAAATGGCTTGGAACCAGAGATGACGTCATGCCGGTGACGTAGCCAAGATAAGCATATATGAGACATTCCAGGCCAATCGGCCCACAAGTAGTCCTATAGCCTCCTCTTGTTCTTGAAGTACTATACGTCCTGTTCTTGATAGGCTTCTGTATCCTTACTTTTGATCAAAAAACGTACATTTTTATTCTTGATGACAAAGTTTCTTTCCTCCTTTATCCAGGTTCAGCGGCAACATCAAGATCGTGGGCCGCGACCAAATCACCTTCACCTTCCATTCCCATCGCAGGAACATGGTCGAGTTCCTCATCGAGGAGACCAACAAGTTCGGCAACCACAGCTCGGACGAGTACCGTGGAATGGCCGAGTTTTACGGCACGCCGCGCATCACGCTCGCTGACATGGAAGATCCGGAGGAGGTCCGTCAAAAATGATGTTTAAATTATTATTCTCCTTAATTATTTTTCTTGATAGCACGATCGAAACTTTGGCCACTACATTCTTATTGGTCCACACTAATAATTATATCCTCTGCTGCCTCTTAAGGTCCTTCTTCGAGAGGCTGAAGCCAAGGCAGCCGAGAAGGAGAACAAGCGCTCCGGAGCATCCATGCTGACCAAGGCGGAGAAGAAGAAACAAGAGGGACTGGACGGAGGTGGCAGGGACTACCAGAGTCTCCGGAAAGTAGAGTCGGATCTCATCTGTAAATTGTCGGTCTTGTTACCAAAGGTAGGCAGGAGTTGACATGTCGAGGTATTTTGGTCTATCTTTCCGTTTAATTGTTTTGCTGTATGACTTAGTATACATTTATTTTGTCTCTTGCAACTGCCGTTGTCGAGATGCTGCTAAATCTGCTTGGGTGTTGTTGTTGTTGCCGCTTCCCTGCAGTCACTGTCGATACGTTGCTGCAGTTTTTGCTATTGCTACTGCCGTACTATACATGTATTTCATCGCTGCACTGCCCTGATAAACTGCAGCTGTTTCTCCTAAAGGTGTTGTGAAGCTGTCACACATGTTGTTATTGTAGCTGCAGTTTCTATAGAAGAATTGTGTTCATGTCAACTACAAAAGTAAGATTTTACATTTCTCTTTCACCAGGCCGAGCCGGACCCTCCACTACCTCCCAGCCGATACCGTGCCACCGCCATCGACGCTGGAGGTTTGACCGTTTTCAGTTTCTTTTCCCTCATAATTTGTTGATTATCTGTTGATCAATAATTTGTTGGCGGGAAGTCAAAACCATAAAAACAGAAGGCTGTAGAATTATTGATAATTATGTCGGAGTAAATTCATCTGAATGTTTTATTTGATCACTTAAAATGCTCTCATAATGTTGTCGGGAATTTTTGGACACTATAGGTTTTGTGAGCAACGCCAATCTTCGTTGGTTATCCTCGGAGCTTGGTAATGAGTGGGAATCTTTAGCTACTGTGCTGGGAATCAAGAGAAGCCGACTGCAGAGCATCAAACGGAACAACCCCATCAAGGTTAGACCGAGTTACATGTGGATTTAATACTATGACCTGACGCACAAGAACATTGGCGTCACTTTTAAAGAAAGCCCTCTACAGAGTGAAAAGGTTTGCAGGCAAGCATAGACCTTGCTAATAGCTTTAAACACAAACGTTAAGTTGTGCAAAATATTTTAAAACGTTGTCAGGTTTGAAATAAAGGTATAGACAAGAAGACGTTACTGGACAGCACTGGTACTTCGCGCAAGCGCCCGTCGCATGCGCACGCCATCTTCAACTTGAGGCGCGCGCGCATTTTGGCAACCACATTGCGAAGATGAGAGCCAGTGGTATACCAAGTCCGTATGTTTGTAATTATCGCTATTAGTCCAAACTTTAACAGGCATGTATAGCATATGTATGTTATTATTACTTACGTTTCCTTGAACTGACTTTGGTAACGCTGTTTTCTCCCAAAGGTGGAGCATCAAGTGCTGGACATGTTGGTAACATGGCGGAGTATGCTACCACGAGCCTACGACAAGGAGAGGAAACTCTGCCGGGCGCTGGTGCGATGTGGACGGTACGACCTGGCCGAGGAATTGAAGGAACGCGACGCTAGCAACACGGAGATCAATCACATCGCTCATAATAACAATCTCAACGTGCTTGATATGGATGAATACTAGGAGTTTGGGTAGAGAGAGAAAGGATAAGGAAAGGGTTGGCGTCTACAAAACAATAGAGGGCGCTAGTAATTAATTGTATGGGTAAATTGCACGTTGTGTACAGCTCTCTGCAATTGCATCGATTATTTTTTTCAAAATGCACTTAAAAAAAAACATGGTTTAAAAAAAACTCACATCCATATTACCGCATAATAACCTTTTCCCAGGCATCATCACAGCGCCCCCAATCGATTAGGCAGGAGAGGCTGTTTGGTAGACTAGTTACAAGTCCTTTCTTTATTGATTTATGATGAGTTTTTTGGGGTGTGAAGAGGAAGGCAGTTCGGGGTTCGTCGCGGGGTATTTTGGTGGGGAGGGTACTTTTTCTTGGGTAATTCAATTCATGCCTTATAAACAGAGAGATAGCTTATATAAAATGAGTTGAACTGTTAAAGTTGTTTTTAAAGCACCTATCTACACATACAAGATTACATGCAACTAACAGAGTTCAACCAATGTTTTTTAAAACAAATTTCATCGATACTCGTGAAAATGCACGATTTTACGCACCTTCACTTTGACCTACGCACAGTCATTGGTGTTACTTTGATGCAACTACATGTAATAATATTTTGTACTTCAATATTCGTAATTTGTAAAGTAATTTTGTTCATAACTTGTTGCAATATTATGACAACCAAATAAATTATGCACTTATTATTTAATGTTAATCACACATTTTCACAAACCCATTTTATGTTCAAATCTTTGTACGAGTTTTAATTTTTTTTTGCATCATATAATAAAATCAGCAAATTTACCACATTTGCGTTTGTGTCCCACTTTATATGCACCTTTGGAACCCACTTCATGTCAATGAAACCGTCCGGAATTCAAGACTGATTAAAGATGATAAAAGATTATAAAGAACAACTAACTGCAAATCAGGAAAAAAGGTAATGACACAAAAAGACCATCATTTTGAGTTATAATCAATCTTTAATATTCACAGTTTTCAAACAAATTAGAAATTTTTTTTTTAACATGCTTACTGTGTTGAAAAATGCTATCCAACTTGCCAAATGTTTATAACTATCTCAAAATCAAACCAAGCGAACTCTTGTAAACTTCTTTTCTTCAGTTAGAACTGTTGTTTCAAATATCTTTTTGTATTGAAATGTTTCAGGTCTTGGTGATGAGAAACTTTTAAATTAAGTTATTTTTTTGAATTCTTTTTAGAGATGAAATCCTAATCCTTGGGAATAGCCAAAAAGATTTATCTTGGGAAATAAACATTTTTCAAACTGCCACACACTATCGAAGCATTTTTCAAACCAAAACATTATAATTGTATTACTCTTCAATGTACAAAACTGCCATTACAAATCCACAAAAAACAATGGGGAGATTCTCGTGTCCTCTAATGCCCCACTGGATTTAGAAGAGCAGCTGAAGACCATCATCCTCTTAGTAACGCTCTTGGTTTCTGCCATTTGCCCTCTGCGTACATTCTCTTTTCGTATTTCTGCAAGCGTGAATAATCAAGCACACAAATAAGAGAAATTTCACAAATAAGTTTGAACGATTTGAGTTCAATGGTTGAAAATAAAAAGAAAAAAAGGGGATATTCCTCACCTTGTACTTTCCTAAGATGTAAATCAAGCCCACTGGAGGTAGAAGTCCGAACAGGAAACCGAGGGCTGAGGTCCTTGGAGTAGCTTTGAAGAACTGATAGGAGCTGTGTCTGGCGTGGTTCCACCGGACCACCGCTGGATCCAACTGAAGAATACAGAGAGAGAAACATTTGTCAAGTTTGGTTAGAGACTTCAGTCAAATTTGATCAAGTTGTGGACTAGAAAGGTGGGTAAGAGGTAATGCTATTTTTCTTGAAGTTTTCTTTTTAGTCCCACTTCAAGGACTAGGACCTCGAGTGCACAAAAACATGCAAAACAAAATCTTGCCAACTTAACTCGCCCTTAAAAATCTCCCAAATTGTCATTAGGCCAAGACAGGGTCCTCAGTTTTTCACCAGGAAAGTTTGAGGTCTCAAGTCAATTTTTGAAGGAGACTTAACAAAGTGAATTCAATGTGAAGCCTAAAGACTAGACTGGTACATTTTAAACTACATGTACATGTATATTTGAAAAGATTGACCATTCAGTAGTCTGGTGCTTGGTGGCAAAGTCAAACTTTTGCCCAAAAGCATTGGGTAGCAAATTTATTTTTCATTAACAATTGTCATAAATGACGAAGCAAATAAAACAATAAACATATAACAAATACTCATCCAAAATATTAAAACGAGCAAACCCAACCGGCATTATTAATCATGAAATATAGTCATGTTCCCTAACGTGGCGCACTTCGAAGCTTACCCAACTTTCCTCGTGTAGTGTTGCCAAACCTCTTTGTTGATGAACCTCAAATTCATGCAGTAAAATACTGGTACTTTTACCTTTTTAATGCTTGCTATTTAACCTCTGTGAACAATTTCGGTTTCATCAAATTTAATCCGAAATGCAAAAACGGTCGCGTCCGGAAATTGGGCACAAATTGGCTGAGTGTTCCCTAACGTGGCGCACTTGAATAAATCTCAGAAAATTCCAAATTAACATTTAAGGATTTCTGTAAACTTGATAAATTCTGATAAATCATTATTATATTTACTTTACAAACCCAGCCAGATGTTTGTCAGAAAATTATTTTCTTATTTTTCGGGGAATTTTCAAAGGGTTCACTTTGAACTTGGAAATAAAATCGGAAAATCACGCCAAAATATTTTTTTCTTTTAACTTTGTAACGGGTAAATAAACTCGCGATTGATGAACGGGAGTGTTTAGAACTTGATGAAATTTCACTTTCTGTGAAATTTCAGTTAAAACTTTTGCTCTAACTAGGCGCTACAGGCGAAAAATAAAAGTGCGCCACGTTAGGGGCCACGCCACGTTAGGGTACATCAACAATATATTATTAACTGCATGCATATGCATTGCAATTTGCAATCAATGCATTTGCAATGGCAACTGTGCAAGCCAAACCTCTGCACCATTTAACCGACAACTGCCCCTATTTCTATGCTTACCACCATGCCCTTTGCCTTTGGATCATTGACTTTCCTTTGATAATCTCTTCGAATCTCATTTCTGATCGCAGCTCTCTCATGTTCCGCTCTTTTTTCTTCGGCAGAAATTCCAAAGCTTGCGTCCGCCATTTTGAAGATTTGCTTGTTATTTCAGCATTCTCTTTCCAGTGGGTAAATGACACCGAGCGTTTCATTAAATAGTCCCTGTTACCCTTTCCTCAATCTAAATTTACACAAAGACGCAACATTCAGATTAATAGATTTGTCCATAATTTTTTTCCCCCAAAGATCTCCTTTCTATTGTTGGTCTGAATTTATTGGCATCTTTACGCAATGTTTGAATGAAAATGCCTCTCTGGTTAGAGAGTAGCAAAACAGTGTACTAAATCGAATGTACTCCAGAGAGATAACAGACGCTTTTAGCTTTCAGTGAATAAAACTACATACAGTAGGCCTGGGTGAAAAATTGAGGGGACAATAATATTGATGGAGGAATTCAGTCTTCACATTGTACAGACGAATTCCTTTATTAATGTTTAAATGAAGTTGATCAAAGATCTAATTAATGAAGTGCCGGATTTTTAAATTTTCTTTATGCCTGTTACAGCCACGCCCACCGCCGATCTAATAAAACTCTTTTCAGATAATTATAAGTACTTAGAACGAAATAGGTTTCAATGATCCCCCCCCCCCCCGGCCTTGGAAATTATAGGAAGCTTAATGAGATATGTACAATTATGGGGTTGCTAGAAGACAATGTTTAATTTTTTTATGACTTAGTCTTATTATTTGGACCATGTGATCATGTCCAAGTTATAAGCGCAATAACTTTGAAGGTTCTCTGCACTTTTGAAGAAATTGGAAAAAGTACTCAAGACTGACAAAACGCCGCATGTCACACCGGTAATACAAACAAAATACCTTCCGTGCCCTGTGCTTGGGTGAATCAATGGCAACGTTCACTTCAACCAATAATTAATTAGTGACCAGGCTCCCACCATCATTAGTCAAGCCTTGCACGCGTACCGTGCGTGGAAAGTTGAGCAAGTGCATCACGTGGGAGGGGCGGACACATACACACGGCCGGCCCTTGAAGCCCGTCCCCCCCCCCCCCCCCCCCCCCCCCCCGCCAGCTCGATCGATCCTTAATTTGGGCATTTCTTGAACTGCCCGTAAACTGCTTTCATTGGGTAAATTTAGTGGATATCTCATGTGAATTGACGGTATATATTTTTTTGATCTTGTGTGCCTAGCTAGTAGCCGAATCAACTTATTCCTTTTTTTCAAAATTGAAATATTTTCCCGACGTCTGAGCAGTGGAGATTTGAGCCTATATAGAAAATGGGATTGGCCCTTTTCTGAACCTCGGATATATGCCACTGTACCTGATCAAATTTTAATAAGCCGTTTTACATTGTGCAAGGATAATACACACACATATTTGCATATAAAGCATGATTTATTAGACTTTTTCGGTTCTCATGCTAGCGCCGGGCCGGCGGGACTACGCAGCGCGGCCCCAGCGGACTGATGACTCCTCGCCGAATCGGTGACACATCGTCACCACATCACCGATGACTCAGTCTGGATCATCACTCCAAGATGAGTTTTTTGTATCATTACATTTTTTTTCAAGAAAAGTATTTGTTTGCCCCTTTTCTATCGTAGACTGTTAAGTTTTATTATGTAAAATACTGATAAAATCATGTCACCATGAGTGCATATTCTAGAATGTGTGGCGCGCACGTTCGTCTGCAAACATCATTTCTGTTGAGACCGTTTAGTGAGACCATCACATGCGTAATACATAAACTGGTTTCGTCTGGTATGGTGTGTGTGACTGAGGACCGACTGTAGGACTTTTTTTGCAGATTTAAACGACATTTCGGTAGGTTTGACTAATTTTTGTTTGAACTTGAATGATAGATATGTTTGGGCAAATTTGAGAGCTAGTTTTATGCTGCAATTATGAGATTTGTGTGTTTGTTTACTCGTCGTCTGGCCTGTTTTTGAACAACGTGCTGTCAAAACTCAAATGTTATGTTGACGCACGCATTGGGCAGATGAGGGCGTTCTTCACAGCACAGGCCTACAAGTACAACATGTCATTCATAACGTTTTTGGGGTAAGGTTATGCAGTATCCTGACTGCCTGACGCCCTTTCACCGTATAAGCTCAGTGGTGGTGAGTCACTGAAAATAATTATTTTGAACCACAAAAAAAAGGATTTGGGAATAAGAAATATTTCCTAATTTTGTCAGACTTTTTTTTTTTTTTTTTTTTTTAAGGTGGCAGTGCGGCATTGACACAAGAAAGATCCTTGACAGTTTAGACCGATAACAACTGGACAACCCAACACAATGCCAGCCAACAAACTCCCAAAGGCTCCATTCGGTAAGAACTATTATGAATTAGGCCTAGGCTTAAATACGACAGAAAATTTCAAAACTTTTATCAAATTTATTAAAAGTGTGAAACTGAAATGTCTCTGTATTTTTATATATTTACCCAACCTGTACTGTACTCTTTTCCCTTCTTTAATTTACCAGTATCATTCACTTGGGACGAGTACCTAAAAGGCAAAGATGCAAATCCGGCGCCCCAGGCATGCTTCAAACAGGTAGGCAGCATTCTCTCCCTCGTGTCACATTGATATTCTCATTTAGGGGCGAGAATTTGGTAAAAATTTCCTGTAGACAAAATGGCACGAGATTTTTCAGACTTTTGTCTAAAATCTGACCTTTTCAATCTGAGTAAGAAAAGACATTTTCAGTCTGGAAGGATATGCATCTTTCAGACACTTCATCCAATTTTCAGACTTTTGTTTTTTAAATTGACAATCTCATCCCTGTGTTGATTGCGAAAGTATCATTGGGGATTCCCCGCAGTGTCGCAATTCAAGATTGCAGTCTGTCACTGGGGAAGTCCCCAAGATATTGCAGTCATCCAGGATTTCACAATTTCACATGCCTAGACTGTTTTTCAGGCTGATTCTCATAAGTTAACCATGTTGTATATTTACCAAAAAAATGTGAAAATGTTCTCTATATCAATTATTATGGATAGACATTTGATAGACATTTTAGGAAATTAAAAAAAAAAATTAGGTCGAATGCCAAATGTCAAACATGGACTTACATTGATTTTCCACAGTTTATCTTTGGTATATAGAGGGGGCTAGACCTAATTTAACTCTGGCTGTCTTGTTCATGATGAAAAGTTTATTCTGCTTAGTGTTCAGAAGTTTCATGTTTCCAAGACAAAAATGAAATCGTTAATCCTACTTCGCTACGCAGGCACCTGTCCCCCCACCCAACGACTTCACCCTCCACTCCAAGCTGGAGGCCCTGGATCCACGGAACATCACCTCCACCTGTATCGCTACCATCGTGGGCCTGCAGGGACCCCGGCTCAGGCTAAGACTGGACGGCAGCGACAACAAGAACGACTTCTGGCGTCTGGTGGACTCGGGGGACATCAAACCCATCGGGTGGTGCGAGGAGAATGGCGGGATGCTGCAGCCTCCACTTGGTAAAGATTGTTGATAACTTAACGAACCCTTCCCAACCCAGAATACAACCAACTTAGGAACTAACCTAACTCGGAATCCAACTTAGTTGAGACTGAAATACCACCCATTTAGTAGTAATCTTTTGCTGCACCTGTAAGAACTGACTATTCAATGACTATTATGTTATCGCAATTTTAAAAGCATGTTTGCTTGGAAGCTTCATGAATGATTCAATATCATTTTTGTAATTTTCTTCCAGGATTCCGTATGAATGCATCATCATGGCCAATGTTCCTTCTGCGGACTCTGAACAATGCCAAGATTGCACCGGAATTGGCATTTAAAAAGGTAACATCGTGTCAACCCTCTAATTTAGCCCAATTCGGTTTACAGCCCCGTTCATAAGGCAGCCCAACACAGGACCCAAACCAATTCAGAATCCAACTAAGTCAGAAACCAACCCGACTCAAGATCCAACCCAACTCAAGATCCAACCCAACTCAAGAACAAACCCAACTCAGAATCCAACCTAAATCAGAAACTAACCCAACTCAGAATCCAACCCCACTCAGGATCCAAACCAATTCAGGCTCGAACCGAACTCAGTACCCAAACCATCCCAGAATCAAACCCAATTCAGAATCAAATCCAAATAAGGCCCAGACCAACTTGAACAAATACCAACTCAGACCCAGACTTTGAGGCAATACTTAGACCAACTTGTAAGTAGGCCAGATCAATCCTAGTCACAACCAGCTCATTCAAACTCCTGTTCAAATTGCAAATTTGTTTTATATAAGATACCAATCTGTCAGAACGCATTCATCCCGAACAGTTAAAATGTGTGAGAATCTTTAGGGCAATTCCACGGTTACTCACATTACATTTTTGATGTACCAGTACTTTTGAGTTTCCTTGGGCTGTAATTACCTTACTGAAAAGGTTTAATAACTGTTATCCCCATGATAGATAGAGTAGACCTAGACCTACCTAAGCACCAAAGATGACATCCAGAAAAATGTTTTATGTATGATAAACAAGACGCACAAAATCGGTTAGTCACATTACGAAAATGTAACGTGAGTAACCATGGAATTGCCCCTTCGAATAAAAGTTGACTTTGAATTCGGTCCCCCAACAGGAGCCTCCCACTCCGCCCGAGAACCTCTTCAAAGTCGGCATGAAACTGGAAGCAATCGATCGCAAGAACCCCCACCTCATCTGCCCTGCCACCATCGGGGGAATCAGAGACAACATGATCTTCATCTCCTTCGATGGCTGGAGGGGTGTCTTTGACTACTGGTGCGAGTTTGATTCGAGGGACATCTTCCCTGTGGGCTGGGCTGCGAGTACTGGTCACTACTTACAGCTACCAGGAAACAAAGGTAGACTCTTAATCAATCACCTGTTTTTAATTTTAAGTCCTGGAACCGAAAAGGATGGATCATACCTGCAGCAGCAGTCGCGTGCATACTGTAAGTAGATGTATCTGCAACTGAAACACCAAAAAGAACTCTACTTCAACTCTGGTAGTGTGATCATTAACCCTAACCCTGCAGTTTGTCTAAGCCTGCCCAACCCAACAACATGCAAGTTTTGTCAAAGTGAGAAGCCCGCCAAATGGATCAAGATCCATCAGGTCCAAATTTCCAAGGACAAACTGCCTCTGAGTCTGTGGGTGCCAACTGCAACAGGATACAACTGTGCCATTGTTCAATGAGACTAGCTCTCATTGTCTGAGAATTGGCTGTTAATGCACTGGTGTTAATAACCCAATGCAGTAAGTTCCCACAGACTTTTAGGCCTGATGCACTGTGAAACTGACAGGGTTAGGGTTAATTACATTGTGATTTTCGGCATTCAGGCACGTCATCAACTAGGGGTCGCAAATCCAGCGCAGCATCCACCGTCTCTCAGCCCCCTGGTGCTACCCCTTCGGCCTCGGCCTCATCTCCTCCGGTATCCCCGATGACTGTGGAATCAGGAGACCAGTCACCTGCTTACGACAACGAGCCTGATACGAGCAGTCCGCTATCAGTCAGCTCAGTCTGTGAGTCAGATATACCCTCATCGTCAATTATAACCTTTACACCAACATTAAGCCCAACCCTGTAGGCCTTTTTTGCTAGGAATCATCTTCAATCCTCCAAAATCCTCCAAAATTTTGCACCTATGTTCAAACATCTATGTTTCTATACCCAGCCGTCTCCTTATACATCAACAACACCTGCGTCTCCGGCCCCTATCTCAGCCCCCACAAGGTACTGCAGATGCCTAGCCTCATCGGCCCAGCTCCCATGGACAGGGTCCTTACAGAGACGCTACAGATGTGCGTCAACTCGGCCGTCCAACAGAAAGCCGTCTTTGCATTCCTGAAAGCCGAGGAAGGCGGGACAGTCAACGTCACAGGTACTTTGTTCCTTTCTATTTAGAGGATTGCTGATTTGATTTGTGATTGAAATTCTGATTCGACTTGTCATCAACTTCTGATGTGACTCGTGATTGACAACATCCATTGGTTGTTTACCCCAGCTCATTACAGCAGTCACACCCACTCCGTCAGCCTACTAGCTCCCGAGACTACCAGAGCATTCTGGTCCCTGATTGACCAACTGTGTGAGGACCTTCTGTGTTGTGGAAACTTCTTCACCAGCAAGCCGCTACACGGACCGTGTAGTAATTGTGCCAAACAGGGTAAGTATCGTTTGCCATCGAATTAACCTTGTGACGTTTACACCAACCTAACGTCACCATAATATTCCTTCATCATCCGTAACTCCCCAGCGTCTTTGATTTTGATGGAGTTGGGTGGTTATGGTTAAATTACAGAATTATTTCTCAATGTTTCTGGTTTGCATGACTGGTGTCAGAGAAATGAAAGAACCTTTCCCCTTTCCCTTTACCTTCTCCCCGTTTTGTTCTCCTCCAGTCTTTCAATTGTTCCCACTGTTCCCTTTTCCCGGTTGTTATCCCTTACCCTTACCCTTACTCTTACTCAGTTACTCTTTTTATGTGATTTTTGTGTCTTTCCATAAATGTTTTAATAATAAAGAACAAGGAGTCGAGTTTCATGTTTTACATGCTGAGAATAAATTGAAATTGAAATTGAAATTGAAATTGAAATTGAAATTGAAATTGAAATTGAAATTGAAATTGAAAATGAAATTGAAATTGAAATTGAAATTGAAATTGAAATTGAAATTGAAATTGAAATTGAAATTGAAATTGAAATTGAAATTGAAATTGAAATTGAAATTGAAATTGAACTTGAACTTGAACCCTGGAGTGTCACCAATACTTGAGGCTTCGTGTTTTTAGAAATTCTTTCATTCCATTGATTCAGACGATGGAAGTCACCATGGCAGACACAGAAGTTACAGCGGTAACACCACCAAACCCTCCGCGGCGACCAAGAGAAGCCTATCCACAGACTCGGCAGTGTCGGACAGAGGAGACCTGAAAGTGCCAAGGAGAATCCGAACAGAAGGTAAGCTGCACCAAGATTTTGAAAATATTATCAAGGTCCAGAGTTTTTATATGTCATAACAGAGTTGATAAGTTAAACTGGTACCAAATCTGGATGTAAAATTAATAAAATAACTAATAAAGGCCATTTTTTTAAATCATTGTGCTTTAAACGTGTTGATGCTATAACAAAAAATCCACTTTGTCAAGAAATTCTTCTCAACATTTTTGTTAAGGCTTGGTCTATATCACATTAATCGCACCCTTCATTATAAAAAATAACGTTGATTTTATGACTTATTTAAGCAAGGAATGGAATACTCGCATACTATACAATTTGGTGTATAACGATTAATACGTTATGTAAAGAAATAGTCAACCCAGGTGGTTTCTGATCAATAACAAAAAACACAAAGGAATTGACTTGATATCTGAATTTTTTTTTGTAAACAGCCGCAAGTTCCACAACAACTGTTTCCGAGAGTAGGGAGGCACGGAGCGAGAGTAGACCCTCACTAGGCCCCCCGTCTCGAGACCCTACCAACTGGTCAGTAGAGGAGGTCATTAGATACGTGACAGATGCTGACCATGGCATGGCGTCGCATGCTGATACTTTCAAGAAACATGTGAGTAGCACTCAAGAGTCATCAAGGTTTGGAAATTAAAATTACGGTGGAATTACGTTTAATTTTTAAGCTCTGGCAGTAGCTTCTACATGTCACTTGGTGGTCGTTCAGATGGTCTGTCTGTCTGTCTGTCTGTCTATCTGTCCCCGGAAAATTGACCAAACATATGGTGTTCCATATGTGCCATCGGCGTCGCATTTTTCGGCTCTGGCAGGGATTATTTTAATAGATTTTATGCAAGGCTTTCGTGCAAGACTTCTTGCAACACTTCTTGATTTTTTGACTGAGGATTCAGTAAAAAAAACATGGGTGTTGAGGTTAATGAAAATTTAGAACTGTAAGAAAACATTAAAGTGAACACTTTTTAACTCATGTGAATTTCACTGTGAATGTTTCGTGACGTCATATTCGCTTAGCATTCGCAGTTGTGTGAACCAGCCTTCAGGAAGTTATGTAGCTAAAATTTTCTTGGGTATTTGAGTCAACTTCAAACCTCAATTCTGGGTGTTTTTTAAATTGTTGACAGGAGATAGACGGCAAGGCGTTCCTACTTCTCAACAGCGAGATGATGATGAAGTACATGTCACTCAAGCTGGGACCGGCTCTCAAACTCTGCAATCTGATCGAGAAACTCAAAAACAAGAAATACTGATGGCGTCCACTCCGCGCCTGACGGGAAACCACAGATGAAAGCAATACTGGTGAGCAAATTCCTTTATTTGATATTCCTTAGGAGAGGTGTAAGTGCTTTGATGAGGTGATTTCAGTCTTGTGTACCCGCCGCACAACGCTGTTGAAGTTTGGATTTACTGGAGTAATGATTGCACAACAGCCGAACACGGATTGACTTGGTTTGGCTAGAGGTGGATATGTTGGACCGGAGGTGTTGCTGACTGGAGATATTTCAAGAATGTTTTGTCTGCGTGCACAGCGCTGAACTGCTGCGATTAACCGAGCTGGTCTGTTTCCTTTTTGGAGAAAAGTGCGTCTTCTGACTTGGATTTGTACAGGATCTGCCTATTCATAGGAGACGAGTGCACCAAAAAAAGATGATCCCTCACGAACAGCTCACCGGTGGTATTTCCAAGTTTTTGACTTCTCCATGCACGAGCCCAACTGATGCGAGTACCAGGAGCTGATCTTTCTTGCCCTGAGAATGTGTCCTCTGATATTATCTTTGTGCATGAACTGTAGAGGGCACTATTTTACCTATTAATGACAGGAAAGTTCACTAAAATTGATTAAAAAACCTACAGCTTATTGAATGTGCAAATTGTGCATCACTCGTTATCGTTACATCCATGGAATGCAACTTTAACACCAACCAACCCCAACCCTTCAAAATCCAACTGCATGTTTTGTTGGAATCTGTTGGAGTGAGTACTGCACTAGTAAACTGATTTTGCAAGAGTGAGGAAGGTTCCTAGTAAATCACTCATGGGGTTAGGGTTAAAGTGGATAAATAGCGCCCCTCACTTAACAGTAAAATTGGCATGTCGGTTGATGAAGGGCCTCTATGCAGTTGTAGCTCGTACTTGAGTCTTCTTATCAACCATCCTAGAACAACTTCAAGAAGTTTGAGTCGACAAGTATGACTAGTTCAGATATGAACATTTGCCGTTGCCAGAAGTTCTGCTCCTTGAGTCAAGAGGGAGTGTTTTTACAAGATTCACATCAAGTTTGCTCGATGCTGAAGGATCCTTCTTTCTTTGATGATTGGATGGATTATCCATCAGCTCCAGCTCTGCGTTTAGGAAAAAATAAATACATCTGCTACTCAGTTGTTAAGTGGTATTTTAAAAAAAATTACAAATTTCACAGTCACAAAATAGTTAACGAATCCAGTGAAAAGTTGGCGTGAAAAATACAGAGGAATTATTTTTGTATCAGCGAATTTCGTTGAATGGATGAATTGACCAAATTCAAGTTATCAAAGTTGAACTTTTTTGCCTTTATAATATCCATTTGAGCTATGCTATATTTTGTTGTTAGAAATAAAGTATTGAAATAAACTAACAGTAAGAGTATTATAAATATTCAAAATTCAGCATTTACAAAAAATACCTGACATTGCTAATGTGTCTTTTAGTCAAAAAATGTGGCATATACAGCTGTCAGGTTTTCATAATTGGTATGTTTTTTTTGTTGGCCGGGACGGATATAGGAATGAATTAATTGTTAACGAACCTTTTCCAAAATATTCCTAATTAACGTGTATATGTTATTACCTGTTAAGAAATTTGGTCTTGTGTTTTTTTGTGGAAATTTGATATTTTGTCACTAAAAAAAATTGTAAAGTAAATACGAGGACCATCAGTTTCTATACAATATTTTGTGCTTCATAGAAGATGTATACATATTTGAGAATTGTACACAAACCAAAGTTAAGGCGTTCAAAATTCACAGCTGTGATCCTTTTGTGCTTGACTTTTCCTTGGATCAGCTGATTTCTTCTTTTTTTACTTCCCATGTGTGCCATTGAAAATAGAAAAGCACTGTACTGTGTACAAAGTCTGGGAAAAATTTTGAATTTCCTCTTTTTTGTGATTTCCCAGTTGCATGCCAAAGATGCTATCTTGCCTTCTATAGTCCCAGTGGTGCCCTTGGAAGAAAAGTTGAAGCTTACTCAAATTCCCATGTTGGAAAAGCATGAAACCATATATTTTTTTCCCATAAATTAAGGTATGCTTTACCTCGAAACGAAATTACATCACGCTTTAATAGAAAACAATGTCAGTTTAGAGTTACATGTTTATCATTTAATGATTTCATTTACTCTGATGAACGTAGAAAACAATGTCAGTTTAGTATATCATTATTTTCTCTGAGGAACGTTTAGAATCTGCACTACCCATCTAAATCAAAATGAAACTTCTTTGAAACAATTATCATTTTTTCTACATTCCAATTGTTCATTTATCATGATTTTGATGCTAGATGTTGCTAAATTTGAGTTGAACTCATGTAATGGTGTGTTCCATGATGTTTTGTGTCCCCAAGGGAACAATTTGTGTTGTGGTGTCATCTGTAAACCAGAGTGAACAAATGTCACCGAAAGGCAACGCTGATTGTGCCTTTCTCCCCCTGGGATGTCAGTTCTAGAAAGTGTACAATTGTAGAAATTGTAGCACACTTCCCCGGGAGATTATATTAATAATAAAATTACTCAAATTGATATTTTTTTTAATTCCCCTTATTTTCTGGGGGTGATTCGGACAAGTACCACAGACGTGGAAAAAATGTCATTGTTATTCACTATATATGTCACTTTAATGTGACACTGTAACAGGTGTCATGATTATTTTAACACATTGTGACCATGACCCTTGTCATGTTGGTGTAAATTACCTAAATCCAATTTTTTTTGTTGAAGGGCATAGTTTTTCTTGAAGTGTCTGATTTTAAGAGGACGTGACACACTTCCTTAGCACCACATGTTCGACAGAAAAATGTGTGTGAAATAGTTAAATATTTGAAGATTGCATGACCAACCACCAGGTGCACAGTTTATTCCTAATTGACACAGACTACGTTGAGATTTGTTTTGCGAGTCAGGTGACGTTCTGATGTCAGATGAGGCATCTCGGGCCTGGGGGAAAAAATGGAAAGGGGGGGGGGGGGGGTAGGCAGCTCCGTGCCAGCTCTGGAGCCACAGCTACATGTAGGGGGGAGGGGCACACCACAAGAAAAAACCAGCATGCAACTTTTCCTCGGATCAGCTGATTTCCTCTTTTTTGACCTCCCATGTGTGTCATTGAAAATAGAAAAACACTGTACAAAGTCTTGGAAGATTTGAATTTCCTCTTTTTTTGTGACTTACCAGTGGCATGCCTGAAAACCATAAACATATAATTTTGATGCTTATTGTTATTGCTGGAGGGGGGCTAATTGCGACAAGCCTGGGGGGAGGTCACAGAACCCCCCCCCCCCCCAAACCACTTTACCCAATTCTTGAACGTCTTTGGTTTTACATTGGTCCTTAAGTAACTTGTCAATGGCCAAGAAACACAAATTGAACCCCAAACTTATGCAGCTTACTGAGTGTAGGCCTAATTTTTGGCAACTTGGACATGCAAATAATAAATACTAATGTGCGCCATTGTATAGAGTGCATTGGAGAAAGCAAAGGTGGCTTTTGCGCAAGTACATGTAGCTCTGGCGCAGACTTTTTTTTTTTTTTTTTAAATCTTTGACATCTTCTTTCGAATTCCGTATCAAAGAAACAAGTAACTGAATGCATAGCATTTACCTGCCCCGTGTGGTGTTATTCCGTGTATATTATGTACAGTATTGTATTCATGAAAATTGTAATTTTTTACATAAAATCTCGCAGGCTGGCTCAAGGAGTTCTCTTGAATAAAACACATCAGTTCTGTTTGAAAGCCCTTTGAGCACAATGAAATATTCAGCTCAAATTGGCATAATAGATATTCTAATGACCAATGACCATGGAACACTCCAAACTTCCAGCTTTTTATAAAAAAACATCTGAGATAAAATGGTTTGATCCTGTAGCGCAGGGCAAATTACATTACATTTTTTTGCAAAAGAGAACTTTAAAAAATGGAGCTACATTTGGCACTGATGGCGACTGCTTGGCCATAAATGACCCCCTTAACAGTTAAAAGAATTGTTTTCCCCAAATATCACAGACGTGTTTCATGAATTAACTTTGCCCCAAGTAGAGATAGTTTGTCTAGAAACTTGTTACACCTGCCCGTTCGGTTCATTTAATCAAATCAGGCAAACAACAGGTGGTTTTATGGCAGATTTGATGGGCGGGGCTGACCGAAAATTGATCCCAAACGCACACGGTGACGGGTAATACCCATGTAGATGTACTTTTCACATCCATATTCTCACATGGTGTTCGAGAAATTGATTGATTACGTTGATCATTCCATAAATTTGTTTTTTCCTGTTCCTGTTACATCTGACATCTATGATTTTATAATTCCAAATGCACTCCTTAATGTGTTTTTCCTCCAAGAGTGATCATGTGAAGCAACCTGCCTACCCAACTAATAACAAATAAATATTTGAAGTCATTTTCAATGACATTTGCATGGCAAACTTTAAAGTTCAGAGGTAAGGCAAAAACAACAAAAATAGTCGGTCTCTGGTCAGACCGAAGTTCCGGAATTGATGCGGCGACGCGGTGTTTTTTTTTGGTGGCTTTTTTTTTTTCAAGCTTGATTTGTACAGACAAGGTGGGTACTATTTTGCTTTTTTGTGTCCTCATTATACATTGGTGTCCTCCATAATTTGCCTTGGTGCCCTTTATCATTTGCCTTGGTGCAATTTCCCCATTCCTTGGTGCTCCTTGGTACAAAAATGTGAGGAAGCGCGGCAATAGAGGGCGCTGTTGTAGCTTCCGTGTTAATTTGAAGAAAAAAAAAGTTGACGCGCATGATTAAAATAGACGCGCTCGCTGACCAGAGACCGAGTTTTTTTGGGGGGGGGCCTAATAACAAATAAATATTTGAAGTAATTTTCAATAACAATTTGAATGGCAAATTTTAAAGTTCAGAGGTAACAGGGACAGGAAAATGTCACACTTTGGACCCTTAAAGGGAAAATACAACATTTGCAAACATCAAATAACGAAATGATCAAATTATCACGAAATACCTTACTGGATTGTGAGGAATGACAGTCTAAAGCATCCTTTAAAATCGTGGCTCCTGGTGTGCTGACATTTTCAAGAAAAACTGCATTTTTCCAACGCTGGTCGGCCGACCAGCGTTGGAAAAAAATGGTTTTTTTTCAAAAACTGTTCTTAATTTTTCATATTTAGTTTTCTGAATTTTCTTTGCAATTTATTACGCACCTCTGTAGGGGTACAAGCCTGCTAGACTGATTCTCTGACCTTACAATTCCCTAAAGTGTATTAAGTGCTCCGTTTCATCTTATTGGGGTCAGGGAACCAGACTACCAGAACATGATAGGTTTTCTTGGTTTTTCCAGCATCTACAAGCCCAAAACGTGAAACATGTCAGTTCAACAATATTTTCTATAACATACTAATCCTCCAAATCCATTTATTTCTGAAAATTGAAGCAAAAGCAGATGTTGTACATTCCCTTTAATTTATAGAATGACCGTACATGTATCCTACTCAACTTTTCCCAGAAAATGTATTTATAAACATGTATTGTATTCAATTCAGAAACCAAATGTGCAGTTGCATTCAGTTCATTATGAGTGTGTGCTAGTTTTGTATGCCCCTGGCAAAAGTAAGTCAACCTTGGGTAACAAGTTTTACATGTATATTGTAGATATGCCTAACTCGATTTGCAGAATATACAGCAGTTGAAAAGTTCGCTGCATACATTTTACAGCTGCTCCATTTAACTTGAACCCTCCAGTGACCTTCAAACCTCTCAAAATCTACCAGGTGGTTTTGAATGCTTTTGTAGGATTTAGGAAGGCAAGCAATGGGCACTATGATTTGAACATGATAACCATGGAAAGTACAGTGAATGTTCTATTGGGTTTTTGGTTTTGGGTCATGGGTTTTGTAGGGTTTATGATTGTTTCTAGCGAAACTGCTAACATTTATTCTTGCATTAACACACTTTGTAAGTGCACAATTACAAAACCTGCTGACAGTGATAATTATTTAGCATGATACAGGCATGCAACTTTTCCTCAGATCAGCTGATTTCCTCTTTTTTTACTTCCCATGTGTGCCATTGAAAATAGAAAAACACTGTACAAAGTCTGGGAAAAATGAGAATTTCCTCTTTTTTTGTGATTTCCCAGTTGCATGCCTGATGATAAACAACACGCAACTTGAACACAAAATCCTTAAAAATAATGAGAACCTCTTGTGTCCAGCCTGACGTTGATTCGTTGATTGTTGCTTCTTTACATATTTAATTAATCACTCTTTTTTTATGTACAAATAAGATAATTGCTATATTTTTGTATTGTTAATTGCATGAGGTTCGGTGTTTGTATGCTTATTGTGTACGTTTAAAATTTACATGGCACATGAACATGTGATGTACAGCTTATTTTATTCTTGTTTACATTGTTGGAGTCAAATGTCAAACATTATGCCAGGCTACATGACTGACAAAATTTCACTCATTTCACGTTGTCCTTAGATATTCTCAGAAATATTGATAAACACACCATATCGGTACCTCCACAAAAAGTATTAAAATGTAATATAGATTTTATTGTTATGAACACCTAACAAATGGTAAAATGATAAAAATGAACTTTTGGTGGATTTGTAATCGAAGTTTTGGAAAAAAAAGGCATCAGAAAAGATTCTGTGTAAAAATACTATAGTATTAGTAGTGGTCTTTTTTAAAATTTTATTTCTTGTATGTTGTCTTGCTTCTGTTTGCTTTGGTTAGAAGAAGTGTAGATACTTTTACTCTTTTCCCTCGGATTTCCCAAATTTAGTTTATAAACTCATTGATCTGTCTGCACTCTGCACATTGGGAATGTTTTACCACTTTGAAGTGGCTGTGATGTTTATAGGAATTTATATTCTAAAATGATTGTCGGCAAACCATTGTGGATTTTATGGTGTTATACACACCATTGCAAGTCACAGAATATAATGTTATTCAGACGAGAAAAATACAATAATAAAGTGCATGTTTTGGAAAAGAACTTGTAAAACAACAAGACATTTGGGATAGAAATGAAACAAGGAATATTACATTCCCTTTTTTGGGGGGTTACTCAAATGAGAGTAAAGAAATTTACAAGGGCTAATTTTGTGTATAAATACCAGTTCAATATGTTGTTATTGATTGGCCAATTGCTCATTAATATGTATGCCTTAATTTTTTCCCCAAAAGGTGCTTTGTGTAAATAAAAAAAGCTTTATATTGTTTTTAGTGCCTGTGAATTTTGTCACAATAATGGAGCTTGTTGGTGACTCTGTCATTTTGTGGCCTTTCTAACTGTCGTCGCCCTATTCAAATATTTACATTTAGTTGAGAATGAGATGCCATTGTTATATCAGACCATTGTTTGACGGTGGTCATGGTTAAACCGTGATTATTTTTTTCACCCATCATGGCTTGTGCATGATGAATATGAATATGCATGATGATGACGTCGAAAACTTTCCAGACCTGCGGCGTTTGATAAGGGGAACACCCCTTCACGCGCGCGTCACAACGCGTCACCGCAGCTGGACAATAGAATCATGCACTGGCCATTGTTCACGTTGGTATAATAGAAAGTGAACGCGGCATAAGGCCAGGTGACTGTCTTGCCGCCGCCTCGAGCCATTGCTCTTTTACACGCCAACCTTGTCCGGTGACCGTACTCGTTTGTGTATATTTTTTTCTATTTTGCATGAACACACAGGATCCGGTTGAATTTTGTGTTTATTGTCCCTCACTTTTTGTCTGCAATCTGTCAAGGTGGGAGGCTGGGTAAGACTAGTCATGTGACTTACTGCAATTATAATGACCTGCTATTTTTGCACACAATTTCGCTGAATGGCACTAGGTCCAGGGTTGTTTACGGTTACCGTCAGCCGCGCAGTCGTTCACCGAGCACAAAGTGCGCTGCGGCCCGCCCGCTGTTATTGCATCATCACGCCGATCAGCTGTGCTCGTAGTGGCAGCACACGATACTCGAACAACGGACTCCCAGTCTTTCACAATGAAGTCCAAAGTTCTCTTTTTCTTTTTCTGTGGACTTACCAACTCTTTTACTCCGTGATTTTATTAAGTAAATTCGGAGCGGGGCAAGGACGAAACCTACAGGCCTACTGATCGCTGGACATACGGACAGATTTGATAATTTGAGTGGAAATAATTGGTCATTTTTACATCGGTACGCTGCTGTGTCGCACACCGGAGGGCGGCTTCCCCGCTGGGAGAACGCACAGAGAAAGCATCGTGTTGTGACAATGGCTACCGTAAAAACCTCTTCTAGTTTAAAAGGACCAAGAAACTGATCGTCAAAAAGCCCAGCTTTTGATCTGTGTCCCGACTCAGGGGTCCACCAGGCCCACGAACTTCCATGACGTGTGTAACTATTTGATCAAACGTCAAAGGCCGATCGGTGCAGGCCTTGCGTGCAGCAATTCCACTGGAGTGCTGCTAAATCAAGGCTTTGACAATCAACTGTCAACATCAGCTGATCGAATTTATGCACCGCCATATCTCTGGAGTAGATTGTGTTTGTTAAACTCTTATTATATTATCAAAGTTTAGGTACGTATACGCCAATCCATTGGGTCAGTACATCCATGGTACATCAGTGCTAGAACTTGGGAAGAAGTTACGAACATCGGTTGTGAGAGGAACAGTTTTCATCGACGGTGACGAATTTATACTTGTGTCCCACAGCTGTCAAGTCTTCGTGTGGCGAAAGTCGGAGTGGTTTTATCAGCTACGTCCTTGTATAGGCCATTGCGACACTGCCGTGCATATTTCCTTTCAGTGGTGTGATGCCTTGCTGACTTATCATATGTCAGTTTTGTCATATGGTGTTACGCAATAGGATGGTAGAGAGCTGTAATAATACTATACAGCAGCGTCACATTTAATGCATGGGTTGGGGAGTGCTAGTTCGTATATGCCATAAACAAGTATAGGCTTGCCGATTTATCGTGTGACTCCAGCTCTCCGAAACTTTTCGAGAAAGCCGGACAACACACTGTATTTATTCCTGAATAATGACGGCTAACAGACGGTGCTCATCGTAGTTCACAATCTAACATCTTCCCCTGCTGTTATTGTTGAGAAACGAGGGGAAACCTGAAGATTTACTAATCTCGCCAAGTGACAGACAATCTTCTGGAGGTAACGTCCGTTGGTCGCCTCCATCATCTGCTCTGAAGTCAGTCGTGAGGAGACAGAACTTTTGTGAATGGAGGATAGATTACATCAAGAGCACGTGTCTTCAAGAAATAAGCATCGATTGTCCGGTCTCGTATTTTGTGGATAGATATCTTCTGCAACTCCAAGTTTTAGGCACCCCTGAAACTGTCATTCACCGGTTTCACTAGCCACTTTCAAACCGGCAACTGTTACAGGGAGGCAACCTCACTGTTGACAAAATCTTACTCTAACTTAGATTTCACGCGCCGGATTTTACTCGCCAAATTTCAATCGGCAAATTTCGATCGCCAGTTTGTAATTTAAAGTAAAAAGCCCCTGCACGTCTCGGGTTCTCAAGAGATTAATAGGGACAAACTTCCACTGGCCACATTTTACCGGCCACATTTACTACTTCAAAGGCCATTTAACAGGCCAATTCAACCATGGGTCGATTCCGGCGTAGCAGCAGCACCGGGATGGAGATCGATATGGACAAGCTGAGGCAGCGGCGGGCCAGCGCCTTCATCGTCCCCCAGGATGGGGGCTGGGGATGGGTGGTCTGCCTGGCTTCGCTCTGGACCAACGGTACCATCTTCGGCATCATCAACTCCTTCGGGGTCATGTACGAGAAGATCTACGAAGAAGTGGAAGGGGCCAACAACTTCAAGACTTGTAAGTGAAAAACAAAAATTGTTTCAAGTTTGTAAGAGAAAAATCAAAACCTGGCAAAATGACACAGGAAATATTGCAGTTTTGAATCAATTTTTCAGTCATTTTTTGTTAATAAAAAAATATTTGTGACAGAATTTACCTAATACTCAAGAAACTATATAGACTTTGTGCACAACCTCATTGAATTGAGGGGATTTAATTTTTCTTTTCGCCATTTTTTTTACAATATACATGTGTTATGGTAAGTGATGCAAAAAAAATATGTTACCAACAAAAAATTGTTCGGTATAATGAGCAACTGTTAAATCTCGATAGGTCGAAATTTCGAAAAAGTTCGAAATATTTTCTTTTGACTTCCAGAAGACATGAACGAAATCCAAACAGAGTGGTGTCTAAATAGCCCACTACATTTTTCTTAGGAACACTTTACAAATTACACCCCAAATCGGTCATTTCGGTAAGTTATGCATTCTGGTTTATTGAGGCATAGCTTTATACAATGACCTGTCCTGTACTGTATCGGGAGAGTTTGATCATAGACAAAATATTATGTCCAATTTCACATAATAAACGAATATTGACTGTTACTAAGTTAATACACTGGGTGCGTGTAAATTGGTCAAGATATTTTTTTGTCTGCCTTCCGTGTCGCAGTTCACCTTTCACTGTTAAGGAATTCAGAAATATACCCCTGTTACAGACGAATTTTATTTGACGCCAAAAAAAGTTTGTCCATTGCACCTTGATCATTATAATAACGGCATAATGTACATTGTACATCACTCTGGCATTCATACACAATGAACATCATATTCATAAAAAAAGTAGTAAAGTACATGAAAGAGGAATTTTATGCCTTGAATAATTATTCATGCATGCATGTTGCAATGATGGCTAAGCGATGTCTCCGGGATTGTACACGTACAGCTTAAATCTATACTACAATTCAAGGAATCTCTGTCTGTCTGTCCGTCTGTCCGTCGGGCTGTCTGTCTGTCCGCCGATTATCTCCAGAGCCGGGCACCGTATGAAGTTGAAAATCGGCGGGTGTATTGCTCGGGGCAATAGAATGTGCAGTGCCAAGTTTGAAGTGGTTTGGATGAGCGGTTTTCGAAAAAGCTGCAAAACAGCAGTATTTTCGGAGGCAAACGTGGCAGCTTAGAACATAACACCACGCACTGCCGTTCTTTTCAATTGTTTACGTCATGTATAAGCTAAAGCGCGCGTGCTCAATATGACGCAAACAATGCAAAAAGGACGGACACGCGCACGTGCAGTGGTGTAGGGCGACACATTGTCCAGTACGGGTGAATAGCACTGCATACCATGTTTTCGTATGTACACGGGCACATTATTTTTGCAGTCGACAGAGCGACCATTGTAGGTGGTCGAACTTCAAACTTGGCACAAACTTTGACGTAAGTGTGCGTTCAACCTGTGAAAACAACACCATTGAATCGCGTGAGTTGTTTGCACGAGCAGTTCTCCAAACCTCTGCAAGTATGCAACCTATACCAGCGGCAAAGCAATTTGCGCTTCCCGAACATGCACATTTTAGACGGGCACTGCACTAGTCCTATATAATTTACATAAATCCCTTTGTTAATATGCAAATTTCAATTTGAATATTCAGTTATCTTAATTCACCGATGGTTTCAGCAGTTGGGGAAATAGCCAGACTGTTTTGTTTCGGGGTAAATTTTCTGCCATGCTTTTGTTTAGTGGACAGCTAATACAGAAAGTGAATTACAAAACGCTTTTGTCGTGTGACCAACAGTTCGACAAATGTACTGAGAATCGAAATCTGTCCGAGAATGTCAAAGTTAATGTCCGTAATGGTGTGTGCTGAGTATAATTTGAGGTTAAATATTGACGGAAATTCGCAGAACAGGTTGCTTCAACTTCCTCGCTTTCATGCACTGAAATGACAGGGTTCTCAGTATCCTGTTTATTTTTTCTACCACTGCGGCCGGAAAAAAAACAATGTTTCTCTCGAATTTGTTTTTGTCGAAACAAAATACCATCATGTAATGTTCTGCTCAAGGTAAAAAAAAAACACCACGTTAATTCAGCAGTTCAAATTTTGAAAAAGAACAAACAAAATTATTGCCCAACAATTTTAATAGTCTCTTATTGCCTTGTTAATGCATTGTTTGTTGCTGAGACAGTATAGCATTAGCAAAGAAACTGTTGATAATGGTTTTAATATGAGTTGTTATCGCGACTATCCGATTAACCTATCCGTGGTGTCCGGGCATTGTTCCTAGCGATGACCTGGTGGTTTTTATTATCTTGTTGGAAAGCGAGTATCTCTCTTGGTTGTGTAAATAACAGAAAAACGTTTCTCGGCTTTGCGTGTTCTATTTTTAGTCAAAGTTACAAAGACATGCTTGCGTAGGTCTTTTTGCCTTTTCGTCAAAAAGTCTAAAATAATGTTGAAACAATAATTTTGCTTTTGATTTTTTTCGTATCTTTTTGGCCTACTCGGAGAGACTCAAAATTTAATCACACCCACTCATGATGTTTCTATTTAGTATTTTTCCGTAACGCAAACTTAATGCATTACATTTTCATATTTGTATAACACTTTTATGAATTAGTTTTCGATAATGGTATTTCCTATAGAACAGGGCAGAAGAAATTAAACATTGAAACACCCCCCCCCCCAAAAAAAAAAAAAACCCGGAGAAATTGTGATCATGAAGACAATTTAAAGGTAAATTGTTAGGGTTCTTAGCACTTTGGGAAATCTGACGAATGTTCGAGATGACGGAGATTACAAAAAACAAACACAAACGTCCAAAGTACACTGAACTTTTCTGATCAAGACATCGATCAATCAAAAGACAATGTTCACAATATGACGATGACCGCGCATGCCCATCAGCTAATATTTGGATGCTGTTTTTCACACCCAACCTTTTGCATCATGAAAAGAGTACGTCAGGGGTTTCATGTTTGACTATTGGGAAATAGCTGGTTGAATAGCACTGGCAGGTCAAATGACCAAAAATGGTTTCCTATTGTCTATGGGTTAAGCAGAAAGACGGTTTCCTGTTTTGCATACAATTGAAGTTGGTTATACCGTTGTTAAGGTGAAGTGGTATATGCCGGCAGGTATGATGCTCATTCAAGCGATGTAGCTTGAGGGAAGTATATACATTTCAGTCTGGCATGGCCATGACCAATAAATTATAATGCTGCACGCATGCGCACACCGCGCGTCTGAGGCGGTTGTGACAGACAGCATACGTTCCGACAGAAAGTACGATCTTCTAGTCTAGAAGGGTATCTAGAAGGGTATCGTCTCGAATCCTGATTTAAAAAAAAGAAATAAGTTTATTGGGATGGAAGTAACATTTAATACTGTTCAAACAATGATAATTTAACCATTTATTATCCTCTTTTAATATGTTATCAATAGTGCATGACTCCACCTGATCTTTACAAAAAATGATATCGTTCTTCACATCGCTGGGTTAAAAGATCATCGTTGTTTATACATAAATATATTTGACAAAATACAAACCATTCATTTTTTAAATTTAAATGCTTAAAGTAAATAAACCAAAGTCTAAAGTTCATTGAAAAACAATTAAATGTTTCAAAGCTTTTATAACGGTTAACTTGTACCTGCTGTTGAATAACTGCACATTATGTATTGAGCATTATCACAGAAAAGTATTGTTGCGGACAAATAAATAAATCAATAAGTAATTAAATAATAAAAAAAAAAAGGTTTTCATTAAAAACAAGTCATGAAGGTGCTTATAAAGCAGCTTGCTTAATTTTTTTATTTAGTACCTAAATATTGCTAAGCTAAAATTTGCTACTTAGCTTTAGTTTGAACACAGCGCGCGTGAGGTTTGATCGGAATTAACCTCGCGCGCGGTATATAAGCGCGTCAATGCAGCTTGTGAAATTATGATATACATTAATGGACGCGGAACGCGCAAAATCTGAGACAAACAAAACTTATTAAGTTCACAAATTCAAAAAGGTTGTCTAAGGGGCGTGGCTAACTCGCAAACGGCGATGGGTCGATTTTTTGGGTCCGGTTGCCAAAGTTCCCAAGACTGGATGTGATTAATTTGTTCAAGTTGTTGATAACGCCCTGAGCGACACCCTCTGCCGTCACGGCGGCTTGACCACGCTTACCAGGGATTGATACTTTTCTGGCTGCATCTCCACTAGGGAACTGAAAACAATAGGAAGAATCAATAATTGTCACACAAATTAAATAATTTGGTGGTGTATTTATTTCGTTCTAGCTTGGGCCGCTTCGCTGTGTTCCGGTCTCACCTTTATGCTGTCCCCCATCTCAAGTATCCTGACCGATCGCATCGGCTGCCGAGCTGCCGGCATCATCGGCGGCGCCTTGGCCTGTGGAGGTATGATCGCAAGCTCCTTCGTCACGAGAATCGAGCTGCTCTACCTTACCTATGGGGTCATGTCAGGGTGCGGCTTCTCCATCGCCTACACCCCGTCTTTGGTCATCCTTGGCCGGTACTTTCGCAGGAGGATCGGTTTGGCGAACGGGATAGTGACCTTCGGGAGCGGCGTCTTCACGATCGTCTTGCCTCTTGGCTTAAAGGCCACTTTAGAAACCATCGGGTTGTCCAACACTTTACGCGTCATGGCAGGCCTCTGTTTCGTCATGATGCTAGGCGCTATCGTCTTCCGCCCCGTGCCACTACCGGCTAATTTCGACATGAAGCTGTTGGAGAGTCTTGCCGAGTCGGCGCCCCGCGGAAAGCCGTCTCTGAGGAACCTCTTCGGTCTCTTGGACTTTTTGGACCTCCGGGTCTGGAAGAAGAGGAACTACAGGATATGGGCCATTGGGGTACCTGTCGCTGTCTTGGGCTACTTCGTTCCGTTTGTACATTTGGTAAGATTTATTAACTGTTGAGGAAATGCAAATGTTTGTTTTATAATTTACCTTGTTGGCCTTTGCTGTGCCCGTCCCCTCGATGCAACGTATATTCACAGCTTCCCAAGAGCTTGTCAAAAAAAATTTCACAAGCTTGCTCGGGTTGGACTTGAACCCACGTCCTTTTGCTTTAAAAGGAGTCCAGACATCTTAACCATGCACCCGACCACCTCGTGAGCTTGCCAGGGTCGGCTGGCTATACTTGAAACTGATGTAAAAGAGGGTTCCGTAATTAGCGAAAGCAATCTTTCCAATCCTTGGGGATGATTGCGTTAGGATATCTAATACCGTCCCCGGCGCCGTCCCCGGTCTTTTAGGACTCTGCATTTATAATTTGGTAGACTTGCACAGGGTGATTTATGTTGATCTCGTGCAATATGTCTTCGTATAATTTGGAAAATTTACCCCGAACCTTTATTAATATTTTTTGTTTCCGACTTTAAGGTCAAACACGTCAACAACCTGAACCTGGGAGGCAACGCTGCCATCCTGATCACCTGCATCGGAGCCACCTCGGGGCTAGCTCGGCTCGTCTTCGGTAAAATCATCGACTCTCCCAAAGTCAACCGCATCTACCTTCAGCAGATCGCCTTCCTCGTCATCGGGGTGACTTCCACCCTTCTCCCCGTGGTGAGGAACTTCTATGCCCTCTGCGTCATGATGTCCATCATGGGTATCTTCGACGGGATCTTCGTGCTGCTGATCGGCCCCATCGCTCACGACGTGGCCGGTACGGAGGACGCCTCGCGTGGCTTGGGGTTCCTGTTCTTCATGATGTCGTTTCCAATGACGGCAGGGCCGCCAATAGCAGGTAAGTTGTTTTATTTATGATAAACCTTTCTGGTAATTGAGATAGACGGAGGAGCCTGACGATGAAGACTAAATTCTGCCTGTTTTGGTGGAAAACTCCCGAAGAATATTCCAGGAGAAACTCAATAAAGGGACTTAACCCGTACTTGTCGACCTGGGAGGCCGACAACCGGTGTTTGCCCTTCCGAGGGCTTGCAAAAAAATACTGCCAAGCTTACTACTCGAACCCACGACCTACTGCTTACGAGTCCAGACGTCTTACCACGTGAAAATGAGCTTGCCGAGGCTGGCTGGCTTGTTAATGTTTAAATCTGATTCAGCGTGCAGTAGGTGCCGCAATGGCGAACAAGGAAGTCTTTATGACTTGTTTCTCCTTGTTTATCTAGGTTTCATCTACGACAAGCTGCAAGACTACACGTTGGCTTTCCTTCTAGCTGGGGCGCCCCCTATCATCGGCGCTTGCATTCTCTTCTTCGTCAGGCCCGAGAGCCACGACGCCGACAGCGACGACGATGACACTCCATCAGACGACAGGAGCTCGGAGGACGACCTGGAGCAATCCCGGAAGCTCCTCAACAGCAGCTCGGACACCGATGAGTTCTGGCAGACCTCACCCTACGCCAGGAGGAAATTCCTGGAGCTCAGAAACGCCTGGAGCCCGCCCCCACCATGTCTGAAACCCCCTTCCAACCTGACCCCAAGGCCCATTCTTAGCACGGGGAGCAATAGGCCCAAGACTAACGGGTTACCAAGGAACGTTTCTGCACCGGCCATGTTCACCTTTGACCTCGAAAGTACGCCACTAGAGGGCGTTAGCGAGACACCACCGCCAGACGTAGACGTAGACGTGAACGAGAGATTTCTCCGGTCTGGTAGGCGGGTCACGTACGGTGACGTGGTCTACCACGGGGAAGTCTCAGAACTGAGGCCGTTGCCAGATCCGGACAGACTTTTCATAGAAGAACGGGTTTCGGTCGTGTGAAGAAAATTTGTGTGTGGATTTAGATGACCAAATTATATAATTGTGTTTATGTCCTCATTGTTGTTCGAGGATGCAAAGATTTGATATTCTACGAAAATTTAAAGAAGGTTTTAAAACTTGTTTAGATCCCTATACATACCTGTTCATAGTATATCATAAAATGGCAACCGTTTGTTTATATAGGTGCACCTTAATATCAACCTTTTAATTAATTATAACACTAGTTTCGTTTGGAAAACAAATTTGCAAAAAAAGTAAGCAAAAAAGTCTACTAATATCTAAGAGACCTATTCGTGAACGATCGGGACGCGTGACGTGCCCTTCATGTTATAATAGAGAAACAAGTTTACAAATTAAATATGAAAGTACAATATTGGAAGACATGAGAAATGATCAAACTCAACTACCGTTATAAGAGAGACAAGAATAACGAAATGATGTTATGCTGTAAAAGTGACCTTCCCTTGCTTGAGAAGACGAATTTTACTAGTTTATGCTCTTATTGGTTACCTGGACTCATTTTCGTTGTTTTCTTTGTTTTACAGTGATTATGTTAATTCTTGCATTCAAATACCAGTAACAAATTGGTACCCATTTGTGGTATATGACTTGTGTGTGATTTAAGACAATATAGATACAAATTGTTTTCGCGTAATATACTGATTGTTTGTTTTTGCCAGAAAGTTATCGTTGGGTACCAGCGAAATGTATGTGCGCTTTATGTTGAGATGGTTCCTGGCAAATGTTTTGTTGACTGAACATGGCTGAATCTAAACTCAGTGAGTATGATTTTAAAAAAATAATTCAATTTCGAATTTGAAATTGTAGATCGATGAAGTTGTAGATCGATTTGGAAAAGGGCATTCGATCGAGCTTTGGTAAATTTCGTTAACGATTGTAATGTAGGATATACTGCCATAATGTAACTTGCATTAGACATGTAATATTTAATGGTTTCGATAATTTATAAAATGGTTTTGGAATTATTGGTGCAGACATATTGCCAAACATCAAATTATTTTTTATTCTGGTGTCATATAAAAACTTGTATGGTTTTTAAATATCAAATAAAATTTGATATCGCTGGAAATATATTTGAAAAAGGTGGTTCTCTATGCTCGGTTTTTTATTTGCATAAACCAATGTCGATTTTCATAGGGCTGATAATTATATGTCGTCTTGGAAACGTGGACTTTTCATTAATAAGATTTTCAACAACAATAAGCTGTGAACTTATCTACAAGAATATGGTAGTCTTGTGGTTTAGGACACCTTTTATGTTTCACAAGTTCCGGTAATAAATCAAAACCCTACCCTCTTTCCACAAAATTAAGCTAGCTGCTATTTCACAGGGTATCTTAGCGAACTGTTTAGATGATTCCAAACACATAAAGTGTCCTGCTTGTATCATCGCCAAATGTTCAGGTATTAAGTCCCAAAACATAAAAGTGTCTTTTTGTTCTCTTCAAGTTATTGGAACGGGGTACTAAACTACACGGTTACCGAGAATATTTAGATAATCTGACTTATCTGAGGACTCATTACATTTTAAAGAATCAGGAATAAAAGTCAGGATTTCAAAGCGACAAATATAAATCATTCCATACCAAAAGCAACCCAAATTCTACTAGTATCTCGAAGCGCCCTCATCGTTAGACCTTAATTTATATGCAAGAAAAATTGAGATGGAAGGACCAGTACACGTCTATTATGATGACTGGCACGCTCCAAGCAATAGAGGGCGCCCGTATCTGCTTGGCGACGTCATCGCGATATTTGCATAGCATAGTTGTGGATGGAAACAGGCAACCTGGACATCAAATTTGCTGAAAATACTTCTTGAAAATGATCAATTCTGAGGCGACAGGAGTGGATTTATACGTGTTTTAATTGTTTGAGTTTAGGCCCAGTATGCATGGGTCATGTAGGTGATGACGTCAACGAATTTTACTCCCCGGATCGGTAGAAATTCAAGATGCTGACGGGAGCGTATTCGTATCCTTTTTCTGTGTGGTGATGATTCCTTATTTTTCGTACAATCAACAATGATTTAACACTCGTTTGCTCCAGTCATGATTGCATATAGGATGACTGCAATGTGATTTGGTATGATTCCCATGTCTGGCTATCACTAATTTGCCCCTTCAGTGACCTGTCAGCCATCAAAAAGTGATAATATGTCCTAAAAAGTCAAATTTTGCAGGGAAAATATTGAAGTATTTTTACAATTATAGAAAAAAACCCACAAATTTTCAGACCAGTCTCATACGGATTGTGCACAGAGTGTCAAGTGATGGCCATTATATGGGAATCTTTTTGTTAGGCTTACTAACTATGCCAAAATCATGTTTGTTATGAATTAATAATGGCAATTTAAAGGAAAATAAATAAGAAGTTAAAAATTTGTATAAAACATCACTTTTTAATTCCTTCTATTTCTAGTACATTAAAGTAAAGGACTAGGACTGTGGTAATATAGGAATATAGGATTGTGCATCGGAACCGCGAATGTCAGGAACCATTTTCAGATTATGGGACCGGGTACCCGTAACCAACTTTAATAAATTAATAAGTAACTTCTCAGACAATGAAAAAGAAAGGTTTGGAATGTTGTTTGTGGGGAATTTTCAAAATGATTGAAAACCAGGCTACATGGAAAACCAAAACAGATTTCACGTTTATGTGCATTGCAACATCGACCTTCTTGTAACGCGCGACAGACGGTCGCTCGCAAAAGTTTCAGTTTACATGATAAAGCTATAAAGCCCTTCAGACACTGCCAATATTCACACTGTTGAGTTTAGTTCAAGACTAGAGACGTGAAAAGTGCAAATTTACCAGGTTGCGTTGTTTTTTTCGTCTTTAGTTTTGTTAAGACCGTCCGTTAATGTTACGGGTACCTGGGTACCAGTGTTTTACTTCATTAGGGTACCCTGTTCCGGTCCTGTACAACCTGTAAATGCACAACACCACAGAAATAATATTTGAAAGGCCCTATATTTAAATTAAAAAAAGAACTACATAAAGTCACAGGAGAAATATGATTTCAAAATTATGATCAAATGAGAATAATCAAGTTTTATTGTAAAAAAAATTAACTGAGTTGATACACTGACAAATCTTATTCTTTGGTTTAGGCAGTAGCTTCACAAAATAGAGTAGGCCTATTTCTAATATTTGTACATTTTTCTCGAAAGATTGGGCAATAATTGTGTACAAGGAAAATCTTGTTAATTATAATATTTAGTGCTGAGTTTGTCATTCTGGTTGTAAATTTGTACTGCCAAACAATGCTCAGGCTACAGAAAAAAGAGTGCTTATATGAATACTGTTTAAAAAAAATAATTTTCAGCCCATTGCACTTGAAAAAGAGCCTTCAGACCAGACAAATTGAGCAACTAACGCCTGTGATTGCAACCAGATGGGTACAGTGAGTGTAACCTTGTATACATAATTTACCATTTTTGCCCACAAAGGTTTCCGTGGTAACAGGCAGAGCCATATGCACATAGCAGGAGATAGCACTTTCAGCAATTAAGTTGTCTGAGGCATTGTTCCAGAGTGGTTGCCATGGAAATGCTTAGGAGGATAATGTGCATCTACGTGATGTATTGCCATGGTGATGATGAACGCTGTGCAAGTTTAATGATGATTTTTCTACAATGAATCATGCATAGTTTTCGTGCACTGTGTCTTATGGCTTCACATCACTATAAATTTAACCAATACCAACAGTAGGGAAAACAAATAATTCATTGTGTTTTTCTTCTTTAGTCTCGACTCTTGCTGTAATTTGCAAATCTCATATTTTAAGGCCTCCACTGGTGAACACAATGTGTGCATTATTAAAGGAAATTGGTGTTCATTTTTCAAGATTGTCTTTACTGATATTTTTAGATTCATAAATTCACATCCTGTTCCCATTCTGAGCAGTTAATACACAAAACCACTTCAACTTTAAGATACAACTACTAGCAACACAATTTTTCAAAGCTGAACCAGTGAATGAGACATTGTCTTTATTTACTTGTGCTTGTTCAATATTTCCAGACTTAATTGCCAAAGTATTTCTCACCAAATACTGTCTTCAATTTTAAAAAGGAATTTACCCCCCCCCCAAAAAAAAAACTAATAACATCCAACATGGTTGATTTTTAGATACATATCATCTCTATTCCCATTGTCTTGTTTTGCCACAAAAATGTGAAGTTTTCCTTGACCAGCCCTTGTCCTTCCAGGCAAAAATTCAAGGATTTGGAGCCGGATCGTCTGGCCAGATCCAGCAGTAGTGACAGCCTGAACCATGCTCAACAGCTAGCTGCCAGAGACAAGGTTCGTCAGCTGTCACTGGAGACCAACAGAAGACGCAGGTAAAATATTGAACTGTTCTCATTGCTGAAATGATTCCAATGAGCTACAGGCTAGGGGTTTGAATCCAGCTGCTGGACATATGTTGTGTCCTTGGGCAAGCCACTTCACCCCCACTTGCCTCTCTCCACCCAGGAGTATAAATGGGTACGGGCATTAGCTGGGGAGTAACCTGCGATGGACTGGCATCCCATCCAGGGGAATTAATATTCTCAGTCGTTTCATGCCACTGACACCGGAGATAAGGTCCCCCCCCCCCCCCCTCCAAAAAAAAAAAAAATAGCTCTGCTTCCGGTTACGTGGCATTTGAAAATAGGGTTGGTAGGTAGGGAATTTGGGTTTTTTTGGGCAAATTTTTTTTGTGTACGATCATGGTGTCAGGTGTCAGGTGTGCTAGTCAAGGGTAAAAGGTAGTAATTGATGGTTTTGGGTTTTTTCCCCTCATTTTTCCCAAAAACAAATTAGGGTAGGGGCTGTCCAAATAGGTTAGGTAGGGCAACCGGAAGCTGAACTATTAGTTGGGTTTTTTTTGGCCTAAATGCCGGCCTGATGGGCCATATTGGCTCGGGACAGACTTTAATTACTTTACAGACGAATCTTGCATTGAATCTCTCGTCTGCCTACGGACAGCACTGAATTTACAGTTCTTACAAATATATTATCAGTGAAGGGTAAAACCCCTTGGTGACTTTACACCTCCCCGACGCAAAATTTCATCTTTTAGCTTGCTAAATGTTCTAAATAACAATATTGTATTGTTTGGATGGTGTGTACATGTGAGTCAAAAGTTTACATCATTAAAATGTGAATATTAGAATACTAAAATTAGCTTCTAAAAAATAAATGAACCTGATTATCATTTCTGGCAGGGCTGCGGAGTTGAAGAGGCGCCTAGAGGCTCAGAAGGAGGCCAAGAGGAGACAGGAGGTGTTGGAGGAGAGACGGAGGAGACAGCAAGAGGCGACTCAGAAGTACCAGAGGGGTCAGAGGGGGTCGCCCAAAACAGGACCAAGGATTACCTCAGGTACTAGGGGGTTACGGGAGGGGCATAAGGGGACAATTTATGGCCATTAAGTTAAAGGCATATAGGGTCATTTGCTTTGCATGCATTTTGTTCGTTTCCAACAAAACACCACTCAAAATCCTAACAAGAACGTTGAAAACCCAACCTGTCGCATTTTCCGCTCACTGGATATTACACGTTATAATTTATATTTTTTAACTTGTTTTGACTTTTCGTCCGAATTGGAATAAATATGTGCTTGGCCGGTATTAAACAAGTCCGTTTAAGACCGGCTGGGGGCCTGGTCGCCAATAATATCCCTCGCCTTTGGCTGAGGCTATTATCAGTGTCCATTCCCAGCGTCCATTCCGTCCTTTGGCCTGGTCGCCAATAATATCCCTCGTCTTCGGCTGGGGCCATTATCAGCATCCATTCCTCCAGCCAGTCTTCAACAGACTTGTTTAAAACTGGCCAAGCACACATTTATTCCCTTATTAATAGGATACCAGCCAACATGATACACATAAAAATCATAATTTTGCCTCTTTTTAATGCACAGGTAAAGCGTACAGTGACTCCAGACTGCATGATGGCGTTAACATCGCCAGAGGGTACAGTCAGAATGCGACTTACGCAGGTACATGTATAGCTGGTTGAACTACCCCCCCCCCTAACTCTACTCCTGTCTCCGCCCCTTTTATTGACATTGTGAATGAAATTCTAATGGAATTCAATTGAATTATTTATTTACTTATTTATTTACTCAATTGATTGCGGTGCATACTTGAATGAAACTGTTCATACTCTCATTATCAATTGATGCTATTTTGGCGTGTCTTGTCTGATCAATATTTACCAGGTTCATATTGTCTCCATTTTCATCAGGTAACTATAGCAACCGAGCCCCGGCATTGGAAGAGGCACTGCGCATGGTGGGAGTCAACACTGCCCCGGCCGGTTCCACTATCTACAGGGGAGGTGGATACGCAGGAGGGACGGATTATACCACTGATTACAGAGAGGGTTACAATGATACGGGGGTGGCTTTCAACCATGAGGTGCCGATTAGGAGGCCAGTAGTTGACACCAATGGTAACAATGTGAGTGAAAATAAGGGTCACCATTACCATGGTTACTCAACGATGGCAACGTCAACATACAACAGCAACGTCAACCGTGACGCGACCAGTGCGCAGTTTCAGCAGACATTACATGAAAAGCAGAAGCAGCTCATGGAACAGCAGCAGGCTGCGCTGAACGAGTTCAACCAGGCTGTGCTGAATGAGACATTACCGTCCCAGGGGGAGGAGCAGCAGCTCCAACGTAGCAGCAGCCTGTCCAGCGTGGACAGTCTGGAAGAGGAACAGCCAAAGAAGCATCTCATCTTCGATGGTCGCAGGCAGCAGCCTGGACCCGCTGCTAACAAGTCCGTCCACACTAGTAAACCAAAAACTGATGGAAGTGCCGTCCAAACTAGAACTACTTATGGGAATAACTACTCGAGGCCAAACGAAGTTGAATCCGGACAGAGTGCAATATCTGATAATCGCTTGTTCACGTCCCAAGTCACATCTGAGCAGCAGCATCCCCACTCTGCACACAGAGGATTGAGCAATGGAGAGCTGCTTGTGGAGGAGACTAGCGAGAGCGATTTTGTCCGTGAACCCGTCGAAACCAAACCCACGCTCCTTCAAGGGACCAATGAGTTGCATTCACAACACCTGTCCTACGGACCATACTCAACCAGGACATCACAAGCTTGGACCACACAGGCACCCACTGAAACTCAGCATTTCCACCACTACGATGCTAGCCACTCACCCATAAAGTATACAACTGGGCCAGTGAGTGTCCATGCAGGGCACCGGCCATTCTCGGCTCGGACCACGGCTACAGCCACTTACCCAGCCAGAGTTCCCGAACCTCCCGTCGACCACCACTATGGCGGACAGCAGAAACTTGAGCAAACCGTGCCAAACAGGGCAATCAATATGTCAAAATACAGCGGCAGTAATCATGAGGATTCAAACTACACAAGATCAAAGTATGGCATGTTAAGCAGCACCCCTCAAGCCGTAGATTTTCAAGTTGCTGATGGACCTACCCAAACATCCAATCACCCCCGAGAAGATGGTCCAGGCACAGAAAAACTCGACAGTACTCTAGAAACACCGGAAAAGATAGTGAAAAGCATCTTGAAGCGTGGCCAGGGATACAGTTTGACACCACAGAAAGTGAAACTCGGAGATATGAAGGTCAGGGACAGTTTGGAGATATCTCGGGCAACTCAAATGACCAAAGCTGACCGTAAGTCAGTCAGATGGACAGATCTGAAATACGCAGAGATGGAGGAAGATCTGAAAATGGAAAAGGAACAAAAAGTATCTATTGAATCTGCTAAGACAGAGAGATCAAACTCTGCTGGCACTGGACAGAATGATGTTGGAAGAGGTCAGCTCAAAAGTGAACGCCAAAGTACAAGTGCCGGCCCACCACCAAGGGGTCCAACGAAGCTTCGACGGAGGACCCACAATGCATCCAAGCCACCTCCTGGCCGCTCAAACTCTAGCACTTCAGGGAAAAAGGTGGAATCCGAAAACCCCCAAGTAGTGTCCAGGGTCAGTGGAAAAATAATAACCCACCAGCAGGAATCGACCAACAAGCTCACCCCAGCTTCCGCCGATGACGGCAGGCAGTACAAGAATGGAATCCGTCTGGATAAGACTCCCACCGACGACGAAATTAACTGGCTGTGGGATAAAGTTCGGACGTGCCTGAACACCCAGGAGCAAGGAATATCTGGCCCTGATTCGGACACCTCAAGCAGGCAGCCAGCTAGTGTGTCCAAGCAGTGCATAGATGGGAACCGGTTAACGGCCAATCTCAGGGTGTCAGCCCAGGGTCACGTGACCGACCCCCACGACCATCCGTTGACCAATCAAAAGAAGTACAACACTTACCCAAGATTTCGGACCAACAGCGACTCCGGTACTGCGTCGCTCCGCAAGACGGCATTACTGCATCAGCGGAGACAACACAACACTGTTGGGAACCTACGTCCCGGGTACCAGGGAAGGAGTAATCAGCATTACGCAGGTCCGGTACCCGGACTTCAGCCAAGCCCTCCTTCCTCTGGGAGTCATCATCAACCGGGCCCGACTGCCAGCAATCAAGGACCCAGCAGAACAGTTGGCGGATTACCTCAAGGTCAAAACCAAGAAGGTATTTTCATGTTTAGTTAAAAAACCTAGTTTCAGAATTTCAGTTGCTTGTCAATGTATCAGCAACAAATAGTTGAAAATTCCCCTAAACCCAAACAATTTAGCCGAGGTTGTAATTGTGTTTGACATAACTTTTAAAACTACATGTTTTAAGACAACTTCACAATAATTTCAAAATGAGTTGTTAAGTATCAACAACAAGGGTTAGAATTTAATTAAGAAATTAGATTTGCGATGTTTTTGAAGTTAAAATTCTTGTTCTTATTACAAACCTTTGACCATCGCAGGTTACATTTTTGTTGTAGATGGAATAATTTTGTTGTCTTGTTTTGCAGTGAGTGATAGTTTGTTGGCGTTCCAGCAAGCAGAGCGTCTAGCCGCCCAGGAGAACCTGTCAGAGTCTGAAATAGCGGCCGCCATGGAACACCGGAATAACCAAGCATTCATGCAGAAAGGTATTCCTTACCAAAATTCTACATTCTAAAGATACATAGGATATCATCAGAAATTATCTAAAATTTGTTTTATTTTGATCATTTGCCAGTTTGAAAGCTTAGCTTATGTTTCATTTTTGGTTTTGAAGAAAGTAAGTGAGTTTATAGGCAACATGGAAAGCAGGCCCAATTTCTGGACAAGCTAAAAGTATTTTTTTTCCTTTTCCATTTTTTCTTTAAAATTCTGCAGCACCCACTGCCTTGTCCTTGGAAGAGCAGAGAATTCTGGAGTCTCTGGACAAGCTGAATGCGCAACTGAGAAGTAAGTCACGATTGAAACATGAAATAGTTTAGCATTTTTAACTTACCACTTTTGACTAAAGTTTTTGCTGACTAAATGCTGTATGTTCTTTTCTTTACTTTCAAGATCAAAATCCTCTACAGGGTGAGTAAAAAAAACAAAACCAAAGGTCGGGACCATTGTTTTAGTGAAGTTCTGCATGTAGCACTTTCAAAATCTAGGATATGAAAGCCCAATTCATAAGCTTTCTTTTAGTACAAGAATCATTCAAATCACTCATGTACTTTTCAAGTTACAGGGTTTTAAACACAACTGCCGTTTTAGGGTTCTGTCCACGGATCACAAAAAAGTTCAGTCTTCTTTCAGCAAAACGAACACAAATCACATAAGGATGTGTGTGAATTGTTTTCGTTTTACTGAAAGACAAACACCTTTTTTGTGATCCGCGGACAAAACTTTAAAACGGGGGTTGTGTTTAAAACTCTGTAACATGAGTGATTGGAATGATTCTTGTATTAAAAGAAAGTTTATTAATTGAGCTTTCATATCCTAGATTTTGAAAGTGCTACATGCAGAACGTCACTAAAGCAATGGTCCCCACATTTGGGTTTCGTTTTTTTGGACTCACCCTGTATAACATCTTGGTTAGATTTTCGAAGGATCTGGAATGGTGAGGGATTAAAAGAACATAAGGGATAATCATAATAACATTCCATTTTTGTTTGTTTGTTTGTTTGTAGCTGTGACCTCAGACACTGATGCAGCGATCCAGCCGTACACGATGCAGCCAAAACCACCTCCTCAGGTAAGACATAACAAATATTTGTACCCCCTCAACTGTGAAAAACAAAAAGGGCGCTGATATTGAAGGACGCTTGAGTTGCTCACAGAACATGTGTGTTTGTCTCAAACATAGATGGTGTGGGTTTATACTCATCACAGTTGAAAATTGGGGAACAGTGCTACTTGCGGTTTACATAGATGTGTTCTCCTTGATCCAAATTATTCAACACAGAACAGGATTGTTTCAAGTTTTAAAATACTCTAAAACAGCACTGTCAGGTGGTGTCCATGTTTTTGTCAAGCATTTTCTTGTTTTGTTAATATTTTTTCCTTTTGAATTTTAGGGTGCAGGACTCCGTAGCCAGCGTGCAATCAGTGCGCGACAACGAGCGGTAGCGGACCCAAACCTAGCCCACCGGACAAGGACTCTCTCAGCCGATCGGAGTAACGCCAGGATCAACTACTACCACTGAGGAGAGAGGAGAGCAAGACATCTATCTGTCATAGACTTGAAGAAGTTCCTTGAGATAGGGCCCAGTTGTCTCGGGATTGAGAATACTGTGATTCTAACTATTCATGGACTGACACAAGTCGAGGATTGTGGCAACGGAGTATAAAAGAACGTTGCACAAAATGTCGACAGTTTCTTTAAGGCACGGCATGCGAGTTGAAGGCTTTAGGCCTGCATTTTTTTAACTGAAAGCATTAAAACTAAGAGAAAGAACAAAATCTTGCCGATAGAGGAAATTGATAGTGATGTGTTAGAGAGGCTTGGTTGAGGATTCAAATTGCAGAGCAGGGGAAGTTTTATAAGCAAGAATGCTCCATGATGATTAAAGACGCTAAAGTGATTTGATATTTGAAGTTTGATTCCGTGAGGTGAATGTATCTGTGACGAGAAGACTCTTTTTAGAAACTACAAAAGGATCTTTAAAAATTCAAGTGTGTCCCACAAACTTATGCATAAAAAACAATCTTGATGGCACCCCAAAACACACGCATATAAAACACGATTAAAGCCACCGAAATTTAGACACAATATTTTTGTAGAATGGTTAATAAATGTACTTTAAACAAAAATTTTACTATAAAGCACCAAGTTTGTGACTTAGAATTCTTGATGAATTTGATTTCTCACATAAAGTGATGTTTTGCCATCAGTTGAGAAATATATACATGTACACTGGTGAGATTCTGTAATTTTTAATGAATCAATTTTCAAAGATACTGTCTTTCTTTACAATTTGTGTATACCTGCAGTGCTGCCTAGGTGCCTATTGGAAGTATTTCACGTTTTAAATTTCATCTGAAACCTTACCAACTTCTTTTCAACGATCTTCATATTTAATTTTTTTTTCCAATTAGCAATATTTAGGAGAAAAATATGAGGAATTCAGAATTTTATTTATTTAATTTTTTTTGCATCCATCCAACTAGTCTACATTTTGTGCTGTGGTGTTATATTTTCAAATTTTACTTCATTTTGAATTTGAAAGTGGAATTTTTAATTATTTAAAAAAAAAGTGTTTACTTTGTTGTGCTGCTTGTAACTTCACTGCTAGGCATCGAACTATTCTATGATTATTAAAATAATGTGTATATAAAAACATGTATATATGTCAAAATATGAAATGGCTATAAATTATGTGTTCATTATCAAACATGACTTGTTCCAATAGTCACATTTTCTTCTTCTTTTTTTTTGGAGGGGGGGTTTGTGGTGGTGGTCGTTTTTGTATTTGTTTTTTTCCCCCTGAGATTTGAAGAAAATATAGTTACATTTGTATACTAAAAAAGTAAACAATTTAATACAATCAAACCAATCAAACGACAGACGACAGCAACGTCATGTGCCCAGACGATATTGCTTGGGCACATATAGTTTCACATCAGGAAACCAGACTAGCTGGAGCAGACGACAACGTGTTTTGGTGTCAATAAAGAAGTTTTCTAGTTTAAAAAATGGCGGGGAAAATTCTGGACAACAAAAAGCTATAAAATTTTACCCTTTTCTATCAATTTTGATCGAAATAAAATGTGCATGAATTTGTTCTCAAACAAAATTGTGTAAAAAGAAAATCACCTTTTTCACCAACTACACGTTTATATTGTTAGTCTGCAGAATGTTATTCTCATGAAAACGTGCCCCGCGAGCAGCTAGCTGCTGCAGACGAAATTCAGTTCAGTGAAGTGTACGTTAAAAACCCTTCTTAAAATGTCCATTCTGCAACAACATGCCGTACATTCCAGTGTTCCTCAGTAGCAGAAAATGGTCTGAACCGTGAAGAAACTGCGCAAATGTTCCTTTGCTTTGCCGGTTTATCTGCAGAGATTTTTAGTTGAAAGGAACCTCAAGCTTCGACCCCGCGGTATACGGAACTGTACATGGCGGCTGCAATATAGCATGATGCCAGCATGATTGTGTTTCCGACTGGCACGGACATGACGGAAGTGACGGAACATGGATATAAATACAGTTTTTACTTCCGTTTCAACAGCAGGAATTTGTCGGTAAGCTCACCCCGGCTTAATTCGTACTTCACCCACCGAGTTTCGTCTGACTCCGCAAACATTGGACGAAGTTAAGGTAAGGCTGAATTTCAGTGAAATTTATAAAATTATTGCAGGAATAAATACATGTAGAATGCACTGAGTATATAGCCTAAACGTGACAGATGTAATTTTGTTGTGCACTTTCAGTTTGTAGGAGTCGTGGATATTTTGCAGAATGTTTTTTAAAATTCTCTCAAATTCGTGGTGTTTTTTTTCAACAAGGAAGGCATGAATGACTTGTCAAATTCGTTGTATTTTCTTTTATTGCAAACTGGTATAGGCCTAATGTGTTAACCACAAAAACCCTCGATTAAACTCAAGACATTGCATTCTTCCCTTTACCCGCTCGGTGTGAATAGTAAAATAGAAATTATAGTGTAATTTTAATTTTTATAAGCCCGACACTGAAACTTGTTCTGGAAGTATAAAAAAAAACCAACAGGTTTTTCAACTCTTTCATGTATGAAGTAAATTAACCTGGCCAAGCTTGGGACTAGGAAGTAGGAGTTCGTGTGTTTAAATACAAATGTATTTTTTAAATACAAATGTATTTCCTGGAGTAGACTTGTTACCAGTCCTGAAATATTCCACATCGTTGCCACTCATGCATGCCACTGCTAAAATACATGTTGCACAACACATCTCATAATAGTCAAGTTCACTTTTTAACCTTCATCCAGTCACAATTTTTTTTTATTGTTTTTCCAGTGAGCTCAGATAGATTATAGGTATAACAATGGACTACAGAATACTCCATAAATATATAAACCCTTTACATGTGATTATATAAACTTGAGGAACATATAGAAAACGACAGGCGTCCTCACTGGTCCAATATGGCAAAGACATTTTCATCAAACCATCTGGTCGCCTAGCGACAGGCGTTTTCCAGCTGGTCGTCATCAGCTCTTCAGATTTTACTGTTGCCAGTGAGGGCGCCCTTACGTTTTGCTATATCCCTTTCTACCAACAAAATAATTTTTATGAACTCAAAACTTTCAGACATAGAAACACATATACGATCCGGAGGAGATACTTTGTAAAAAAAAAAAAAAAAAAGTCTTAAATACGTCTGAGTAAAATACAAGTTTGAAGAATTCGCAGACAATTTTGTTTGTTAGATACGTACACATTTGGGCCGTATAAATACTTGGGCCTTTATCAGTTAAGTGGCTGTAGATGTATTTGGAGGTGCGGCAGATTACATTAAGTGCAGTTTTATGGATAGTGCATTATAAGATTGAATAGGCCTATATTGAATAATGTGACCGTATAGATGTATGGAAGCTGAGAGTTCATAGCAACTTTAGTAGCCCTCTCTGAAGTGATAACATTTGATTACAAGAGCTAGCCTTATTTTTCAATGGATAATTTTTTTGTACATGTATTAACTTTTATTGATGTCGTGTCCCAAAACTGTGCTAATGTGTTTTATCTTTCCGTGAATGATTAAAATACCTTTGAGAATGTAGTTCTGCCAGTGCTGGTTAGGAAAAGTCTACACTAAATGAGAAAGTCTGATCTAAATTTGTTGATCTAAGTTGAACCATCGTCATGTTTTGCTGGAAAAGATGTTTAACAGTTTTTCACATCAAGTATTATCAAGGATTGAAAATTACCCGGAGATTCACGGTGGAATAAAATGTTTGTGTCATTTTTGTTGCAATCGATCATCCCTGATCGAAAATGAGCCTTACAAGGTGAATGAAAATACCAGAAAGTCTATCTTAGTCGATGTTGTCTTGAAAGTAGTCTTGCAGCCAACTTCTGGTCGTGTCTGTAATGAGAACGTCCGGGTTCATCATCTGTTTGCTGATTTGATCACCGACATAAATGACAGCGTCTCCTTGGAAGACGAAAACTCTGTCCGGGTGAGCATTGTACACCTGCAGTAGGAGGGAAAGAAGTTGTTCCATACTAAACTCTCAAGACTATAACCACCATTGTTACTTACGCTGTAAATCTCTTTGAATAATATAAACGGTGCTGTTCGGTTGGCACATGGGGCGAGTTTACATACATACATACGTACATATAGGCATTTTTGTAGCGCCCCACAAAGATCGGAGCGCTTTACAAAAGCTGACAAAATAATTAAAGATACAAACAAAAAATGCATTGATACAGATACAAAAAAAAAACTATACACGCAAAATAACATATGGCATGATTAAACAAATAAATGGGTTTTGAGTCTATTTTTGAAGAGCTGAAGTGTGTTGGCTTCCCGGATGTTACGGGGAAGGGAATTCCACAGCCGGGGAGCAGTACGCGACTTAGTTTGGGGGTAACTGTGGCGTAACTGTGCCCCCTCACCCAGGGCCTCTCCCGCCTTGTGCACCCCGTTCACATTTTTGGAATAAAACTGAGGGTTTTCTTAAGTTAAAAATCCACTAAAGTAATTCCAGAAAAGGAGGCCCAACAAGTGCCACCAGATACTTCACAGATTGACGGTACACATTAATATACGCCATTGGAGGGCAACTTTTAATATTGAAATATACACCTTCTGAGTGCAAAATTACATCCAAAATTAAATTGTGAATTGTTTTTACCTGGGCGAAGTCGTTTGTCATGGTGTCTGTAACGATACGAATCAAGCTGTCGTCGAGGGGGTCATCCGTAAACGTCCGATGGTGTTTTCTGTCTTCGGTCAGCAACTCGCTGCAAATTGAACAGTGAAATGTGTCAAAAGTCAACTTTTTGTTTTTCATTCTGGTGAAAGAAAAGGAAAAGAAGATGCCATTGTTTTGCAAATCTTATTTATCCCTTGCTGAGTATTTTGTTCTTTGTCTTGTGTATTTAGCCTCCTCGCTCTTTGGGCGGGACCGAAATGAATCGTAAGGAGGAAGGACTGTTTTGTACAGTGGTATTGGCGTTGCAGAATTAGAAATAGTCTTTAAGATACCATTTTAGTAAATATTGCGACGAAGAGCTTGTGGTATGGCACAGAACAAGAAATTGAACAAAGCCATCCAATAAAATGACACCGTCCCTGTATGTCCGATCCACAATGCTTTGCGTAATGGGAAACCCACCAAGATGGCGGCCTCTATCCCACAGACAGAATTTCACTGAATTTGCTGTCCTCGGTGAGGGCGCTCTGTGCACATGGTGCATGGTGTCTATTTTCATGATTGATCATGCTTACTATGCAGCAGCGACCCTCTCCTCTTCCGTCTGGTGCTGTGGGACTTTGAAGGTGGTGTTGAGGTTGAAGTGTTCGGTGGGGTGGGCCTCGGCGAGATAGACGCAGAGGAAGTCGGCCCGGTCCTTGTACTCGTGGAACAGTACGGCGAGAGTTCCACCCAGGACACAGGCCTGTCATTAAACAAGAAGAATCAACAGCGATTTTCAGTTTCTTGAGTGATTAACCCAAACTCTTAGCCTTTTCCTGAAACATCCCTTATTACTGGTACTGTGCTTGAAGCTTTAGTGTCGCATAACTCTGTACAATCATGTGCCTCCCGAGACCTAATGGAAGATACTTTCATCCAGCATCATATGAAAAAAATAAGCATATACTTTACATCAATTGAATTGAATTGAATTGAAGTCAGAGTAAAGATATCCTAAACTAAAAGTGCGATTCCTCAATTAGCAAAACAGGAGGAAGATTACCTGAAACGGGGGTCAGGAAAGAGAAGACGACAGGACGACAAAAGGTCTGTCTTTGTGAAGATGCAGCTCGGACAACGCCATTGGCTGTTTGGTCTTCATCGTGATGAGGTCAAGGTCGGGTCGCTGACCGTTGACCTTGATGTCATCGATCATGCGCGGTACTTTGGGAACGAAGAACTTCAGCATGTTCATTATCTATACCAGAAAGGAAAGACACACTGGTGGTTACGGAAGAGTGGTAAAGTGTCTGATTGAACCCTGACATGTTTCAGTGCATGAGCTGATTAGATTTATTTTTACAACTGAGTTTGGAGCTTCCCCCTTTTTTGACATGCTGTGGGCTCTGTACACGCTATTGCCGTCCGAGGTATTCCGGTGGGAATCGAACCCACGACCAACTACTTGTTTTTGCAGGCGTCTTAGCGGAGCTTGCCGTGATCAGCTGGCCGTTTCGAATCTGATATATAATTGTGGGTACCGCAATTCCATTCGAAAGTCATTTAGACAATAGTGTCGAGGAACAGATGGACTACTGTCCATTTTTATATTTTTTTTTATTGACAAAGATTCCATGTCTATTATTTTATATTTTTTTATTTACAAAGATTCCTTGTCTATTTTTATACAGTTCTGGGGCTGGTATTATTGCGTGTTGCAGAACTTCTTTCTAGTTGATTCTAGTCTAGTAGTTTGTCAACAATCACATCTGCTGGCGATACTCTTCCTATTGTATTTGTGTTCTGGGGTTATTCTACTTTGAACAGATCTTTTTAAAGAAAGAGAGATAACCCAGCTCATGTTCTGAAGGATCTAAATGCGTTCTGAACCCGTCCCACTTTACTGAAAAGGAGGCTTATCGGGAAACAAATAGAGTGCACCCTGTCTCCAAAACGGCCCACCTTGTTCAAACAGCGACATTTTGCCACTCAACTTACGCGACACTGGGAAAACCCTGATAACTCCCCCTGTGTGAACAGTTGGCCAATCGACATTGCCGTGTTGCAATTGTTAGTCATTTTTGGAACTCGTTGGTAAAAATAGATGGTTTTGCTTTTGTCAAATCAAAAAGTTGTACTGGGTGGCCTGTGATCGTTACCTAATGGTTGTTTGCTTTCCCGATAAGGAACAACAGCAGGTGCAGGAGGTGAAGACTGCATTTATACCTTTGTGAATTGTAATTGAGTGATTGACCTAAAAATGGCGAAATAACTGGCTGCCCTTGAAAGAAAGGCAGATTAGGAGTTGTGAGGGAAAAGGGTGACCTACTTTTGTCATGGTGGTTAAAAAAAAAGGTTCAACCTATAAGTCTCCATGCTTTACTTGCCGTTTGTTCTAGCAAGCTTCTACATGGAGGGGCTCCATCTCCCCCTTCACACCCCCCCCCCCCCCAAAGGAAGAAAACAAAAATCACACCATTTGCCCAGGATTTTGTTACAGTTGAGCGTAATCCATTCCCTGAACTTAATTTGTCTTGTCCAATTAAGGCCAGTGACATTTTCTGTAGAGACGGGGGAGGTGTTGTGAGGCCCCCCCCCCCGGCCAGCTCCCCGTTTAAGGTTTACCGATGACCCCTAGTGATTTAATTGACTTACCTCTTGGTCATGCTTGTACATGGCCATTACCGGCATGAGGAGGCCGGGGAACTTGCTCCAGTCCTTGACGTGCTTGTCCAAGCCCAGCTCCTCCAGAGCGATCCGATCTGCTTCGTGCTGAGCTCGCTATGTAAGAAGAAATCATAATTAATTAATTTGGTATATGAACAGGTGTCAACCTGTTGACTCATATGATGAAATTATCGTGGTATGATTTTGCATGTTCAACGTGGATACTAATTAGGATCAAGATGAGAATGTCACACCAGGAATTTTGTTCCACAACAAAAAAACTTGCAAGGAAGGCAAGGGCCTAATCAGAGTACTGTGATTAATGTTACTGTTATTATCAAACATTAATTTCATTCCAAGACATACATCAATCAATCAAGAAAAGGTGGGCGGCGAATCTCCGTTTTACCATGTGAAAGACAAAATCCAATATTGAATTTACATCTTCCTGACACAAAACTTTCATCTTACAAAACACTGACGAAGGCAAAGTGAGGTGCTAATTTCCCAGGCACATTCGAACACGATAAATTAGACTAACCTTGATCCTCCTGAGCAGGTTGGGCTGTGTTGGGTCGGCGACCTTGGCGAAGACCTCCTTGCCTCGTTCCCCATCCAGAACCTCACGCTGCTTCCTCAGTATGCGCTGCACCATCTCCCTGTCAGCCAGCAGCTCGCCGTCAAACGTCATCATCATCGCCTGCATGGTTGCTTGCCTCTCTTTCTAACCTCTCGTGGAAGAGTTCTTCCTTGTAACCTCTTAAGTCTGTAAACCTCTTGAGGTTCACCTCGAGGCTTGAGGCTCGCCTCGTGTGGGGCTCCTCTCTTTGGTCGTCTCTCGTATTTTTGTGTTAGTGCGTTAACAATCTCTTTGGTTATTGTCAGGACTTTATGAGGTTCACCTCTTGAGGTTTGTCCCTTGAGGTTTGCCTCTGGTGGCTTGTCTTTTCTGTGGTGGGTAGCCTCTCGTCACCCACGCGCCGCGGTACCTCGTGTTCACCTCTCTTTTTGGTAACCACCTCAGTGTGTTACCTCTTGAGACCAGGCTCTCCTCTCGTTGCTTGCTCCTCCTGGCTTACCTCGAGACTTGTCTCTGACTTCCCGCTTAGATCTTCCCTGGTTGCCTCAAGGTCTCGTCCTGTGAGAGAAACCTCTTAAGCCTTATTTTGAAAGTTTGTCAGTTGTTAGCTTACCTCTGCGGTTCTTCCCATATTGTTTACCCTGCCCTTCTTTCAGATACCTCACGTGCCTCACTCCTTGTAGGAGCCTCAGCCTATCGTAAATAACCTCACAAGATAGCCTCATGGCCTAAATGTTCGTGCCGATAATATCATCACAATGAGTCAAATAGAGTAACCCGATAAGAGATAAAAAGGTCCCCCTCCCCGTACAGATTTATTCTGGCCTGTGTGATTCAGTTTTGGTTGGGAAAGTCTAAATGTAATAGTTATTCTGTCGAACTCTTTTGAAGAGTCCTTCATACACTGGAAGCAAGTTATCGCTGCATATAGTACTTGCTAAGTTGCTATGAAAGAAATCATGCTTATGTTTAATTATGCTTATATGTAAAATTGCATATAAATATAGTTTAAAAATTTAATTTAAAACTAGCATTGGTACCGTCACGTTTCTTTTTCGATATGGAGACGAGAGCCTTTAACAAAAAGCACATTTTCGTTTTCAAAATCATGTGGCCAATATGTATTTTCTTCACTAATTTTCTTGTTTAGCTCCGCGCTTACTGAATCTTTAAGCGATCGAAAAAATACTCACAAACCTTTAAAATACAAAGCTCATTTGGAAGTGATTTTCAACGTTTCACGATTCGCGTGAGTGGCTGGAATTTCTGGCCCCACATTTAGAAACATGAATCAGTTGCTATGATTCATGTCCTCATCCAATCAGACTCTCGCATTCAAGTGACGTCATATCAGAGAAAGTGAGTAACTCATGCAACTCTCTTCAAACTCCTTGCAAGTTTCTTTTAATTTGTGGATATCGGAATCAAAGCTGTAAGAAATTTTGCTTTTTGCTCTTTTTGTGCAAATCTACAAAACGAAAGCTAGAAATAGAGCAGTGCAGTTCAGCAACAAATGACGTTTACCTGATCATGAATCATGAACTCTTATTTTTCCGAAAAAAAAAAATCTTCTGATTTAAAAAAGAAAGAAAAACGAGGCAAGAAGGGGTAGAACCTTCTTGCCACATTTCAAAGTTCGGATCGCACGTGGCTCATAACACAAACTTCTTTCTTACAAGTTATTATTGCGGATAACCAGAGAAGCTAAGGTATAATTGAAAGTTCGACAGATGAGACACATTTACTCACAGTTCTTGACTGAAATCAAGCTGTAACCAAGCTCGGTTGCTCGCTTGCGCATCATTTCATGGGATGAGACGAACACTAGCGATGCTCCCAGACTGGTCTCTCCACTCTCCAGTCCCTCCTTTTTATTGGGCACAACTGGGTCTAATTTGAATATTGTATCCAAGCATCTCCCTATCATGATGTCTTGATCATCCAATCAGCTCCAGAATCACTGCGCCAGAGCCAAGAACTCATTTGAATATGTAGAGCGGTTGTATAACTTCAACTGTATCACACCTCTTGTTTTCTTGGTGATTATGATCGAACCAACTAGGCCAACCCCGTGTATGTACCGAAGCCAACAGCCCGGTTGCACCCGCACCCGTCTAGTTCGCGTTCGGAACTCCAGGTGTTTAAACGTACGTGCGTGGGTGCTGTCTGGGTATCTCAAGGCATTGTATGTGAACCTCTCGCGTCAAAGTCCAATAAATACTCTCACGTATTCAGTTGTATTAATGCCTAACAAACATTCTTAACTATACTTACTGGGTATTACATCTGAAATTTATTGCCTGATTTGCATTATTCTTACCAGAAGAATACCTCAATAAAACGAAATTTCTCGATGTCGACAAGTCACGGTCCAGGGAAGTTTCCAGAGTGCATGCACCGTCCTTGCCCTGATCAAGAGAAACGTTTTATCATTCAGCGTATCAATCATTCAGCTCTTCGTCAATGCTGATACATTTCGACAAGTGTTAAACATAACAAACTATCACAATCTGTATTTGCTGTGTCTTCAGTGTTAATCGCAACACAATCCAGACTCGCAAACGTCGAGCAGTAAAGCAGATAATTACAAACGTTACCCACGAATGTTTACCATCTTACAATTATCACGAGATAATAATTCATTTAAAAATGAGTCGTACTTCGACCTAAATAAAGTTTATACCTCAAAATGTGACACTCGTGTATTTTACCAATTGAAGGTACACCGATATATATATTGCACTGAGCTTTGCAAACGAAACTGCAAAATAAATTCAACCGTTATGATTGTCGACGCACGACCGTGTGTAGCAGGCCGCCTACACGCGTGCACCCAACCTCATCCCTCGCTTTGAGTTTATGTAACCACACAAGTGTGACCCAAACATAATACCTGTTACCTCAAAACTGTGACCAAACATGAACACTTATGCAAACAACGTTTGCGGTTACTTTTATTTTCAATCAGTGGCATAAGATATCCACTTTTTTGCTTTGCAGAAATTGTCAGAAAATCAGATTTCCCATTCTGTCTTTGTTCATTCATGGATTCATTTCGTTCGACACTCTTCACCACACTCTTCACCATACTCTTCACCACACTCTTCACCATACTCTTCACCATACTCTTCACCTTACTCTTCACCATACTCTTCACCTTACTCTTCACCACACTCTTCACCATACTCTTCACCATACTCTTCATACTCTTCACCATACTCTTCACCATACTCTTCACCATACTCTTCATACTCTTCACCATACTCTTCATACTCTTCACCATACTCTTCACCATACTATTCACCACATTCTTCACCATACTCTTCACCATACTATTCACCACACTCTTCACCACACTCTTCACCATACTCTTCACCATACTCTTCACCACACTCTTCACCACACTCTTCACCATACTCTTCATACTCTTCACCATACTCATCACCATGCTCTTCACCTGACCATACTCTTCACCATTCTGTACATTTGTTCGACATTAATACCAGACCTGTTTAGGCCAAGCTTCACAAGTTGAAAGCCCTCTCGGGAACCCCCTTAAGCCCATGATTCTCGTTAAAAGGATTTGTCATCACTTATAGTACCAGCGGATACTCTAGTTTCAGTGTTGGTTTTGCCCTCTTTATTGCCCGTCAAAGAAGGAGAGAAATTGGGCCAAACTACGTGAATTTCCGCTCAGAGACCTCGACTGCCCGTCCCTTGGGTCGCCTCGAAGCAAATTCATCATAACCCAAAAAAGCCCAACTCATAATCCGTCGCGGAGCCCAATTGAGGTTAACAGTAACCATGCGTCCTCTAGTCTGCATGCACTAAAGGGTGGACTCCGTGTTAGTCTCCTAACGCATCCGCTGATTCGTCTTTCTGGGTCGCCTTCACACCTTTGGCGGAAAGGACCAATACAAAAGGACGTTAAAAAATTTGCAACCAATTCAGCTCGCTACCGATACGCTGCTCCAGTTACCTACTTAGTTCTGTCCCTCATATTCGTTTTTTTTTGCGCTCTCACGTCACAACACATCCACACATATCAGGCAGTCACCACACTCTCACACACACAAAGAATTAGGCCAATGTACAAAAGAAAGTAAGTCTCATTGAAAAAAAAACCCAACAAATTCAGAGAAACGTGAACCCTCACCCACAAGACACAATCGGTTGCCCACTTTTAGCCAAAAAAATGTTCATTCGACACACCTCGTAATACCGTCATAGTCACGATTTTGGGTGTTTGTTATGATAAGACCTATTTTTAGGGAGCAAGGCTTTTGAGGGACCCGGTCGCCCCCGTTGTGCTGTGTGGTCTTTGCTCACACCAACAATGTATTCGTAACCCGGTCCACTTCCGTTTAATCATTAATCGTGCATTAAAAAGGTCTTCGCGAGTTGGAGCCTTGAAAACGAAATAAAATGTTTCATAAATGCGCAAAGGAACAATTCAATATGCACAGAGCTGTCGCTGCTTGTATTTTTGAATGTTTGAGATTTGAATTTTGATGACATTCTTTTTCCCTTTTACTATTCTCTGTTCACCGCCCCTTTTGAGCTACAGAATACAACCCAACTATGCATCCGAGGATGGCCCCAGGAAGGCCAATTAGGATGGGGCCATAGCCCGTATTCACGAGGAATCGTGTTCCCTGAATCTGTTTTATAAATTGTAAACTGTTGAAAGGGATGGTGCCAGACTATTTTATAATTGGAGTGTGTTCCAAGCCTCACTTTGATTTTATTTTTTGAATGTGGTTTAAAACATTAGGGTATGTTTAATCAAACATTTTAATTATTCATCGGAGCAGAATGCACTCTAAAAACAGATTGGTTGAAATAACCAATATATTGGTAGGATTGGTAGATATGTGTCCAACCAATCACTGTTCGGGTTAGACATCTACCAATAGCACCAATATATTGGTTATTTCAACCAATCTGTTTTAGGGTGAGGTATTACTTTGTAATGAACTTTTATTTCATTGCTTTCTACTAGCAAGTTCCAAAAATGAAAAGTTTAACTCGCTTTGGCTGGTAACCTTATTTCTCTAAGCACATGTTTTTGGCGCTTAGCAAATTTCTGTGATTAGCAGGTCTGTGAAATTGACCCCAACACCAAATCGCCAACCGCCACGTACACACCTGCAATCTCCAGCACCCCTCCCTCCCTCCCCCCCCCCCCCAAAAAAAATGACATCGCATATTTGTAATTTTGAGAACACAAAATTAGGCCAATTAGATCAAGGGCGAAATTTTTTTCTGGGTCACTACTCGATATCTTCTATTCTTGGAAGAAATGAGGCTAATTTGACCATGCCCAGACAAAAAAATTCGAAGACTGAATCAGGTCTCTCTTGGGACCAGAAATGGATTATTTAGGTCAATCATTCCGTACTGCGAGGATTTGACGCTAGCCTTAGTATTTATGTTGTCCATGGAAGCATATCGATTTGTTTCCGATTGCTGCCCCCCCCCTTCCCTCTGAAACATTTCGATTTTGCCCTGGCCGGTTGCCCCCCCCCCGGAAAAATTGGTTCTGTATCTGCCCTTGGGCAACAGACACAACTGCGAAAAGAAAATCCTAACTTGAAATATGAGGTATTTGTTCTCAGTTCATAAAGATTATTTCTGCATATTGTTGGCTTATTAACTTGTACAAATTAATGTTGTGTTGCTTCCCATTTCTTAAAATGTGGGGTGTTTACAGACACGCCCCTTACTCGGCTTCACAAGGCTCCTGGTCGTTCGCTAATCATTTCTGAATTCCTTCCAGTTCACTCACTCCCCAAACTATGCTTTTCAGACATTTGAATCGTCGATTGACTTCAATTTATCAGATAAGTTTTCGTCCCGTGTGATTCTTTATCACAGACGCAAAATGTCAACTGATGATGGCCATTAGGTAAACCATTGGCTGCGAAAAGCATACAGGGTGAGTCAAAAAAAGCGGAACCCAGACCCCCAAAAATGTATGTCATATTTTAAAAATATATGTAGCACCAAAATAATATTGACTGGGAAGCCAATTTCATAAGCTACTGTTAGAGCACAAATTACTGAATTTGCTCAATCCGTTCAAAGAATATCACCATTTGAACACAATTTTGACCATACCAAATGCGATTTCAAGAATCGTCGACACAATTGACTACATGTACACAAGCATCACCAGCGATGAAACCTCAGTTTTAAAGTCATAGTCCTTTTGAAGGTCTGTCTTTAAAAAAAAAGTAAATTTTATAAATCATATTGTTTGCCTAAGCAGGGCTCTTAATAAAGATATTGTGTACTGCAGTCGTTGACAGTTGTTGAAACATGTATTCGGGTTTTAGGGTCATTGCCTTTAAATGGTGATATTCTTTGAACGGATTGAGCAATTTCAGTATTTTTTTCATCTAAAAGTAGTTTCTGAAATTGGCTTTCCAGTGCATTACTGCTTTTAATGCTACATATTTTTTTTACATATGAAATATAATTTTGGGGGTTTGGGTTCCGCGGTTTTTGACTCCACTGTACGTCATCATGTCGACCTTGCTGTTCGAATTTACAGCAGATTGCATTTTAACAAAGACAAGGAAACGATGGTAAAGTCAAAATAGGCGGAACTGGGTAAGCCCACGGTGAGGAGACAAAACCCATTCTGCAATCGTGGGCGATATTTAAACAAGGAAATTGCTGATTTATTTCTGAAATTAAAACGGGCATGTTTTCCCCTATGAGCCACTATGCGTGCTCTTTATAAATAAAATGAAACTGAATTGGTGCATTGTAGTAATGATATTTTTAAAGTTGAACAAAGAAATTGACTGGGAAGGGTTTGAACCTGCGACCTCCGGATTGCTGGTTTAATAGTGTACCAGAATGTATGGAATATAATCATGTCACCGATGTGTGCGTTGTAGACGAAAATAAATGAAAATTCATGCTGTGTTACCAGATTCAACCAGACTCTTTGAAGTACATTATACAACGATGCTTTTAGCGGTAGACTAAAACTATTGAATGATGTTCTGAACTTCAAACTATATTTTGTGAGGCTGAAACCTGGCCTGGTTTTGCTGTTATTGGTAAGTAGTTCTCTCGCGATTGTCTATTGGTCCAGCAGTTACAATCTCCGCGACATACCTTCATGCATTGTTAAGGTTTATCATTTATCATTGTCATCAGGATTTAATTCCAGACCTACCCTAACGATTCCGAGATAACCTGTTTTGTGGGTTTGTCCTGGGGAATTTCGTCAACGACCAAAATACCAGGGCAGTTCATGGAGGGTAGGGCCCCGAGAAACTCAAGAAAACTTCATTTTGTTTCCACATAGTTTAACGTCTTGTTAACGTTATCTGTGACGTCATGTCTGTTTCACCTATAGCCGAGAGTTAAAAAAGAAAAGAAAAAAAAACACTTCATTTTATCTTGTTCTTTCCCACATTGTACATTCCCACATTGTACATTGTACGACAGCAACACCTATATTACAGAATATGTATATAGAATGGAGTAGTTGGCTTTTCCGGTGAAAGATTGGGTCACGTGACAATTAATATGCACATTTTGTACATGTTTGATTATTTCGTTGTCGGGGTGGGTTTTTTTTAGCCCATGCGCACCTCTTTCGTTTATGCACCCCACATTTTGTTCAGATGTTACAGAACCTACAAAATTGTGTAAATAAATGTTGCGGATCTGGGCCGGGTGAATGCCATTATACAATCAAGTGCAGGTGTGTGATCCTGGGAGTTCCACATTTAAGCGTCTACGCTTGACTTAACCAACGGTTCAGAATTCCAAATTCCAAGTACAATGTAAATCATAATCTTTTTGTAAAGCATGTTTTGAAACCATAGCAACCGCCTAAATGTAAATACCATGCACAGAAGTAGGACGGGATCATTAATGTCAGAGAAGAAAAAGAATGTTCTCGTTTTCGATTGCAGTTATACAATTAGCTCTTTTGTCATTAGCTCGTTTGTGAATAGCAATGCATTGGTCACTATGAAGCTATATTGATTTAATATAGCTCTGCTGGTTTTAACAGATATTCATAAATACCCGAGACAGTTTACCAATTCCTATCGGTCGAGAGCCCGTCACGTGGTGGTTTTAAACCGCCAGCACATAGATATGGAATATATATGATTGCCGGTAAAACACCGCTGCGTTCTGCGCCACATCGCACAGTATGTACGCGCCGCGCGCTAATTTCCATAATTTTTAGCACTACGCGTGCAAGACACATGACATGGCCAGATGGGTGTTGCACAAAACATAAAGTAATATTGCTGAGCAAAATCATTGGAAATTTGTGGAATTTTGACTCATTTTGACTTTTTGACCGAGCCTTCGGTCGTTATCCGCGTCCGGTCCCCTGTCCGGTTTTAAACGTATTGTTTATTTCGTCCGCATTTTCACGAAGGGAAAAATGTGTCCATGGACCTTTAACAATGAATCCGTAAGCACAAGGACTGATGCAGGATTCGAACCAATGCCCAATGTATTCCATTACAAATCTGTAGGCCTTGACCCAGCGGCGGCGGAACGGGTTTGAAACTGGGGGGCATCACCAAAAAGGGGCACTTGCAAACCCGTGCTGAAATGTCGACACGTTTTTTTCACCGGACACTTGGCCTCCGTAAAATCAAATAGTCTGGGTGTGTGTGGGTGTGTGTCTGTGTGTGTGGGTGAGCTTGTCTTACATACGCAGTGTGGACTTCCGAACAAAAGACGTCCACATAATGTAGGTAGCACCGACGTTGTGTGGACTTGCCCACGTCCACACAGTGTTTCCCCATTTCTGGAAAACAGGTTTAGAGGCATTTTTGGGTTAGGTTTATCTGTAGCAGAATGAAGAGAAACACTAAAGGGAATCATAGAAAAAAAATTGGGTTGAAAGAGTTTTCACAGTTTGAGAAAAATGAGTTTTTTCACTGGTTTTTCTTAACTACACGAAAGCAATGGAAAGTCCACACTAGTCATGTGAAACAAGTATTTGTGTGTGTGTGTGTGTGGGGGGGGGGGGGGTTACCTTCTTCCAACATAGGGGGCGCTCTTCAAAACCAATGATTATATGCTAAATATGCATTATGTGCCCATTTTCAGGGCGTATTGTATCGGTTTTGGGACTTGGTTTACATATTCATCGTTTATATCAAAAATATCTATACCATTATTGGGAAATGGTTACTTCTAAGAAATAGTAAGATACTTTAACGGCATTTTTGTTTTATCTCGAGGGGACACTTTAATGCTCGAGGGGGCACATTTATGGCCGCAAAAGGGGCACTTGGGAAAATCGGGGGGGGGGCAAACGCCCCCCCCCAGGCCCCCCCCCCTCCCCCCGGTTCCGCCGCCCCTGCTTGACCAAAACACCATTGAGAATGATTTAGTGAACATGTTCGAAATCTGTAAACCAAACTTGGCCACAAGGTTGTTTTTTTTTTTTTACCTTTTAGAAACGCGGACTTTACCCACTGGAGAAACTATTACTATAAATCACCGGTTGTTGTTGGGCTCAGCAAGGCGGAGAACAAGGTGTAACTTAGTTGCTAGACCATTGAACCTGTATTTTTTCCCCTGACGTGGAGTCTGTGAAGCCAGGCTTAATTTCCTCCTGCGTAATCATCATCGACTCTGCCGGGCTGCAGATTCGTTGCACCCTTTCCTCCTCAGACCCAGTAACACACTTCATCTCGCCAAGTGGCATAACTGGGTCTTTTTTGTCATTTGTGGGGCACCAGCTGGTGAGCTGAGCCACGCTTCTCTCTATACTAAGACAAATTGATTTGCTATTACCTTGTTCTGTCCAAGGACACCGGTTATTGCTAATTCTTTGAATCTATTGAATAAATATGGTTTGACTGGTTAGCTGAGGTCAGTGTGGTGTGCCACCCAAAATCCTTCCCGTCTCCTTCACAATATTTGTGAAAGAGACAACTTGCTATGGTTAATGCGGTTGGAACGAGGAAAGTTGACAAGTTGGTTAGTCAGTTTTTGTTTAAAATCTTGAAAAGAACGCCAGTGACGGAAAGGACGGTCATGGTGATCAGAACCGACATGAGCAACTACGTAATTAACAACAGTTGATGACCTTTATGCATGACGATGTACAACCAAATGAACACATGAGCTGCTTGTGGGTAAATAAATATACGTAAAAACACTCTTTTTGAAAATGGCTACATGCTGTATTTTGAGAATTGTTTTTGCACAATGTGAAAGGCCAATTTTAATTCTTCACAATGAAAAAGACAACATCACTCATCTTGTTTAATGTTATTATTTTTTTAATTACCCAAACTTTAGGAATTACAGGAACGGGCGGAGACGAATAAGGTATAGGAGGCTGTAAAAGCTTGGAACCTAGCAGACATCAAACCAAGAGGGCGCCCCACACAAGGTAAGCGTTTACCTAAAGGTTATCATAGGTCGGTTCCAAAGATTTACAACTTCCCGACAGCTTATTCACTTCACCGTACCTGTTGACTTTAACGCAGTAAGAATCCTCATACGAAAAAAAATCCATTGGTAACGGAAAAACATTAGCTTCATTGTTAATTACGGTGCCTGCTGGATCTGCCGGTTTCAAATTAATATTTGACTGAAATGGTAAAAGTTAGAAAAGTCCCCAGTCGAACTATTGAAATTAAAACATTTGCACAGAAAAAAATTGGACAGAAAATGGCCCCTATAACAACACGCGCACAATATTGAACCCACAAAAAAAATGAACAATCATCTCCCGTGAATTCGTTTCGCGCCCTGGGCAATGTGGTTTCTGTTGGTGCACCCACGCGGCGCCACCCTTACCCTGCAATTTCTTGCAGTCCCAATTGCCCAAGCTCAACACCCGTATAGCCGAATATTTTAACCTTATTTTAACCTTATTTTCAATTTTGATTTTGCCATTTTGGAAAGGCATTTTGGTGCCTTTGTTAATTTTTATGCTAATAAGAAATTCCATATTCATGAGCAAAAGTGTGATGTCATTTCAGGCAGAAACCTCAATGTTGCAGCTCAATTTCAGCACAAAAAAATCGTTGTTGTTTCATGACATGAAAGTAAGCCAATGAGCACAGTTTTCTCACAAATCATCCATTAAGTAAATTTTGGAGTCACAATTTGAACAGAAAACGCATAAAGTGAACAGTGTCTTCCTGAAATGACATCACAGCAACAGCGCCCTAATTTATCAGGAAAAGCGTGGACATTTAAAAAAAAAAAGGTTTAAAGAAGTGCACTTTGCAATTAAAAATTAACCAACAAGGGATGTCAAATAGTTTTCATACATAGTAGAAAGTTGCGCAAAACATATTCCCAAGTAAGAATCATGTCACAGGCCCTTTCAATACCAAACCATGTTCTGTCATCTTGTCGTTTATTTTTTTTTTCCTGAGAAAGTTGTTACCCCTAAACTTAACCAAGTCTTTCTTGCAACCATTCCCTCGCCTCGTCCGTCATCAACATGTGGGGCTGATCTAGCTGGTCGTTTACGTTGCGGCCAATGAACGTCACTCTGCCGCCCTCTATGACGAGGATGCGGTCTGGATGCGCGTCGTAAGCCAGCGCGAAGCCGTTGTCCATGTTGTCGAGCACCAGTCTGAGTTTGGTCTGACTGGAGAGATCGTCGGTGAAGGTGTGGTGGTTTTGGGCGTCTATCTCCATCAGTGAGCTGCGTGTAAGTAAAAGAAGTAGCTGATCAGTAATGTTACTCATGCAGTAACCTAGAAATTGGAATGTGTGGCCACAGGTGGCCACATTGGACCATTCCAGATTCGGCCTCAAGCCCCATCCACCTTTGGTTTGTGTACACTACCCTGGTCACCTGACCAAAAGTCGTGATCTAATTGGTTAATGGGCACTGTTTGATTGACAGGCAGGAGGAAGCTTCCATCAATTGGTGGATCATTGGACTTGTGATCACATAAAGGTGTCCACATTTTGACCAGTGGCAATTTAAACATGTGGCCACCGTAGATGGGTGGCCACAATTGGCAGGTGGCCACTGTGGTAGGTGGCCTCAATGGCAGGTAGCCACAATGGCTGGTAGCCACAAGGCAGGTAGCGACAATGGCAGGTAGCCACAATGGCATGTAGCCACAATTTTGGCCCAGTGGTCAAAACCTATATAATAAATCGTGATAAACTGGTGGCCGTATGGAGCAGGTAGCTCAAGTCGGTAACCTCAAAATGTATGCCATAAAGGAACAGGTAGACCATCTTGTTCTTCTTACCGTGCAACCTCCACTCTTTCTTGTATGGTCTTGTGCTGGTCCATCTTCTGGTAATCAAACCCAAACCCCCACCTCCCCTTCGGGTGTGCCTCGGCCAGGTACACGCAGAGGAAGTCGACCCGGTCCTTGAAGTCTCTGAACAACTCGTGCAGAGTACCTCCCAAGACACAGGCCTGTACATTGGATCAAAACAGCAGAAGTCAACAATACACCTATTCTTTGAGAACGGAAGCCTTTGGAATGGGGCATGAAGATACGGCCGTGACGCCAAACATGATAGCATTCAGGAAAGTCCCGGTGCTCCAAGCTTTTTTGACTGATGACAAATTTAATTCCAGTTCAAGAAGAAAATCGATAAGGTAAACAATTACTGTGCACCAGACAACCAACCCATCGCACGTTAAACAATGCACAAAAAGTAAGTTACTGTTTAGAACTTGTTTCTAGCTAAATGAATGGTAGAAGTTGTATTACAAGAAGTTGTTTTACTCCTGTATAGTAGACTTTGTGACAGACAATGAAGGGTGTTCTTCAATCGGCGTGACAAGCATTCACTTCAAATTACATGGGAAACTCGCCAACACTGACGAGTGTTACCACGGAAATCGCGTATACGCCAGCTAATGTTAAAAATTTCTGAGGAATAAAGTATCGGAGATGATTTCCAACAAGGCTGCTTTACTCACCGCAAACGGGGGTCAGGAAAGCGAGGAGGCGATGACCAAGAGAGGGCGCTCTTTGTGCACGTGCAGACTGGAGAAGGATACCTCCTCGTTTGCCATGGAAACCAAGCCCACATCTTCCATCGGATCTCCGACTTTGAGAGTAAAGCCCATGCGCTTGATGAAGACCACGAACTGCATGACTTCCGTCAACACCTAGATTGAAAGAGACATTTAACTAGATACGCTTACCGTAAGCAAGGAATTTCTGCTATAGTAAGCAGGGAGTTTTCGCTAACTGTAAGCAGAGCCAAGAAATTGGGCCCTGATCTTGTTAAGCACAAACAGTCTTAGGAAAGGTCTTTACTTAACATCGCCATAAAAGAGACATTTATGTGGGCAAGAGCCACGGCTGAACGTCTGATATGTCGTAGCATGTAAATTGTATGCGACCCCGCGCGCCATCGGAGTGGTCTTATAATAAGACACTGTGATGTCATTTCGATCAGAAATGTGGACTAAGCTGTGGATTGGTCAATTTGGATGCCATGGTTTTTTTTAATACAACAACGGGTTACGGAAGTCCCGATAGAAGGCGCCCGCTGAATGGTCAGAATGTCAAGGTCAGGACGCAGTCTTGTTTTGCATAATTAATCGCCGAATCTGCTCGCATATCATAGACCTTGATGTGCAATGGGCATATGTCATAGATCCTTACCGTGGGATCAACACTCCACTTGTGAAACATCATCTTCAGTATACCAGGGAATTTTTTCCAGTCGGTGATGGATGACGCCAGACCCAATTCCTCAATGGTGGTTCTATCAACAGATCGCAGGGTAACCTACGAGAAGTGTTATGAAATCACGAAATTTAAAAGTAATTCCTTTTGCTGTAATTTTTAGAAATGGATATTTCATAGCAAGTATTGTTACACTGACCTGTTTAAAGTTTTGTATTCATAGATGCTTGAAAAACCAAGGAATTAATGCTGTTCTTGTAGTCTGGTCCCCTGACCCTACTTCAGAAGAAATGCAGCAATTTTGTAGGCGTCAGAGGAATGTCAGTTCAGGGAACCAGACTAGCTGGCTCGCACCTGTTCACGGATGTGTAACCAATTGCAAACAAAATGTGGACTAACTTAATTTGGTAAATTGGGGGCAGTATTTGAAAAAGTCAGGTTTTTTTCCCGAACATCCTTGGAAATGGATACAAAATTCGGATTTTCTTGAAAATGTCAGCACACCAGGTGACACGATTTCACAGGATGCTTGAGACTATTTTTCACTTACGGTCAAGTAAGGGATTTCATAATATTGGTAGTTGGGTTGGTTTTTTGCAAATGTTGTATATTACCTTTAATAAACAACGTTCACAAATAATTTGATTGAAACTAAAAAAAACCCAAATATTTATTGAACATGGAGGATCAATGGACAATTTTTTTGTGCTTTTTGTTTGTTTCATTTGTTTGGTTTGGGGTTTTTTTCTGTTTGTTTTTTATTGTGTGTTTGGTTTTTATTTCATCACCCATTTAATTAATTTTGTATTATTAATTTCATTTCCCAAAATGTTTTTATTTATGTATTTATTTTATTACCTCAAACGTCACCATGGCTCCCGGCTTGCTGGGGTCGAAAGTTTTCTTGAATTTGTCCGCCGAATCCTGCCGGTTCGAAATCTCTTTATACTTGCGGAAGATCTTGAGGGCGTCCTCTCTACTGTCGAAGAGCTCCAGGCCCTGTGCGTCTGGTGGCAGGCCAAACTGATTTTGATACGAAGCCCCAGTCGATTTTTGAAGGAAGAAAAAAACAAAAGGAAGCAGGATCGAGAAAATATTGATCTGGATGGAGATGAAAAAAAGTTTAGAATGCAATACAATGGCGAATGAAGCACAAGTGAAATCGTCATTGTCTTTATGTTTTTTATGTGCTTATAAAATCCAAATTTTCCAGACCATTTTCTTGAAGGACGGATTATTTCCGTCATTTTTTTGTGGCCTTCTTTCGTCCATTTTCCCCTCTACATCTCACCACACTCTGTCATAGCCTCCCCTACAAAAAAGGCATTTTCCTTCAAACACTGTCTTTAAAATTGAACCTGTATTTGCTTATAAGTTCTCCTATATGGCATTTTGTCACTAAAGCACTGATGGTATACAAAGGTCGAAAATTACCCCCCCCCCCACCCCACATAACTAGACTTTCTGTATAACTTTAATGTAGTACGCAAGAAAAACGACAACTTGTGACTCAGAATTCCGTCCCAAGTCCTATTTAAGTTGGAATATAGGCCTACGTGCTTTTTCTTCTTCAAAATGTCGATTTTCTTTTCCGAAATTTAAAGGAATATAATGTCCTGTAACAAATACATTAGCTTGTTTGTTTTTGCAGGCCTTTACACAGTTTTTTTAAAGTGGTTTTAGATGGCGCGCTCTAGTTCAGAAAGTTTTGAGCGATATGATTACTATTCATATCTAGTGACTTATCAGCTCATACATTATGTATGTTAATTTTGGAATCACGCGTTTTGTATTCGCCTGGTCCGCCGATCCTAGGCGATGATCGCCGGGCCCGGGCTGGTTTGCGAGACTGCTCTGCGATCAAAGTAGGCTCTCTTGCAGTCAGGCTGGCCTGGCCGCACCACACTCCACGTTCTATCAGAATCTCTGCTACTTTTGCGTCTTTTCCTCTCACTGGACGCAAACCCATGGTTTTCCAAGTCTTGTTTTACGGTACCTGTACGACACTGTCATGTACATTGTACGTACCGTGTACACACATATCCATTAATTCAAAAGTTCAAATTAGTTAATTGATTACTTGTCGAAGGCCGATTTTTTCGCTCGATGACTCATTGGAAATCTCATAACTAATGTAATGCTAGAAAATTATCAATTCAATTTGAAAATGTATTTTTAAGGTGCGACACCCAAAAAGCACGTACTTTTTGTACCAACTTCAAAATGTTAACCTACCATTCCCATCCCGGTCGCAAGACCTGGACCGTGCCCGGACATTTCAGCAGTGGGTGTCAGCGATGCTTTTCTCCCCACGAACTATCCTTCAGTATCTGCTGGAAGCTTGTCGTTCCCACGCACTCGGTCCAACTTTTAAAGGTCCTGCACGCACCGATTTATTAGTTGTACGCAACAAGGCAAAATAGTTCCCCTCTGATGTTAAGTTTTTTGTTGTTTAATAATGCCAAAAAGTCACTAAGCATGACCACTGAAATGCTTCCGCCACCCAGCCCATTCAGAATAGTACTCGGAGTGAGTCTTTGCAAAATACAGTTTGCCCCGCGTTCAAAGTTCCAAACCTGTTGTCTGTATACGGTCAGGTCTGTTAATTAATAGACAGTTATATAAAAGCACCGCACCTTGCAATAAAAATATACATTCTTATGTAAATGCAGCAGTTTCTGGGTCACATCAAAGGTCAGGTTTATCACTAGGATTTTTCATTCAACTTTGTTTGTTTGCCACGTAGGCCAGTGTTATCAATATAGATCTTGATCTATAGATCTAGCACTTGCCCCCCCCCCCCCGATTTACCCAAGTGCCCCTCTTGCGGACATAAATGTGCCCCCCCCCCCCAGCATAAAATAATGTGGCCCCTCAAGATGAAAACAAAACTTTCCCTAAAATGTCGGAGAATTTGTTTTCAGTACCATTTCCCAAAATACAGAGTTTTGATATGAGCGGGGAATTATGACAACCAAGCCCCAAAACCCATACAATGCGCCCTGCGTAGTTTGCATAATGGCCGGATTTGAAGAGCTCCCCCTATTTTGGAAGATGGTACTAGCCCCCTTTTGTTTGTCCACTAGCCCCCCCCCCCCCCCCCCCCACCACCACCACCACTATTTGATTTAACAGAGGCCAAGTGTTCGGTGGAAAAACGTGTCGACATTTCAGCACAGATGTGCCAAAAAAACTGCTGGATACGCTGCTGCACCGACCGAAGATGCCTGTTACTGAGCAAGTGCCCTTTTTTTGGTGATCCCCCCTCCCTCCCGTTTGAAAACAATTCCGCCGCTTCTGCATGAAGGGTTAATAATTACAGGGCGAGTAAAAAAACAAACCCAAATGTCAAGACCATTTCTTTTTAAGAAAGTAGTTTGCACAGTAAGCATAGGCCAATTTTAATTCTACACAATTAAAGAGACAACATCACTCATCTTGTTTAATATCATTTTTTTAACTACCCAAACTTTAGGAATTACAGGAACGGGCAGAGACAAATAAGGTATAGGAGGCTGTCAAAGCTTGGAACCTAGCAGACATCAAACCAAGAGGGCGCCCCACACAAGGTAAGCGTTTACCTAAAGGTTATCATAGGTCGGTTCCAAAGATTTACAACTTCCTGACAACTTATTCACTTCACCGTACCTGTTGACTTTAACGCAGTAAGAATCATCATATGATGAAATTCATTGGTAACGGAAAAACCAATAACTTTTAATAGTTAATATATGCTGGTGTCTGCCGGTTTCAAATTAGTCCTTGACTCGACCGTAAAATTGGGAAAAGTCCCCAGTTGAATTGGCGATCAAGCTAAACGAATAGTTTGTCGGCAATTATGATATTAAGATACAACCCAAAATAGGTTAGTAGGGGTGGACATTTCAAAATGGACTTTTTTCACTTAAATCAGAAGGCTACATAATAATGTCCTCTTTCATGTCAACTATTTTGTTTCCGAGAAAAACTCACGATAAAGTAGTTATAATGTGACATTTTGGCCAAGGAGTTAATATCCAATAACCTGAAATAAAGCATGTTTATTGTTGCTTGATAAAAACTTCAATTTGAATAGTTGATTAGTCTGTTGGATTTCCGAGTCTCATAACTTCATTTAAGATCGTATTCACGTGGGGTTTTCAGCAAAATATAAGCTGAAAGATATATAGCTCTGTTCAAAATTATAAAAATCGATAAGGCGCCGCGCCGACAAACGACTCATTTAGCTTGATCGCATTACTATTACTGAATCAAAAACATTTGCACAGAAAAAAAAATTGAACCCACCCAAAAGAAATGAACAATCATCTCCTGTGAATTCGCTTTGCGTCCAACATTCAGTGTTGGTGCAGCTTTATAGCGTGAGTAGCTTTCACCCACACGGTGCCAACCTTACCCTGCCCAAGTTCAACACCCGTATAGCCGAATACCCATTACCGATAACGTAAGATTAGAACCTTAAATACCAAATCATCTTCTGTCACCTTGTTGTCGTTTTTTTCCTGAGAACGTTGATGCCCCTAAACTTAACCAAGTCTTTCTTGCAACCATTCCCTCACTTCGTCCGTCATCAGTGTGTGGGGCTGATTCATCTGGACCTCAATGTTGCCGCCAATGAACGTAACTCTGCCGCCCTCTACGACTAGGATACGGTCTGGGTGCGCGTCGTAAGCCAGCGCGAAGCCGTTGTCCATGTTGTCGAGCACCAGTCTGAGTTTGGTCTGACTGGAGAGATCGTCGGTGAAAGTGTGGTGGTTTTGGGCGTCTAGCTCCATCAGTGAGCTGCGTGCAAGAAAGAAGTAACTGATCAGTAATGTTACTCATGCAGTGACCTAGAAATTGGAAAGTGTTTTTTTAGAACCAGCTGGCCGTGACAGGTGGCCACATTGGACCATTCCACATTCGGCCCAAGTACCGCCCAAGTACCTTTGGTTTGTGTATTTCTCACTCATCACTGAGTTTGACCATAGAGAAAGGACCAAGAGGTGGCTCCAACGAACGGAAGACCACAAATAAAAGGTGGCCACATGTTGGCCAGTGGCAATTTAAACATGTGGCCACCGTGGACGGATGGCCTCATTGGCAGATGGCCACAATTAGCAAGTGGCTGCACAGTGGCAGGTAGCCAAAATTCTGGCCAAGTGGTCACAACCTATAGAGAATAAGTCACGATAAACTGGTGGCTGTGGAGAGCAGGTAGCCTATGTCGGTAACCTCAAAAGTGGCGCCATAAAAGGACAGGCAGACTCGGTGGTATACCATGCGGTCTTAACAACCAACGTACGGTTCCTCTAGTAAAATTTGATACAAAGATTATTGAGTACTCTTTTCCTATTCAAGACTCATCTTGAGCTCTTGTTATACTTACCGTGCAACCTCCACTCTTTCTTGTATGGTCTTGTGCTGGTCCATCTTCTGGTAATCCAACCCAAACCCCCACCTCCCCTTCGGGTGTGCCTCAGCCAGGTACACGCAGAGGAAGTCGACCCGGTCCTTGAAGTCTCTGAATAACTCGTGCAGAGTACCTCCCAAGACACAGGCCTGTACATTGGATCAAAACAGCAGAAGTCAACGAGCTAGATGAATGACAGAAGTTGTGTTTCAAGAAGTTGTTTTATAAGACAGTAGCACTAATTTGTGTCAGAATGTTCGACAATCGGCATGGCATGGGAAACTCGCCAACACTAATGGAAGTTACCACGGAAACCGTATATAATATACGCCAGCTAATGTTCAAAATTTCTTAGGAACAAAAGTCTTGGAGATGATTTTCAACAAGGCTACTTTACTCACCGCAAACGGGGGTCAGGAAAGCGAGGAGGCGATGACCACAAGAGGGCGCTCTTTATGCACGTGCAGACTGGAGAAGGATACGTCCTCCTTTGCCATGGAAACCAAGCCCACATCTCCTATCGGATCTCCGACTTTAAGAGTAAAGTCCATGCGCTTGATGAAGACCACAAACTGCATGACTTCCGCCATCACCTAGGATTGAAAGAGACATGAATTTAGAAACCGACTTTATCATATCAAACCATTGGACATTGAAATGGAGTTGTTCATCTTTGGCAGTTGCATTGTAAATAATTATGTAATATTGTGTAATTTAAGTTTATTTTTATCAAAGCCTTCGTTTAGTCGAGCCTAGTCATCGTATTTTTGCTAATAGTGGAATTATGTGCTTGGCCGGTTTTATTGTACCGCTGGCTAGAGACATGGTCGTGGATAATGGCCAGAACCGCTGAATGGTCAGAAACTCGAGGTCAAGACGCAGTCTTGTTTTTCATAATTAATTGCCGAATCTGCTCGCATATCATAGACCTTGATGTGCAATGGGCATATTTCATGGAACCTTACCGTGGGATCAAACCTCCACTTGTAAAACATCGTCTTCAGTACGCCGGGGAATTTGTCCCACTCGGTGATGGATGAAGCCAGACCCATTTCCTCGATGGTGGTTCTGTCGACGGATCGCAATGTAGCCTACGAGAAGTGTCATGGAATCAGAAAATGTAATAAACATTTTTATAATAATGTGCTTATATTACCTCTGTTCATCAGGTCATGAGATCAGTTTTGCAGCAGCTCGAGATCAGCGCATTCTAGTCTCTACCTTTTAACAGGTACCCATTTATACACCTGGATGGAGAGAGGCAGTTGTAGTAAAGTGTCTTGCCCAAGAACACAAGCACCATGTTCCCCGTCAGGGTTCGAACCCATGTACCACGGCACCTGACTTGAGTCGAACACCGTAACCGTTGGACCACCACAGCGCTCCACAAACTGCGATTGTAAACTAACGAGCAATGGTATTTTTTTATTGAGGCCCAATGAAACTTTTTTTCTTTTCTGTTTTGTTGTTTCCTTCCGTGTTTTTTATTTCGTGTTTTTTTTTTAATATCTATATTTTTTTTTTACCTCGAACGACACCAAGGCTCCCGGCTTGCTGGGTTCGAAATTTTTCTTGAATTTGTCCGCCGAATCCTGCCGGTTGGAAATCTCTTTGAACTTGCGGAAGATCTTGAGGGCGTCCTCTCTACTGTCGAAGAGCTCCAGGCCCTGTGCGTCTGGGGGCAAGCCCTGCAGCGGAACATGCTACGAAGGCGCAGTCGATTTGTGATTGTAGAAAAGCAAGGGATCAGGAATTGACTAAAGAATTTAAAATCGTGGCAGAGTGGAGAATAGGCATGAAGTGCAACCCGAATGTCTCGGTCATTTCTTCTGGTGCGCATGTAAGCAGTATTTTTCGGGTTAATTTTCTCGAATGCAATAATTTCTCGTCATTAAAATCGTCGTGTAAATCTAACCACACCGTGTTCCATCCACGGTCCACCCCTAAAAAAGCCATAAAGTGCACTGCGTTGGGTTTTTTTTCCAAACACAGCCTCTTACATTCATGGTGTATGTGCTAACTGCATATTCCCCTCATGTGTTTTTTCCTCCTGATTCTATTGGTACATTATTTTATTGTTAATATAAAGGTCCAACGTTTCACAACAACTGAAAGTTAACTTGCGTTTTATGGTACATTACGTCAATTAGTCTTCTTGATGTATTACGCCAGTAAACGACAAATTCTGACCCAAATTTCCGTCCCAAGTCATTCTAGAATGTTTACCTACCTGGGACTCCCCTTTCATTCCCATCATCCCGGGCCCATGAGCTTGATCGGTATCAACCATCACGGCAGTGGGTGTCCGCGATGCTTCTCTCCCCACGAACCAGCCTCCAGTATCCGCTCAAAACTTGTCGTTCTCACGCTCTCGGTATACACCCTGGCCTTGGGTGAACGAATTTAGTTGCTCGCAACAAAGCAAAATATTATTCCCTCTGCTGTTAAGTATTTTTTTCTTTTATGACGACAAAAAGTCAATAAGAGTGACCTCTGAAATGCTTCCGCCAGCCAGTCCTTTCAACCTAGTAGCACTTACAGTTTATTGTTGCCGTGTCGCGTTCAAAGTTCCCAACGTGTTGACGTTAACGTCAGGTCTGTCAATGGACGGCTTATAATAGCGCCACAGTTCACAATATACAAAGACGCATTCCTTATGCAAATGCAGCAGTTTTATCAATAACATATCGAGTTTAAAGGTCCATGAAATAAACTTTTTCCTTCAGCATATGTTGTAGCCAACGTCGATTCCCCTAAAATGTATACAAACTATGAGACATCCCTTTTTGGTAAACATTTTTACAAAGTTCTTTTTTTTTACATTTAAAAATGTTTCATGCTTTTCCCGACAACTGAGGGCGCTGTGATTGTGATGTCACTTCAGGAACACACTCTACAGATTGGAGTTTTTCTCTTCGAATTGTAAACTCAACTACCCAAGATGGTGTTTTATGGAAAACATTTGGTGGGCATAAAGTTTTCTCATTGCCTTACTGTCATATACTAAAACAACAACGAACCACTGAAAGCGGCAAAATATACCACGGCCAACGCTTAAAATTCCGGAGACTTCTTAAGAATCTTATGCAGAGGCAGATGCGAAACTGAGAATTCTGCCTTGAATGACATCACAGGGGTGCTCATGAATATAGAAAATTTGAATTAGCAAACAAAAACAAAAACTGCATCAAAACGCCCTTGAAATGGCAATATGAAGATTAAAATTAAACTTACATTGAACACAAACGTACAATTCAAGGATTGCATTTTAAAAATAAATCCATCACATGATCTTTAATTTTGATTTTTATCTATTTTTTGCCACATAGGCTCAGTGTTATCAATGTAGATATAACTTAAGTAAACTTTGAAGTCATTGTTGTGCAGGTCACTGCGAGTAATGCTTACAAAACACGCCTCGCACGCACACAGCGAAATTCAGTAGATCTCAGGCATACTCTTACATAAAAATTATATGTACAGAGTTTAAAAAAAAAATAAGGTGATAGTTCAGTTGCTAGGCTGAATACATGATTGTGTACCTGCTTATTCACCCTTGAGTAACTTACAATAGTAGTGGGTTCAAAAATGCAAACAGGTCTCCGTGTTGGATTTAATATTTCTCCAAAAAGAAATCAACCATTGTTTGTTTCTCGACGCGCACTGTTCCGAATTTCCTGTTAACATCTATCGTGGGGCTCTATGCTTCTATCATGCCAATGGCGCACCTAGGATTTGTTTTTTTGGGGGGAGGACTGAAGAAAAAAAATGTTTTTTTACAAATTTGTTAAAAGTTGATTTTTTTTTTTTGGCAAAAAAATGTTGCCCAAAATTTTTGGCCGCAGAAAAAAAATGGGGTGTTTTTTTTTGAGGGGCGGCCTATTTTCACGTTGGTGGCGCCACTTACACCCCTATTATACTACTCGAAAACAGGCCACATTCGTATCACCAAGGCCAAACCGTGGGACTAAAAAAATAATACCCAAAACAATAAATAAATTGACAACCACTGGTTATAAAAAAATGCATGGTTGTTAAATATTTCAGTTAAGTGGCAGTAAAAAGGCCGACAGTCATGATATATTCATTGTGCTATATTTTAATTGCTGGTTGAAGTACGTCTTTACATAGTGCCTTTTAACGAAATTTCCTGTTAACCTCTATCGTGGGGCTCTATGTTTCTATCATGCCAATGGCACACCCAGGATTTGTTTTTTTTTTGGGGGGGGGGGAATCCAAAAGTTTGTTTTTTACAAATTTGTTAAAAGTTGAATTTTTTTTTTGCAAAAAAACTTTGCCCAAAATTTTTGGCCGCAGAAAAAAAATTGGTTGTTTTTTTTAGGGGCGGCCTATTTTGACGTTGGTGGCGCCACTTACACCCCTATTATACTACTCGAAAACAGGCCACATTCGTATCACCAAGGCCAAACCGTGGGACTAAAAAAAAATACCCAAAACAATAAATAAATTGACAACCACTGAGGGGGGGGGGGGCTCAAGCCCCCCCCCCCCCGAGGTCCCCCTCCCCCCGGGTGCGCCACTGTAACATGCATGCGTGCCTGATTTTTTATCGTGTGTGGTTATAAAAAAATGCATGGTTGTTAAATATTTCAGTTAAGTGGCAGTAAAGTGGCCGACAGTCATGATATATTCATTGTGCTATATTTTAATTGCTGGTTGAAGTACGTCTTTACATAGTGCCTTTTAATGAAATAATAATAATAATAGTGGGTATTTATAAAGCGCACGTATCCACCAGGACTCAAGCAAGGGCGGATCCGGGGGGGGGGCAAAGGGGGCCATGTTTCTCGACGTGCACTGTTCCGAATTTCCTGTTAACCTCTATCGTGGGGCTCTATGCTTCTATCATTTTTTTGGGGGGGGACTCAAAAAATTTGTTTTTTACAAATTTTTAACAAGTTGATTTTTTTTTTTTTCACAAAATTTTGCCCAAAATTTTTGGCCGCAGAAAAAAAAAAGGTTTTTTTTTTAAGGGCGGCCTATTTTGACGTTGGTGTCGCCACTTACACCCCTATTATACTACTCGAAAACAGGCCACATTCGTATCACCAAAAAAAAAATCCCCAAAACAAATTAAAAATTGACAACCACTTGGGGGGGGGGGGCTCAAGCCCCCCGAGGCCGCCCCCCCCCCGGGTGCGCCACTGTATCATGCATGCGTGCCTGAATATTTATCATGTGTGGTTATAACAATATGCATGGTTGTTAAATATGTAAGTTAAGTGGCAGTAAAGTGGCCGACAGTCCCTATCATGATATATTTATTGTGCTATATTTTAATTGCTGGTTGAATTACGTCTTTACATAGTGCCTTTTAATGAAATAATAATAATAGTGGGTATTTATAAGCGCATGTATCCACCAGGACTCAAGCAAGGGCGGATCCGGTGGGGGGGGGGGAAGGGGGCCATGCCCCCCCCCCCCCAAAAAAAAAACGAATCAATTTTTTTTTAGTGACTTCGCAATAAAGGCAAGCAATGAGTACACCACCATCTTTTCCTCAAAGAAACATTGGTTAAAGTGGTCAAAAATTGCCTCAGATCGCACCACAGAGCATCTAGAATCCAAAAAAATTTCGGGGCCCTTAAGCGGGCCACGCAATTTAGCCGTAATTTTTTAGGACACACTTTTTGGGGACCAAAATGTTTTTTTGGCCTCCCAAAAAAAAAATGTGTTCTGGATCCGCCCTTGGACTCAAGGCGCTACATCGTTATTACCCCTGCTCATTGGGCCAATGAAACATTCCAAAATACCATCTGAGCACATTGAGTGACATTTGTTCATGCTTTTTGTTTTATGTGATGTTTAATGCTTTCCTTGTGGTTGACTTTACCTCGTAATGTAAGTGCAGCATTGTCCTAGATCATTTCCATTGGCTGCTGTATCGTGATCAGCTAATATGATTTAGCTCTCTAGTCGTAGAACTTGTTTCTGTTCCATAGGTCATGCCTGTAATAGAATGCATTGGGTGCACCCTACGTCGAGTGCTTAGTGTTTCAGATCCTCCTTTGTCGTAGGACTGTATGGCCTATTCGATTAAGAAGTATAATATTAGGATTCATTTTTTTCTCCATCTTTTGGCGACAATCAAGTATGTGAAGTAAACCATCAAAGAATTCAACAAAAGATAAAGGTTCATTATTCAAATTATGAACCAGAAAATTAAATGTCGAAAAATCATGGAAAAGTTGTCCCATTCGTTACATTGTGCTCTGAAGCATTTGCCAAGAATTCATAGACGCCTGTACAAGGCCTATATCAGAATTGACTTTGACATTATTCCAGACTCGCTTCTCCGTAGAACGTCGACTCCTCCATCTCGCTAAGCTGGCTGATGTGCAGACCATCCACCGCTTCGCTCAGCACGCACGTCAGATTCTCCGCGAAGAAGTTGAAGGAGCCGCAGCGCGCGTCCCACAGACACGCCTGGGCGCACTCGGCGTAACCACACCCCGTCTTGTTGGCCAGGTTGCGTTGGAGCAAGGCTCGGTGCTTGAAGGCGTACAGGTGCAGCTGACGGGTCTTGATGATGCTGCCATCGTCAGTGTCTTGGGGAGGAGCTGCTTGATAGCGAACAGCTAACAACGCAAACACGATGATGAAGCACAGAGCTCTGATGGTTCCCATTCTTTTTATGAAGTATGAAGTCTTCCACCACAGGTCTCGATGTCTTCAAGAGATGAGGTAGTCCTCAGTTTCCAGAATTTTGCAGGTGACCGTGTTGACAGTTTTGAAAAGAATGAAAGAGATGATGCTGCCGCTCCTCCTGTCTCCTGACTAGCCACCTTCTAATTATAAGGGAATGATTTCTGGGCCGCACATTGTATCATCATTGAATGCCCGAGCGGAGCTGGAGGAACTGGCGCATCAGGGACTGGTCTCTTACATTACCATGGTAACGTTGCCTTAAATAAAAGCTTCATACCATTATCAACGCATCGACGATTAAGGCCAAAGAAACTGATCCCGCATCAGGGACTGGTCTCTTAAATTACCATGGTAACGTTGCCTTAAAAGATTCATACCATTATCAACGCATCGACGATTAAGGCCAAAGAAACTGATCCCGTAACGTCCATTCGCAACCGACCATAGAGGGCGGACGTCACAATAATGAGCGTTTTGCTCATAGGTTCTTGACAGAGGGCGCTAGTTTAAAAGGACGGCTTGGTTTCGTTCGAGGTTAACTTCATTTTGATGCCAAACCACAAAGTGTTTTATTTGGTCTCGACGGATCTAGCGTGCGACGCCTGACACTGAGTTTTACTTGATTACCAGTATTCTTTAAAAAAAAATAATTGTAAGAATGATTTAATATCGGTTGTGCGTGATATAATGCTTCCTTTACTTTGCATGCACGGAATTTAAAGTTTGACGACCGTGCATGCGCACTTGGGTGCAGACAAATTCATCACGGATACAACTTCAGCACGAAACACACACTACTCTGGTCCTTACACCTGTTGTAGAGTGTTAAGTGACCGTGTTTCCTTCTCTATTCACCCCGAGTATTTGACACTTGCCGACGCGGCTGATAACATTGACTCGGTCCGGACGGGTCATATTTGGTGTCTGATTAGAAACTCATCAATCATTTCGCTAAAAAGAGGTTGGCTATCTCTCGGCTTAACAACACTCTTCACTCTGAAGGAGATTTATATTCCATCAGTCAATTTTACTCTTTTCTGAACAGCACATCAATCTCATAGAAAAGGTGCGCTAAAGCTTTTGAGGCAAACACGCGTTTTGTTGCCTTTTCCCCCCTTTCAAATAAACAGTACTGAACAGCAGAAATCATAAACAGATTTAATATTGTATATTTTTTAATAGAAGTTAGAGTCTCTATAATCTTTACAGTTATTATAACTTTACAGATCACTTTCTGCAAAAAAAAGTTCAAAGTCTCAAAGAGTTTGAGTAAGCATTTAAGTGTTCAGCTAGGTGACAATAATAAACAGGTGCATGGGCGTGGTCATTTGCATAGCCGTTGGAATACAATTTTCATGCACAAATCAGCACACAATTCTCTCCGTTAGGTCCCTTCAGATCTGTTTTTTTTTTCAATTTCCACAAAAGTTGACTGTTTTAATTCTGTTAAAATTATATTATTTTTATTTCGATAACAGACAGCATCACTATACTTTACATCATGCATATGATGAACTGCAGTATACTACACACAACCCTGATCTCCGAATGGCCTGAGAAGAATTGCTCCTCGACAGTTAGACCTAATTGTGGAAGGATCAAAGAAACTAGTTCAGATAATTAGTTTTAATTTGTGTATTTTTTCCCAGTCGATTAACCTTCCGTGTCTGACTGCTTTAGTTTTCATATAGACCCTAGTCCATTTGACGTCATTGTGACGTCAAATCATAGTCAAGGCAGTGTGTCGAGGAAATCGTCCAGAATTATGCCACGATGTGCGTCTCATGACCAAGGTTAGAAATCGATTTTAAAAAGGTCTTAACTTTGCTCTTAAAGAGTTCTTGTAGTGATCCTAAACAATGTTGCAATGGCAGTAGGCCTACCTGTCCCAATTTTAGGAATTTGATCAAAATGTATGAACGGGCATTCTTTCTTCTGCTGGCAACAGTATGTATGATAAACATTCAACATCATGCATAGGTCATTTATTGATCTATTGGTTGGCTATCTGCTGGTCACGATTTAGGATGCTCTCCCATTCTCCTCGCCGCATGGAACCAGCAGGAGCCTCACTCCACAATGGCCCGGTCCAACTCCCGCGCCGAAGTCCCAACCGAGAACGACATAGTCCGTGATTTCAGGTATCCGAACCCCCCACTGTCCACCCTGGTCCTGGGCAGATTTCCCGGGTTCAAGAGCGACACAGTCCTGCCTCGGAACTCCGGTAGATACGGGTCCTCCATCAAGGCCATCTGATCGTCCAGCTCGCACAGGTCGTCCCCGTCTTCGTAGGCCAGGAACATGTCGTTATTCACGGTGGAATCCAAGCCCTCGGCGTTGGACTCGTAGCGAGAGAAAGACTCCACGGAGGCGGCGATGCGAGGCAGTTTGGCCACGGGGCGCTGGCCCGTGGTCACGGTGCCCTTGAGCTGGTAGATGACGGAGCGGAGCTGGAGGAATTGGCGCATCAGGGACTGGTCTTGTTGCTTCAACTTGGCCTGTTGGGGTGAAATGTCAAAGATTTAATCTGTCAGTTACGAAGTGAAACAAACTTGGACATTTCGAAAGACTATCAGTAAGCTTAAAACGAGTGTTACATCAACTTTATGTCAGTATTAAGGTCTATTATGCTTGGCATATTAAGGTCTATGCTGCAGACTACAGTCATGCTGAAAAGATCATAACTGGAAGTATACCTAATTAATTTATTTTTCATGATTTCAATGACAATCTTTGAAACTGTGTGAAAGATTTTTAAACCTGCGTCCTGCGTACTTGTCCAGCTTATTTCTAGTAGCAACTCAGTCCTTCAGGCATTTCAAATATGTGTCCTGGATCATTCTCCAATAGAAGAACTGAAACCGATATTTGGCAGGTCTTTTCTATTAAAAAAAGTTCACATCTCAGTCAAATCTCTGCGCCGCGCCTGTAATTATTATACCCAGACAGGCATCTAGCGCCCACGCTTAACTTGTCACTGTGTGAAATCCCTCTCGCCTTGAGAAACGTCTATACTCTCCTAAACTGCATGGATTTGACAGACCCACATTGAGTCTTAAGTGAACAACATTATCCCTATGGCTCTCGTGTGGTTTCATGTGTGGTTACTTGTGTGGTTTCAGTGACAGATGGCGAAAGCACATCGTACCAACTGTTTCATTAATTAATCAAGAAAAGCAACCGCACATGAAGTAATGTTTTATGTTCATTCATCAAACGATTTAATTTGATGTGTTCAATTGATTGTCAGCATAATATTGACCTGAACTGCATATCGTCGTTGTCATTTTTAGTCACCAACTTGGTCCCTTTAATGGCCATTGTCAACTTCGTCATTATCGTCCGTTGTCATTTTTTGGCACCGTTGCCGTCGTCATTATGGTCTGCGTCGTTGTCAATTGTCATCATATCCGTCAATGTCGTCATATCATTTTTGTAGTGGTCAACTTCGTCATTACATTGTCATATAGGCCTATCATGACATTTTCAATAATGTCCTTGTCAATATTTGGCATATGGCTCACTATATTGTGCCAAATTGGCATCAACATTGTCGTAATTCGTACGCCGTCTACATTTCTTCAAGACACATGACCCTCATTTTTAATTTCGTGCATCGTGTCACGCATGCGTGCAGTCATCGTCTTAGTGACATTGGCAAATTTCCTTTCCAAGAAATGGCATGCACGGCCGCATTCATTCGGATGGTTTAGCTATCGTTGTGATAGAGTACGAAAACTGATGGGAAGTGAATCATTTTAATTTGAAATCTCAAAAATTATTTGTAATCCATATGTTCCGCAACTTGATTTTTTCCGCAAATACATTTCCTGCTAAATTACATGATATAAAGCATTTTACAAACATTTTTGAATAATTGTTCCCATTTGCTATGTTGTTTTAACGAAACGTACATGATATTTATCTTCTCTTTATTTGGAAACAAAAAGGGAGGTTAATACAATATTTTTTTAAAATTTTGTTTGCATTGACTACAACCTTTGCCTTTTTTTCTTTTGGCTTCGGGGCTGTACGTGCTCTGAAGTGAGTGTTTGTAATTCGGTTTGCCGTGACGGAGACGTTGAGAAACATTGCGCGAATTATACACAAGCCGCAGGGCTCGAAATATTCCGCTGCATGTTGGGGCATGCAAATTGTCTTGTGCATGAATAGACTATAGAAATTAGCTTCAAGGGGACTCTTTATTTCTGTTTAATTGATTTATGTAAGGCCTATTTATTTTGTTTCTTTACCCATAATTGTAAGTTTACCCAATTGAGACACGGTTTGTTTTAAACATGTTTAAACATTCGTTGCAAACATAGGCCTAATATTATTATCATTCGGTCAGTGAAATTTAAAGGGCCCGTGTAATATTTTTTTTTTTAATGCAGTCATTGTAAGTGCACCTTTGTGTCAAATTTTACCTTATTTTCAATTTTCATTTGGCCACTTTAATGGCATTTTAGTGCCTTTTTGTTTTTTTATGCCAATGAAAATTTGGATATTCATGAGCAAAAGTGTGATTTCATTTCAGGCAGAAAACTCAATGTTACAGCTTTTTGCAAGAATTTTGGACATTTTTCCGTCGTAAGTTTTTTGGTGATTTGTTGTTGTTTCAGTACATGGCAGTAAGCCAATGAGCAAACTTTTCTCACAAAATGTTTTCTATGAGCAAATTTTGCGGTTCACAATTTGAACAGAAAACCCCGCAACTGAACAGTGTCTTCCTGAAATGACATCACAGCAACAGCGCCCTCATTTGTCCAGAAAAGCATGGACAATTTTAAGTGTTTAAAGAAATGCACTTTTCAATAAGATTAATCAAAAAGGGGTGTCAAGTAGTTCTCATACATTTAGAATGAAGAGTAGAAACTTGCACAGAATATGTTCCCAAGTAAAATTCATGTCATTGGTACTTTAAATACATGTTTCCTGATTCGGAAAAAAAATACGAAAACTTGACCGGACTTAATGTCAGTCGGTCTAGTTTCGTTATTTGTTTGTGGAATTTGGATGACTAAACCAACCGTTTATGAAGAACAGAAAATGCAATTTCCTCATTTTAATATAAGGAAAACGAGAACAGATAAATATCCGGGATACAATGTACATGATAATTAGTCATGTTATATGTTATAAGACAGGGAAAATTAGATGTTCCCGTCACTCCAAAGAAAACAGTGAATACTGATGAGACAGGACAGGAATAGATATGTGAAAGATAACATTTGGAAGTATTTTGCTTGATGTTCCGACGACGAACCGGTAGCGGTTTGAATTGAATTGTGCTAATGGGATCCGAATGAGTTTAATAAATATCAAGATCAATTTAGAGTTGCCACGGGTGATTCTGCGATTACGGTAAGTAGAACCATAAATTGGGCCCGAGTTATACTTAGTTATCTGAACTGAAGTTGAGCAAAATAAAAACCATTTTAGTGTTGTAGCTCTCCACTTCCAGATAATTGTCATTACCCTAGAACTTTGTGGAGATGAAGTCAAATTTGGACTTACTAATGGCACGAACGTGACTTAGATCATTACTCGTTTGATGGTCCATGGGGATTGCGATGTTTGTTCAACTGTCTGTCATTTTAACTGAAAATGAGCTCAAAGTTTCTACTCATTCGGTGATATCTATGAAGTGTTTATATTATCAAACAAACTCCGAGTCGAACAAGGTTATGCAAGCATATAAACTTGGTACCAGACCAATTTGGTGTAAGGGTCCATGGTCGGCATCTCAGTCGAATTTTAGGGCCAATGCAAGACTTATGCAAGTCTAATTCACACAAAGTGATTGTCAGTCAGTGACTCAGTCGGACAGTCAGTGGTGTAGGTATACATGTAATTGTACAGAGCTAACTGACTGTAGGCTGTAGGTAGTTTTATTTGGGGGGCAGTGGGGAGGCTTATGCACGTGACAGTAAAGCTGCATCCGAATCAGCTGTCTAGAGCTAGGTCTAGGTCTGCGCCCATTGAAAATACGCGGGGACGCGCTGACAATAGACGTAGCCGTAGCTCTGGAAGACCGTTTCTGTCATGGCCTAAGTCAGTGGCTCAGTCAGCTCAGCCAGTCAGTGAGATAAGTACACACATGACTGTAGTCTGGCCCTCTGTGACCAGCAAGTCATTTTGGGGGCAAACGTGATACTTGTGCAAGTCTAATTCACAAGTGACATTGAGTCGGTAGGGGAGTCAGTCAGTTAGTCGGGGAGTCTGTCAGTCTGTCAGTCGGGGAGTCTGTCGGGGAGTCAGTCAGTGAGGCGCAAAGAGCAAGTTATGGGCTGGCTCCTCTCTGGAACTAGAACAAAGTTGTAAAGAGAACCAGTATAATATAGACAATAACCGCACCTAACAATCAGAGAAATCACCATACAAAACAGTTTCAGTGAAACATTTTGAGTGTTTAAATCGGGTCAGTGCCTAAGCTACTCCTACTCAGGCAATTTGCAATCCCTCAAACTCTGCAGTAAATGTATCTTGCTGATTAAAGTGTCAGTGCGCATTTTCAAAATAAGCGATTTCGCACCCCTGCATCGTCTGGAAACCGTCTCCCTGCAAAAGCTGGCAAATCCCTGCCTGAGGCGTTGGGTCGGGGTTAAGGCACTGGCGGCCAGACTTATTCTAAACGGATTGCGAGGCGACCGAAATAGCATAATACGGGTGGAGTTAATATTCACAAGCGTGTTTCTCATCCAAAGCGTGGTTTAGAGAAACAGGGAACGAAGTAACCTTCTTTGGGGGGAGAAAAGGTCAGTTCTTTGTGTATGTAGACGAACCTGCTTTTGATATCGTTCTTTACCCTGAATTCCACCTGCAAATTTGGCCAATGAAATTGATGTGGTGCTAAGCTTTGCAAGAAGGTGTCAATGAAATGAATTCAGTATCACGTTTAAGCCCAAAACCAATTACTAGGCAGCTATTTGTGCAAATTTGTATTAGATTTGAGTCAAGGTCTGTTATTCACGCATGGAAATCTTGACACTACACTGAATTGTAATCGTAAACTGCGATTTTCTTATTTGCTTTAAATTGAGTTAAGGGGTGGGGAAATTTAATACTGCTAATTTTTAAACCGGCTGGTCATTACTGCCAAATGACCGCAGGTGACCAGTACACAAATGACCACAGTGGACAGGTGTCCAGAATGATGACCAAGTGGCAACAAGTGGCCTAAATGGGATAGGTATCACGTTGCCATGACCGTGTGCCAATATACGTTGGCAATGGGCCGCTATATTCTGAAGAAGACCGCAACAAAATGCGCGAAACGTTTATCCAGTAAGATTAAAGAGTATCAACTCCAAGATGAATAGTTAGGTTCCCAAGTATGATAAATGTCAGTCTTTTCATCTTCGAATTTCAAGCCATTGTGAAATACGACCAAGTATGAACACTTGCTCTACGACTTGAATAACCTTTATATTTACTAAGCGGCCATCTTGAAAATCAAAGTCCTATAAATAGAAGAATACATCAATTCCAAATCAGATTGTTTTAATTGGGTGTCCGAGTAGTCATCTAGACCAGCTTTTTCACAGCCGAGTAAATCATTTGCAAACCGAAAATTTCAATCATCGAACAAAAATACCTAAAGGAAAAATGATAACTATATCAGCACTTCGCCAACTGTTTGCCAAACCTACGTACTTGACATGTCGTGGCCTATTTTTTATGCTTGAATAAAAACGCATCTCAGATAGAAATTTTGTAAAACTTCTCACGATAAAGAAAAGAATACGAGTTCAACCTGCCATTCATTTCGAAATCAATCTGCGAGATAGTAGCGTTACACAGGCGCCTGATTGGGACGATTCTACCCCTATGTCTGACAAACTTATCTAGAAGTGTCAGCTGATAGTAAAGCCTAACCCCCCCCCCCTTGAGTTGGTCAGAAGCCAGGTCAGAATGATATCTCTGTAAATTGGAGTACCCTATTTATTATCAAAAGGAAAGAGCTTTTGTGTTCAAGTTCAGAGCGCGTAGCACGGCTGAGGTAACACTGCCGCGCAAGCTGCGAACGCAAACATTGAGTAATGCGAATTTGATCACTTCAATCATAGTTTGTTCCGCTGCTCATGGTGTTGATACACGAAGTCCAAGTCCTTCATGTAATTGAGTTTTTCTCCAAGTTAGACAGTGAATAATGAAAATTGTGCAACAAATATTGTTTTTTCGGCGAGATATGAAAAAGAAATCAATGACCCAGTTAATGCAATAAAATCTTGTGATTACAATTTCGGTAGCTTTAAAAATGTGACGTCAGAACTGTTAGGCTCTGAAGAAGAAATCTGACAAGATCTAATTGTGATAAAACTGGAAATGTCTGGGGATTTTTTTTTTTTTTTTTGGAAAAAGAAAAATAAACTGTAATATTTCCAAGGTAGCTAACTCTTCTACATTTTTATGTTCCATAGTCGGTGTTCGGTAATTTTTATTGATTGAATAAATTGGTATATTGTGTAAATCTCCAAATGTGAACGTTTTTACCTCAAAAAAACGAGTAAAATACGGCTCAATAACCTCATGATTCACATGCCTGATAAAAAGTATACATGTCAAAAGGATTCGGCTACAAAATATCATGTGCAAAACAGAACATAAAATCACGATAATTTTACTTACGATTTCATCCCTAATCCATTCGATGTTTTGCTCCATTCTGGCCTCCCGATCTCTTCTGTCTGTCCTCAAGGAGGAGGCAACATCCGCAGACAGTTCTCGCTGAGATGGTGCCTTCTTCCCGCCCTCCATACCTCTGTACCCGTAAGAGTCTCCCACCACGAAAGAGCATTTGTGATTGGCCGCCTCGTCTCTTAAAGGCGTCACCTCTCCTCCCGTCGTCTGGTCACCTGTCTCACCGTCGTCATTGATTGTCGTCACCTGGTCCAGAAACCGGACACTGGACTTGCGCTGTATCACAGGAGTTTCTTCCTCCCGAGACAAACCGTCCGTAAACTCCGGAACTTTGAGGTTCAGTCGCCCAAGCGAGGCGTAACTGCGCAGAGAATCCCCCATCATCAGTGACATCAGTTTGCCTGAAAACAACCGCGTTCTAATCAGCTTCAAACACAAGCATGGTTGAAAGCAGCAGATCTATTTCACACACTCCAGGTAAAACAGTGTTAGGTTTCAAGCGCCAAATCCTGTTTTCAGAGGAAGTGTGGCTGGCAAGGCTGGCACAGTGATCCACTCATGATCATGGTTATTACTTGGACGCCATGATCTCCCGTGTTATTGCCTTTATCCTGTCCGGATGTCCGTGGCAGTGTTTTTCTTTTTATTCACCAAAGTCATCTTGTTCATAATCCTTTCGGTTCCTGGTGACTACTGTAGTGTTTTTATACAGCGCTGTGGCGGTGGATTTGTAATCTAATAAAGCGCCGTACGTCCTTTGAACCCATGCACAAGCAATGCTGTGTGCTGTGCAGCATTTCGCTCCAGACTCGTGGATATTATAAGTTTTGCTACTCGGCGAGTGGGCTTAGTGGCTTGAGGTAGCCCGGTTGGAGCTCGCTTACTTTTGGGTATCGCTTTACAAACAAGTTGTTTTGAGTCCTTCAGTCCTTCAGTGGTTTTCTGGTAGCTTTTCATGGAGCTTCTGGCTTAAGATTTGGCGGGTTCCTCCATAGCAATCCATGAGGAGCATCATGCATGAGTATTGAAAAAAATCGATGATATTTTGTTTCACAATGAGTAGGGTGTATACAGCTACTTTGCTTTCAAGTCATATGTCCTGGGTTCGCATCCCACTCAGTGAAGAGACAGTCATTCTGTCCATCTTCAGTTGACGCTCACTTTATATCTTGCCTTCTGGGTCGTTTAATGAAGTGGAGACTGTTGGGGCTGATTGAGCTAATGAGGCGTGAGATTAACACAGACAGAGAAAAAAGTAAAAATGCCGGGATATATCTCACGCAAGCCACATACGGAAATCGTTTGTGCTAAAAACTAGGTTCATTAAAATGTGCCCAGCATCCTTGAGAATGATGGGTTTAAACCAATGAATTTATGCGGGTATGTTTTCTTTACATCAACAACATTTCGAGTGCGATATAGTTTGCAAAACAAAACGGCGAATGTTTTATTGGTTTTCTCTTAAACATTTACAAGCAGACAGCCAGACACATTAAACAAGCAACTTATCTCACCGCCGCGTTCTGTGCATATATAACATTTGCCGTTTTATCAAATAAATTCCCCCATAATATTTGTTCAGTTTAGCCGTCAGTGAAGCGCTTCGCAATAATGATGTCATCAATATCAGTCAGTCTGCTTATATCTTTCAGCTTTTCTGATAAGTCACTGCTAGGCCTGTTCCTAGATCCATGGCCTGCTGGACTACCGGCATGGACATAAACATGGCGTCTAACTATCAACGGCCAGTAATTACCTGGGCACAGTTAGACTCTAAAGCTGTATCGGAAAGCCGTTTAGGCGTGCTCAGTCTACCTTGGGACGAGTTTACACGTGAGCCAATGCGCATGCGCGACTTTAAATGAAGTCCACGAGCAGAATGTATTTTTGTCCGAACTTGTGGCTGGGCCTGCGAGTTTTGTACGAGGGAAATTCCAGCACAGGATACTCGAGTTTTAATCGTGGACTCTTCAGATAATATCTCAACACAAAAATTGGCGAAAATTCTTTTCGGGAGCGGATCTAGTTTTCAGGAAACGGGGGCGGGGGATATGAATGGGGGTTGAGTGAATGAGTGCCTTGCTAGGGGGTCCGGGGGCATGCCTCCCAGAACATTGTGAAATCTACAGATTCTTTCTCCTGCATTCTAAAGCAACTTCGGGATACAATAAGGACATTTAACATTCCATTTATTAGTTTTGGCCCCATTTTACTAGTATCATAACATTAACCAGCGGTTGCACGGGGGGTGTTGTGTTCTATCGAAGGTGGTCGGTTATTTCGACTGCAACTTTTCTTATTTTTAAAAGAATTCGAAGACAGTGTTTGACCACTCTATTTTCAAAGGCCTGCAAAGGCCATTTATATTCCTCCAATAACTTGCCCCTAGCACTTTCATAAGCATTCCGCATCACCTTTGCGCTGAGAGAATGAGGATGATGAACAACCTAACAATCCTCAGAAATCGTCTCAATCCCCCTCAAGAATAATGAGCAGCCGCTGACGGGACCATTGCATCAAAATGCTCCCGAGAGTTGAAGAGTTCATCTCTGGCATTCCCCGCGCAGGCTTCTCAGCTCAATCTCAATGACATCAGACGGTGATGCTGTGATCGCAAAACCAACTTTGGGCGTGACGGTGTTACCAATCCGACCAGGCAGCAGGGTGCTTTTAACGGCATAGCTTCATTAGCATTGCGCCGCTAAATTTAACAAAGAGCGTAAAGTTACACCTTGGAGTAAAACGATTCAACTGTGAGCGAATATTGAAAAGAGACATGAATACGTAAACCTCGTGCTTATGACAAACAACCATCCCTAAATATCGTTTGAAGTTTTATTGGCTTCCATTTTTAACAAAATGTGATTGACAAACGCAAATAGGATTTTTTTTAAAAGGATTTTAGGGATAACGTGCACAGACAACATTGAGTTATGTTATTATATAGAACTGAATGACATGTTATTATTTTGACCACCTTTAACTGAAAATTAAAATTAAAATATACACAACTACAACTTACCTTCTCTAGTATAATTTAGATTCAAATTGTAAATATCATGCTTTTTTAAATTAAAAGTCTGTGTTAACATTGAAAAAATATGAACATCTGGCCAGGAGGGGTTATTTATGATCTCATTCATAGTTACACAACTATCTGTTCTAAAAAATAATGCATGATATATTTAATTGGACAACTAATAACAAACACAGTGGGAGACCTTATCTAACAAAACCTCGGAAACCCCCAAGTCCGTCATTCATTGATTGGGGTCATGCAGAGGGAAAGTCCCGCCGTGTATTCTCTTTGTCTCCCCGTCGATTGCGACACATCGATCCGGGACAGTCCACGGCTTCCCGGTCAACCATCATCGGTGACTGGGCCGGGGAAGGGGCACGTTTTCTCCCCCGTGTATTTCACGCTCCCCACGGTCATTGTGACACAGACATCGTGGTTCCTACTCGCATTTCTCCCCCTCTCTCCTTTTTTAATATTAATGAAAACAAAATATAATTTCAACATCCATATTCAAAACAGCGTATTCCAGACATTTCTATCAATAATACACAAAACTTAAGCTCGGCGTGCACAATTATCGTATATATTTACTTTAAGGGGTTTGAATTAGAGAGTTATCGTATTATGTTTTCTCCACTGCGAAAAAGCTATATTTATGCTGTTTGCTTTATTTTATGAAATGTTTTACGCAGGCAGTTATTATTTGTAGACATCTTAGCACTGCCAATATAAATTTCAACTATAATCTTCAAAATCCATCCACCGAGATACGATTGAAAATTGCATTTCTTTCACACCTCTTTCCTCGGTGTTCATTATTCTCTCCAAATCCCATCCCCCGAGGGGTGTCATTTTGACGGTATATTGCGATGTGGATGTGCCGCGGTGTGTAGTTTCATTAGTGAAAGTGTTCAGAGCAACATTATGTTTCCCACCTGCCACGTCTGACTTTGCTTCTGGTTTGACGCAAAGCCTATAATTCTTTTTTTTTTTTGGCTCACAAAATTTTGACTGCACCGCAGAGATACAGAAGTAGAAATATTTAACAGAAAAGGGACAGATACTTAAATCATAGAGCAAATCCTCGCAACTTGCGCATCACCATAAAGCACCTGACTTGGAGGAGGGAATCGTACTTTCTAACAGACCTTTATCATGCTGCCACCATTTTAGTCATGTTCTCTGTATCCAATAACAGTACTGAATGATAAAACTTGTTTGTGCAAAAAGGAACCAGACTATTTTCCCTTCCAGCCTCGCTTTGGTTACGTTGATTTGAATGGGAAAAATCATGATGGCCGCAACATGATAAATGTCTATAAATGGGGAAACAAAACAGCTCAAGTTTCTGAAAGATGCCCATCATTAAAAAAAATATATCCATGGAATAAGTTTCTGTCGGTATACCCTTGAAAAATATGACCCAACCATATTAGCCTTTTAATTAGGAAGAATTGGAAGCAATCGGTTACGAATAGCCGTGCAGACAGCTGTGATCGCCGCATGCCTTGTTTAACTTGCTTGGGCCACCAGTGGTGAAGATAATGGCTACCGTCCTGTTCTGGCGACCGACATGACGGTGCACCAAATCTTTTGGTTTTGGAGGTTTTCCAAACAATTTTAGGTGAATCAAAGAGAGTGTCATGATTCCATGCATGGTGTTTAGTACATCATAAAATTGATGGACAACAAACGTTGTGCAAAACTTGATATTGTTCAATTTTAAGTTAAAACAAATTAAACATTGGTCAACGAAAAATTCAGCCAACATTGACCATGAATTTCTGGCCAAAAGGTGGAAAGACATGACCTACCTTAACCACTCAACAAATTATTTCGATGATATTATTTGTTTCATTCATTACTTTATCTGCATGCTTTTACGTCTCGTTTTTACAAAATGATGCAAATATCTGGGAATTCATGTGTCATTTCAATTTTCCAGAGAGCAAATTGAGTATCGGGAAAGCAGATGGAGGAATTTCTGTAAAAGTAAACAGACGCGAAATTAGATATGAACACTTATCAATATTTGCATGTCCAAAATTGAATTTTTAAATCAATAAACATTATAATGCATTGCAGGCTGTGCGTTTTTGTTTACTGTTTTTTCAACACCAAAATACATTAGACTTTGTACATTGACTACATCCACTCATTATAATAGGCCTGCAGAGAATGATTTGCATACAAAGTGCCTGGAATGAAGGTAGTGAGTATAGCATTAAAACATAAACCAATACAGTTATGTGAGTATTCGAGAATCAACGAGAATGCCCAAGATGATAGAATTCTTTAACCTGAACTCCCCATATTGTTGATAGCACAGTCAGCAAAAAAGGTGAGTATGGCCAGCTTAACCCTTCGAGCAGCTTGCCCAAAAAACAACAGCCTAGGGCCTAGCAAGTTAGTGTGGAAAATCTTGCTTTTATTGTTCAACAGAGGGCGCTTTTCGATATCTTCGTTCAGCCATAATTTTGTTTGCGCTAAAAGGAATAAACACTGGCCACGAACCTTTAAATTTCGATCGTGTCATGGTGATCGTATCCGCTCAACTTTGCAATAAATTTGCTCGTTTTCAATCGTCTCTCCCCCTCTCCCGCTCTCTCTAGTTTCATTTCCCACTCGGTCCAACTAGCATCAGACCAGTCCATATTCTGCAGTGCGCAGGACCAGTTCATCATCTTCTCAATTTCCGAGCAACTAGCGTGACAAAATTAAAACCTCTCTTGAAATTAACTGTGTGGTGATGTTTTTGTTCATGTATGTTCTCTTGTACAATCATTAGGCTGTAATCAATCGTTAGGCTGTAATCCACCGCTATCAATTGTTTCAAAGTTTTGTCTCAATAAACCCTTCTTTTCCGTGTTGCCGCACAAGACGACATATCATGACTGTCTCTCATCATCAAGTTTGTCGTCTTGTTTTCGGACTTGGCATTTTATGAAGCATTCTACACTGGCTGCTCGATGATGCAGGTCTTATCACAATCTCGACAGTTTTTTGAAGGACACCAGAATCCTAACTTCTGGGGAACTGCATACACTTCCATGTCATAGTCGAATTAGAGAACAGGTGTACGAGGAACGTGGAATCCATGGCCTTCATCGTAGACTATTTCTACCATCTAGCGCCCTCAATTTCTTTTTTCTTTTGCGGATCAGTATAAAACTGTAATTTCAACACAAATTCGATATGAGGTCCGCTTGTAATTTCGTCGAGTAACATCCAAGTCCTTCCTCATTTTATTAATAGAAAGTTTAATATGAAGGACTGAAAACTAAACAAGGAAAGTAAAACTGTAATAAATTATTCAGTGAACGGAACTTCGCAGGAACATCAACTTTCAGTTTTCAAGTTCTTCCATGCAAGTGATACGGAATCAGTTTTTATCAATAACAAAGCAGACAATTTTTAACCTAAATTATGAAAAAAGGGCATTTTATCGAAACTTGAATTATCAGAACTGTTGGATTTTAGTTACAAGGAAGTCGTGTGGTAATAGTAGTTCCTATGTACAGACATGGCGTATACGTTCTTCTTCTTCATCAATGCACGCACTGTACGTGCTCGACAAAACGTAAATAAAATCGAATTGTTGTTGAAATCCGTCTTTGCGGTTTTTCATTACAATAGAGTTAAACTTTTGAAAGGATGCAAACCTCCATTAAACCTTCTGCAGTCAGCCGTGACATTTGGCAATATGCCAGCTTCATTCTGATCGAGATTGCATGAATTAGAGTTCAAATTTCAGTTCTACGGTACTTTTCCGCAATGATCACGCCACATGGTTGCGCAACACACAAATATTTCCTGATGATTGCTGAAGTTTACTTAACCCTAGTCTGTCATGAAAACAAAAAAAAAGCAATCAACCAAAGTCAACTCTTCTTTTCCTAAAGTTCAAGTTCGAAAGTGAAACAATTTATAAGCCTTCCTCAAAGTTTCATATTAATCTGTGTCAATGACAACCTTAATACAGCCCAAATATACAGGGACTCTCCTCAGTTTGTTTGTTTTTTATTTTGAAAACCCACTCGTCTGACCAATACATTTATATTTATAACAGACTGAAATTTCTTCCCATGTTCACATTGCTACTTTTTCCAGTAAATCATTTTTTTTTATGAAACATTCGGTATCTTGTCCGAAAACTTAAGTTCTGGTCATCGCTAAAATAATAATCATTATTTACATAAACTTTGCAACGTTGTGTGAATCTGCTGCCAACCAGCACATTTTCAGAATACGTGGATAACTTTCTCAATTAGTTTTCATCTGTGAACAATTCCCACATAAATCGATGTTTTGTGACAATGAAACTAGGCATATGCATGTTTATCAATGCGAAGGACCATTATTGTTCGGAGCCAATCATCGTTTGCAAACCAGGAAATAACAAAAATCAGTCATCAGACTGCAGAACCAACCCAGGGAAATACCAGTTCGTCAATTCATGTCCGGATAGCGGGAAGCAGTTGAGGATATGCATCTGTTGAACTTAAGACAAATTGAAAATCATAAACTGACCGAAACTCCGAGTTGACTCCATCTTTTTCAAGGTCACATTTTGAAGGATAAATGTTGAAGGTAAGTATTTTTTTTTCAATGACGGAAATTGCATGCGGATTGTCTGCGGACTTGCGCCAGTGAGATGGTTGCGTAATTGTCTGTTTCCTACATCGTCCTGTTCAGATATTTCATGGGGATCATTCTTGTCGTTAATGTAAATACAAAGTTGGCCGTATGGGCACATTGTGCATTGTACCATGGGCCGGCCAACAAAAAAAATTGGGGATTTTGGGAAACAACATTATATAAATGCTTAATTGCTATGGTTAAAATTATAATTCAAGAAAATACTTGAATTTCTGGCAATTGTCCTCCGTCCCCGTCGATTTTGTTTGAATGCCCAATTTAATTAGCTGAAACTGTAATGTTAAGCTTTAAATTAGGGTAAAGTCTGTTGTGATATTGCACTTCATATTCATGTCGACGTGGCATTTTCGAAATGTGTTGCGAAAATTTTCGCGCAATAGAATCAACGAATGTTTTGTTGGATCTAATTCTACCCCCATGGTTGGATAGTTGGATCAAACGGTCGCGGGGAGTCCCCGCTGATTGCACACTGCAATTACGCTGGTAAACTGCATCCCCCAGTTACGCATCTAATCTCGCGTTCAACGGTTGGTAGCGTGTGATATAAATAGCACCAAAAATGACGTCATTGTAATGGTTGGGCCATTTGCAGGTGCTTACGAAAATTATTTTCACTTAGTAAAACATAACTTTTTATCAAAAAACAATTAAAAATCGACGAAATTAGGGCAACAACAATAAAAATATAGTTTCAAATAATTAAAGTACAGAAATATAAGAATTCTAACTGATTGAGAAGATTTACTTAACTATCTACGTTCGATTGCAGTTACATTGACCCCTTGTCACAATGGTTCCGTCCAAACAGCCACACGAAAGGGGAATTCCTAACAGAAATCGCGAAATCACCGAGTACCCGCGAAGATAGAATTATTGCACAGTTTTAACGCTTTTTTGTCCCCTAATTTTTGAAATATTGGAACAACAAAGACTAAAAATAAGCCAGTGACCACCTCGAAGTGATTTAGGTAAGTTCCGGTTTCCTTATTTTCGGAATTGGTGACGATAAACCTGCAAGTTACGAATACGGAGAAAAAATGCGCACATTTTACGACTTGCATTTCGCATCATTTTTTTTCCAATTATCACTTGTCATTCCTATAAATACCAACCACGAAATTGAGTAATGTTTGTGAAGTTGTGAGGATTTGATTTTATTGTCAATTCTTGCATTACTAATTGTTATGACTATTTTCCACATGTGCAAAGTCATGCATGCACGGTGACATGTTGATTATCATAGTGCACTTTTTTCAGTGTTGTTGTCTGACATGTTTGACATGTCTGACGCGATTTTTTTGAGGCAAAAATGCAAAGTTAATCAAAACTTCCTACTAGCTGCTCCACTCTATCCACGTGCCATGTCCAATAAAGATATATAAAGGTATTCATACTTCTTTAACTACTTTTAGTTTTATCAACAAGAGATACGTGATTGACTAACTGATGGGTTTCTTTTAAAAACAGTGAATTACAATAATCTGTAATTTCGGTGTATTTGTTTTAACTCTTTGTGAGGATGAAGAGGTTTTTTACTGTCATTGTGTCGCTCCTATATCTCCATGGTCCTACGAAGTATTTCATTCATGCCATTTCAAAATAATACGGTAAAGTTGGTGAAACTTTTGCCATATAAATATATTGGGAAGAACATACTTAACATTCTAAGTGCATTTATGAATGAATTCAAGTGAATGTTGGAACATTTGTTGGGAACATGATTGTTTACAAACATTTAGAAATTTGATCTCAGTTGTTGATATGATGAAAATCATGTTGGGTATTGAAGTGACCGTACTATTATACTTTTCAGTCATTGACAGTTAACCATTTTCTGTCCTGTTTTTTTGTTCTTCTCCCATGTAGCAGAGCTGAAATATACCGACAAACTACTGAGTACCAGATTTATTGACTGCAGTCAGGAAGAGAACATTGTTGAACATATCACATCATATCAAGTCTTGTAAGATGTCGCCAAAGGACCGAGCAGACCAGGCGGAGCAGCGCTCACCTCTCCGTCTCCCCAACAAGATCTCTGACGCTTCTCCAACCATTACAAGCCAGCTAAGATGCAGCATCAAAGAGGAGATAGAAGAACACAGGTGTGAATTTACTTTTTGTAAACCCACAAAATTACTGATGTGTACCTTAGGTCTTCAGCCAGAGGCAGCCAGAAGATTGTGATGTTTTTTCCGCGATAAGTGATGTTGTTGTACGAAGTTTTACGTACAAGTCATCCAAGTCAAGTGAAAATCTGTTGAAATGGAAAGTCAGCAACTAAACATGATGCTTTTGTCACTGTTTATATCCTGTTATTTGATGCCGGAATTGTGGTTTTGTTGCGCCCCAACTATGGCAGTGGTCCCAACTATAGTTGGGCCAGTCCCAATTATAGTCGGGGCTGTCCCAACTGGGACGGAGCAGTTGGGAATCCCAACTATAGTTTGGACGTAACACAGCGGGAGGGAAGTTGGGAACGGATGTTTATTGGGCCTGTCTAGGAAAAGGGGTACATAATACGCAAGTGTATACGCTATATTAGATAGTCAGACGGGGTGGAGTATAGAGGTCCGCAACCATAAGTGCTTATAAATCAGACTTCTTCTCAGACTCGCATAAAGATTGAAACATGACAACTGACTTTGATGAATATGTGCCACAGTTTAAATTTTACTTCATCCTTTGTGCCAGATACCAAATTTCTTGCAAAGCCGGACATTCAATCAAAATAGTGGGCACACCAGACCCAAGGCCAAGTGGGTACTCCAACTTCCAATACCTTGGGAGCTAATACCAATTCACAACCCTCAAACCATGTTTTAATTTGTATAACAATACTTGGTGAAGCAGTCCGCTGGCTTTTCCATTTTCCATTTGTTGATTTCCATTTTCTTTCTAGGCAAGACGACACCTTGACTCGTTTCTTCCTTCAGATGGCCACCTTCACCTCTCTCCTCCCTCCACACTGGGAGAGCTACCCGTCGGACCTTAAGATGTTCCTGGAGAAGGAGATGTTTGACCCAGTCCTGGGTCACATTCTTCAGTCCGAGGGCTTGATGAACTGGTGCCCCTCCGTCAGGAAAGTGTATCCATTGATAACTCCAGGTAAGAGCTGGAAGTGTAACAAGAGTTAATGGTCACGTGGTACAGCACCCTCTGTATGTGACCTCAAGTTAGTACACACACACTGGAGTATAGAAAGGTCACACACCCACACACATAAGATGGCTAAGACAAAGGAATGAGACTTGAATCATTATCCTGACTTAAAGATTACAACAGGGAGTGAGACTCTATTACCTTATACAGATAAATTGCTGAAATCACTAGCTAATGATCAATTTGACTGCCTCTGCCTAAAACACATACTTCAGACAGGTCTCAGTGGAGCTGAGGACCAGTCAGAGGCAATGTACAAGACATGGCATCTTGGTTGGTAGCCGACTTTGTCAAATTGTTCTCTGTGCTTTGGAAGCGACAGAGTCTTTCTAGAGTGGAGCTAAGTCATTCTGTGTCAACAGTGTGGATAGCCTGGTTGCAGCCGTACAGTGGCAATAAATATAATTCCAAATACCTTTTAATTAATTTGATCATCATCTATGTGTTTATTTATCATTCATTCATCAACCTTGTTTCATAAATCTTTGAATCATCGACCAAAAGTTCAATTATAATTTTTTAATGAAGTGTGTGTTCATTTATCATTAAATCATCAACTACATGTTCGCTTATCATTTAATCATCAACTGCATGTTCATTTATCATAATCATCAACTGCATGTTCGTTTATCATTTAATCATCAACTGCATGTTTATTTATCATTTAATCATCAACTACATGTTCATTTATCATTTAATCATCAACTACATGTTCATTTATCATTTAATCATCAACTGCATGTTCATTTATCATAATCATCAACTACATGTTCATTTATCATTTAATCATCAACTGCATGTTTATTTATCATTTAATCATCAACTACATGTTCATTTATCATTTAATCATCAACTGCATGTTCATTTATCATTTAATCATCAACTGCATGTTCATTTATCATAATCGTCAACTACATGTTCATTTATCATTTAATCATCAACTGCATGTTCATTTATCATTTAATCATCAACTGCATGTTCATTTGTCATTTAATCATCAACTGCATGTTCATGCATCATCTAATAATCAACTGTGTGTTTTTTTATTTTTCATCATCCCCAGGTGATGGCAACTGCCTGCTGCACGCCGCCTCCCTGGCAATGTGGGGGATCGAAGATGATGAACTGGTTCTGCGTACCGCCCTCTTTCGGCTTCTGAGGGACGACAGAAACGAGAGGAACCACATGCGGTGGCAGAGGGAGCGCATGAGAGCAGATGCCGGTATCCCAGGCAGTGGTCTTATGTACAATACCACAGTAAGAAATAGCTCCCAAAATATACTTTTTTGGCTCTGAACCAATGGAAGTTGTCTCATAATATGCCTATCTTGACTAAACAGAACAGGCAGCTAATTTGAGGCAATATTTAGCATATCTTTATTTGCCGATGTCCAATGTGCATGGTCTTAAGTATCATACCATTACAAAGAGAGGCAGTTTGTAACATATTATGGAGTTTTTAACTTGATACTGTTTTGGCTCAGGGCCAATGACACCCCCATGGCCAAAAAAAAAAATATTTTGGATACATATGAAATTTTATGAAAGGCAAGCAATATTAACAAAGTCTTTGTTCTCAGCTATTTTGCTTTTCCACTCATGAAATTGTGATACTTTTCTAATAGGAGTGGGACAGTGAGTGGGATCTCATTAAAGAGCTCGCAAGTCCTAAACGACGCCCGATGACAGCACATGGGCTCCCCTACGAGAGCCTGGAGCAGTTTCACGTCTTCATGTTGGCCAACATGCTGCGTCGTCCCATCATCGTAGTGGCCCAGGACATGATGCGCAGCCAGTGGGGTCACTCCATCCAGCCCCAGGATGTGCAGGGGATCTACCTTCCACTCAACTGGGATCCCGCTGTCTGCTGTCGCTATCCCATTCTCCTCGGTTTCCACCAGAACCACTTCACCCCGCTGCTGTGCACGGCCAAGCTGGACTCGGAGGACGACCTGGACAACTATCTCTTTCCCATCGTCCAGCAAGACTACACCCCGATGAAGGTGCATTTCTTGGAGGAGGAAGAAGAAAAGTTTGTTGATAGCCTTCTCCAAAAGTACCTGATCATCGAAGAGATCACCCACATTGGGAAGAGTCTCAGCCGAGCGCAGGAGCTCCCAGGAGCTCGACTTGTTTCCCAAAACAGCCATCCTGATCTTGATCTCATGATTCCCTACCTTGCACTTGCTGAGACCCATTACCGGCACTACTTGGAGGGGGAATATGGAAACACCGTTGAGAGTACTCCAGCGATTGAAGCAAGAGGAAAGGCAGATGTTGCATTGGGGAAAGACCCACAGAAGCTTCAGTCATTGCAGGAACAGCCAAGATCATTTCCATCTTACAGCATCCCTACAGGTCCCCAGCCAGGCAAGACTTCATGGTCTGGCCAAGGAGCACCCGTGGGTCAGCCATCAGATGCAACCCACAACGCAGGATTCGTTGCCTCCAAGAACCTTCCCTACAAAAGGGAATTCTCTCTGGTCGAACAGTCCTGCAAGACAGAAGGGTGTGTCTACTATCGCTCTGTCAGCACTGGGGAGTATTGCCATGAGTGTTCCCAAAAGCAAAGCCAGGGCAACAAGTGTCAGGGGGAGGGATGCCTTAACCCAGCTGAACAGGGCTGCCAAGGGCTCTGTCGGGTCTGCTTTGACCAGAAGAAGCTGACGGAAGACCCTATGGTCAACGCCACGGCTCCTTCATTGAGCAAAATGAGTTTAGATCCTAATGTCAACGTTGGGCCATCTAAGAGAGATGTGGATAGTCGTTATTGGTACGGCAAAGGAGACGATGGACAGAATCCTGGAAGCAACATCCCAACAGAGCAGGGACAAATGCCTCCCCACCTGGGGGTATCTTCTACAGGATCTGCAGGGTTGGCAGTTAGAAGGAAGGAGCCAGTGCTCGAAAAGGCAGGTCCAACCCAGGGTCTAGCAAAAAGTCCAGACAATGAACTCAACTCCATGATTGTCCATCAGAAGCTGCCAACCAAGAAGTGCATCATGCCAGAGTGTCCCTTGACCGGAGAGCCCACCAAGAATGACATGTGCAGCAAATGCTACGCTGAGAACCTCCAAGTGGAGCAGGAAATAGAAAAGTCAAAGATGCATAGGCAACCTGCAACTGTGGAACCCCCTGCTTACTCCGCATTAGCGACAGCCGCCTGTGCAGCCAGCAGCAGCGCAAGTGCACTCCCACAAGCCTCAGCAGCTGCAGCAGCCTCCGGCAAGTTGTTGTATCCGGAGAAGAAGCCAACCTTCACTGTTCAAAAGAGCATCTGTGCCACCGCTGGCTGCTCGGGAATCCGTCTTGACAAGCCACCATATAACGGATACTGCATCAGCTGCTACAACCAGAATAATAATATCCCCAACCAGGCCACAACTGCTGAAGTGAGAAACCTAGGAATCTCAAAGAATCAGGTCAACCCCAATCTCATCCAAAATGGAAGAAGCCAAGACCAGTTTAGACCAACAGGCCCCAGGGGAATTGATAAATATTATAGTACCGCACCACAAGCAAAACAGGCCGAGAGACGCTCGGGAGAAGCCCATCAACCACTTATTTACCAAGCTGCAGCTAAAGTTGAAACCACTACCGAGAGTCCAGCTCCTCAGTGCGCTGGTCGTCGATGCAACAATCTGGCTGCCCCACCCAAGTTCATTCTGTGTGAGGAGTGCATTCCAATTGCAGAGCTGTACAAACAGGAAGGTACAGGTGGATCTGTCGATAAAGAAGCAGTCCGCAGTGCAGCATTGGAGCCCCAACCAGCCGAACTGAATCAACCAAACGGTAAGCAGCAACAAATTGATTTTTGAGGTAATTCTAATGTAATGATAATGATTGTCACTCATGTGGACATTATTTTGAAACAGTTCAGCACACTTATCTGTCATGTAATTTTGTTGTTTCTTCATCCCTCAGACGCTGCTAAGCAAGTAGCTGAACCTCCTGGAAGTACCCCATCTTTGCTCAGCAAGACAGCAGCTGGTTTCAAGAACATCCGTGTCCAACGTGTCAAATGCCAAGTGCCCGGAGGTAAAGAAAGCAATTTACTTGTTTGTGTAGCAAGAGAATTGCTCGCAGCACTTGGGTGTTTGTTGAATCCACTGTCAATCGATTCTTTTCTTTGAAGACCACATTTAATACAAATCAGTATCCAGGACCTTGCACTTATTTAATAAACCATTGGTACTTGTAGTGTTCTTTTTACCTTACTTTTGTTTATACATTTTTTTCAAGATATTTTCAAGTTTTAGTGGTTAATGCCAAAATGCATTTCAGACATTTTCATTTGCTATAAAGTTGCTTTTTTTTATTGATCCAGGATGTGCAGATGATATGTACGGTGATCCAGCGTTGAATAATCTGTGCTCTCGCTGCTCCGCAAAGATGTTGATGAGACGTACCCGCACCAGAGCATCTCCCCCACTTAATCAAGCCGAGCCCCGGCCGACCCAATCCCCTGTCCACCAGTACCACACGGCACCATTAAGCCCCTCCCCCCGCATCGGCCAAGTCCCACCCAGGGCCCAGACAGAGTTCCTGTATGCCGGGCCAGAGAGAGGCCAAAGAGAATTAGGGATCCAGAAACGACACACCTTACCGGCCAACTTTCAGAAGTGTGCCCAGCCCAAGTGCCCGAACCAAGCCAACTTGCAGATCCTTGATGGGTTGTGCAACACCTGCCACCGGGTCTACCGGAACCAGGGCTACGCTCCTGAACCCTTGCCAATCAACCCTGACCCCCTGGTTGGCAACAGAGGGCGCTATGCCCAGCCGATGGTGCCAGAGGCACAGTTTTACCCGCCGGGTTACAGCTCCAGGGAGGAGAAGATTCTGAATATCGAGTCCGGTCCCAGAATTCCTCCGAGGCCGGAACGCAATCGCACCGACATGGGTTGCCTTAGCGAGGGATGCACTAACTACGGTAACCCCCGTTGCCAAGGTTACTGCAACAGCTGCTTCAGACTTCTCAAAAATTAGAAGCCATATGGAGCACAGCCCAAGCGTCAAATTTTTTGGCATTCAGGTAATTTGCCCAAACTAATACGGAAAGAACTGTAAAAGCAACCCTGTGGATGCATGTACATATTTATCGCGCGAAGGAAGAGGGAAGACATGTGTTGATATTTTGCTTTTTATTAAGGACTTACTAGCAGAGCAATTGTTAATGCACGTTCATAGCCACGCGTGTTAAGCTAACAAATGAGGCAAATCTTTGAAACTGATAATTGTGTTGGACCTACAAGTCAGAAACAATGTCATACAAATTATGATTCTAAAGTTTTGGTTTATTTGACAAACAAGTTATGAGTGATTTTTTAAAGTAGTTTATATTTGTTATCTCATATGTATATTTATACACATGTTGTTTATAAAGGTCTAATTACATAGCTGACACACAGACTGAAATGTTCTTAATGGAAAAGCAGCATTAATAAGTTAAAATTAAAAGCTGTTTTGCAAAAACAGAGCGCTATACAGAACATTTACCCTAACTCCCTAGGCATTTGCTAGGATGTAAACTGCGAAATCCTCCAACTGCCTTCATGTAAAAATTGCATACAGCCTCAATCCTCCAAAATCATCAGTTATTTTTGTTTAATGTGGTCCTTGGAAGGGTGACCACTGCCTCGATCCTGCAAACTCCTCCAGCATTCCCTGTCAATATGTTGAGGCAAAGCCAGTGACACCCTGGAGCAGTGTGGAGGATTTCAAGTGTAATATAGACCTAAGTGTATGCATGGTTGAGCATTAACAACACAAGGTCAAGTTTAAGACCTTGAAACAGTGCATCCTCAGAAAACGGCCACAAAACTTTGCCATAAAGCTAGTCAATCCTGCAAAGTCCTGCATTTTGTAGAGATGAGTTGGAGGATTTGGGAAGGTTAGGATTAATGAAACTTGTTCCATTTAACAGTGGCAGCAAAAGGAATGAATTTTGTAAATAATAGCTTTAATTCAAGTACTTCTCTTAGTGCACAATACAGCTACATTTCAGTAATTCCATGGTGAAGAATCGGCTAAATATTCATTTTATGCATTTACACATGTAATTAATTCTTCGCATTTAATCAACTCTTTGTACTTAATTCGCAATAACTTGTCATTTCCTTTTCGAAGGATCAGCTTTTCCCAAGTACAATGATTGTAGTTTACTAAATTAGTTATAGGGTTGCACAAAACGTCTGTATGCTGGTAATTGTTTGCTGTACATAAGCAGACTATAATGATTGTCATGTAATATGATTATTAATATTTTCTTTTTTTATTCATAAATACCTATGGCAATTTACCCAATCCCATTGGTCAAGAGCTTGTCACGTGGCCTGTTTTAAATGGTTGATAGAGACTGGCTGGCTGGTCTTAATTGCTTTTCCAGTGTCACAGGAAATTGGGACTCCGTTGAATTTGAAATCCAGTTCCTGCACCGTGTTATTGGTTTGAACGTTCACAATCCTCATGTAGTATGCAATACCACCAGTGAGTAAGAATTTCATAGTCCTAAATGCTCACTGCACTGATGTTGCGTGAATTTAGGTTGTCTGTAATACGGGCTAATTGGTGGTGTTGCACATGCTCATGCATAGATAATTAGGAGAGGGACCGGTCACATAAGAGGGTTTAACCAATAAAAGGGAAAAGTAGTCCGATTTTCACAGGAGTCTGATTTTCATATCACACCGGCACAGCTGTGCTCTGCGCCACATCGCGTAGTACGCAGATCTCCATATAGGGAGTTGTTTATTCAATTCAATTCAATAGACATTTATTTCTATACATTGCAGAGAAAATAGAAGAATGAATAATAATGGGTAAGATAATTAAACAAATGCATGGAGGCCAATACACAGAAAGCAACAGCTTGTTACGGAAGGCCTAGATATTTACATGTATACACTACATTCAGAAGAATTAAATAAGAACAGTGAGCAGTAAATTAACACAAAAGTAGTCAATAGTACAATACTTGTAATGTCAAATCAAATCAAATCAAAGGCGAATGCAGATGGACAAAACGCTGACAGAACAGAGAGACATAACTTTACATAATATAGCTAGAGGAATGTTACGAAAAACATAAAGTAAAATTGTTGAGCAAAATCGTTGGAAATTTATACTTTTTACTTATTTTGACCGACAAGTTTTGATTTTTTTTTTTTGCCGAAAAGGCCTTCAGCTCGGGTAAGTATCAGCATCCAGACTCCAACTGATTTTAAACTTAGTGTTTCAAGTTTCATACCGGCCAAGCACACATTAATTCCCTTATGATGAAACTCTCACGGCCAAAAGTCCCAATTGCGGTTGAATGTGCATTTCATTAATTTAAAAAGTTAAAAAAGTTACACAATAGTCACTTAATTTCAATTTATATTATATGTATAAGTGTCGTATATATTATTTGTATATATTCTGTGTCTTTTCCTTAATTTAACAGTTTTGGCCTGCAGACATTGCAATTTGTCGATTATTACTTTGACTCTGAAACACATTTTTCGTTTTGGTGACTTTGATTTAAATTTGAACCAGGTTTGGATAAATGGTGGACCTTTCAATTCAACACAATTTGCTCCCAAAAATGTCAAAATATCAAAAAGAAAAATTAGAGGCATTCAAATACAGGATGTTAATTGGTTTCTAAAATGTTAAGAATTTCAAAGATTTGTCTCTACTCAGAAATAAAATATTAAACAGATCATTAGAATACAGTTACTGTAAAAACATGCTTTTTGTCAAAATTCTTATGCACTTACCTCAATCTTTACAAATATGCTTGAAACTTGCTAGGAAGATGCCTGAGGACACTTAAAACACATTCCCAACATTGCTCGTGACAGATGTGGCGTTCAAAAGAAATATGGCTTTCACAAAATTGGTAAAAATTGATTTTTATTGAAATTTCTTCCAAAAATCCTTCATATTTACCCAAATTTCTTAAATAAGCACTTGAGGATGATGAAAACATGCTCATCATGCATTCTAAAGTGTTTCTGGGTTGTTTTCAGAAAAGTCATTTTTTGACCAAATTTGCTAAAAATGTAAGGCTAACCCCTTGCAATTTTTTTCAATTTTGACCAAAAAAATGAAATTGCTTGAAACTTGCTAGGAAGATGCCTGAGGGCCCTTAGAACACATTCCCAACACTGCTCGGGACAGATGTGGCGTTCAAAAGAAATATGGTGTCCACAAAATTGGTGAAAATTGATTTTTATTGACATTTCTTCCAAAAATCTTTCATATTTACCCAAATTTCTTAAATAAGCACTTGAGGATGATGAAAACATGCTCATCATGCATTCTAAAGTGTTTCCGGGTTGTTTTTAGAAAAGTCATTTTTTGACCCAAATTTGCAAAAAAAGTAAGGCTAACCCCTTGCATTTTTTTCAATTTTGGCCAAAAAATGAAATTGCTTGAAACTTGCTAGGAAGATGCCTGAGGGCCCTTAGAACACATTCCCAACATTGCTCGTGACAGATATGGCGTTCAAAAGAAATATGGCTTTCGCGATATTGGTAAAAATTGATTTTTTTTTATTGAAATTTCTTCCAAAATCCTTCATATTTACCCAAATTTCTTAAATAGGCACTTGAGGATGATGAAAACATGCTCATCATGCATTCTAAAGTGTTTCTGGATTGTTTTTAAAAAGTCATATTTTGACCCAAATTTGCTAAAAATGTAAGGCTAACCCCTTGCATTTTTTTCAATTTTGGCCAAAAAATGAAATTGCTTGAAACTTGCTGGGAAGATGCCTTAGGGCCCTTAGAACACATTCCCAACACTGCTCGTGACAGATGTGGCGTTCAAAAGAAATATGGCTTGCACAAAATTGGTAAAAATTGATTTTTTTTATTGAAATTTCTTCCAAAAATCCTTCATATTTACCCAAATTTCTTATTTGAGCACTTAACGATGATAAAAACATGCTTAGCATGCATTCTAAAGTGTTTCTGGGTTGTTTTTAGAAAAGTCATTTTTTGACCCAAATTTGCTAAAAAAGTAAGGCCAACCCCTTGCAGTTTTGGTCAATTTTGGCCAAAAAATGAAATTGCTTGAAAATTGCTAGGGAGATGCCTGAGGGCCCTTAGAACACATTCCCAAAATTTCTGGTGCCATATGTGGTGATTAAACGAAATATGGTGTCAACAAAATTGGTAAAAATTAATTTTTTTCACATTTGTTATTGTCATAAATCCTTTATATGTGCCCAAATTTTCAAAATTATCACTTTAGAATGATTTCAATATGCTTACCATGCTTACAAAAGTGTTTCTAGGTTGTTTCCAGAAAAGTCACTTTTTGAGCCAAATTTGATAGAAAAGTAAGGCTAACCCCTTGCATTTTTTTTCAATTTTGGTCAAAAAATGAAATTGCTTGAAAATTGCTAGGAAGATGCCTGAGGACCCTTAAAACACATTCTCAAAATTTCTGGTGCCATATGTGGTGTTTAAAAGAAATATGGTGTCCACAAAATTGGTAAAAATTAATTTCTTTCACATTTTTTATTGTCATAAAACTATTGTATTTGCCCAAATTTTCAAAATTATCACTTTAAAATGATATAAATATGCTAACCATGCTTCCAAAAGTGTTTCTAGGTTGTTTCCAGAAAAGTCAATTTTTGAGCCAAATTTGATAAAAAAGTAAGGCTAACCCCTTACATTTTTTTTCAATTTTGGCCAAAAAATGAAATTGCTTGAAAATTGCTTGGAAGATGCCTGAGGGCCCTTAGAACACATTCCCAAAATTTCTGGCGCCATATGTGGTGTTTAAAAGAAATATGGTGTCCACAAAATTGGTAAAAATTAATTTCTTTCACATTTGTTATTGTCATAAAACTATTGTATTTGCCCAAATTTTCAAAATTATCACTTTAAAATGATATAAATATGCTAACCATGCTTCCAAAAGTGTTTCTAGGTTGTTTCCAGAAAAGTCAATTTTTGAGCCAAATTTGATAAAAAAGTAAGGCTAACCCCTTACATTTTTTTTCAATTTTGGCCAAAAAATGAAATTGCTTGAAAATTGCTTGGAAGATGCCTGAGGGCCCTTAGAACACATTCCCAAAATTTCTGGTGCCATATGAAGTGTGTAAAGGAAACATAGCGACTACAATAATAAGCAAGGTAATAATTCAATTGCGTTGTCAGAGCTCGGCTTTTAACCTCGTTCCCAGGGTCCTAACCTCGTTCCCAGGGTCCTAACCTCATCCCCAGGGCTTTTTTACCTCGTTCTTACCTCATCCCCAGGGCCTTTTCACCTCGTTCCCAGGGTCCTCACCTCATCCCCAGGGCTTTTTTACCTCGTTCCCAAGGTCCTAACCTCATTCCCAGGGCTTTTTCACCTCGTTCCCAGGGTCCTAACCTCATCCCCAGGGCTTTTTCACCTCATTCCCAGTGTCTTTTAACTCGTTCCCCAAGAATTTATAAAATATTACCCCTCAAAATTTGATAATTGCTTTACTTATTGCTCAAGTCAGAGTGCCCCTTAAACTCTTAAAATAAATTTATTAGTATCCATAATTGTAAATTAAAATACTGCCAATTTAACCATCTCCATCTGCAATGTATTCAATTTAAAAAAAGGTAGACATTATTTTAAGACACCCCCAATATCCGTTATTTATGATTTTAAGGCATAATTCCCCCCAAAAAAATTAACAATAAAAATCACAAGTCTGAAAACAAGGAAATTGACACAAGTTACAAAGACAGTCGAAACACAATATATTCAGCTTCAGTTCAAACTCATTTATTTCAGCTTAATAAAAACTCCCATGGCGTACACAAAATTGGTAAAATTAATTTCTTTTTTAAATTGTCAAAAATCCCTTATATTTGCCAAAACTTTCAAAATTGTCACTTCACAATAATGAAAATATGCTAACCATGCCTCCTAAAGTGTTTCTAGGTTGTTTCCAGAAAAACGAATTTTTGACCCAAATTTGATAAAAAAGGAAGGCTAACCCCTTGCATTTTTTTTCAATTTTGGCCAAAAAATAAAATTGCTTGAAACTTGCTAGGAAGATGCCTGAGGGCCCTTAGAACACATTCCCAACATTGCTCGTGACAGATGTGGCGTTCAAAAGAAAGATGGCTTTCACAAAATTGGTAAAAATTATTTTTTATTGAATTTTCTTCCAAATCCTTCATATTTACCCAAATTTCTTAAATGAGCACTTGAGGATGATGAAAACATGCTGATCAAAATGAGACAATACACTCCCTTCTAATTTGTATTTATCTTGGATTTATTCAGTGATTTCCTATAAATATACACAGTTTACAGTTCTTCATTGATTGTGGACAATACACATACATGAATAGCATACCAAGTATAAAAATAACCACAACTGATGTTTAAATGCTCCAAACTAATTCAATCCGGTTGAAATGCACTTTGAAGTGCAAGGAGTGTTTTAGAGTTGTGTCCAGAAAAGTAATTTTAGAGCAAAATTTAATAAAAATGCAAGGTTAAGCCCTTGCATTTTTTTAAATTTTGGCCAAAAAATGAATTTGTCTGAAATTTGCATGGAAGATGCATGAGGGCCAACAAAAGCACAGACGACAATGTTTTTTTTATGCAAAAAGGATCCAGACTATTTTCCTTCCAGTCTCGCTTTGGTTAGGTTGATTTGAATGGGGAAAATCATGATGGCTGCAACATAATAATGGTCTATTCATTTAAGTTTAAAATAAAAAACATGTAACTGTTTGTTCGACATTACATATTTTTTTGTGTGAATATCAGGCAAAAAATATACATATTAAAAGCACAAAATATGCCGAATGCTTGATTAAGTGTCACTAGCATGACATCAATTGATGTTCTCAGCTTGTCAAGAATTAAAATATATGATTTTAAATGAATTACATGCTCCTCAAATTGAAAAAGAGAGTAATCCAAACAATGAGCAAATAAATGAAATATAAACAGACAAAAAGAAAAGAAAAGTCACCTTACTAATGAGAATACAATACGCGGCAAGCCTTGTCAGTTTGGTTCCAATAAGTGTCAGTAAAAAGGAAGATCTGAAGTGATATAGTGCAGTGCCAAAATCGCTTCTTTTACCATTTTTGTTTTTGTTTTGAGTGAACTAATCACAACTCCGTGTGACCGGTACCTGGCTTTTCGTCATGCACTTTCAGTACAATCTTTCCGATGTTCTTATTGGCCGCCATGTATTTGTGGGCGTCGACGATCTCCTCCAATGGGAACACACGGTCTGTAATTGGTTTAAGTCTCGTCCCAAAGTGAGGTAAGGCATTGTTGGTGAATGCTTCCACCAGGTCCGTCTTGTACTGGATTGTAATGAAACAAAAAGGATCAAAAAAAGGGTAAGGCCAAAAAAAAAAGTCTCCGGTTTCTGGTAAGGAGCTTGCTCAAAAAGTGGTGCGGCGACGCAGATTTTTTTTCTTTTTTTTTACCTGATTTTTTTGCTTCAAATGTCGGCTGATGACTGCAAATGGTGCCCGACTAAACTTAGTGCAAATATATGGGAGTTCAGAGAGGCCACATGAAGCTTATTCTCGACCATAACCCAATCTAAAAACACGTTAAAATTGTGCAGCAGCAGGATTCCAGTCAAACCAGTGAGTTTGGCGGTTTTGAGACATCATCTTTCATTGAATAAAAACCTTTTTCATTTTGCCGACGCGCATGGCTACAGCGACGCGCGCGCATACCAGAAACCGGAGACTTTTTTGGGGGGCCTAAAGAGGAAATGAAAAAAGTAAAATGTAATCACTACTCACATAAGCAGAAAAGCTAGTGGGTTGCGGGGAAATATACTGCAACGCCAACTCAAATGTAAGGTTATATGTGTGGGCACCGAGTGTGTCCTGCAAACTGGGGGGGGGGGGGGGTGTCAAGCAGTGCCATCTGCTTTTGTGTGAACTTGATAAGTAAATTATAACTATTAAGTACACTGATCCATGAAATAAATCATAAGTAGGCTGATCGAGTTCATTTTCTAAAATTAGTGAGTGGACCGTTCCAAATATGGTCATAAGCCCTGCCCACTTTGGTTTGTGCACATCTCTCACAGGGCTTGGTCACCTGACCAAAAGTTATGATCTGATTGGTCAATCGCAGTTTGATCGACAGGCAGGATGGAACTATTAATTCAAGGGCTAAAGTTTCATTGAAAAGAAACACTCACTTCAACGCTTCTTGTTCTGAGCGTTGTTCCAACTAAGGTCACCCTCTTGCGAAGTATTCCTCCAAGGATGGGTCCATCTACGTTGACTCCGCCCATTAATCCATACAGGACCCAAGTCCCTTCCATTGCAATCACCCGCAGGTTTTTCTCCCCGTAGCTGCCTCCGACACAATCCAGAATCAAGTCTACTCCTTTGTCTATAAAAAAAAATGATTCCAAGTCTTGGTTTATTCCAACTAGTTGGGGAAGAAATCTGTTTTGCACTTTGACGGGCAAATGGCCTTTCAGGCAAAACTAAACTTTGCAGGACCTTTGTCAAGCTTCACAATTTCACATTATTTGGTTACAAAAAATCCCCAGCACTGCTAAAATCAGTTTTCATAATGGGAACATTTTTGATTTCTTTTGATCTCATCTGAAACCTTTCTGGATTATTTTCTCATCTGAAATGCTGTCTTTGATAAAATAGTTTTTTATTGTAAATATAGAAACGTAAGAAAAACACTTAGAATAGACATAACAATTTGAATTCAGCAGGCATCTTTAAGGTGTTTATTTTTATTATTTTTATTCCACTCATGCATATATCCCCTTGGAACAAAAGGACACCTGATAGATAGCTGCAATGTAAAAAATTTACCTCACAAGACACAAACCAGCATGAAGGGAAGAATTGGATTGATATCAAGTCTTACTTTGCGTGAATTCCAAGACTTTGTCAGCAAAGTCGACTTGCTTGTAGTTGAAGCCAGCCACTGCACCCAGCTCTTGAGCCATATCCAGTTTAGCTTGTGTCCCGGCTGTGACTATGGCTTCTGCACCTGCTAATCTGACCAGTTGAATAGCTGCGGTTCCCACGCCACTGCCCCCGGCATGGATCAGGACTCGATCTCCTGCCTTCACGTGACCTGTGCAGATGGGACAAATGAAATGTCCTCACTACATGGAACAAAATTTGCCAAAACTCACAATTGTATATTTCAAACTGAATTTTACTACAAATTCATGCAAGTGTAGAGACTTTATCCAACTTTGAAAGCCAACACCACAGCGCCTTTCAAAAGAGCAAACTAGCATCCTAGTCTCTCCTGAAGACGGTCAGAGCATACTGACCGGAACGTTGAGTTTATACCTCTGGTTCTTTTCAGAACCATTCTCTTACTTGAGAAATTATTTGCACATGGTGTTTCCGCAAACCTTTCATTATTTAGTATCTCCACCATGCAAAGCCTCAAATCTTACTTAGCATCCTATTATTATTCTATGGTGGTTAACATTTCAAATTCTTGGTTTCTTTTCCCCCTTCGGCTCCTTGCTCCAGCTGCATGACTTCAGTCCCCTGACTTGACTAGTTGACCCTGACTTGGTTCATTTTCTGCTTTAGACACCAATTTATTTCGCAAAAAGGCCAATAGTTAGAGTATTTTTAGTGGGTCTGAACATTGCAGGATTCTTTGGCTAATCACAAAGACAAAACTAGATCATCTTTTAACAGACAACAACCAACCTTACTTAATTGAAACAAGCTTATCAACTGACTCACCAACAAAGTGCAGTAGCTGATAGGCAGTGAGCCACACCTCTGGAATGCCAGCAGCCTCCAACATGGTCATGTGACTTGGCATAGGCATCAGGTGACCTTCATGGGCCAGTACAAATTCTGCATTCCCTCCTCCTGCAACAAGTGCTGCCACGCGATCACCTTAAGAAAGAAAAAATTCAAGATAGCGAAACGTTTATCGTCAAATCTGTGCGCATGCTCGATGCGAACCATGAACTGGCTATTATCTTGTTACTTAACCCAAACCTAATGTCCTCTGACTGACTGTCTGACTCCCCAACTCCCCCACCGACTGCCCAAGTGACTGGCAGACTGACTGACTGACAGACTGACTGACTGACCAACTCCCCGAGTCAAATAATCATAAATAATATCCATAACTGAGACTTTTAAGGTTAAGCTCGACAAGGCCAACCTACTCTGGCTTCACATACCGATAACACACAGCCTTGTAAGCAAATTGTCCTTACCTTGTTTCCATTTGGATGAGCACCCTGGTCCTAGTTGGACAACCTCTCCAGCTGCCTCTAGACCTAGGATTTCACTGGCACCCGGTGGTGGGTTATAAGATCCTCCCAACTGCACAAGATTACAAAAGCCACAATTTAATCAGGTTATACTAATTAAGGTTTTTTTTTTAAATGTATGCAAGCAATTTTACAAAATGAGTCCACAGGAAAGTCTTTCAATTGTTATGCTATGAACTTTTGAAAAAACCTAATGACGGTAAAACAATTCCAACAAACTTTTTATAATAGAAGGTATATTTTCTGTCCCTGATTTAGGTTTTTTTCCAAACCACATTTTCTTTTGAAAAAACCTAATGACGGTAAAACAATTCCAACAAACTTTTTATAATAGAAGGTATATTTTCTGTCCCTGATTTAGGTTTTTTTTGGTAAAAGGGCTTTAATAACCCCATTTGTATATTCTACTTTGAGGTTTCCTTAAAAAGGCAAAATTGTCAAGAGGCAAAATTGTCAAGAGGCAAAATTGTCAAGAGGCAGAATTGTCAAGAGGCAAAATTGTCAAGAGGCAAAATTGTCAAGAGGCAAAATTGTCAAGGTACCTTTCCTTGTGTGCATCCATACCTGTAGTGTGTCAGCTCTGTTGATGGCCGATGCATACACCTTCACCAAGACCTCCCCCTGCCCTGGTTCAGGCCGCTTCACCTCCGCGATGTACAGCTTCTCTGGACCACCAGGCTCGTCAAAACTCACTGCTTTCATGGTTGCCATGCTTTCCTTGGAAAATTAAATTGATCAGGAACACAAACTGAAGTCACAAATGGCCAATATTTCTTGATCTGTTCCCAAACAACTTAACACCAATCTCAGACTATGCTCAACCAAATAAGCAACTCATGTCAACCAAAACAAATTTTGGTTCAGACGTTGACATTTCATCATGAACGGTTTGAAACTTTGGAAAATTTACTTAATAAGAATCTTAAGAATAACTTGGTTATACGTGTATACTGAATAAATCAAACAAACAAATGACAAGCCCAGTAGCACAACTGAGGGTTACCGGGGGCGTTGTGAGCCAGAGACCTCTCCCCCACCCTTGTGTTCATCCCCCCCCCCCCCCCCCGGACTCAGTGGGGCAAGAAATCTGAGCTAATATAAAACCCAGTGAATACCCCTCTCAAGAAAATTAACTCTTACAAAGTAACAACCCCACAACACCCCCTCCCCGCTGGACGCCAGTGAAGCCACTAAGCTGTGATGAAAGCAATTATCACAAAATAAATCCAACCTTTTGGCTACTTACAGTATCGCCAAGTGAAGATGAAACTTGAAGTGGTTGCTGCAAAAACAAAACACCAGACAGGAGAATGATAAGACACACTGTTGGATCAACCATTTAAGAAAACCTGGTGTGTTCACAACCTGTATATGGAGATAAAATACAGTGAAAGTGGAACCCTCGCCTTGTATGCAATTATTTGTATGCAAGTCATGAAAGACTGGGATCTGAAAAACAAAGGCATTTTTTTTCTTTCTTTCTTTTTTCTTCTTCATAGTAATGAAATAAATGAAATGTGATATGAAATAACTGTTGAAATGCTACTTGCTGTAGCATCTGGTGAACATGTACCCTCTAGAGTCCTGGGTCACTGGTACTTGTGTGTCACTTTGTAACTGATACAGATACATGTACATATGGGTTTCATATATTCAAAGTGCAAAGTGTGACCCTGCACCTGTTACCTTGGTTCTTTGTAATTTGCTATTCAAGTATTTGACTCCAAACAAGTGTTATTCCCTGGGTAGGTAGTTTGCTATTCATAAGCACTCATGGAGGACGACTGCATTAAGGAGTGCATCAGAATTATAAAATCATAGATGTCAGATAAACAGGGACAGGCAAAAAAGTGGACCCACAATCAATAGAATGACCCATATGGAAATGATATGGGGTGTCCAAAAAAAAACCTCGATGCGCCCCCTTTTCCACAGCTTTTACAAAAATACATCGCAAATATTTATACATATTTAGAGAGTACATGTATAGTCTGTTAGCTTTTCAACAAAGAAAAACTCTTTCCAATTGGGTAAATATTGATTGAGTTATGGCCAATTGAAAACAAGCACCGCTTTTTCATTTTGTCTTCTTCTGCTTCCACTTCTGCTGGATATAGTCAGGTGGATTAGAACCATTTTTTGACAAGATTGTGACCGACTGGTCCAAAGCACCAAACTTGGCAGATAGATTCTTATAGGGGTGACACCTGAAATTCTTTTGGGAAGGGTGCCTAATTTGCACAAATTGTAAATACCTGCCGTGTAATATATTTGTACCCATATTGGGGTCTATTTTAAAAAAATTTGAAAAGTACATTTTGGTGATTCTACTTACACATCCTTTATACATCAATAACATTTTCTAAAGCATATAAGAGACTGGATAATTATTAGGACAAAGTAACGATCCAAAATGGCTACTATTATACCCTAAAGCTGCACGCTCTTACATTGTACCTTGTCTACAGATATCATCAAGTAGTCTTGCCAAACCTCAATATTGATGAGCTTCAAATTCACCAGTTTGCTTACTGGCACAGTTACCCTACTGAAACGTATTGAAAATCATGTGAACAATGATAGCATTGTGATATTCAGCCCAGAAAACGAAAACGGGGGCAAAACGAGGTGTCTGTAAATTGGGCTAAAAGTAGGTGAAGGTTCGCCTAACGTGGGACACTTGAACAAGTCCAAGGAAATATCCAAAATGATTGGTAAGAAAACGTTTGGATGTAGACATAATTATTGTAAACAACAATAATCTCTTATTTGGGGAGATTTCCTTGAATTTGACCCCCACGTTAGGCAACTCTTTGCCTAATTTTGAACCGAATTTTACGGACACCTCATTTTCCCCTTTTTTGATTTTTGGGCTAAATATCAAGATGTTATCATTTCCACATGATTTCCCATTTATTTTTGTTAGGGTAACTGTGCCAGTAAGTAACTTTGTGAATTTGAAGCTCATCAATACCGACATTTGGGCGAGACTACTTGATGATATCTCAGGAAAAGGTGAATACGCGCAACTTTAGGCTAAAATGGTAGCCTTTTTTTTTCTTTATTATGTCCTAATAATCATCTGGTCTCTGATAAGTTTCAGAAAATGTTATTTACTTAAGGATATGTAAGTATAATCCCCAAAATATACTTTTCAAAAATTAAAAAAATTCAAATATATACCAAAATATCGGAATAAATATATTACACGGAAGGTATTAAGGATTTACCATATGACCATATGCCACCTGACTAATACGTACAGTATTAGTTAAAGATTGTTGTTAAAATGCATTGGTCAGTGTGGCGGTGGTGATTAAATTTTGTGATGAGCTTTTTTGGCCAGCTCATCCATATTTATTTGATTAATTACGGCCTATACATATATGATCCCATAAGGTGAGTAACGCTATAGGATTACAATGTCCAGATATTATTCAAATACATGCATCACACCATATGGCAGTATACTTATAAAGCTGTCTATTAATTCAGAGGACACCAAAGACCCGGCCTCAGTTTTGGACTGGAAACATAAATTTCACGTAACACATTTTTTTCCCTCTCTTACTCATTAGTAAAAAGATCAGTTTTGCCTTGACACAGATCAAAGATTCTGAGGGTGGGATGGAGGTAGAGGGATGGGGGTAGGGGGATGGGGGCAGGGGTAGGGGTGTGGCTAGGGGTAGGGGTTGGAGGAGGAGGTAAGGGTGGGGTGGAGGTGGTGGTGCGGATGCGGGTAGGATTTCACAAGAGGATGCATTTTTATCTTTATATTGAATATTCATTGAAGTATTGCACAATCCACCTCCCCTCATGTTGGTACAGCCCACTGAATATGCTAATTGTAATGATCTTTGAGGCCTTCGAGCTGGTTTTTGGGTTTTTTTCCTGGCCAGTTGTCGTCAGAGTTTGGAGGAGCTCAGATCAGTGGTGCGGTAGCATAAAATTTGTTCCCCAATTGTGGGAATTTGTTCCCCAATCAGTGGCAAAAGCCGAGCTAATCTACCAGTGATATCGGTAGCTGCAGAGTTCTAAAGTTGATAATTTAGTTACACCAATCAGTCAGAAAATTGTCAGATCTTTCCAGTGCGGGAGTCAGGCTTTGAAGACAGCTCTCGTCTTAAAAACTGTAAGTAAGTTAATTATTTATCATTTTGCTTTGTATAAATTTCCCTTTATATTACTATCAAATAAGTCAAAACAACCTATTCATTTGCAATAGTTGTTAGACTTATCTGTGTACAACCAGACTTTTGGAGTATAAACAAAAGCTTTAAATTAGTCACAACATTTGAGTTGTTGACTCAAAACATATTGTTCACTCTAAGTAGATTGTAAATTTATAAATACATTTCAATTTTTTTTTCCTTTGTAAATATCAAAATCGGCTTCTAAAGATTTCCCTTTTTTTGGTCAGTGATGTGGCCAGGACACTAAAATATTTCTAGGTTGAACCTGGTTTGTGACATTGGGGTTGGGGTGTTCAAATATTCACAGAAATACATGGCAACCATGAAAGCAGTGCGGTATGATGAGAACGGTGGTGCAGAGAAGTTGTACATCACGGAGGTGAAGCAGCCTGAACCAGGGAAGGGACAGGTCTTGTTGAAGGTGTATGCATCGGCCGTTAATCATGTTGATCCCATGCAGGTAATGTATACTTCGTATTGACTGGGGAAAAAATTGTACGAGCCAGCGTGACGAATATATTTAGAAACAAACAGCAGGGAAACCTTGCATTCTTTCTTTCAATTTCAGAGTCTCACGTAAGCCAAGTCTGGTATTACTTCCCTAACTTTTCCTCCAAAGGATTAAACCCTAATTTTGTTAGGCTTCTTTACAAACTTGAAACCATTTGAAAACAAATAATATCGTTTCATCACATGTGAAAATTATTACACTAATTTCATATACTGAATTTCATATTGGGTTAAATCACACAAATTATACCACTTGTAATATTAAACTAGATTTATGTTTGTGGACAAACAGGCCTGTTTCGGTAATTTTTTTGTGACTTGTGACATGTAAAGTTTCAAGAATATGTTTCATCAAGGAAGGATGTGTAGTTCTGTTTAGAATAAATGGTGGCATATAATATGTGATTATATGCTCATAGGGCTTTGAATAATGACGTCACATGTCACGTGATGACTTCATGATGACGTCACATCAAGTTTCACCTATAACTATAATATTATATCCCGCCGCCAGGCGCATCAACGTGTATAAAGGGGTATTGCGCGATCTCGTATTTTTTGACTAGTTAACCCCATATTTCTCTCAAACAAAGCTTGTAATCTGTCTACGACACAGCTGTTTGTTCAGAATGTGGCATAACAAACAACTTACAAATAGAATGTGTTCATCTGTGGGGAAAAGTGTCCTAAACTTCACCATCGCCATAAAATAACGAAAACAAAGGCTGTTTCGGCTGGATGCCGAAACAGCCAAAAAGTTCAGATAAAGCAATTACAATTTATTTTTTGTTGATATTATTAACAGGTGGCAGGAAATTACACACCACCTGCACATGTGGATGCAAACCTTGGCATGGAGGCTGCTGGAACAGTGGTCAAGCTGGGACCAGGGTGCTCCAAGTGGAAAATAGGTTCTGTCATTTATAACCAAGAGCCTGGGAAGAACGGAGACGGGGAGGGGGGAGGGAAAAGGGCGGGCGGGGCGGGGGTGGGGGGGGGGGGGATATGGCCCAGTCCTGCTCCCCTCTCCCAGTCTCCAAAAAGGAAATTAGAATAAGCAGGACAAGGCCTTGACAAAAAAATGTGAGAGATTTGGTTAAATGCAGCGTGTGTCAATTAAAATGTAGTCAATCCATAAATATTAAAAAATACCAGCATTCTCATTTTTGCAAAACGTAGAGTCGGAAGGTATAGTAAATACTATACACAATGGTCTGTGTCCCATCTCATTTGGACACCCCAGTCCAGAGATACAGCTAATTAAATGTAAGGACTTGAATTCTAAGTTGGGCCACTTGTCAAGATTATTTGGTATCTAATGAAAGGCATTCATATATGTACATGTACCAAGAAGGTGTGTGAATGCCTTTCAGTAGATACCAGATAATCTGAAAAGTGGCCCAAACAAATTTAACAGGTTTGGACAGTCTTTACAAGCTTTGCCTTAAACTTTTAAACAAAAGATCCAAATCACACAGAACGAAAATCATGTCAGGGGTAAATAAACACTATCATCTCATGGTAATTTTTTTTACCAAAATAAAAGAGTTAACTTCCTCAGAAAAAAAGATTTTTGACTGCCACATTTTTTTGAGACACGCTGTACATGTACATGTATGCAATTGTTTGTCATTTGTGAGTTCTTGCTGGCTGAAGTTAATCAATTATGTACCCATAGAGCCCTTCCAAGTATCTGTACCACCCCAAACAAATTCATCAAGGAGAACATACAATGTAAAACAGTAGAGTACTAATGGATTAAGTCAAATTTGAAAAACATCATGTAATCTTTAGCAGCTTCTGGGAAACTTCAATTCATTTTTATAAATGAAGCACGTTTTCCCCCTCACGTTTTGCTTTTGAAAGGAATTTATCTGACTTGAGCTAAAATGTATGTCTACCAAAGGGGACCGTGTAGCAGCACTTCTTGGTGGTGGAGGGAATGCAGAATTTGTAGTGGCCCATGAAGGTCACCTGATGTCTGTGCCTGGTCACATGACCATGCTAGAGGCTGCTGGGATACCCGAGGTCTGGCTGACTGTCTACAAGTTGCTCCACTTTGCTGGTAAATTAATTTTATTATATTCCTCCTGTGGACAAGGCTACTGCCTTGTGTGATAGAGGATCGGCACAAGTTTTGTCATGACAGGATCCTAAATTCAGACGTTGATACTGGATGAGCACTAAATTTTCCAACTAAATCACTAAGAAACAAGGATCACTTAAAGTAACAGCACAAAGTTGCATTGCTCTTGTCACAGGTCACGTGAAGGCAGGAGATCGAGTCCTGATCCATGCCGGGGGCAGTGGCACGGGAACCGCAGCTATTCAACTGGTCAGATTAGCAGGTGCAGAAGCCATAGTCACAGCCGGGACACAAGCTAAACTGGATATGGCTCAAGAGCTGGGTGCAGTGGCTGGCTTCAACTACAAGCAAGTCGACTTTGCCGACAAAGTCTTGGAATACACACAAAGTAAGGTTATTCCACTATCATCACCATGTTTCATTCCCCTATTCTATATGTTATTTACACAGGTTTTCAAATCTACATTTTTGAAATGAACCAGTAGGTCACAGCATCAGTATACAAGCTACAACCATTGTGTGTGTTTCTTTCACTGCTTCATTGTTTTTGCAGACAAAGGAGTAGACATGATTCTTGACTGTATTGGATCCAGCTTTTGGGAACAAAACTTGCGGTCCATCGCAGTGGAAGGCACTTGGGTCGTGTACGGATTAATGGGCGGTGCTTATGTGAATGGGCCTGCCCTTAGAGGGTTAATGCGCAAGAGGCTGCAACTGGTAGGGACAAATCTGCGACCGAGGAATGACCAAGTGAGTACACCTTGTGGTCCCATGAGCTCCATGCACAAGTACCCCCTCAACAGTTAAGGGGAGTTGGAGGGAGGGGTGGTAGGATGGGGTAGGGGTGGGGTGGGGATGGGGGTCGGGATAGGGTGGGTGGGGTGGGGGTCGGGATAGGGTAGGTGGGGTGGGGATGGGGTGGGGTGGGGATGGAATGGGGGTTGGGATGGGGTGGGGGTGGGGATGGGTGTCGGAATGGGGTGGGTGGGATGGGGAAGGGGGTGGAGGTCGGGATGGGGTGGGTGGGGTGGGGATGGGGGTGGGATGGGGATGGGGTGGGATGGGGTGGGGGTGGGGATGGGGGTCGGGATGGGGTGGGTGGGATGGGGATGGGGTGGGGATGGGATGGGGGTCGGGATGGGGTTGGAATGGGGTGGGGTGGGGATGGGATGGGGGTTGGGATGGGGTGGGGATGGGGTGGGGTGACTTCTAGAATTAGAAGGCTTCTCTCCGTCAGAAGCCTGATGGAGAAAAGCCTTCTAATTCTAGAAGTAGGGTGGGATGGGGTGGACGGGGTGGGGGTGGGGATGGGGTGGGGTGGGATGGGGGTGGGGTTGGGGGAGGGGACCACCATGCTTTTGTGCCAAGCAAATTTCTGTCCAAAGCAGCTGCAGGCCTTGGCACACGAGGACAGACAAAGCACAATTGAAATGTTTACTACGGTATCAGTTTAATTCATCAATTGTTTGGTTTGGTCCATTATTTTTTTTCCTTTTGTAGTACAAAACAGATTTGGTGCAGGCATTCACCGAAAACGCCCTACTTCACTTTGGGAAGGAGTTAAAACCAATCACAGACAGTGTGTTCCCATTGGAGGAGATTGCCATCGCTCATAGACGTATCACGTCCCAGGAGAACATTGGGAAAATTGTACTCAGCGTATGTGAGGAAAAGCAAATAGCCGACTAATTGGATTATTTTTACACACACAAAAAAAACACCTAAAAAAAGAAAGAAGCAAGGCTGTTTTGCTTTTAAACCTAACCAAGACTTTTTAAGCAAGCTTTTATGTTAATACTGTAGGTTTACCTTGAAATTTTATCTTCTAACGTAGTACCTGACTAATAATTAACCTCATTTAACAAACAGACATGTATTCTAAGAAGACAAGTCAAAAAGAAATGGGAAGGCCAAGTGGAAGAAACAAATATACAAGTCTTGTTTCTGTCTATACTGTCTTATCAAATGGAGCTGAGGGTTTATAGGAAGTTGAGGTTGCTGTAAGCAGGTTAGATGAATTTCAGGTTTTATATTTTGCTGATAGATTTTAGATGACACATGGGGTACTTTGAAAAATATTCAGAATTTGTAAGAGGGTTATTCAATCACAGAAATGCACTGATTTTGTTTCTCCTAAATCTACACTAAACTAAACTAGAGAAGACTTTTCGTTTTTGAATTTTGGCGGTTGTGCTGTGTTTTGTACTGTCAATTGCATTGCATGCTACTAATAAAGGGACAGTGAACTTATCAAACAAGTTTTGTCCATTCTCAACATTATTTTAAGTAAATCCTCGGTCATATGTTGTAAGCTAGTGACCACAGGGAGTTGAGTATAATAATATAACATTTTAAACAAGGAAACTTTCCAAAGTCCATCATTCCTTCACCAACAAATATTTATTTAAAAATGGTAATTAACTCTCCGTGACCACACTTTTTGCCCAAAGCATTTAAACTTGATTAGGCAACTTTTATAAAAAAAAATTATTCGTTGAAAATGTTTTGTTTGACAAAAACAACTTCATAATTTCAATTCTGAAATCAGATTGTAAAGAAAACCTTCACTTTTTCTGTTTTTGCTTTAAAAAAATAGCCTTCTGTTTCTGGCAGCTTCTGGCCACGATTATAACTAAGTTAAGTTCAGAAATGTTTTGTGAGTGCCTGCCGCTGTTGTTTGCCCTCACTAACTTGTGTGCTGTGACCTTGAATTTCCCGTGTTTGCGCCCTGCCTTTGATCGATTATTTTTCTCAAGTTTATCTACGGAGCCATTACGTTGTGTTATGACAATTATCAACCAATTACATGTACATGTATACAGAGTTCAAAGTAGCGTACAGTTGTGTAATGAGAAGTTAAAGCGGTTCGTAATGTGAATAATGTACAGTACACTTAGATGTACATGTAGTTGGCAAGTATAAATAAGAGTGGCATCCATTTGTTTCTGCATACTACCATTTTGATTCAACCCGAAGAATATTACTCAACAGTCGAAGCTTAAGGATTTTGATTTCACTTCGCACATTGTGACTTGTCTTTACTTTTTGTCATCACGATACTGAACAAACTTCCAAAGAAAAAATTAAAAATTGGAGACAAAATGTCTCTGCGCCAAGCAGTGCATCTACTGAATCAACTGCAACTGGGTGAAAGCATTGTGGGATTCATTGGGAATGCTCTGGTATGCTTGACAATACTGAAAACCAAAGCACTGCACAATGTCACCAACTACATGCTTTTCAATCTGGCTGTAGCAGATTTCATCGTTTCCATTGAAGGTATTCTGGAACAAAGTGTGGAAAATCATCGTCGGGGGATAGGGATTTTTGGTTACTGCACTCCCTCATTCATCTACAACTTCAACGTCTATTTCATCTTCTCATACTTTCAGAAGGTATCTTTTGCAAACTCTGTTTTTGCTCTGACTTTGGCCACGTTTGAGCGTTACATCGGCATCATCAAGCCTCTGCATTATTTTACCTTCTTCACCAAACGACGACTGATCAGCATGCTTCTCTTCATGTGGTTGGCTCCATATCTGACAGAGGCATTCTCCCCAATCTTCTACATCACCGCTTATGAAGCAGATAACTGTACTGTACCATCAGCTGAGAAGTATCCAATTACTCGGGCTACTGGTATAGTGAGACTCTTCTTTGTCTTCATAATACCATCCATTGCTTTGGCTTACATGTACGCCAGAATCCTGATCAATCTGAAGCGAGGCGCTAGGCATCTTGAGAACCAAGGCATCCAGGGGCCACAGTCTCAAGAGCTGCACCAAGCCCACAAGAAAGTCACCAAATCTCTTCTCCTGGTCATCGCAGCTTTCTTCATTCTCATCCTACCAAGTCAAATCCTGCGAAATGTCATCGTTTACCTGAACGTATTTGACGGCGATTATTACGCTGCTGAGCTTGTCAGCAATTTAATCGCTTGTCTGTCATCCATGAATTCTGCAATCAACCCTATCATGTACGGTTTGAGCTACAGTCAATTACGGCGCGCCTGTATCGCCATGTTGTGTCCGTTTGATCGCTGCAAGCGATCAAATCATGTTACTCAGGTTTCCATCTGAGTGTTGTTTGCAACATTTAATGAAGTTTGCACATGAGAATGTGACAACCTTCACCTGTACAGGTATGTACATGAACACTGTTTCAGTTCTCATGGTTCAATGTAAAACTTGTACAAATCCCCTTACCATAAAAGAAAGACTTATGAATATGTTGAACCTATTTGTATTAGTCCTTGTACCACCCAAAACTGCAGAGCAAACAATGATTTCATGGAGTCTTTGGTGAATAAATGCAATGAAATACAGTGTAGGTCATCGTTTATAAGTTAAGTAGTTTATTCAAAACAGTAGTGGCAAGAATACGTTTGTGCTGTCTCGTTTCACGAATCTCAATAAGAAGTGTAACCAGATTTGTCATACAAAGGAGTAATTTTGCTTATACATAAAAAGAATGGGCTTGTACGTACAAAATGTAATATCATTATCCAGTAGGGAAAAAATCAACCACGAATGACAGAGCTGCTTAGATTTTAATTTTATTTTTCGTAACACAATTGTTCATCAGAACATACAGGTATGTTTGGAGATAATCTCCATTCTTTCTGGTTAACATCTTTTCAAATGTAGTTAGCTACTGTAATCTGCAAGGGATGGATTTTTTTAATTTCATTATCTCAAATTTAGTCGTACATTGTATTCAATCCACATCTCACTCTAAGATGTTAAAATAAATGAACAATTCCAATTTAAAGAGTAAGAGAAAGACATGTGCAAGATAAAAAAAAAAACGCACATCCTCTGCAAAAGATGCTCATATAAAGAGTGGTAGTACAGGTTTATTTCACTTGTCTTGGCAGACTACCGATACAAGTTGTAAGGGTGGATGTTCTGGAGCAGTGCAGAATCCAAGTTTAACGTGAGAGGTCCTGATAGATGACAAAATGTCTCAAGCTGTGCTTCAAGGAATTACCACACTGATACAAGTGCGACTGAGTCTGGGTGTTGTGGGAACCATCGGGAATGCTCTGGTATGCTTGACGATACTGAAAACCAAAGCACTGCACAATGTCACCAACTACTTGCTTTTCAATCTGGCTGTAGCAGATGTTGTCGTTTCCGTTGAAGGTACTCTGGGACCAACTATCATAGATAATCATCGCTTAGGGATCGGTTCTTTTGGTTACTGCACTCCCTCGTTGATCTACAACTTCAACGTCTATTTCATCTTCGCATACGTTCAGAGGGTATCTTTCTTAAACTCAGTTTTTGCTCTGACTTTGGCCACGTTTGAGCATTACATCGGCATCATCAAGTCTCTGCATTATTTTACCTTCTTCACCAAACGACGACTGATCAGCATGCTTCTCTTCATGTGGTTGGCTCCATTTCTGACGGAGGTATTCACTCCAATCTTCTACATCATCACTTATGAAGCAGATAACTGTACTGTACCACTAGCTGGGAAGTATCCGATTACTCGGGCTATTAGTATACTGAGACTCATTTTTGTCTTCATAATACCATCCACTGCTTTGGCTTACATGTACGCCAGAATCCTGATCAATCTGAAGCGAGGTGCTAGGCATCTTGAGAACCAAGGCATCCATGGGCCACAGTCTCAAGAGCTGCACCAAGCCCGCAAGAAAGTCACCAAATCTCTTCTCCTGGTCCTCGCAGCTTTCTTCATTCTCATCCTACCGAGTCAAACCCTGCAAAATGTCCTCGTTAACATCAATCTATTTGACGGCGATTTTTACACCACTGAGGTTCTCAACAGTTTGATCCAATGTCTATCATCAATGAATTCTGCTATCAACCCTATCATGTATGGTTTGAGTTACCGTCAATTACGGCGCGCCTGCATCGCCATGTTGTGTCCGTTTGATCGCTGCAAACGATCAAATCAAGTTACTCAGGTTTTCACCTGAGTTTGCACATGAGCTTGAACAACATTCACCTAGATACAGGTTTGTGCACTGCTTTGGTTCTCATAGTTCAAGTTTAAAAGTTGTAAAAATCCTTTTGCTATCCATAAAGTCAGTTAGTCCTAATGCACTGCCCAAAACCACCGAGCAAGATCTTGTTCAACACAATGCAGAAAAGCTACATGTAAGTTTAAGCCATTTTACATACAATCTGAATGATTTTTCATTTAAAACACACTGAGTTTTGGCTAACTTTTTATGATGCATGTGATCAGATAACGTTAAAGATGAATAGATGTAATCTTTGAAAATCAATATATAATCAACCGTGAGAGACCTGAACTTGACGTTTGTAGGAAATGATAGAATAATCCAGGGTCTTCATTTATTTATATTACGTGCAAAATCACGTGACCCTCCCTTCTGGTTGAAACCAGAATTGCCTTGTAATTTAAAATTGGTAAAAGATGTGAACTTCCTTTCAACGAAGTACATGTATGCTCTGGCTAACTTGATTTACAAAAAAATAACGGTGACGTCATAAAATGTTAGAGCGCCCTCAGTCTAGCGGCAGGTTGTTATAGATGATTATAGATGAAAATTGATGTGATGTCATCATGACGTCACATGTGACATCATAATTCAAAGCCAGGTGAGAATGTAATCACATATTTATATGCCACCATTTATTATAAACAGAACTTCACATCACATCCTTCCTGGATGGAACTTATACTTGAAACTTTACATGTCACATGTAAGTCATAAAAAAAGTTACCGAAACAGCCCTGTGTTTGTCCACAAACATAAGTCTAGTTTTATTTTATTTTATTATCAATAAAAAGATTTTGGTTCTGCATGATTTTCCAGTTTGGTGGGGTCATACTCATAGGACACACAGGTATTTTTTTCTTGGCCCAAGCAGCAATTAAACTTCTAATTATACAATGTGCACACTTATGAAAACTAGTACAAATACAAAAGTACACTGCACAGTAAGAAGAATTAGTTGATCATCATTCTTTGATGTCTACACAGTTATTTTATTATTGAAAAAAGATCGAAGGAAAAGTGGAACATACATGTGTATACATGTATACAATGTACATGTACGTAAAATGTAATATCATTATTGGGGGGGGGGGGGAGACATGAAAGACAGAGCCGCTTAGATTTTAATTTTATTTTTCTTAACACAATTGTTCATCAGAACAGATGTTTTGAGAAGATAAACTCCGTTATTTTTGGTTTACATCTTTTAATATGTAGTTTTATATTATCTGCAAGGGATGATTTTTTAATTTCATAATCTCAAATTCTGTCGTACATTGTATGTAATCAACATCTCACACTAGGATGATAAAAAAATGAATATTTCCAATTTAAAGACTAAGGAAAGAAATACATGTGCAAGATAAAAAAAAACCCGCACATCCTCTGCAAAAGACACTTATACATGTATAAGGAGTGAAATACCTCCGTCAGAGGTTCATTTCACTCATTTTGGCAGACTACCGATACAAGTTGTAAGGGTGGATGTTCTGGAGCAGTGCAGAATCCAAGTTTAACGTGAGAGGTCCTGATAGATGACAAAATGTCTCAAGCTGTGCTTCAAGGAATTGCCGCACTGATACAAGTGCGAGTGAGTCTGGGTGTTGTGGGAACCATCGGGAATGCTCTGGTATGCTTGACGATACTGAAAACCAAAGCACTACACAATATCACCAACTACTTGCTTTTCAATCTGGCTGTAGCAGATGCTGTCGCTTCCGTTGAAGGCACTATAGGAGCAACTATCATAGATAATCATCGCTTAGGGATCGGTACTTTTGGTTACTGCACTCCCTCGTTCATCTACAATTTCAAAGCCTTTTTCATCTTCTCATACTTTCAGAGGGTATGTTTTTCAAACTCTGTTTTTGCTCTGACTTTGGCCACGTTTGAGCGTTACATCGGCATCATCAAGCCTCTGCATTATTTTACCTTCTTCACCAAACGACGACTGATCAGCATGCTTCTCTTCATGTGGTTGGCTCCATTTCTGACGGAGGTATTCACTCCAATCTTCTACATCACCACTTATGAAGCAGATAACTGTACTGTACCAACAGCTGAGAAGTATCCGATTACTCGGGCTACTGGTATAGTGACATTCTTTTTTGTCTTCATAATACCATCCACTGCTTTGGCTTACATGTACGCCAGAATCCTGATCAATCTGAAGCGAGGCGCTAGGCATCTTGAGAACCAAGGCATCCAGGGGCCACAGTCTCAAGAGCTACACCAAGCCCACAAGAAAGTCACTAAATCTCTTCTCCTGGTCATCGCAGCTTTCTTCATTCTCATCTTACCGAATCAAATCCTGCATAATGTCATTGTTAACATCAATCTATTTGACGGCGATTTTATAACCGCTGAGTTCGTCAGCACTTTGAACCTAGGTCTATCAGCAATGAATTCTGCTATCAACCCTATCATGTATGGTTTGAGTTACCGTCAATTACGGCGCGCCTGCATCGCCATGTTGTGTCCGTTTGATCGCTGCAAACGATCAAATCAAGTTACACAGGTTTTCACCTGAGTTTGCACATGAGCTTGAACAACATTCACCTAGATACAGGTTTGTGCACTGCTTTGGTTCTCATAGTTCAAGTTTAAAAGTTGTAAAAATCCTTTTGCTATCCATAAAGTCAGTTAGTCCTAATGCACTGCCCAAAACCACCGAGCAAGATCTTGTTCAACACAATGCAGAAAAGCTACATGTAAGTTTAAGCCATTTTACATACAATCTGAATGATTTTTCATTTAAAACACACTGAGTTTTGGCTAACTTTTTATGATGCATGTGATCAGATAACGTTAAAGATTAATAGATGTAATCTTTGAAAATCAATATATAATCAACCGTGAGAGACCTGAACTTGACGTTTGCAGGAAATGATAGAATAATCCAGGGTCTTCATTTATTTATATTACGTGCAAAATCACGTGACCCTCCCTTCTGGATGAAACCGGAATTGCCTTGTAATTTAAAATTGGTAAAAGATGTGAACTTCCTTTCAACGAAGTACATGTTTGCTCTGGCTAACTTGATTTACAAAAAAATAACGGTGACGTCATAAAATGTTAGAGCGCCCTCAGTCTAGCGGCAGGTTGTTATAGATGATTATAGATGAAAATTGATGTGATGTCATCATGACGTCACATGTGACATCATAATTCAAAGCCAGGTGAGAATGTAATCACATATTTATATGCCACCATTTATTATAAACAGAACTTCACATCACATCCTTCCTGGATGGAACTTATACTTGAAACTTTACATGTCACATGTAAGTCATAAAAAAAGTTACCGAAACAGCCCTGTGTTTGTCCACAAACATAAGTCTAGTTTTATTTTATTTTATTATCAATAAAAAGATTTTGGTTCTGCATGATTTTCCAGTTTGGTGGGGTCATACTCATAGGACACACAGGTATTTTTTTCTTGGCCCAAGCAGCAATTAAACTTCTAATTATACAATGTGCACACTTATGAAAACTAGTACAAATACAAAAGTACACTGCACAGTAAGAAGAATTAGTTGATCATCATTCTTTGATGTCTACACAGTTATTTTATTATCGAAAAAAGATCGAAGGAAAAGTGGAACATACATGTGTATACATGTATACAATGTACATGTACGTAAAATGTAATATCATTATCGGAGGGGGGGGGGGGGACACGAAAGACAGAGCTGCTTAGATTTTAATTTTATTTTTCGTAACACAATTGTTCATCAGAACATACAGGTATGTTTTGAGATAATCTCCATTCTTTCTGGTTAACATCTTTTCATATGTAGTTAGCTACTGTAATCTGCAAGGGATGGATTTTTTAATTTCATAATCTCAAATTTAGTCGTACATTGTATGCAATCCACATCTCACTCTAAGATGTTAAAAAAAATGAACAATTCCAATTTAAAGAGTAAGAGAAAGACATGTGCAAGATAAAAAAAACCGCACATCCTCTGCAAAAGATGCTCATATAAAGAGTGGTAGTACAGGTTTATTTCACTTATCTTGGCAGACTACCGATACAAGTTGTAAGGGTGGATGTTCTGGAGCAGTGCAGAATCCAAGTTTAACGTGAGAGGTCCTGATAAGATGACAAAATGTCTCAAGCTGTGCTTCAAGGAATTACTGCACTGATACAAGTGCGACTGAGTCTGGGTGTTGTGGGAACCATCGGGAATGCTCTGGTATGCTTGACGATACTGAAAACCAAAGCACTGCACAATGTCACCAACTACTTGCTTTTCAATCTGGCTGTAGCAGATGTTGTCGTTTCCGTTGAAGGTACTCTGGGACCAACAATCATAGAAAATCATCGTCTGGGGATGGGTTCTTTTGGTTACTGCACTCCCTCGTTGATCTACAACTTCAACGTCTATTTCATCTTCGCATACATTCAGAGGGTATCTTTCTTAAACTCAGTTTTTGCTCTGACTTTGGCCACGTTTGAGCATTACATCGGCATCATCAAGTCTCTGCATTATTTTACCTTCTTCACCAAACGACGACTGATCAGCATGCTTCTCTTCATGTGGTTGGCTCCATTTCTGACGGAGGTATTCACTCCAATCTTCTACATCACCACTTATGAAGCAGATAACTGTACTGTAGCACTAGCTGAGAAGTATCCGATTACTCGGGCTATTGGTATAGTGAGACTCATTTTTGTCTTCATAATACCATCCATTGCTTTGGCTTACATGTACGCCAGAATCCTGATCAATCTGAAGCGAGGCGCTAGGCATCTTGAGAACCAAGGCATCCAGGGGCCACAGTCTCAACACCTGCACCAAGCCCACAAGAAAGTCACCAAATCTCTTCTCCTGGTCATCGCAGCTTTCTTCATTCTCATCCTACCAAGTCAAATCCTGCGAAATGTCCTCGTTAACATCAATCTATTTGACGGCGATTTTTACACCACTGAGGTTCTCAACAGTTTGATCCAATGTCTATCATCAATGAATTCTGCTATCAACCCTATCATGTATGGTTTGAGTTACGGTCAATTACGGCGCGCCTGCATCGCCATGTTGAGTCCGTTTGATCGCTGCAAACGATCAAATCAAGTTACACAGGTTTCCACCTGAGTTTGCACATGAGCATGTAACAACATTCACCTAGATACAGGTTTGTGCACTGCTTTGGTTCTCAGAGTTCAAGTTTAAAAGTTGTAAAAATCCTTTTGCTATCCATCAAGTCAGTTAGTCCTAATGCACCGCCCAAAACCACCGAGCAAGATCTTGTTCAACCCAATGCAGAAAAGCTACATGTAAGTTTAAGCCATTTTACATACAATCTGAATGATTTTTCATTTAAAACACACTGAGTTTTAGCTAACTTTTTATGATGCATGTGATCATGGTCTAATTACGTAAGAACAAGTATACATGTATAACAATGGTTTTATTTTGTTCTTATTATTTCTTATTAGGCTGCACAGGTTCTCTTTACTCATTGTCATTGTTAGGCTATTCTTTCACAAAGCTCAATATGTACATGAAAACCCTGCCTGTGCATTGCCCAAAAAACAACTCAAGCATTAAAGCTTTTTTTTAAAAATATGTCCAAAAAAATGTGTTCCTATTACATTAACAACATGAGGGGTGGGTGGGTGGGTGAGTTAACTCCTCCCCCTTTTTTTTCCTCCAGATTTTTATTGTTGCCACCCCCAGAAAAAAAAACCAAGTGGGAAGATGCTCATTTTTTTTTTTAAATTAATTATTTTTTTGCAAACATTTGTAACAGTTCAGATGTGAATCGAATAATCATTCTGCATTTGCTGAGCTGTTAAAAAGCTTCATTGCACTGTGCAGCAAGACAACACTTCCAACCAACTTACAAAAAAAGAACAACAATTACAAAATGAAGAGCATTCTCCGTGGGTGGCACCATACTTTTTTTAAATTTAATCTATATTTTAATATAAAGATTTTGGTTTTTAATTTGGGGCTTTGGACAGGGTCATAGAAAACACAGGTAATTTTTGTTCTCGGAATAAGCAGTAACTTTAACTTCTCAGTGTACGGTACATATGTATGTACCATTATACACACACTTGATGGTACTCGCACTAATACAAACTTTGCACCGTAAGAAAAATTGGTTGAATCATTCATTGGCATCTGTTCAGTAATGATATTGAAATCTGAAGAAGAACTGAATTACGTTTGAAAAGTCAGGCCGCATTAATTCTTTAGATATTCAACTACGATCAAAGGAAAACCACAATACGCAGGTATGTAATATCATTATCAGGAAAAAACACAACCTTGAATGACAGAGCTGCCAAGATTTTAATTTTATTTTTTTCTCAACAAAATTGTTCACTAGAACAGATTTTTTTTGAAAAGATAACGTGGGTTCTTTTTGGTTCACATCGTTCAATAAGTAATTAGCCAATCTGCAAGGGATTGATTTTTGTTAATTTCATAATCTCAAATTCTGTTGTTTATGTTATCACAATTTAATTGTTCGATGTAAAAAAAGAAGAAATATTCCAATTTAAAGACTTAGAGAAAGACATGCGCAAGATAAAGCGGAACACGTCTTCTGCAAAAAAAAGTATACACTCAAGTATAAAAGGAGTTAAAATATTGGTTTATTTCACTCATTTTGGCAGACTACAATTTGTAAGGGTTGTCGGCAAATTTTGGAGCAGTGCAGAATTCAAATTTTGACGTGTGAAGTCCTGATACAAGACAAATGTCTGAAGCTGTGATTCACGGAATTGCCGCACTGAAACAAGTGCATCTGAGTCTGGGTGTTGTGGGAACCATCGGGAATGCTCTGGTATGCTTGACGATACTGAAAACCAAAGCACTGCACAATGTCACCAACTACATGATCTTGAATCTAGCCATAGCAGATGCCATCGCTTCAAGTATTACTATTTTGGAACAAACAATCATGGAAAATCATCGCTTAGGGATCGGTATTTTTGGTTATTGCACTCCCTCGTTCATCTACAATTTCAAAGCCTTTTTCATCTTCTCATACTTTCAGAGGGTATCTTTTTCAAACTCTGTTTTTGCTCTGACTTTGGCTACGTTTGAGCGTTACATCGGCATCATCAAGCCTCTGCATTATTTTACCTTCTTCACCAAACGACGACTGATCAGCATGCTTCTCTTCATGTGGTTGGCTCCATCTCTGACGGAGGTATTCACGCCAATCTTCTACATCATCACTTATGAAGCAGATAACTGTACTGTACCATCCGCTGAGAAGTATCCAATTGCTCGGGCTTCTGGTATAGTGAGACTCATTTTTGACTTCATAATACTATCCATTGCACTGGCTTACATGTACGCCAGAATCCTGATCAATCTGAAGCGAGGAGCTAGGCATCTTGAGAACCAAGGCATCCAGGGGCAACAGTCTCAAGAGCTGCACCAAGCCCACAAGAAAGTCACCAAATCTCTTCTCCTGGTCCTCGCAGCTTTCTTCATTCTCATTCTACCGAGTCAAATCCTGAGGAATGTCCTCACTTTCTCCAACTTGTATGGTGGAGATTACTTTGCTGCCGAGCTTCTCAGCACTTTAATATTTTGTCTATCATCCATGAATTCTGCCATCAACCCTATCATGTACGGTTTGAGTTATGGTCAATTGCGACGCGCATGCATTGCCATGTTGTGTCCGTTTGATCGTTGCAAACGATCAAATCAAGTTGCACAGAATTTCACTTAATCTGAATCTGATTAAATACAGTTAACACAACTGGCCCCTCATATCACACCAACTTGAGATAACATCTCAGGTGGACCAGCGTTATACACACATTTCCATATCACACCAATTATTCAAAGTTTAAAAACACTCTAAAAGTGTAGTTATTCATTTTTACTATCTTCCAACCAAACACACGAAGATCTGTAAAACGTGTTAAAAAATATATTGGTTTTGTAAAGCTCACAATATTGTAAAGCTCACAATATCAAACATTTATTTTAAAGGCAGAGTCCATCATTTGCAGCTATCAAAAAACTAACTGGCGTAATCATTGTTGAAAAACATACTTGGTTGAAAGATAGTAATGGAACTAAACTCCCTGTGAAATTATTCTTTCTGGCAAGCTGTCATTTTGAAGAAATCAACGAAAGAAGGCCTTTCCAACGGTGCGTCTTAAGAAGCACCGTTGGAAATTTCCGTTAGTAGTTCGTTTTTTTTTTATTCGGCGAAGCGCGCGCAAGCCTTGACACGACGCATACGCGCGCGTGGTTGCTATAATTCGTCAAATCGGTGCGCGACATCGCGTAGCTGCAATCGGCTCAGTGAGAACGTGTCTTGGACGCTGAATTCAGCCCCGATTCAAAACATGATTCAGCAACTTTTGATTTGAAATAGAGATCCTAGAATGTTGTTTTTCTCAAAATATACAGCTGAAGCTGAGCTGAAACTTCATCAGGTTAGTTGTTCAGCACCCTTGTTTAGATTTTGAGCACTTTTGTTGCTTCAAACGAACAAAATGCACGCATTACAAATGATGGACTATACCTTTAAGTACTTTACAAAAGTACTTCTATAAAATGTGACACAATTCCATCTTACCAGTACTTTGGTTGCAGTACCCACTGCTACTGTTATGTCAGATTCGAACCAGCCAGCCGACCCGGCAAGCTCGCTGGTTGAGTGGTAAGACACCCACACCAGTAAGCAGGGGGTCATGGGTTCGAGTCCCATAACCTCTGACAATAACTCAGGACAACAGTGATGAGTATTAAGTGTAAAAAAAAAAATGTCAGTGAAGGGCAAAACCCAAAATTGAATTTATGATAACCATTGAGAAAAAATTGTGTAAGAAGTATTCATGTGCGATCATTCTTTGATGTCTGCACAGTAATGATATTGAAAAGTGATCAGAGGAAAATATTCCCACTGAATTACTGTTATAATCTTTTATGTAAAACAAATTTATTACACTCTTGTTTTTCAGAAGTTTGACTTATTTAAGTTTTGTTGATTTTACAGTAGGCCTAATTGTTTGTTGACGTAGACTGCACCATGAGTGTCTTACTTGGCAGATACTGGCACTATAAGTCCTCATTATTATTAATTTTCACAGCTCTACATGTACCGGTAGGTACATTTTGTATAAATTTCAAATTCTATATATGATGAAACTTCGTTAATGCCACTTTTTCCCAAAACATTTTCCTTCTTGCACATTCATTTTCTTGAGTCAACAAGAAAGCTAACACTGGAACTCAGTGTGAGAGGTGTTCAAGTAGAACACCACTAAAACAAACATGGGAACAGCATGTGTGGAAAAGTAGTCATTGAATGCAGTGAAGTGTATTGTACACATACATGTACTTTCTGGCAGCTCAAAAGGATGTTCAATGTATAGCCAGCTGACATAGTCAATGGACTCCATGCACAAACAAAAGAGGGCGCTTTTTGACCACTTTCGAGAGCTCCAGTGGTAGCTGGGTAGGACACATCGACTGCTCATACTGGTTTGCGCATGCATTGCTAGAAATACGCACTATTTATTCTAACCAGAATCCCTACAAACCCCGACACATCTTCACGTGCAATGCGTTCGAGTGTCTCTCCCGGTGGTCTCCCCCAACTCTCCCTTGTAACCAGGGGTACTTAAAGTGCACAGATTCCATAGACTGGTGTTAAATTCATACACCTTATGTGCCATTCTGCAGTACATGGAAAATTTCGGTTGAAATGCCTCTTTTGAAAGACGATTAAAGCGCTTTGACATTTTTAGGCACACCCATTGCTGCTACAGTGTACCGGCATGTAGCACTTCAGACTGTACATGCCCTTTAAATAGGACCAATCCCGGCCAAAATATCCTTCAGATGTACCAGTACCGGTACATGTATGCACATGAACAAACTACTTGAAAATCTTCACTTTTATATCAGATGTACACAGCTGATAACAAACACTGATATCATTTTGTACAGTGATGATCATATCTTCATTTGGATTGGTTGGGAAGGTTTCCAACAAACTTCACCAAGAGTACACATGTTTTTCATTAATTTTACCTCTGCATGTCAACAGCCGCCACAATTCTACTTCTTTTTGCCGATAATTTACTCTCAATTTGCTTTAGATTAGGACTTAATTCTAGAATTTTTTTCAGCTTTCACGTCTCAAATTATAAAACTCTTGCGCAGTGCTCAAGATAATTAGGCGCATGATTTAATTCTGCTGTTCCAGCAAAAGTTAATTTCACGATTTTTTTTTAAGGCAAAATTTGATTGAACAGGCTATTTTTGCAGCCGATTGTTAGATAACTGACTGCATTAAAAGATTAAAAGATGTAAATGTCCGCCGTTACTGCTGTTGTTAGCTACCGGTAAAAAAAGACTCGGTCATTCACTTGTTTTTAACACAATCACTCCTTACGTCCTAACTAGAATTAGCAGTGAAGTTAAATGGTAACCATGTCTACATGGGACGTCACATGCATCTGTCAGTGATATGTCTTGGTGATGTCTGTATTCATATTATTTGTTTATATTCTACATATCCATGTTTACATGTTAGTGACACACTGAGATTTTAAAATGTATTCAGTAAAGTGTTGGTTGGTTTTCCCTCGCAAAGTTTGAACTCGGAAAGCAAAGTTGCATAACTGATTTGCGATTCGACTGGAACACAGGCTTACAGCATAGGCATGGACACACAAACGGTGGCTTTCAAGGTACAAGTCAAGGTTTCTTCTTGGAATTATAAACATGACTTCTTGATTTGGCAACTTGTTGATACCCAATTTCCCAAAAGCTTAGCGATCGAGCCTGAAATGACCTAGTGTCGCAACTCAATGCAACCACAGTGTGCAATTTGTTTTCACATAATTAACTGTGCATTTATGTTCAATTGCAAATCTCACAAAACTTGTTTTGAATGGATGCTCTAAAGGCAATGATTTATTTCACATTAATACTTAATTTGTGTTGCCTTGTGTAATGAATTGTAATGTTACGTAATATAAATGTAACTTTTCATACATGTTATGTATAATATTATAGTATTGCTAGAGTAACTTTTCGTTATATAAATAAGAGTAATGCAACAGTTATAACTCTATCTTAGTTGTAAAGCGCATTGAAATGTTAATGTAATGCACTCTGTGAGTGTAAATTATTATTTCATATTATGCAAATGTTTTCAAAAATGTACATGTGCAATTTAATTTTAAAAAACATAAATGAAATAGGTTAATTTTCAGTAATTTTTTATTGGTGTGTGGTGTCCTAATGCTACTGAAGGATCGAAAATGGGATCAATGTACAATACATCTACTTTAAAAGGAACTTGAAAATGAATAAAACTTCTGCAAACTGCTTATTAACTGGATTAACCTTGAATATATATACAAATCAAAAAAATTGAAGGGTCTAACGTTTCGGTTCTAGCAGGATGTTTGTGATAGGCAAAAATAAAGGTATTAAATTCCTTGAATCTGCAGGTACTTCATTTACATATTTAATATATATTCCTTTTATTTACATAAATTGTTTGATTGTAAAGTGCCATGAAGCATTTTTAATGGATTTGGCGCTATAGAAATTTACAGTATTATTATTATTATTATATTTGAGTCATTATTTTCAAAAACTTTCAAGCAAACTTTTTGAGCAGGTTGTCCATCACATTATCACCAGCTCCAATTTTCAACGGTTTTTACTTATTTCATTATCTACATGTAGATGTAATAATGTACCCAGTAAGTCGCTGGAGAAATAAAATTAGAACCTATTACGTTTTGATCGTTCTTTTTCAATAGAGGCAATGCACTGGCTGTAAATGCAATTAAGGCAGGTGTGTAGCGAACAGCGTCTATTTTTATCACTCTCTATTCAATAACTGTACTTAAATGAATATTTATATCTGTCCTGTTTTCTTTTGATCTTTTTCCATCTGCATTATCCTCGCTCACCACAATTTTGCAATGCATCTCACAATACATGTACTTGTTTTTGAATGGATGTTCTAAAAAAGCAATGATTTATTGCACACTATGCAAAAGTTTTCACAAATGTACACGTACCATTTCATTAAAAAATGTAAAAGGAAATAGTTTTATTTTTAGGAATTTTTCATTGGTGTGAGCTGTCCTAATATAATGCTGAAGGATCAAAAATGAAATTTATGTACAATATTATGTCTCATTTTAGAGATATTCCGCAGTGCACATGCTCTAAAGAATACAACCAGTGATATGTACTCTTACAAAATGAAAAGGTTTTGATGCAAATTACAAGAAAATTACCTGTTTCTTGGACTTTCTTGGGCTGTAGGTTTCGTCAAAATCTTGCATCAACCAAGCGGCACTTCAACAGTCACTGCATAAGGATCATGTTTCCCCTGTACAGATTAAAATTACTGTTTCATTACTGGATCACTAATATATTAAAATGTGCATGCCAATTGCCAAGTTGTACAAAAAGTATTAAAATACATATATATGATATATTTAAATGTAATAAGTGTAACCTCTACAACCTTCTGATATACAATTCAGTAAACTGCAATGTTTAAAGCTACAATTATTTAATCACCGTGTCATTAGTGAATCTGCACCTGACTTTGCAAAATGTGTATAATTTATAAAAAAAAAAAATTTTAAGCACAAAAATTACGACTGAATTAAAAAAAAAAAATGTAGCTCTGTGAAAATGAGTGCCTAGTGGAAGTGGTCACATAAATTGAATAAGTTTGATATTTTGAATGCAATTTTCACTGTGTTTAAAAAGCACTACATATGATGTACTCATTTTCTTCTTTTTAATCAGTAAATTAAAAAAAAATAGACTCAATGACTGTTTAATCTGAAAAATGAGATTTGTAATCATTTTATGGTACAAAGTTTCGTAACTGATACCCAGTTACGGTACATGTATAAGCTTACATGCACATGTATGTCAGTAACTGGGATAAAAATGGTGGAATTGATGAAAAAAAAAGATATTTGGAATGCAACTTTCACTGTGTTTAAAAAGCACTACATATGATGTACTCATTTTCTTCTTTTTAATCAGTAAATTAAAAAAAATTAGACTCAATGACTGTTTAATCTGCAAAATGAGATTTGTAATCATTTTATGGTACAAGGTTTCGTAACTGATACCCAGTTACGGTACATGTAGGCCTATATAAGCTTACATGCACATGTCAGTAACTGGGATAAAAAATGGTGGAATTGATGGAAAAAAGATATTTTGAATGCAACTTTCACTGTGTATAAAAAGCACTACATATGATGTACTCATTTTCTTCTTTTTAATCAGTAAATTTAAAAAAAATTAGACTCAATGACTGTTTAATCTGCAAAATGAGATTTGTAATCATTTTATGGTACAAGGTTTCGTAACTGATACCCAGTTACATGTTTAAGCTTTACATGCACATGTATGTCAGTAACTGGGATAAAAATGGTGGAATTGATGGAAAAAAAGAGAGATGTATTGCACAAGTGTTAATCATGTATCAAAGTGTGTAATATAGAAAGTTTTGAACAACAAAAATATTTTGGAACAAAACTGTTCGTAAAAAAAAATAAGTAATGTGTCTATCTAGGGTTATTCAAAATTATTTATGATGTACAAATGGGTGACTGCTCTATGTTCCGACTCCCCTATGTTCCGACAGCCCGCACATAAGATTGTGTTACTCCCGGTTAGGGTTAGGAATAGGAATATGTGCAGTCGGAACACAGGGATGTTGGAACATAGGGGTGTCAGAACATAGCGGTGTAACCGTACAAGTGTATGTATGTACTATTAAACTAAAGTGCACTGATACAGGGGATTGAGAAGTTTGTCAGCTCAGGACTTAAATTTCCTAGAAATTGAAATCTTTTGCATAAATTGATTCTTTGTGCATTAACAAATTCTGAAAATGGATAAAAAGTGTTGGAAACGCCTTATTTGGCAGGAGGGGTTATTGTAACTAACTCATGGTGTTAATGATATTCTACAGTTAAACTGTTGACAACTTTGGATGGTTCCTTGTGCTGAAGAAAATTAAATGAAATTTGTTTGCACCTTAGTCAGTTTAATCTTGTGAAAAGACTGTTGAACTTATATTAACCATGGATTAACTTTATTGGTTTTAAATAACATATTGGTGGCATGTATTCAGTGTTAGAGAATCTTTTAAAAATGTATACATTTGTACATAGTGGTAAAGAAGGTTCCGATTGCAGTATAAAATGTTTTCTTGACGTACATAATACGTACTGGGAATTCGTAATTTCGTAAGAGAACGAAGTGGAATGGAGGATGGGGAAGATGGTGGCAAATAGACCATTATCATGTTGCAGCCATATGATTTTTCCCCATTCAGATCAATGTAACCAAAGCGAGGCTGGAAGATAAATAGTCTGGTTACTTTTGCACAAAACCATTATCATTCAGTACTTTTACTGGATACTGGGAACATGACTAAAATGTTGGAAGCATGATAAAGTTCCATGGGAGTGAATCCATGGTGATATTGGTGACACTGATGGGGATGCTGGTGATGATAGGATTAGGGTCATGGTTACCTAACAACATAGCTGGACCAATGCACAAACAATGACTTTAAAGTTTTCTGCATATATGTAACAAGTACAATCAGTGTTTACAATATTAACAATGTTTAAACATGTAATCACAAGCACTTTTAAACGTAAAACGTAATGTTTGGGCCATTCTTTGGTTGCGTGTGTCCTTAAAATGGGCAAATGGAAACACTATATTCTTCTGGTTAGGTTATAATTTTTTTTTTAAATGAAAAAAAAAAAAAGGTCTAAAAAGCACAATTTTAAAGGTCAAATGGATACAATACCGGTATTTGGAGGTTGCCAAATTACATTTAAGCTAAGCATCACTTCAAATCAATGAAAATGTTTTTGTTTTGTTCCATTATAAATTTTCCAAAGAATGGCCCTCATGAATATTGATAATCCTGAATTTAATTTAGCACATTATAATTATCAAGTGGAATGGCAGGATGTGAGTATTGATGTAAGGCTGAGGATAAGAGCCATACCCTGTGGAAAACCTATTTTCTTTCTCATGATTTTAAGCTAGGATATGATACTAGTTTGTGGTTTTGCTTTCAAAATGTGAAGGACAACAAAACTGATCTACTAGAGCAATATGAATGAGTTGGAAAGGAAAATCTAATAACTGGGACATTCTCATTTGCTTATTAGTGGAATATCTTAGCATTTCTTGGTTTGTTTAGTAGCTCATCCTAGCTACTATGTGGCACAGATATTGATGAAGGTTAACGAGAACAAAAATTTGTTATTTTCTTATAACAAATGTTATAATGTCTTGAAGGATCAGTAAATAGATTGTAATGTGAGGTTTTAAATTACATGGAACATAGAATTGAGATTGTTTTGGGGGTGGTGGACATCAGAAGGAAATAAATATGCACAAAAAAGAAAGCTTGGCTCAAAGCATGATTTATTTAAAGTCTTGTCATGCTTGTGTGTTGACCAATTACCGTCAACTGCTGTCAAATACCTGCAAAACAGACCCTCATGCTAACCTAGTAATAAAAGAGGCACAGCACTGTACAAAATTTGAGGAAGTAGAATTTTGACTGATTTGACTTGTGTTTTTGTTCGTAAAAATATACTTTTCTTCTGGACAAAATCTAAAGATCTCACTTCACCTAGCTTGAGTAACTCCAGCTGACATGCTCATATTCATTCACATGTTACATGTGAATGAATATGAGCATGTCAGCTGGAGTTACTCAAGCTACAAGTGCTACTGCTACATTCTAAACAATAATAAACGTGATGCAAAGTGCAAGTTTAAACTTGCGCGGGGGACTCAAATTGCGCTCGACAGTGTTTTCTTTGACTTGAGAGCGGAACAAGCATGACAAGTAAAAACGGGAGGTGACCTAAACTACACCAGTACACGACTACCATGAAAGGAAACCTCAAACGACATTCATCCTGTTACTTTAGTATAAATGGTCAAATTTAACGTAAATTTAAAAGCAAAATCAAAGACTCACGACACTTCTTAGTTTCTGCTGAAACTAACTGCGCAGACGACACCGACAACACAATTTTGCCAAAAAAATACAAGACATGACCTTACAAAAATAGGGTGGGTATCTAAATATGATCGCAAAAAAATGTATAAGATCTTTTCAACATTCAATAATATTTTTAAGTTAAGTATATTATATGATTTTAAAATTCATAAAAATAAAATTTGATCCTATTACATAAGGGACAAAGATAAATAATTTAATTGTATAGAATAAGTAACTTTACACACCCCTATCTAAAATGGAATAAACCTTTTAAAAAGATGGCAGTCTTAAACCTGATACCCTCAACGTGCCGTCAGAACAGAAAGGAGACAGTGAACAGACTACCAGTACTAGCGATAGCGCACTAAATGCCGAATGGTGGCGCACTATGCAATGCACATGGAAAACCTTGAGATCTTGCATCAGAACATTCGGAAGTGTTAGGTATTTTCTGTAACTGTAAGTATCGTTTTAATCCTACTTTCTTAAGTCCCCCGCACTACCCGACCCTTATGGTCATTGTTGGGATTTGGTCTTGGTTAAAAGGCCCCAGGGTTGAGGATTTTTGCCTTTTCTCCCACTTCAGTTCACCGTAATTTTGTTTTTGTACAGGCGCCGGATATATGGCGGAACATTGTGTGTTAAGTCGGTCAAGCAAGTCGGTGTCTGAGGCCGGGGGTGGGGGGGGGGGGGGGGGGGGGGGAGGCGGACTGTGGTACATTATTGCTTGATAAAAATGGAAAATTCACATTTGCACTGTACATTGTAATTAACATTCACTCATGATCATATCTGTAAATGATGGATACGACGTTTTTCACATTAACTTATTTCTGTCTTGTTATTTCAGGGGTCAGCAAGTTCGTCAGAAGGGCAAGGCATTGTCCAGACCCATCTATGATCTGATTTGAGCTTTTCGTCCTACAAACAGTATGGCAGCCTGCGTAGTCACAACGTTGAGAAGATTTCCTCTTGCCATACATCACCATGGCAACCTCAGAAACGTACAGCTAGTACAAAACGCACCACATAAAAACGCCTCAACCCTGCTCCTCCAAAGAACAAGAAGTAGTGTACAAATCTCCAGACCTGTCAAGACTGGAGTTTGCACATGTACGTGCTCACAGCTCCAGAAAAACCATGGCTCACTGAAATCAAAGGAGCCCTTTTTAATATCTTCAAACCTGGCCTACACAACTTCTTCGATTTTTACTGGAATGCAGGATCAAGTATTCAAGTCGAGATCAGATACAATTTTTGGCAGTCAAAGTCTTTACAATGGATTTGTGGTTGCTCCTCTCATGCATGCGCCAAATAGCACAAGAAGCATTTGTTCAAGCGTGCCTCTGACAAACATTCACCGCAACAGGACTCCAGGTGGCGCTTCTAGTAACCAGCTGACTGGTCCCCACCTATTGCGTGGTACCCCATCTCGCAGCCTGTTTGGATTGCCTGATAGGTCAGCTTGGGCCAGTGCCATTGCTGAGGCAGAGAAGATAGTCGGGTACCCGACCTCCTTCATTGGTCTGCGTTGCCTGTTGAGCGACGAGCTGTCCAATGTGGCGATGCAAGTACGCAAGCTTGTTGGCACCAAACACCCACTGGTGAAAACGGCAAAGTAAATACAAACTCATGTGTGTTTGCTTTTGTTTTATCTGATGCGGGGAAAAGTCTCAAATCATAATCCTCACCGACAATTTTCCAATTGTCAATCTAATCAGCGTCATTATCAACATCGTCACCATCAGGCATGCAACTTGGAAGTAGCACAAAAAAAGTAAACTCCAATCTTTACAAGACTTTGTTCAGTGTTTTTCAATTTTTATTGGCATGAAAGTGTGAAGTGAAAAACGAGGAAATCAGCTGATCCAAGGAAAAGTTGCATGCCTGCACCATTTTGCTACTACCATAGCTTTCATCATCTTCAAAAGTGCAGATCACTTTATTCATTGTTACATTTTCTTAGTTTGAACCTTCAAACTGCATATCCATTGACTGATAAGACATTTAGCCCCGCCTTCTTTTTTGACCAATCACAGCATTGATTGCACAATGAATGAACATAATGGGCGGGGCTTAATGACTCGGTCTGTTGTCTTGCCCCATTTTACAGGAATTTGGTCTACGATGGCAAGCATAACATCCAGACGAGAGGCTTGATCATTCTACTGATCTCCAAGGCCGCGGGGCCCTCCCCAAAGGGCACAGACAACCAGAGCATGGTCAGAGGCATATACCCAAGGTAAAAAAAACAAAAGGGGAATTCTGTCTGCCATGCCATGGTTTTTTTCCTATCAAATAATTTGGAGATTATGAGGTACAGTGTATGTACACATTAGCTTACTCTTTGAATGACATCACCAAATGTGTGGTGATACATACAAAGTTAATAGAAAGATACTTATGCAAAGTTATTGAGATCATGGTCTTTGTAGCGGCTGTATCTGACTTCGTAACTCCAATCTTTTCCTGCACTTTATTGCCATTTTCCAGTCAGAGAACCCTTGCTGAAATTGCCGAGATGATCCACACAGCCTTCTTGGTCCACAAGGGCGTGGTCAACATCCGGGACCTCCTCCCTTCCGACGGGCCCCGCAGCGTGATGGAATTCGGCAACAAGATCTCCGTTCTGAGCGGCGACTTCTTACTAGCCAGCGCCTGCATGGGGCTCGCCAAGCTGCGCAATACCTACGTAGTGGATCTCATCTCACAAGCCATCTCAGACCTAACGGAAGCCGCCTTCATGGCCTTTTCGGAGGAAGGGGCGGAGCCAGGAGCCACTGGGCGGGGTCAGCTACCCTTACCAAACCTGGGCGTGGCCGACTGGACGCGGTACGTGTACCTGTCCTCGGGCAGTCTGATTGCCAAGAGCTGTCGGGCGGCGCTGGAGTTGGCTGGACACGGGGAGGAGATGCAGAAGTGTGCGTTTGAGTTTGGCAAGAATATCGCCCTTGCTCAACAGGTAAAGAATACATCATACATGCACTTCAGACTGGTACTTCAGTGTGAATTTATGCAAGTCAGAACTCACATTTTAAAAATATTTGGCTAATGTATATGTCCTTTTTTTTTTTTTAATCTAGCTCCATCAAGAACTACAATTGTTCACAGCATTCAATGGCAGCCCGACTTCCTTTAGTCTGACATCCGCCCCTGTCCTGTTACATCTTGAAGGCAGCGGAAACCGAGACAGAGTCAGTAACCAGACCAAACTTGACATGAAAAAGGTCAGACACCTAAAATTCTTATGTCAAGTACAATTTTTTTTTTTTACAACAGTTCCAGATTGTTTTCTTTAGTGCTCCTGAAAAATCATATAATTGTGAAAATTAGACCAAGACCTAAGCAGTACAAAACATTTTTAAGATTGTTCTATTAATTTTAGCTCCCTTATATTATAATCTTACAGATTTTGAACAGATTTCTTTCCTTCATTCTCACATTTCAGCTTCATCGGGAAATCCGTGCGGGATCAGCGATTGCAAAGTCTCAGGACCTCTGTCGGACTTACGCCGAGTCTGCCCGTCTCGCAATCAGTGAATTCCCCCAATCGGAGGCACGGGACGCCCTGCTGAAAATGGTCAAGGCCGTCTCATGATGATAGGAGTTGATTCGGGACCTTGATGCCTTCTAGGACATATTTCTTAAACGCATACATGACCCTTCATATGGTAGCAGCCATCTTGGTATAGTTCCTGTGTTCATCTCTTTAAGAATACCACATAGAAGTTTAAGACATCAGCCTTATTTTGACCCGAGACAAACTAACCTTTATGGTTATTAAGGATGGAATTTTGAAAAGAAGGGTGCTACATGAAAAATGCAAATTCCACAATTATTTTAATTTTAAGCTCCATTCAGATTTTTTTCGGCAACAGGAACTTATACTTTTTTTATTCCTTGTGGAATAAAATATGTCTTTAGTCAAAGTAAATGTACAAAAAACAAGATTTTAAAGAACCAGTGTTTTCTAGATTTTTAATCCCTAAAATTCACATGTACTTCATTGTGGTGAATATAGGATGTGTGTTGTATTTGATTTCCCAATTAAAGAGATTAATGACTTATATACCAAAAGAAACGGTCTAATTGAATAATTTGAATACATGTAATAAATTTCTCACCATAAAATGTACATGTAGTACTACGTACATATTAAAATGAAACGGATTTGAGTTTTAAATATTTACATCAGAGAATAAAATTAAATACACAATTTTGTTTGATAATCTCGTTTCTTTTGAAGCATAATCTTTGAAATTTTTTCTGAAATGTGTGCCCAGGGTTTTATTCGTGGTGGAGGGCAAGTGAATCTCGGAGATACCACTGATCATGTGATGACGTAGTAAACCGGTTCCTGCTGATCACTTGATGACGTAGAAAACCGGTTCCCCGCTGCCTGGTTTCTTGCCCATGGTCAGCCGCCGGAGTTTAGCCAGCAGCAAGGCAAAGGCTTTGGTCTTGGAGCCTAGACTGAGCGCCTGCATGTCTTTCTCACTGAGGAAGCTCCCATCTGTTGGGTTATACACAAGGGTGGAAAAGAAAGAAGTCTTGGTACTAGAATATGATCGCGTCCAAATTATATGGCTAGGGCTCGTAGTTGCACATGCACCCATGGCAGTGGCTGACGCTGGTCATCGGCAATTACAAGTAATTCGAATGTGACCTGAGACCCAGCCGACAGTCGACATCTGAAAAGGCATTGTTGTCCGTGGCTGTGGCCATTCAAAGTAGCAGATCATGAATAATACAAACCAGAGACCAATACACACACAAAATAACAAAAAGAGCATAATAAAAACCAAAGCCGGAGGCTTGAATTAAAGGTGATTTTTTTGCTTAGAATTTTTTAAAAACAAGCATTTTTTTCTTTTTAAATGTTGACCCAATTCATTCAGAATATGGTATTACAAAAAGCAGCTCCGAACCGTTCATACCTTGTTTTTGGGATAGCATTGCATTGATGTCGGCCAGTTTCTGGTTGATCACGTCGATGGGGAACAGACGCTGGAGATAATCAGCTACTTGTCCAAACTCCGCATCTGTCACCGGGGCGATGGAGCAGTCCACACTGAATCAGAAAAAAAATGGAATGTGAAATTTGAAATTTGACATGAGTTTTTGAATTTTGATTTTGAATTTGAATTTGAATTTTGAATTTTGAATTTGAAATAAAATTTGAAATGTGAAATTTGTGGAATTTTAAAATTCTGCTGGTAAAGGGAGGACTAAAAACAACTGGGAAAAAATGGGAAAAATTTCTCCTCTCAATGTATATTTGCCTCTGCATATGTAGGCTAAATTTAAAGGAAAGCACAAGATAAGTAAAGTATTTTTGTAATTAAAAAATGTAAAGGTGCTTAGCCTTTGCAAATTTACGTCGTGAAAAATTTTGCCCTTACAAATTTGTGTTCGCGTTTGCCTATTGCCAGGAACGGCCCTTTCCAACTGGGTACAAACTGGGTACAAACTAAATCCCAATGTGGACTTTTTCAATCATAAAAAAAATTGTCTTACCAATTTACAGCGGAGGTTTGGTTTGGTTTTGTTGCCTGGCTTGGTTTTGTCGCTTGGGTTTCATTGAATGCACTCTGCAGGACAGGTGTCCTCGGAACATCACCATGGCTGTCGTATACATGGGGTTCAGGAATACTGTCGGCCGGGAGTTGAGGGGCGGGTTCTACCGAAACTGGCTTGATGTCTACAAATCTTTCAGAATTTTTGGAGAAGCATGTCGATAAAAATTTTTTAGTGAATGTATACAGTAAGCAAAATATTAAGCATGGAATAACATTTTTGGCTAGCAAATTGATTTTAACCTCCAAACCACATTTAGATCTTGGTTTAACCAACAATAATTATTTTGACAACTTTACTGTTGGGCGTGTTACCTTTGATACGTCATGGTCAGTTCTGGGGTCTGCGGCATTTCGGGTTCCCCGGCCAATGCGGCCAATCGTTGATGACCCTTGGGTGTGGTTGTTTGGGAAGGTTGACCATTGCCTGCTCCCGATACTGTAAACAAAAAAAATTGTCCCAGAACTTGTGAGACAAAAAACCATCAAGTAGGACTCGAACCCATGACCAAAGTTTTACAAGTAAAGATTTCTTTACCAATCATGCACTAAACTTGCAAGGGTCTACTGCCTAAAAAAACTGATTTTAATAAAAGCGGGTACCAGAATGAGGAAATTAAAAACAAATTCTGTCATGGTCGTGATGTTTGCTCTTACCCTGAAGAAACTGTGGTTCTGGCTGGATATTGTTCTCGGACCCAAATTTTTCTGCGAGCTGTACAGGCTCCGTTGGCATCTCGTTCGCAGAAAACTGCTGGTATAACTGAACTGGCTCACACGGCAGTGTGGGGGCGCTGTTGAACCTCTCTGTGAGGCGCGCAGGCTCGGCCGGCATGGGTACCTGGGTGGCCTGGGTTGCCAGGCAGGGGGGCATCGGGGGTGTCACGTCTGCCGAATCAGGAGGGGCGTGGAGCTGGGTTGGGGGTGCCGGAAGAGGAACATACTGGAAAATGACAAAAAATTTACATCGTGATTAGCAACTGTAAGCACTAAAACTTAAAAACAATCTTACATCTTCGACCAGTTCTAGAAGGTTTACCTCCGCCCAAGCGGTGACTGTAGGGGGTTCTGGCTCAGGACTGGCCATGTCCGCGTCCCGTCGACTCGTGACCCTGAGGTCAGAGGTCATGGGCTTGACCTTCTTGGTTGACAACAGCACCGGGGGCACTGGGGAGTCCAGCAGGTAGGATTTGGTGTCTGGAAAGAAACAAAAGCAATATTGGGGAAGTAACTTTTGAATATTTTTTTTTTTTTAATTTTCAAATCATTTTTTTGACTCGTTTTAAGTTTGACTCACCGATAAACTGCTGGGGTGTCTCTGTGGGTATGCTCCGACTCCCGAACATGCCCGGGGTGACCAGAATGGTCCTGTTAGTGAAGGGGGTGAGCTGCAAATGCTTCTGGTATTGTTGAGGGGTGGAGGGGTACATGTAACTCGGGATAGCTGACGGAATGCTGGATGAAAAAGAATTCAAGCTCTTAAATGTACTAAGTTTGTATTAAATTTTGTATCAATCAATTTTGTATCAAGGAATAAATTTGTATCAATCTGATGGATAAGTTGCATCAATAGATCAAAATTTTGTTAATGCAAGAAACAGCCAACAAGATGTATTTTTGTCAAACACGAGTGAAGTCTTACCTTCCATACTGGTACCCGGTAAAATTCACCGTCTTCATGTCCTGTGGGTTACCGTTCAACCCGACGTGGGCCAGTCGGTCTATCGTCCACTGACTGAGGCCAAAGTCGGCCAGCTGGGGGGTTTTGTTCGGGTCGACCGGGGGAGCTGAGGAGGGGTCCTTGGGCGGAGTTGAGGGGCTGGGAGTTTTAGTTAAGTATCTCAAGGAAGACAGTCAAATATCAACAAACTAAGAAAATTTCAGGTCTCAAAAATAAAATAAAAAATTTAAAAAAATTGTTGAACTTTTGGCGTTTGTGTAACATACAAAAAATTCTTGGAACAAGAATAAATGAGAACAATACATACTAAGTTTTTCTTTTTCTTTTCTAATAGGATACATTTTTTCTTCAGTGCTGTGACAGTCCTTGGTTGTTTCTGGAGAAGGTTCAGGTGTCACATTTTCCTTGGATTGTTTCTTCTTTTTATCTTCAATTAAAATAAAAAGAGAAGACAGTTTGAATAAAATGTATAAACTTTTGAAGGAGGCAAAGGATAAGGCAAGTATTTTTCCAACTTTGGTCGTCAACAATGTGTACAATAGTTTGTGTCTTAGTACTCATTGTCTTCCACCTGTGGAAGACACTTAGTTTACTTTTTGGCATTTTTTGTGTGTGTGTTGATTATATGCAGGTGTCTGCGTGTAGTCATGGGTAAAAGGTGTTTTTTTTTCTCATTCCCCCCCCCCCCTCCAAAAAAAATTAGGGTAAGTGCTGTCAAAACAGGGTAGGTAGGGTAACCAGAAGCAGAACTATTATTTGTTTTGGCCTCACAACTCAAAAATTGAAAAAAATGTTTTCCTCAGTAATAACCTTGCTGTGACTGTAGTTTCTCCACACTGTTGTAAGGCTTGTAGCCGTATTGCTCTAGGTACATCTCAAGATCAGTCACTTGCTGCTTGGTTATCTCACACAGACCCTCACAAGCATCTAGGGTCTCCTCAAATGATTCCGATGAGACATGGAGTTCTTTCAACTGCTGATGGACTTTTTCCTGCTCAAAATGATGATAATCACAACTTGTTGTTATTTATGTGGGGGGGGGGGGGGGTTGAGCCAGTAGGGGTGGGGCAGAAGAAGTATACTTAGTAAAAAACTTTTTTTTCATGCCCAACTTAGAAGTGAAGACTGCTTGGCCTCAGGCTCAGACATGTCAACAAATACTGAATGTTTTCCTTAATTTTATCAATCATCATGATCATCGTCACTTCAAATGTATTCATTCTTTTTTTTTAACAGCGTTATGATTATGGAAATAGACAAACGGATAATTTAAAAGGGATAAAATCAGACATCATTTTAATTTTGATAAAAAGATAAAATCTGAAAACCTGATAAATATTTCGCTGAATTTTCGGTAGGGGCCTAATCAAATCATGAATGACATGAATGATGTTGTAGGCCTACTTGTAAAATTGTAGTTTAGTAGCTGGAGTTACCCAGCCCTGAGTTTTATCATTGGGTTGTCTATTAGACAACCCAATGATAAAACTCAGGGCTGGGTAACTCCAGCTAGTAGTTTAGCATGTTTAGGAGGAAAAGCGTTTAGGAATTAGCCTCTATGACTTTTTATAATATGAGACTATGTTTTACAAGTTCCATTCATAAATCAAAGCCTCTGCCAGCCACACTGCAAAGAAGCCAAACTTCAAGTTCAAAGTACATTGTAGGCCCACCTTCATTTTCTGTGCATCATACTGCATTTCCTTCAACACGAGCCTTGCTGATCCATCCTGACTCGATGCCGACCTCACGGCGGCCGGTTTCTCCATACACGCCTTCAACCTCGCCGTTTCGCCCTCTGTAGACGTCGCCACACGGCGAAGTTTGGTGAAGAAATTCTCCTTTTCCATCGCTATCGACTATCGTATATAAATGGTCAAATGTTCAATCTTAGCGCAGAAAATTAGAGCGAAAATTTGAAGGAGATTTCAACAGTTTGAACATGGCGCTCTGAAAAATCCATCGATTGGAAAAGTGAAAGAGCGCCCTCTGTCGACTGATAATTTCAACAATTATTTGCTCCTTTTATTGGAAGTGTCGATGATTTTGAGTGGATAATTTACGGCCCAAAAATACAATTCCAACATGATATCGTGAGCTGAAATTCATCATGCGAGATCAAGGGGACTTCAAGAGTGGTATGTTGCTTATTTTATTTTATTTTATTATTTCTATTTCATTTTATCGAAACTTTTGTTTAACGTGTTGGACATGTGTCCCGGATGTGTCCCGGATCCCAGCTGTGCTGTCACAGTGCTAGTGTCACAGGCCGGCTGTGAGCAGCGCATGCACGGCGGAGAACTTACATGTAACCTGCTGATGATGATGCTTCCAAAAATTGCATGGACCTTGATGTGTGTTGTGACTAGGTTGATTGATAGATTAATTGAAACGGCTTTATTATCAGAATGCACGAACTTAAAAATGTCGCACAATCTAATTTGCCAGTTGCATATATCTGGCAAAAAAATGAATTTAATAATGGGGGAAAATGCAAAAATGTGCTCTTTGGTTGTTTATTTGTTTTTGTTTTTGTTTTTTATACAGTAGAGACTAGAGGAAAACAGTGAGAACAATTTCTTGAATTTGTTCTTTTTGTTATTTTCCGAATCTGCAAAAAATTATTATTACAGTTTAATGATTGTAATAAACTTATAAATTATAAACATTACCAATTCATTTCAACAAAACTTCCCAGATGGTTCTACAACATCTACAGACAACTTTTAATATCTGAAACACATCAGCATTAGCTGGCCTAACATATTTTCAGTCTTATTAAACAAGACCTTTCTCAAAGGCAAACTGAGAAAGGTCTTTCTCTTGCTTAAGACCGAAACGTTAGGCCAGCTAATTTTGTTGATTTGTTAATTTCAATTGAATTAAGTAAAGCAGTTGCAGCAGTTAAATAATTTATTTTTTAAATCTAACTGAAACATGTGAAATTGCAATTATTCTTATAATTTCCTCATCATTTTCCTGATTATGAAAACATTCACGAATGCTGATGGATGTGAACATTGTCCAGGGTTGGTTTTTATTTCAAGTTTTTATACCTTGAGCCTTTACTGCACGCTTGAACAAAAAAGGGCTCGCCTGAAACAATGAAAAAGTGTATTTTAATTGAACCATCTCTGAGGTTTTTGTGTAAAAGTGGCGTCATGATGCTGTATTTTCTAAACGTTTTTTTTTAAACAGAATTTTTGTACACAGTACAACTGTACATTGTGTCACGGTTCCTTTGGCTTGAAGATGTCTGTCCCTCTGTCAACCGTATTTCAATCAATACTACCAGCCGGCCAAACAAAGCCACAAACCTTCAACAGAGCTTCAATACATTGATTTTTCCCAGGCTTTCTTCTCTCCAATAACAAGAAGATTTTCCGTCCTGTCTCTCTCTCTGTTTCAGTGTCAGGCTGAACTCAACTTGAATGGAACCGTTATCGACCGTGTCCATTTTGCTTTGAGGCACCGTCTTCTAGTGATTTTCTTTTAAGCCAAGTGCCTAAGGTCAAGCACCCCTGGAAAATATTTAGTAGACATTTTTTTGTCCTTTTTATTATCTTTCAAAAATATATACACTGTACATTTGTTCATTTTATTTCTCTTTAAAAATTATCGATGCAAATTTCAAGTTTTCTGCCAAATTTGATACATAATATATGTTTATGTTCAAATATTTACATGTGCAATAAATTGTGCACATATTTTGTCAACAAATTGTCTTCTTTTGTTTGTTTCCAACAAAATTGTAGCTATGTAGAAATGGTTACGGCTCCTATCCACACAATTTTGCGGCAGCAGAAGAGTTGAAAAAATGGAAAAATTCATGAGCCATCTTGGACTATCCACTTGGGGAAAAAAACAACAACAAAAAAGACCCTGCCTCCTTCATTTAAAAAAAATGAAAGTATTTTTTTTTCTTTTTTACTCTGCCTAAGTGAAAATTAAACCCCTGTAGTGCTCTATACTGCAATAAATTAGTAAAAATGACATAAAAATCATGCACTTTTTCCCAATGGCCATACATGTACGGATTGGATGCAAGATTCTTTGGAAAGACAGACTTGCATGTTTACCATTTGACTAGTTTGATCGACGTACAGTAAAACGGCGTTCAAGAGCAGGGCAAATATTTCTGTGTATAATGGAGGAGGGATGCGAATTCTTCCGCATCACCTGCCTGTTGCCATGGTTATGAACAAACATTGCTTCTCTTGCCAATATACCGTAGTGGCTGTATATATAGAAGCAGTAGCAAGTTTAATTGCATTTGTTTTAAAATTTAAAGAAAAAAAAGGAAAGGCCAAATTGTGAGTTTCACATTAAATTTTAATACTTGATTAGGCCAAGTAAGAAAATTAACCAGTTTTTTTTTGTCCCCGCCAGCTTCCTTTTTTCCTGCCTGCATCTTTTTATTTTTGCTGGTTTTTTTGGCATTCATACATACATTCGCAAGTTATTTTGCAAGTATAATATTGTCAATATTGTCTGTTTATTTGTTTATTTCAAACCCAATTGTAGCTATGTAGAAAGGGTTACTGCTTCTTTGGACACAATTTTGTACTGAGAGCAAAATAGTCAAGAAAAAGGAAGAATGCATCCGCAATATTGAAAAATCCTCCACATCAGGAAAAAAACAAAACAAAACGCCCGCCCCCTTCCTTTTTCCAAAAAGCCCGTACGAGAAACTATTTCATTTTTTTTTACTCTGCCTTACCTTGGGAATGACTGTTTTATTCAAATTATATCAGAAATTTTAAGGCTTCCCATGTTTTTTTGACAGTCATGGAAATTACAGCAGAATGAGACAGCTCTAAGATTAGATAATTAATTTTAACAAGCTTCATATATCTCATTTTGTCATATCTTTAAAATTGTTGTTTGTATTTAGAGATTGTATGTGTCGTTCAGCAAGTTACAGACTGAACACATACCTGTACATGTACTAGTAATAGTTTTTGTCAACAAAGCAAATAAAAACCTTTTTAAGTCAATTCTCCCTACTCCCCTTCCCCACCTTAACTCTTCATCCATTTTACAACCAGTTCACGTTATTTACCCTACACTTCAAACAAACCTTCGTCTTCATTGAAGAAGTGTTTCCAAGTCAAGAAAAAAACCCTGTATGGGCTGATTGGGTTAGTTGATAGGCCATCCATGGTGATAGAGGCTTAAAACGCTTGCCTGGTTTCATGTGTATTGGTTTAACATTTGAATGAGAATTCGCTATCTGTTTATCCGTAAGGACACTCTGGTTTGGGGGTATCCATTCAGACAACACCATGGCTTATGTACATTGTGTGTACTCAGTGTCTGTACAACAGGGCAGTACCAGTTCGAAAATACATGTACTTCTGTTGATACAATGTACATGTACATGTATATGAAACTTTATATTCAACAAACTTCACAGTGCAAATTTTGCTGAATTAATTGCAGTATCAACTTAACTTTCAGTGAAATGATATCACATGAAATACTACCATTGTCAATCTTTAATACACATTTATGAATGTTTTTTTTATTATTTTACTTTTTATTATTAGATACCATTTCAGTACATTCCTTAAGTCTCAACAAACTTTTCTGACAATTTTCAAGATGATTTTTTTCATAAAGCTTTTTTTCTTTGAGATTTTCCTTTTTTTGAATGATGTACCTAAACCTCTATTGAATTATAGTACATGTAGAAGGTTTTGGGAAATATTAGATTTCTCTACTTCCCAGAATTTTCCGGCTTAATTTTATTCCCAAAGTAAAATCAAACATTTCATTTAAAATTCCTTTTAGACCTTCCAATTTTTTTCATACTTAATTTTCTCCCCAAAATGTTCAATGTATCTGAATTCAAAATCCTTGTAGGCCAACAGCACACTTGTCAATTTTCCAATAACGTTGTCCTATTTGTCAAATGCAAACAATGCACCCCATGGACATCCACACTGATTATTATCGTTCCGTAACAAAGGCGACTGATCGGACGTGAGGAAAAGATACAATGAATAATTGGTGCCCGAACTATGAACTTGACCGGTCACCGTGGCAACCAATTGTCATCACTTAGCAACTGTCAACAGCGTGCAGGGATGGTTGTCCGCGTTGATTAAATATTGATTATTCATTAAAATTAATTGGTTGGTGAATATATGAACATGTACATGTATTGATTGAGCAAAATATCTGAGTAGTGTACACGCACACAGATATGAAACGTAATGTAGCATGTACAAACGTACAAGTATTAGATAGATAGATAGATAGATAGATAAATGGTTTATTTTCATTAGACTTGATGTGGCAATCAAAGATTGAATTGGATCAAGTCAACAGATAAAAATGCTAATACAAATACATTAAATAAAATAAATTAAATTAAATTTAAAATAAACAAGTACTTTTACATTGAAAGGTCCAAAAACTGTCTTAACCCAAAAGTATCTCTTCATTAATTAAAAATTCCATTTTACAGATAAAAACAAATGTCATATGGTATCAGTTGTGATAAAAAAATATACAGATATGTATGCAATAATTAAGAAATTTGACAAAGATAACGATAAAGATAACGAGAACAATAACAACAATTAACCACAATCACGACTATATAATGATGAGAATAACGATTAAGACAACGATAATGACGACAAGAACCATAATCACAATAATGATGACAAAAGTAACAACGAATACAACAAGGACAGTATTGACTACAATGGAAACAATAACCACAATTTCCACAGTGACAACGAAGATATAACGAAGACAACAACAACAACGATTACAGCTATAACGACAACCACAATCACCCCGATTTCCCTGCGATTCATCAGGATTTCCCTAAAAAGAATTGGGGTCTAGCAAGGAATAAAAACTGGTGAACTTCAAATCTAGCAATCATAAAATTAAAAAAACACTGGAATTAATTAGAATTAATTAAGTCAATGAGGTAGGGTACTGCACTGTTCTTGAATCTATTTGTTCTATATTTTTTTTTGAAAATGTTGCATATTATCTTTAACCCAAATCAGTACTACATGTATGATATCACTAACGATAAGGGTATAAAGCCACTAAAGTTATGACTGAGATAAAACTGTCTTCTCATTGTTAATGGCCTTGTAAAAAGTGCCGCGACAAGAATTCGTGGCACAATTTGTGTAGTTATTGACTTAGTTATTGAATGCTATTTTAGTCAAAATATTTTAGCTTTAATATTCACAGCAAAGTTTCTGTTCATCTTTCTGTAATTCCTGATTGACAACAAATTTGTTAAGGGAAACAAAAGAAAAAATCCTCTTTAATCAGAATTGTAATACAAGTAATTATTGATGATATTTTCTGATTTATAGGTGTTAAGCGTTTTGCTTATGATGGCGGGAAATCAAACAAGAGCAACGCTGCAAACGACGATTGGGACAGCTTTGTTGTAACTAAGCCAATCAAAGGTAACATTCCAAATCAGAACTCAAATATCTAAGCCAGATTTCTTGCAGTTGCTAATCAAAATACATCTTGCATAGCGTACTTTTGCTAGCATGTGTGAGACACATCAAGAGAAGTTTACACTTGTATAAAATATCACATTTTGAAAAATGTAGCTTTAAATCTGTTGTTTTTATTTAAAAATCCTGTCCAAAGCTCATCTCAAAACTTTTTATGTTCAGATTGTAAAAACAAAAATCAAGTTGACTTTTTGAAAGAGCTCATTTTCAACTTCAAAATAGTATTAAAACAAAGGCGAGTGCGCAATAAGCTCTGGCAAAAAATGCAACACCTTTGGCACATATGGAACACCATACTTTTGGTCAATATTCGGGACAGACAGACAGACAGACAGACCAGCTGACCGACCGACCACCTGACTGACATGAAGAAGCTTCTGCCAGAGCTTGAAAAAAATTGTAGGCATAGTGGCTCTAATTGTGTGTCAGATATTCTACAGAACTAAATGTTTTTTGTTCATTTTTTTTTAGAAAACAAAGAACTGGATGAGCTCAATGGCATATGGAGCATCCAGAAGAACGTCTCTCTCAGCGGACTGCCTCCGAAACCCCAGGGGACGACGGTCCAGGCGGCCCCCACGGGAACGGGATTCTACTCGCGACACAGCCAGCACAACTCAACGAAGACAACGGAGGGGACAAGACACTCGCCGGGTATGAACGCAATGGGTCAACCAAGTAAGTTCAAGCAAAATCTCAAAGTTTTTTTTTTGGGGGGGGGGGGGGGAGCCCTGCCCACCTTTGGTGAGTGTGCATTTCTCACAGTGCTTGTGACTAGAGTTTGACGGAGCTACTGTGGTCACCTGACAACAGTCGCGATCTAATTTGTCAAAACAAAGCATTCTAATGATAAGCAACTGATTTAAGTTGTTAAACAAAATCACCAATTTTCTACATACTTTACACCGCAGGAAACAGCTTTTCAATGAACCCGCAGCGATCCGGCTATTCCTACTCCCAGCCCGACTCCAGCTCCCCTACTACGACCTTCCCTCGGCTAGCCCCGACCAGCGGGGCGACCCACTACCAGTCACAGAGTAGATATAATGACACAACTCAACCAACAGGCAACCAAAGACATCTCCAGGGCGGTCCTGGTAAGATTTCTTTGGAAAATTTGTTTCAACATATTAATGTTCATTTGAGTTAAGAGATTTGACTAGTATGGTTTTACAGCAAATTTTTATCAATGGACGGTTTCTGGATTTTGGCAATTTAAGCCCCGCCCACTTTTGGTTTGTGTACATTTCTCACAGTGCTTGTGACCAAGTTTGACTAATCCACTGAGCTAATATAGTCACCTGACCAAAACTTGTGATCTCATTGGTCAGTGTGCACAGTTTTTATTGACAGGTTAATAACCAATTTATCTACAGATGATGGTTTCACTTAAATACTCTCCTGATTTGGAACGAGAAACCACATCTTTTTATTCCAATATTTTTGGGTCTTTTCTTTTCTGCGTTTAGTTCTAAATTCAAGGACCCAGCATGGCATGCAGAAACCGAGTCAGTACTCGACCGGTTCCCAGCAGACCGGGGGCAGCAACAGGTCATCTAGGACGGGGAACCAGTGGCCAAACTTCTAACATTAGCAGCAAAAACATCAAATTCATATGACATTTTGCATTGTCGCAGGACCGGAAAGTTGCATCCTTGGGGTCAAGGGTCATTAGAAGCACTTCTGTTGCATTACAACCATGTCATTTTTTTGGTGTGTGTTGCCTTTGTCTGAAAATCCTTTTTATTACTGATCTTGGGCAAAAAGTTTAACGTCCAATTCAACACTTGCGGACGTAAGCCTGTGTGTTGCATGTGCGAATAACGCCAGAAAACCTCGGTTGGAATGCCTTGTAAGGCCCAAATGGAGTTCAAAGCATGGTCCATTTCTCTGTACATGTATGTAATTTTAAGTCTTCATTAATTGAACATTTTATGCAACGAGACTAGAAGAAGTTTGGACACATCAGATTTTTGTTTAGGGAAGTTCAAAAGTGGCCTTTGACAAAAAAATACCTCAATGCCTTATGAAGTCACGCAATAATTTACATGCAAATAATCTAATTTGCATATTAGCAACATGCAAATCAGCTCATTTGCATATATGTGTACTTACAAGGACACTCATTTTAATGTATGCAAATCACTTTTAGAGCTGTATTGTACAAGGATGGATTTCACATTGTCACAAAATGTAAAATATTATTTATAATTTTTTTGTTATTTTGACGAGACCAAATCTGGATCACTGTATATAATTCTAATATTCAAGAATTTTTATCGTAGCCTGGAAAATGTACATATTTTAAGTTAAACAAACTGTTTGCTGTGTGTGTGGTTTAACACTTGTCTTAAATTTATTTGAATTTTATTTTTCAAACATTCCGTGTACATTATAGTTTAAATTTACGATACAAATGGGAGTTTATGTAAATTATTTGTTTACTTTAGTGTACTCTAAAATCGAAAGTTTAAGTACAGAGTTAAAATTTTTTGGAGTTTTTAGAAAAGTTCCTAGAAAAAAATAATCAAAATTAGGGTTAAGGTCTACCTGGTAATAGGCAAAACGTTACATACCTGGCATTTTGTCATCAATGGCTCAATGAAATAGAACTCGTAACAAGAGCCCTCACTTCATTGTGAATAACAATTGGCTAATACCCTGTTTTTTTGACACAGCTAATTAAATAGTCAATGGCATTGTTGTGTTCAGAGCACTTGCGTAAATCAACCAAAAGAGGTGGGGTTGGGGGGTTTTTTTTGGGGGGGGGTGGGAATGTGGAAAAGAGAAGGCAGAGTGAACCCTGTTTTGCCTTCCGGGTTAATTAACTGGATAAATTGAACCGCTTTTCAATCTGGGTATTGGTTTCTGTTTACCAATCCATTCATGGTTCGATATCAGTTTGTTTACTCCTGTTACCAGTTTACAATAAATGGTTTAGTGACACACTATCTGGGAGTGGTGGGATTTTGTTTCAGGAGGAATTTGTTTTGGTCATTGCCAGGGTTGCCATTTGAAGACTCCCTGAACTTATGTAAAAACCTTGGTTAAAAGGGGCCATGGCATTGTAGAGATACAAATATTACCTACATGTATTTAAGAGTTGCGAAAGTTTCAAGATGTTTGTGAATTTTCTGGAACTGTCCTTTTTATACAAAAATGTGGGAAAGGGCATCATCAAACATGGCTGAAGTGAAGAAAAGATATAAAAAATTATTGAAAAACCTACATTGTTAATGTAGATTCAATATTTTCATTGTTTGACTTTTACAACTCGCATATGTGTGCTTTCTTTGTACATGTATTTTTGGGGTGGTTATTGTAATTCAACTCGGTAAGTTCATTCATAAAAAAAAAATAATAATAACTGAAGTTTGAGGTTAATTAATTTTTGGACAGATTTATTTTGTGGGGAAAAAGTATAAGTTTGTCTAAGTATGAGTATGTGTTTTGAGACGTAATGATATTTTTCAAACAAATTGTGATTTCTCTGACACTTTGCTCGAGGTTGTCAGATATATGAATTTTTTTTTTAGCACTTTATGTTCGGATAAGAAGCATTGTGCGATTAGTTTTTCATAAATTGATTCTAAAACGTAATCGTGATCCGAATGATCCTCTGAAACCAATAAAATGACACAGTAGAAATCACTGTAAGGAAATGTCTGGATTGAATTGTACAAATGTATTCATTTTTGTATCAGTATCAATCTTTGGGTATGTTCATCGGCTGATTCATTCAAGGTTCAAGGTTCATTTATTTTCCATATTCGTATGGAAAGAAAATAATCTGAGCCATTAAATGAAGTTCAAGTATATTACTCATAATTTATTGATTCATCTTGTCTTTTTATCCAAATTTGGTACGATTATCTACATGTAATCCTTGTATTGCAAGTTTTAATATCAAATTTCAACAATTAAAACTTACGCATGCACGGGAAGCTTTGGATTTGTTACAAATCTAAAAAAAAAAAAAAAATCCAACACTTTTAATTTTATGTTACAAATAAAATATGCTGGGGGTTGAGACTTCAAATTGCGGGAGTTTTATCCACAAAGTTGAAAAACAAATTAATAAATATAATATTGTTATATAATAACCCATTCAGAAATTCATTACACTTCACACATTTATGTAAACAGATCTTGATAAACCAGCCTCGGCACAACATTAGCATATTCCTATTTTAGGGCTGTTTGCGCAATGTTGGTGACCACATTTTTTAAGCCCTCTGACTGATATGCCGTCCCAAATGCAACTATTGAAAGGTGCCTGTAAACCAGCTAAATGCAATTGCCTGCCACAGCTCACTCATTGCTGAGTTGAGCAGTGCCCTCGCTTGTTAATTCAAGTCAAGTCAAGTCTTGTCGCAAGCTATTCAACAATGAACTGTGACACGCATTCCTTTGTTTTACTCATCCCGTCACCTGTGACTGGTCTTGTGATTTACTTTTGACCAGACTTGTGATGGACTTGTGATGGCAGGGATGTACATGTAGTCACGTCCATCACAAGTCCCTGCAAGTCCATCACAAGTCCATCACAAGTCCCTGCAAGTCCATCACAAGTCCATCACAAGTCCTCCAGTCCCAATTCAACTCCCAAGCTATTCAAATGAGCTTTGACAAAGGCATTCCTTTGTTATCGTTCATCCACTGTTACTTGTGATGGTCTTGTGATGGTCTTGTGATGGTCTTGTGATGGTCTTGTGATGGTCTTGTCTTGTGATGGTCTTGTGATGGACTTGTGATGGACTTGTGATGGTCTTGTGATGGTCTTGTTATGGTCTTGTGATGGTCTTGTGTTGGTCTTGTGATGGTCTTGTGATGGTCTCGTGATGGACTTGTGATGGTCTTGCGATGGACTTGTAATGGTCTTGTGATGGACTTGTAGTGGTCTTGTGGTGGACTTGTGATGGACTTGTAGTGGTCTTGTGATGGTCTTGTGATGGACTTGTTATGGACTCGACTTCGACACCGGTGCTTAGTGAGTGTGTGATGGGTGGGTCGTGAAGGGATCGCACCCTCTGACCATGAAGGGAGCCGTGTTGCTGTAGATGTCGGTGAAGGCCTCCGACGCCGGCAACTCCGCTTCGTTCTTGGCTCTTTCGACGCCCTCGTCGATTTCTGCTCTCACGCCTAGGTCCACTTCCTAAAGTTTCACGATTAAAGAAAAAATGTAGTGTTGTTTATTTTGTCCCTACTCTGTTATATCCAAACAAGATGAACATTTTAGAAACCATCTTTTACATATTTCATTTTTTAAGTCTGCCATTAGATATATTTCTTGTTATCTATAACATAAATAGCTACATCCACCGTTTTTGAACAAAACTTCTTGCATTGTCTGCAGCAAGGCGAATGATACAGTTTGTTTATTTGCAAAATTGTATCCCCAGCTTTACACAGTGGCGTGTTCTGCCCTTCCAAAGATTCTGACATGTGTGGGGTCACTTAGAGGTTGTGATGTAAATATTCTAATTCATATTTTCTTGGCAAGAGAAAATCTGACCTTGAGTTCCTGGGCAGTGGCCAGCCCGCTAGTCGTCATCCGATCTCGGAAGTTGGTGATGGGGTCCCTCTGTTGCCTGATCTCCTGCACCTCATCCCTGGTACGATAGCTGGTACCCGGATCACTCATGCTGTGGCCGCTGTAGCGGTAGGTCTCGACCTCCATCACCAGGGGTCCCTGGTACCCGTCAACAAAACAGGAAAAAATGGCATCAAGTTATACAGTGAGATCTCAGTGAACGAGTACCCTCTCGATGGTTCAAGACAGCAGACAATGAAGGACACGCTGCTATTCATACATCAGAATTCTTGAGAGGTGAATTTATTTGGACCCACCTTGCCCGATCTGCAGTAGTCGGCTGCAAATTGTGTGGCCTCTCTGACCGCGAGAACGTCCATTCCATCAACCTAAATATTGAAAAGAAATTAAGGTTTCTCCCAAGTCAATAATAAAGACACCCAGTAAAAAAAAAAGAATTATACAATTATTTCAATTCTCCAAGATGGTATATCAGTCCATCTCCACCTACTCTCCAGTTAATGCCTGTACCCATTTAAGCTCCTAGGTGAAGAGGGGCGAAGAGAAGTGTCTTGCCCAAGGACACAACAAATAGTCAGCAGCTGAATTCGAAATCTTGACCTTCAGATGCCAAGTCACGTACCCAAACCCCTAGACCAAGTTCCCCTTCCCAAGGATGAAACAAAATTGATATCAAATCACACAGACAACATATCATCGCATCAGTGCAACAAGGTCGTAACTCGATTCTGCAACAAAGACGTATCTCGCGCGAATATGCTCCGTGCAACAAGGTCGTATCTCGTGTATCGCGACGTCCATTGACTTTGTGTGTACATCCGGGCTATTTTAAGCCAGATACGACCTTATGACATTGAAAACTCGCGTTTCACGTACATGACATCACACACCACTTTAGTAGATACGACCTTGTTGCACAGTCACGACGATATGCAAGCAGCTGGATTCGAACCCCTAACCCTACAATCCCTAGTCACGTACCCTAACAACCAGGCCACGCTCACCAAGAATGGAAACTTTGAAATCCAAAATTTGAAAATCAAAACAGTGAAAATAAACAAATTGAAAATTCAATTCTCACCCAGATTCCGGGCACGTAATCCCCGCGTGCGTAGTAGTCAGTCGAAGCGGATGCTCTCTCCACCGCTGTGCCCATACCGTACTTGTTATTCTCGCAGACAAACACGCAAGGCAGTTCCCAGAGTTTGGCAATGTTGTAGGCTTCAAAGATCTGACCCTGGTTGGCCGCGCCGTCGCCGTACAGCGCGACACAGAGGTTGTCAGAGCCGGAGTACTTCAGGGCGGTGGCTACGCCTGCTCCAAGGGGAACCTTAGAACAAGGTGAATTAGAACTAACAGTTAAGAACAAAGCTTTGGTTTTAGGCTACTAAATCAGGGGAGTTTTAACTTGAAGCAAGTTCACATTTTGCTTCAGGAATATCGAAACCTGTGATGTGAGGCCACGGTTGGGAGTATTTCAATTGTTTGCATTTAAATTGTTCGCGAATGGAGCCCATAAGGCTTCTTAACGATCTCAAAGGGAGAAATAGAACAGAACCTGGGGATGAAGCTAACATTTTACGACATCTGTTTAGAGGTTTACCGCAGATTTCAATTGTCAAACTGAGGAAATGCCAATCATTTTGATGACTTTTTCATCATTTATCATTTTTCATATTTACCTGGGCTCCAACAATACCGTTTCCCCCGTAGAAGTTCTTTGTGTACATGTGCATTGAGCCTCCTTTACCCTTGGCACACCCTGTCCGGCGACCTGCAGAACAATCAAATTGAAAAGGTTTTGAACTTCAAGAAATTTTACAAAGACTTTGTGATCCATCTATCTTTGCAATCAACAGTGATGTTGATCTATAGCTTGTCTTCATTGACTCGAAATATTCCTAGATTTAAAAGGCCAAGTTAAAAAAAGATGTCTAACGTCTGGATTTTTCGGGAAAAAAAGGAAGGAGGGGCTTTTTATTACTTATTTTCAAGATGGCTGCATTTCTTTTTTAAATTTCCAACAACCGTTGGTTTTTACACTGTTCAAACTAAAGACACAAAAATGAAAGAGACATGTTGGACAAGAGAATTGAACATATTTACGGTGGTTTTAATAGTTTCAGTATAATAACAAGATGGCCGAATCTTAACTGGCGTTCATACTTTACCTGTTAACTCAGTGAGTATTTCGGCTACCGACAGTCCCATTAGGTGTGCCCAGCCGTGGGCTCTGTAGGCTGTAATCAACGCATCGCCTTCCCTCATAGCTGCCTTGATGCCAACAGCACATGCTTCCTATCAAAAGTATTTTTTCAAAATGTGAAATTATTTTGAATCCTTCAACTTCAATCACTGCAATGGAAGTCGGTGGTATTTTCCTTGTACAAAGACTTCCATGAGTATCACGTATGCATTGAAAATGACCATCACCAGGATATGAATATTCATGAAGTAGATGAATATTCATGACTTGTGCATTTATTACCTGGCCAGAGTAGAGATGACAGAATCCCCGGACTGCCTTCGATTTATACAGGTTGCCAGCGGCCGTCTCCATCCGTCTGATAACCTGCATCTGTCTGTACAACTTCAGTGCATCGTCTCTGGTAACGGTCACATTAGCTGAGGGACCAGACTCAAGCTTGTGAAGTTTGTAGTCCTGAGTGAAAAAAAGAAGAATTTTATGACAAGTCAATAATGACTTAGGAAAGATTTTTTGTGTACAAACCCTATGAGATTGGACTGAAAAATTCTAAGTGTTTTCTAAGAAAATGCTTGTATTTTCTCACTGCTCAAATTGACTTTGATGACATGAAATTGCTATCTGGGGGCTTGTTAGTCAATACAGAGGAAAATTAGTGAACTTCGTATATGGAAATCTTTCCGGCTTTCGAAATGAAAGTAAAGATGTTCATAGAAAATAAACGAACCCAAATGAACCGAATGAAAGTTCACTAAAATGAATAAAGTTGTGGCCTAAATCACACTCAAAAGTGACGTTTACTATTCAAACTCAAGTTTCTTATCCTTTCAAATTAAATTCAATGTTAGAATTCTTCCTTTATGTGAGTTACAACAGGCTTTTTCTCTCACCAAAACCGAGAAGGATGCTTCAGTTTGTTCATTGGTGTACTGACGTCTGGCAGCTGCTGGCAAAACCCTCTGTAATTAAACAACAAAGATTGCCATCTTTTTTTAATAAATGGGCGTGCTATCCACTAGACCAGACGTTCACTCGACGAGAACATGGAAAAATGGTAATTATATCTTATAAAATCAATGTCGGTGTACTTGTAAATTGTATAGGCTACATTCATGAGCTACATTCATAGGCTACATTCAAGAACGGAAAAAATGCAAGACCGGTGCACAGATAAACAAACACTTCGAAATGACAAATAACGCCCCTACAAACTATCTGCAAATTGCCCCGCCCCTACAAACTCTCTGCACTGTAAGTGTTGTGTTTGCTGCCACCTATCGACAAAAAATGGAAAATGCAACAGAGTTACTGAAAATATGAATTTCGGGGCTTAGAATTGGCATAAATTCTCACATGTGAGTTTCGAGAAATGGCGCCGAACCTCCGACACACTAGTGAGAACATGGTGCTGAAAAATGTGGACAATCTGCCTCTTCTTTCACGGCCAAAACCGCAGTTTCGTTACTCAGTCTAGTCGGCGATCGGTCCGTCAGCTGTTGATCACCTTTGACCTAGATAAATGACAACCTTTTACCAAAGACTTGCTATTAGCTGTGCATTAAAGTGAACAGCAGAAATGAACGAGGTTGAACGTCGACTGCAGACAGTGGTCTTGCACCCAGTATCAATACCCAAGATCGCATACTACATATCGTTGAATTACGTTTTCGATTCTGACAGGGGAACAGACTGAATTTGGTGAAAGGGAAGAAAAATGTTGACCTGAAATTCTGTCTCAGGATGTGTCATCTTTTCTCCGAACCTTCCACCTTTTCCCTTTCCCTTTCAACCCAGCTAAATAAATGTCAGGTCAGAGAGGCCCGGCTCCAGCCAAGGTAGGCTTCGAGAGAATCCGAGGCAACATCGCTCTGAAGTTTTTAAGCGGGTGGTTCCGAGACCAGAGCGGGAGAGAAGTCGACGGGAACAACAGCAACAACAACAACGGTGAAGAAAGCACAATGCCCGGCGGTAGTCACAAAAGCCAAGACAGCCAGGGAACGAGTACGAGCTCTGCCTCCACGCAAGTCGTCTGCGTTTTCAGCTGCCAAAGTCCACACGATGCCTGCAACAAGGCCTACGTCTGCCTGCAGACGGCTTGCAAGAATGCCAACTCCACTAAACTCAAGCGAGTGGCATTCGAAAAACTGGACTTTGGCGAAACTAAAGTCTTGGATACATTTTACGGAGCGGATATCGTGGTCGTCGATATGACTGTCATGGTACAGCAGCGCACGCTGTTCTACCATCTCGGAGTGCGAGAAAGCTTTGGCATGGAGCGTAACATTGTGCTGTATTTTGACGACATCGATCCCGATACAACCTCGTCATTAGGTGTAAGTGTCAATTGCATTGCATATAAAAAATTTAGGCTATCCACCATACTTTTCCTTCGAAATGTATTGACTATTGTAGCAAAATTGTCAAAAATATTATTATTAAAAATTGTTAAATCATTTAACCAACTATTAATTAACTGAAATTATGTTAAAAATGAAGTGTATGAAAATTTGCTTTAAATTGGTTAGTTAAAATAGTTCATTTGTAGGCTTATAGGCTCCTAAACAGAATTTTAAAAAATGATGGCCGATTCAACGACCAAATTGTCAAATCCTTCAATTTTATCAACTCAGCCATTTGGCTTTGAATTCACTTTATATCTTTTTTAATTCAAGGCCTTTTTGTCGTTGCATTGCAATTATGGCGACCCAAGTGCAAACTGTCAGCACATTTAGTGTTTTCTGTTACACTTACAGGCACAGACTTATACACATTTCTAAATTATCAAAAATGTGATATTTTTAATGGTCATGTATGAATATTCATTTTCTCTCATGTCGCAGCAATCGTGCCATAGCTCCGGCTATCTCTTCCTACCCTACAAGATGAACAACGGCGATTGTTACGTCTGCGACATGGCCTGCGTCCGTCCCACTGCCGGTCCTGGGGGCGCTGCTGCTGCTGCTGCTGCTGCTGCAGGTGCTGACCTGCAGGACGCATCGCTGATTCATCAGCTCTGCCCTCCACTCACTGAGCGACTGCAGAAGATCTTGGAGGAAGTCCACATATCCAACAGGTAAAGTTGACCCAACACTACACTAGAACCATCCTAATCTTTCTAAGTCTTCTAAAATCTACCAAGATGTTTCAGAGGGGGTTTTTTTTGGGGGGGGGGAACACAGATTTTAAGTGTTGTAGAGAAAGGATTAAACCTAAATAAATTCAGTCTATTTGCAGTGGAGATTTGAATTAACATGTTTTTAATTGTTTTGCACAAGCTCATTGTATTTTTGTATATGAATGGATTGTAGAATTTTTGTGCACTTTTCGTTCATTATTGCCTTTTTTGTGTGGTTATTTTACATTTTTGGGGTTTACTTATTTATTTTTCTATAGGAGCAATGCCCGAGAAGTTCTCTTGAGCGACATACGTAAGGCGCGGACCAAATACAATGGAGCTGAGCTCGGCAGGGTAAGAACTTTTTAACTTAAAATTTGTTAGATCTTTTTACCTAGAATACACAATAAATATCATGTTTTATTTGTGGTTTGGCAAATTTGATATTTTGGAGAATTGTGCAAAAAAAAGGAAATGTAAGAAAATTTTAGCTTTAATATTAATTTGCCTCGTTTCTCCTAGAACAAAAGATTGTGACACTTTTTCTGAAATATTTCATTGCACAGATTGTTTTTAATGTTCTGTTTAAAATCAGCGTGTGTAAAATATAGATATATCTTGACAAGTTTAACTGTTGCCGCATCCAGTAAAGCATTTTCCAAGTGATGGGATGATGACCACATCACATGCAACAACTTAATACAATTTACTTTCCACATTTCTGATTTGATCTTAAACACCTGGGCTCAATCTCATACAACTGCTGAGCTGAATAATATTGCTTACAAAATTTTTGTGCTAAGCAAAAATCAGCTGAGAACCAGTTACATGCAATACACATCGCATGGCATTTTGGCTGGTAAACCATTTTTGCTAAGCAGATATTTTCTGTGCTTAGCAAACTGCTGTGGTGAGCATTTCTATGAAAGTGGAGCTGCTAAGCTGAAAAAATACTGCTTACCAGATTTATGTGCTAAGCAAAAATCAGCCGTGTACCAATCACAAGCAGTATAAATTGCATGGTATTTTAACCGGTTACCTAATTTGCTAAGCACATAATTTCTGTGGTTAGCAGCTTTTGTGAAATTGGCCCCGGTTGAAATGATTTGAACCAAATGCCACAGCAATACTGCAATCAGTTTATGCTGTGGGATTCAGTGAAGACAGACATGATGTGATATACAGAGCATTAGTCACGGTGTGTGAGTAATGCACTGTCGGTCAGAGTAGATTATACACCGCGATATCCATGTCATATGTCAGCACATAATGAATCTATCCCTGGTAAATTGGGTAATTCCATTCCAAGGTTCTGATATTAAAGATGAATTTTTGAGGCGTCATCTTCGCACTGAACGACCAACAGTTTTCCTTGGAAATGGTTAAAGGGCCCATGTAATGTAATGTTTTTAATGCAACACTTGAAAATGCACCTTTGTGTCCCATTTTATCCCTAATTTTCAATTTTTATTTTTGCCATTTTTAAGGGCATTTTGGTGCCTTTGTTTGGGGTTTTAATGCAAATTTCCATATTCATGAACAAAAGTGTGATGTTATTTTAGGCAGAAACCTCAATGTTAACAGCTGTTTCAGCACCAACATTTGTCAGAATTTTGGATATTTTGCTGTCGTAAAATGTCTTTTCTTTAGTGATTCGTTGTTGTTTCAGTACACGAAAGTAAGCCAATGAGCAGGTTTTCTCACAAATGCTTTCAATGAGCAAATTTTGGATTCACAATTTGAACAGAAAACCTCTAAAGTGAACAGTGTCTTCCTGAAATGACATCACAGCAACAGCTCCCTCATTTGTCTGGAAAAGCATGGAAACTGTTAAATATTTAAAAAAGTGAATTTTTCAATAAAATTAACCAGAAAGGAAAGTCAAATAGTTCTCGTACATTTCAGAGAAGTAGAAAGTTGCACAGAATATACATGTTCCCACTTCCCAAGTAAGATTCATGTCATGAACCCTTTAATCCAAAGTTGCAGTGAAATGCTATGGCAACTTGCACAGGAATTAAAGACTAAATACTTTATCAATATGAGTATTCACGTTTTTTATTTAATGATAAAATTATTTTACATCTTATAAAAACTGTACTTGTAAAATATAATTTATGTCAATTCATTCACAAGTTATCCACAATACATACATATGTACCAGTACATATGTACTTAATAGTGTTTTTTTTTGTAGGTAGCAAAATGCTGGAAATAAATATTTATGTACCAGCATTTTTCCAAAACGATAACAGTGATTACGGTTTAACCGAAGAAAGATTAAAATTTTGAGGCTTTGTGTCAAGTGTACAAGGGTTTGGGGAATGCACTTTGTTGGAAAGTTGGTTATGTTGGTTGATCAGGTTTATTATTGGCTAGTAATGCTTGTTGGTTTTGTTGTGTCTGTTAGTTGGTTGTGTCTGTCTGTTGGTTATAGTTGATTATCATTGTTTTCTTGATTGTCTGTTAGTTGGCTATCTATTAGTTGTTTATGTGAATTAGTTGATTAACTTTGTTAATACTTGTCGGTTGGTTGGTTATCTTTTTGTTTGTTTTGTCTGTTAGTTGGTCAAGTTAAGTAGTTGTTATCTCTGTTTACATGTTTGTCTGCTAGTTGATTATCTTTGTGAGTTGGTTGTGTCTGTTAGTTGGTTATGGTGAATAGTTAGTTATCTTTGTTTACATGGTTGTCTGTTAGGTGGTTATCTTTTTTGGTTGTGTCTGTTTTTTGGTTATATTTGTTAGTTTCCTACCTTTCTTTTAATAGTTGGATGTCTGTTAGTTGGTCCTGTTAGTTGGTTCTGTCTTTTAGTTGGTTATGTTTGTTAGTTGGTTATTTTTATAACTGGTTAGTTGTTTGTTGGTTGTATCTGTTAGTTGTTCATATTGATTGATTACATGTACGGTGATTGATTAGTATGTATGTATGTATTTTTTGTTTATGAATTATTCATGCAAATTTGAAATAACATAGTATTCGCTTCCAATGTACCTGTATACTCAAACAATTGCAACACAAAACAATATGTACACAAGTGTATGATTCACCTGTATCTCCATTCATAATTGAATAAATCACCTGTGTATAACATACCCTGTTGACCCGCATTCTTACTGTGATAAAAGTCACCAGGACACTTTTTGGAACTGTCCGTAGGAAACAGGATGCAACCTTTAGAAATAATTGAGTGGGTTTTGGAAATCAAAAGGTTTTGTTTGGCCAGGTCAGTGAAATCCTTGAGTCAAAATATCTGCAAAAAAAAATTACATATCTCCATATGTTTATATGTGTGGTGTTTGGATGAGATGTAGTGTAGGCCTAATTATGTTCATGGATAGGTGAACCGGGCATGTTGTGTCCAAGAATGTGCATCTGCTGTATGGTGAGTTGAAGAATTTAAGCATTATGTTTGTCAGAAAACTTGGTTGTAGTGAGGATGTAAAAGCTACATAGGGGTCAAGATCTGCTCAACAAGTTTTCTCTCATAAATTTACTACACATGTACGTGTACAATGGAGCAGATTTTCTGTACATGTATTTGTTTTACGCTTTGACATGTGACATATTGGTTGTCAAAATTGTACACGTTTCTGGCAGTTAAAACCCTCGAAAATCTCCAATAAAGGTAGAATTTACAACTTGTTTTATTACTGTTTTTGTAAATGAAAACATTACTTGGCACATACATGTATAATATTTCTTGGAAAAAAAGTGGCGACACATTGTTGACGGTTGACTCTTTTGTCGTTGCACAAAACACCAAGGGCCCTGTCTGCTGTAGTTCTTTTGAATGTGTGCATTGAGGCGTTGAATGTAGTTTGGCATGCCCTGGATTAATACACGCTGAAGACTATTTTCATGTTTCAGCAGTCGTAGTGTGATTAGATATGCATGCAGACGCAGTAAACAGCTATTTGCACACATGGTACTGGCATTATTGCACACGAGACTAGTCATGTATAAAATGCATGTACCAAACCGTCTGAAATAGGTCGGAATTAACCAGAGTTTATGGTTAAGGTCCATGCCTCTTAATCTTGAACATTGGGAATGAGAGAAACTGGCAACATTTACATCCACATTAACGTCCGCACTCATTAGAAAGTGAGACTTTTTTGATATCAAAATATGCTCCTTTTAATTGGAAAAATGAAATCAGTGAAAATGTAAGCTTATTCGTAGCATCAGGTTTTTGCTTTGTTCTAAATACTCCTGGGTTTTTGTTACTGTCTTTAAGGGAAACGAATTTGATACCAAAAATTTATGTGGTACAGAAATAACTGCACGTAACTGCAGAAATGGAAATTGTTTTTCTACTAAAGCTAGCCGTTACAACAACTTTTCTACTTGCGTAAAGCGATGTAAAAAGTTCAAGCTGTAGTGCAAAGTTTTCTGCTTTTTAAGGCCTAATTTCATGGCTCTGCTTATACCGTTAACCAAAAAATCACTGCTTACTGTTGGAGAAAATTCTGCTCTCACAGTTAGCATATTTCACAGGTTGGCGAGGAATTTGGGCTTCTGTGCATGCAAACATCCCATAAGTATTAAAGGATTCTGTGATTACACTAGTTACAGGGTTAGCGCAGAATTTTTCTGCTAGTGCTGTTAGCATAGAATGGTGATCGTACATCTAAGCATGGAAATCCGTGGTAAGCAAAGCCATGAAATTTGCCCCCGGTCTAAACAGTATGCCCATTTCAATTTCACATGTAAATCTGCTGATAAAATATTATAATAATATTATAATTTTTCTTTGGAATCTCAGGAGCTGGCCGCTCTGAAGTCACGCATGGACGAACAGCTGTTGCTAACCGGAGACATTGTTCACCAGTTCCTGTTGTCCTACCGCGAAATCCAGGTAATCTAAATTTTCTCTTCTTTGTCATACATCAATGGCCATTCTACCTTTCTTGTAAAAAACCCAACAAATAACCACAAATAACCACATAAACACAACCGTCAAAAAATAACCACAAAATCCGTTTTCACGGAACCCATGATATTCGTTGTAGTGGGATATTATGATCTACCAATTCATTTCTTGGGCTAAGCACATGATTTTAAGCACAGCAAAAGGCACGCTTACCTTGGAGGAAAGATTTCTTAACTTAGTGATGTTACACTAGAAATCTCCATGTGCGCGCGACCGTTAGTAACATACAGGCCTTGAAATAGTGCTTAAGGTTAGCACATTGTTGTGCTATGGTTAGCACAAAAATTTGCTTAGCAGCTCTTAAATATCTGCTTAGCAAAATCCGGTCACCAGCCAAAATGGCATGCAATGCGCACTGCTTGGGACTGGTCCCCTGCAGATTTGTGCTTACCGCATAAATTTGCTTAGCGGTATCTTCTGCTTATCAGCTTCTAGAAACCAGAAATACAGGTCAGAAACCTTTTAATGAAATGAAGCCTCAACACATTAAAAATCTAATTGAAATGCACACCACTGCGTGCTGGGCGACAGATTTGTCATGCATCGCTGCTTTTAACAGTGGGAAGTTAAGGAAAAGATATGTAGAGAATGACACCCTTTCTTTGTCATGGTGATTGTAACTGACACCTGTGGAATTAATTGATACAGCAGGTGTTTTGTTGGGGGGGGGGTCTTTCGAGACAGGTTGCTGCACCCAGTGATCCTGCTGATCATGTTGGGCCAATGAGTTTTTCTGCTTAAAAAAAAAAAAATAATCAGAAATGTTTTCCACATTTCCTAATGCAGCAATTGTCAACTAGTATTGGCCTCAAAAAATGGTCAAAAAAATTTTGAGAGGGACTTCCAGTTCTAAAACAAATCCTGCTTATTTTCCCAAAGTTTTAGCTGAAATGGGAAATTATTGACTTTTATCATCCAGTCTCAAAAAAATGTCGATGGAAATTTATAGAACTTAGATTTCATGGGTTCTTCTGAGTGAACCAATTTTAAAAAAAAAATGTTTAATTGCTTTGTAACTTATTGACTTGAAATTTAATCTACAACTTATTCCCCCTCCGCCATTTTCTTGATTGCGGTCGTCAGGATTACAATTCCATGGTGGCGCTAGTTGAAGACATCAAAGAGTTGGCCAACGACAATGTCACGCAGAAGGCCGCCATCACACACCTCTATGCCTTTGCTCTCAACCGGTAAGTTGATTTTTATGCTCATCTCACAGTGATTTTGATTTTGGCAAGGTTTAGAATTTTAAGCAAGACCATTAGCTCATAAATCCATCTGAGATCTTTACGTTGGTGCACACTGATACATTGCAGCACATGATATTGTCCAGATTAATCAATTGTGTTTTAGGTATTATAAAGCATATACACATGCAAACCATATGACTGGCTACTTCAAACTTGGACGTTGTATTTGTTGCCGCCATATGAATATGTTTTATGCCAAATACTTGTCAGCTTTCAGCATGAGTGCTAGGCTGCTGTTGATGTGGATCATGTCACAAAATCGTTGTACATGTTGTAGTAAATTCAGCGCAGAGAGAAAACCCTTTTTTCTTTACTATTTTGTAGTTTAGTTGTCATTTTATGTTCTCTTATTTTTTTTTACAGGAGAAAAAAGCCAGGCGACAGAGAGAAAGCACTGAAAGTCATCACTTTTGTAAGACGCAATAAACTTTTGTATTTTATACTTCACTGTAAAGCCAATTTTAGCAATATTTAACCCTAACTTTGCTGAACCAAAAGCCCATAAGCCACAAATTCATAAGCCAAAAATAAAAGTGCATTTGTGATATAAGTTACCCTTGTCCGTATTAACCATTTGATGTTACCGTCGGCCTTTAATAATAATAATGATCAAAGTGCTTTACATTATTATTACCCCTGATCATTGGGCCAGTTGAACATTCCAAATACCGTCTCAGCTCCCTGGGGAGTATACAGCTCGATGTAGCCTGTTAGGTGCAAGGAAGCTAATTCAATCACAATAACCATCTCTGCCCTCACAGATACCCATTTACTCCTGGGTGGAGAGAAGCAATGAGTGACAAAGTGCCTTGCCCAAGGGCACACGCACCATGACCCCAGGCTGGACTCAAACCCACAACGTGCAGCTTTACCCGCAGACCACGAAGAGTGATGTCATTGTCTCTGAATAAAAAAGAAATTATTTGTTGATTGCATCTCTGCTGTTGTCAAATTTTCCAGGCATTGAAGAAGCGTGAGAACCAGGTTCCCGACATGTTCTGCCTGTGTGGACGCATCTACAAGGACATATACACGGAGACTAACTATGAAGACTGTGAAAGCAGAGACCAAGCCATACACTGGTTGGTGGAAAAATACTTTCATATTAAAAACTTTGATCTCGGGGCATTTCCAGTGTCACAGACATTACAAATCAGACATTTTTTTGTTCTTTGAAATCTCAGCGAATAAATCTCAAAATGTATTTATCAAATCTTATACGTCCATCATCTAGCAATGGTCAAGGAGATAACAGACTAGGCGCTTTGGATCATTTCTGAAGGTAAAATGATAACTGCTCAGCATGATTGTCTGATTTTATTGCTTCCTTGTCAGGTATCGCAAAGGCTTTGAGGTTCAACCCAACGAGTACGCGGGCATCAACTTGGCAACGCTCCTGGTTCTGTCTGGAAAGGACTTCAGCAAGTCCACTGAACTTCAGAAAATTGGTAAGTCTAAGACGAATCTTCACTGTGGAGGATTTTGTAGGATTTGTCGAAGGTAGAGCATATTCGTTATTACTTTACACAGGGCTTGATACTCTTGAAAGTAAGAAATACAAAGAATATTTAATATGCCATTGTTGGTTTTTTTTCAAAGATTGACTTTGGAGGATTCAGGACAGTTTCTAGGAAACTTGAAGAGTTGTGGTAAAATGCTTGAAGAGTTGTGGTAGCAGGAGAAACATGACATGGCATTTCTTATTATGATGGAATTTTGCGTCGGATGATTTTTATTGGTTGCGGTACTCGCTCGACCCCCAGCAAACTCGATGGTCGAGTGGGAAGACGTCTGCACTAGTAAGCAGGAGGTCATGGGTTCGAGTCCCATCCGAGTAAGCTTGTGAAATTTGTCTCACAAACCCTAGGACAACACTGAGTATTTATAGTGTTTATAAAAATCACGTCAGTGAAAGGCCAAACTCAATTTAAAAAAATGGCATTTCTTAGTGGGCAGAACCAATTATTTTTCTTTCCCTAGGAATGACGTTGAACAATCTCCTTGGCAAGAAGGGCAGCCTGACCTCCTTACAGGACTACTGGGATGTTGCCACCTTCTTTGAGATCAGCGTTCTGGCAGGCGATCTGGGCAAAGCCTGTCAGGCGGCCGAGTGCATGTTCAAGCTCAAACCTCCCATTTGGTAAGAATTGTTGTCCAAACTTTTTTAGCATTTTCTGACGCCTGTTCAGACTGTCGTTTCGGGTCAATCCAAAACCATTTCGGTTTCAGGCAGGTGAATTTTATGAATTAATTTCTCATTTATTATTCTCTTACATTTGTTCCGAACGATTGCAGTGGACGATTTCTTGACGTAGTCGATCCTAACTGTTTCAAACCTCAAATTTTTCATGAACTCAAATCAAATCTTTAGATTGATGTGGTGTGGCAAAACTCTGGAACATTCTAGCGCACTTCAAACTGTCTGAAACAGGTGTGAAGAATTTCTTTAAAACTGTTGGAAAAATGTCCCCCGAGAAAGGTCCTTAGTTTGCTCAATTCTTACGCAGGTATCTGAAGTCGACACTGGGAAACATCAAAATGATCAACAAAGTGCGACTAGCCAACACAGACAGTAATCCCACCAGAGATCAAATGGTAAGTCTAATTTTTTTTGGACCAAAATATTTGATATCTAATGCCCATCCTTTTTGTAATTCAGTTGTCATTATGTCATGTATTGATCATTTAAAAAGATTGCTCAAATGTATTTATTGTTATCTTTTCTTTTTTTTTAAGCTGTTTGATTTTTGGCTGGATTTCTTCGTCGAGGCGACCAAGGAAAATACCACTGACGTCCGTTTCCCGGTAAGTCAAACAGTTTTCAAAGAAACACTAGTTAAAGTCCCTACAAGCTGGAAAGTTCCATGCTGTTAATGCCTCTAGGTATATTGTCTTGCCGCAAAAAAAAAGTTCTCACATTTCAATACTTTTTTTATACAAAATTGTAAAAAATTCCCCGTGTTTTTTCTTGATGTTGTTGCAGGTTCTCGTTCTTGAGCCCACCAAAGTGATGAAACCCAGCTATATCACCATCAACAAAGACGACCAGGATTCTGAACAAAAGGTATAAAAATCCTCCTTTTTTTTTTTTCTTTCCAAAGTTAACAGTTGGAACAACATCTAACGTTGCAGCAGTTGAATTCCTTCTGGGCAAGTTCAGCGTTATGTAATAACCGTGACTCAGCTGTGAAGAGCTCAGTGAATAAACCTGAAAATGTATTTTTCAAATCTTATACATCCCTCGTCTAGTAATGGTCAAGGAGATTGCAGACTAGGAGTTTTGGATCATTTCTCTGAATCGTTAATTAGATATCATGGTGCATTGGCTCTGTCACGGACATTACACTTCCTTTTATAATTCTGGAACTGCCTTTATACAAAGACTGTTCTTTGAATTAAAGCTCAAAGTTTCTTATTCTTTTTTTCAGTCTCTGAGGCTGTGGCATGTAGGTGTTCCAGAGGGCTGCAAGGTAGGATTTTTAGTGGTTAACATTTTGTCTTGGGAATTTATTCTATTTCTTGACAAATTGCATCATTGTCAACAAATTAGACTTGCTTGCTAAATGAGAATTGAATGAGCAGTTATAGCTGGACTGGCGATGGCTTAGAACTCCGCTTGTTGCTTTTTACAAAGTGCTAATAATGAAGTCATTTTTGTTTGTATTTTTTGCCACAGGGCATCAGTGAGTGGTTGTTCAAAGCCCAATCTATAAAAGGAGTCAGGTGGGTTTTTCAAACATTTCTCTATCAGTTAATTAGTCCCTCCGTTAATAAAGTAATCAATCCCGTAATCAGTTTATCTAAATCAGGCAATCAATGAAATTGTTTATTGCTTGATCAATCCCTCAATCAATTTATCAATCAATCACTTTGTTAATCCCTAATAACTTAAGAAATTAATCCTCAATTACTCGATCAATTCATTATCGATCACTCAATTGATCAATCAGTGCCCAATCAATCAATATTTAAATTCTCAATTACTTGATGAAGACCTCAATAATCAATTTATCAATCACTTCAATCATTCAATCAATAAGTTCGTCAATCAATCACTTATTAATCAATCAGTTAATATCCAATAAATTAATTCATCAATCCTTCAATCGATCAGTTGATCAATCAATTAATCAAGTATTTATTTGATTAATTGATTTGATCCCGCAATCAATCAATTTATCGATAAATCTCTCAATTTGATCAGTTTTAATCAACATATCTTCAACCGACCATATCTTCTTTACACAGTCTGTACAAGCGTGATGACCGCTGTGTCTTCCTCTACGTCCAGCAGAACTCGGACGACTTCCAACTCTTCTTCTCCTCACTACACCAGAGACAAAGGTGAAATTGTTGAACAAATCTTAAAAACAAAAAACTTTTTGTCTTGATTTGAATCCTGTCCCTTCTTTATTCTCTCGTTGTTTCTCAGACAGTCTGTTTATTGCACTTTCTACACCCATTGTCATCTGAATAAATTGTGAATTTTTTTCGTTTCAGTTTTTATGAGCTGGCGAAAGAGATCATCGCAACGGCGCAGGATGCGTTTGTTGGTGAAATGGATTCTGATCTCTCCAGTGAGCCGATTCAGGTAATGAGCTCATTAATATGACTCAAACATTTCAAAACAAAGTGAGTAACCTTCAGTAATTCTGTGTGGATGTTGTGATCTCTCCGCCTGTGAGTATTTTGTCACAAGCTTAGTCTCAGTTTTGCAGTACTCGGCACTGAGTTTTTTCATCGTACTCATACTCATCAAATGTTCTCAACTACATCTCACTTATAGTACCACTCATGCCGAGACTATAGAGTTGCTCAAGAAAAGGAAAATATTCTCATCCCACTCAGAAATGATTAACTAAAATCTCTTCAGGATATAAAAGCTTAACTAGTCGGTTGATAGTCAAGTAAATTTCAAGACAAGTATGGGAAACAAAATACTCTGGTAAGACTAACGAGTCGTTGAACGCTTATCTCTGATTTCAGTTTGAATACGAGTACAACGAGAAGGGGGAAAAGATGTTGCTGGGCCGAGGCACGTACGGCGCCGTCTTCGCAGCCAGGGATACCAGGACACAGGTCCGCATGGCAGTCAAGGAGATCCCCATCAGAGATATGAGGTAGGTTCCAATCCAACCTGGTGCTTCGTTGTCCTTGAGCTAGACACTTTACTGCAATCTCTTTTGTTCTGTGTGATAGAGCAAGTACCAGTGAGGGTAGATTTAGTGGTGGTTTTGTTTTTGGTTACCAGTTCCTCGGGTAGGTTAGAAAGTCTTTGTCGCTTGTGTCCTCAAGCAGACTACTTTACTGTAATTACTTCTCTCCTCTCAGTATAAAATAAGAACCTTTGAGAGCAGAGGTGTCCATTATGTGAGGTTGATCGCTATTGCCTCAGGTTGGTTAGAATCCAGACAAGGAGTCTTAGTACTATGTGTCCCCAAGCAAGACATTTTACTGCAATGTCTTCTCTTTAACTTTGAATGAGAAGGAATTTGTACCAGATGGATTTGCTTTGGTCTTTTGTTTTCAAGGAGGATGTCTTAACAATATTTGACTGAAAGTAGTTTATGAAAATTGGAGTCTTCTGGTGGAGATGAAATAGTAATTATAATTGTATTTGTTCAAACAGAGAGTAGTTGTGTGTTTTGGGTTTTTTTTTACGCATCCTCCATCCATAACAATTGGTTTACACTGCTCAAAACCTTGAGGATGTGAAATGTCTTTTAAATCTATCCTCATTCTCTTGTCTTGCTTCTTCCTCAGAGAGGTCCAACCATTACATGAGGAGATCCTCCTGCATTCCCGTCTCAGCCACAAGAACATCGTCAAGTACCTAGGCTCTCAGAACTGCGATGGCTTCTTCAGGATATTCATGGAACAGGTCCCTGGAGGTCAGCACAATATTTTGAACCAAAAGAAAATTACAAATTTGTCAGCATTTCATTGAATTTGTTTTGAATATTTTTAAAGGATCTCGACTATGAGCTCCGTGCGCCACCGAAAGAGGGCAGGGCGCCCATTTACCTAGCAACGACGTCCCATGGGCGGGACATTTCGCTGGTTGACGCGCACCGTTCCTTGTGTGTGACGCACGTACACCAGGTGATTTGTACTCGGATACACGCAGTGGCCGCGCTTCACGGCAAAATATTGCAGTCAGGCAAGATGGCGTCGGTCGGTCACCCCCAACTGTACTTCCTTTGCCGGTGAGGGGGTATGTGTGAACGGAGCGGATACAAATCAAGTTGGCAGACGACTCAGGTTTTTGTCATCGGTGATTTTTTTTTCTTTTTTCAGGAAGCCTTTCGGCCCTTCTCCGGTCCAAGTGGGGTCCTTTGAAGGACCACGAGGAGACAATGTCATTCTACACTCGCCAGATTCTGGAGGGACTCAAGTATCTGGTAAGGAAACAAGAACTTTTGTAAAATTGTTCAGGAGTGTTAGAAAAATTTAGAGTCGAAACCGCAGTCTGAATTAGACTTCGAACTTTAAAATAATACAGGTTTTGGGAATAGACAGTTTTATATATATTTTTAAAATTATTTTCACAGCATGACCAGAAGATCGTCCATCGCGACATCAAAGGAGACAATGTCTTGGTGAACACTTACAGCGGTGTCGTCAAAATCTCTGATTTTGGTACCTCCAAGAGACTGGCTGGTATCAACCCATGCGCCGACTCATTCAAAGGTAAGGGAACCAGTGATTGAGTACACTGGTACCAGGCAAATGAATCTAGTGATGGTAATGAGTGTGGAAACCAGCTAAACTCTCATGCAGTTACTGTAAAACCAATCTTCTCCTGCATGAGAACCATGGAAACATAGTAATGGCACCAGCTAGGGTCACCTGATCACTTTGGACCAATCAGATTGAGTGAATTAAATCCACAGTGCTAGTTTCATCAAACCAGTGTTCCAAACTACTGTCGGCAGTCGATTCACACTGTTTAGATTTCAGCACGGAGTTCTGATAAAAGATGAAATGGACTGCAACTCGTTCTAATTTTTTTCCCTTCAAATTTCACAGGTACCCTGCAGTACATGGCACCAGAAGTCATTGATAAGGGCATCAGGGGGCACGGCGCAGCTGTGAGTACCAGTTAATTTAGCATAAATATGTTTATTCATGAGGCAGTAGGCCACACGCATATGACAACCTCAGTGAAAATATTGATCAACGGATATTTTTTTCAAATATGATATTTTCTGTAATTGCAGAGATTTAAAAAGAAGTAACATATTTTTTGTTTTCTTTGTGATAGGCGGATATCTGGTCGCTTGGATGTACCGTTGTCGAGATGGCAACTGGAAAGCCACCATTCATTGAGGTAATTCAAAATATTGGTGCTTTGCGGTTGATTCAGAATTCATTTAAATTCATCAATTGATTATTTGTTTGTTTTGTTTGCTTGTTTGTTTATTTTTGATTGTTTGTTTCTTCCAGCTTGGTTCTCCGGAGGCAGCCATGTTCAAAGTGGGCTTCTACAAGATCCACCCTGAGGTTCCTGCCTCCATGTCAGAACCGGCCAAGAAATTCATCCTCAGGTAAGCTCATCCTCGGTAAATTTGTGGAACTACTTCATCCTCCCTGATCTCTCAAAATACCATGAGAATTATGGTGCACATTTTTTTTGTCTTGGGCAGATGTTTTGAGCCAGATCCAGAGAAGCGGGCCACGGCCGTCCAGCTTCTGAACGATCATTTCCTGATGAGGCGGAGAATATCGCAGCGCAGCGCCGCCGCCGATTACAAACATGACCGCAGTATATCAGGTCAGTAGAGGTCATTGGATGCGACCTTTCAACTCTGACCTCTGTAAAGTCAGTACAAACTTTGTGTTGACAGCATTTTGTGATGACCTTTGATGACCTTTGATATCTAAATGTCCTTTCAATCCTTACCTTTCTTTTTCATATTTTACCCGTTGCCTCTTGACATTGGAATGGATATCTAAACATACATGCACCACCATTATTCCTGTCTTTTATCCCATTTATGTGTGATCTTTAAAAAATATTGTGAATTCCACAACATTTTGTGACATTAAACTTCATATTGTTTTCTGTGACCTTTTAGACTATTTAAGTGAAGATTTTAAAAGAAGTACTGCCTGAGGTTTAAAAAAAAAAAAATCACCTTTTTAATTTTTTTTTTACCTTACTCAGTCTTTATTTTAACAGTTTGACTAAAAATCCTGTCTGAGTGCGTCCTGTTTGAAAATGAGATCAGCATGACAATGGCATCGTCATTCAAGCATCACTTTTCCATTATAATCAAATTCACACTTTCCTGTTCTTTCTGTCTTGTGTGTCTCATTGAATCGTGCAGAACCTAGCGCCTTTAAACTTGATCCCGGTAAGCCTTGTGAAAATGTTTCTCAAACAAAATCTGTCTTTGGGAAAAAGAAACGCATTGTGCTTGTAGCTTTCTGTTTCTAAAGCCTTTGAGTTTTTAGCTTGAAATTTCTTTCAAACTTTTTTAGCTTTTCATTTTAAGTGAAATTTTAATGAAAATTGAGTTCACCTTTTGAAAAATTTGCAAGAATTGATATTCTAAATTTCATTTAAACAAAATTAAGATTCTAAATTTCAGTTTCTGCTAGTTTTTGGTAGTTTTCAAATAATAAACAGTCTCTCACCTAACAAACTTGAGTTCCATTTAAAATTGATAACACTTTTAACAGTAGTTACGTTAGGTTTTAGAAAAAAATTGAATGAAATTGTAGACAAAACAGCTCGCATTCAAAATCATTTGTGTTGATCCAGACATTTGTCAATTTAAAGTTCCCAAAAATTCGAAATAAAACTTCAAATTGGGCTTGAAGCCCCCTTATTTTTTGTTTATGAGCCCTACAGCAGGACAATTTGAATTTGATTTTTTTTTTGTAAGTTGTGTGTTAGAAACATGTATTGACGTTATTTTCAATAGGATATGGATCGAATACTATAGAAAATATAGCGACTGTTGCTATCAAATGTTTCCCCGTGCATGTAACTACCAATCACTGTTCAGAATGTGTTAAGTTGAATGTGCACCCCAGAATGCAATATGCTTTGTCTTTATTCCTTTGATTTTTATTTTAGTATGGTACTCTTTTGTGTCCGACAGAGCACTGATATTTTGTGATGGTATTGTGCTTGTGAATGCATGTAAGCATGTGGTACCAGACTCTCACTCTATCGCTGTTGGCTTCTGACTTGTAGTTCAGGTCAAAGGTCAAACAAAACTCAGAGATTTCTTCTAAGGAATAAATTCTTCCTTGTTTCACTTCAGAAGACTTCAACTCTTGTTTACTTCAACAAAACTTTTCTGGATTTTTTTTTTTTTACATTTTCTCAAATTATATAATTGTTAACTAAATAAATGCCTTCTTGTTTTAATTTGTTTAATTTTTGTTATATTTCTGCAAAAGTATTCTTGAGTTTTTTTTAAAGCTTTTGTCAAAATGTTTTAGTGTTAACTTTCTTGTAAACAATTCTTTTGCAGTTCCTGCCCTGAAGTATCGTACCAACAGCAGGCCTGAGTCTCCCATCCTCGGTGCTCTGTCAGAGTCGGCATCGGCCATTCCCGTGGACTTTGACGTCAAGTGAGTACATTAGGCTGTGGCCATCTTGGACATGTCCCCTGACTTGCCTTGGTTGAGAATCGCACTGGTCATGAATGGCACCATTCTATAACAGCTCAAAAGGAAACTGCTCAAATTTTGCATGGAAATGATTAAAACTCATCAGCCCTTTATACACATACGCTTACGAAATGTCTCTTTTTGCATGATTTTCCAACAAGCATGGGCGTTTTTTTGTACTGAAGTATTCAAAATCTTTTTCACTGCCTGCTCTCTTAAAACAGACCTTTGCTGTGTTAAACCACAGTCATAATTCTATCAAAAAAAACAACAACAATTATTGTGAATTTAATCACGACACATAATCAAAAGAGGACAATTTCAAGAAATTAATACACTTTGTGAAAATACATTAACAAGTTTTGTGGTTTATTTTAAAAAGTTTTGAAAATGGATAAAACCACAGATTGAATAACAGAAAGATTGTGTTCCAATTAAATGTACTCTGACTCATATCCCAAGTTTAATTAATCAGGCTTTGCTGAAATTGTTAATCTCTCATTGAAAATTCTATGTAGTTAATTTAGTTAAATCTTTTGCAAAGCTGAGTTGCCGATTGCAGCTTAAACAAGAAAAAAAAGTCTCAAATGCTGCACCATCTTGGTCTAGTTCCAAGAAGTCCACACAAAGATGAAAATGCAGTCAGTTACATCACAGGCACCAGACTCTTTTTATTATCTACCTCGATCTGAGCTCGATAGGTGATGGCTTTAACAAAAGGAAAAAAATCAACATTGCTGCCAAAAATGACGGTGCATGCTTTCGTTTGACTAACTTTGGTTTGGCGGATTTAGTGCACCTTCGATTTTGAAACATTTTTAACAAGGTTTTTTTTTTCTGGTATGGTTTTGGCTATTGTGCTTCTATTGCATGCTGACTTCTTCTGATGTCTCTTGTTTAACCTCACCCAGATCGAAACGTCGGTCAATCGACATGGTGTCACCAGGGTATGTGATTGGTCAATTTTTTTCTAACTTGTTGCACCGCCCTGCCATCCTGCCCAATCCCACCATTTTTCGTCTGCTCCCTAAATCACCATAAATTCCACCACTTGTCAGTTCATCACTGTTTACAAAGTAGAGTATTTCTGACTGTTTTATGATTGGCAATGTCTATTTGATTCATAAGATGGAAGTTTTGCGTCGTTTTTTAAAAATTCAATATTGGGTTGTGCCCAACACCAGTGTATTACTCAAGCTTGTCCCGAGTAATTGCGAGAAAAAAAAATCACAAGACTGGAAACCCAGCCAACATACCCTAAGAAGCTCGATGTCGAGTGGTAAGACCTCTGCACTTGTAAGCAGGAGTTGTAGGTTCGAGTCCCACCCGAGCAGTTTGTGATTTTATTCCTCACAATCTCTCGGGATAGATGTATTTAGTGTTTACAAAATACATCGATGATGGACGAAACCCTTTAACGAATTTCTATTTTATTTGCCAGTATATTTTATAAGATGGAATTGTATTTTAAGTGAGAGTCTGAAGATTTCAAAAAATAGCTTATGTTTGTTTTTAGATTTGTGATACGGTTATGTTTACTATAACTCTGACCTTCAAGTTATCCTAATGTTTCCGCTTGGATGTAGATAAACTTGGTATTACACCAACTGTCATAAAATAGGACATCACAGGTTGTGATAGACATTTTGAGGTTTTGCCCCTAAATATTTACCAGCCAAACTTTGTAATGAGTTTGTGTTAGATTTGAAGGCGAAATGTTTGCAAAGCATATTTTTTTTTAAATTGGTCTGTATTCGTTTCCCCTCGCTAAGTTATTACATAACGTTTGTTTGCTTCATTAACATACATGAATGATTTTGTTTGTTTGTTTGTTTGTTTGCATGATGGCATTTCCCCCATTCCGTTAGATCCCCGAGCAACTTCCTTGAGGTGCCTAGTGTGAATATGTTTGAGGGGTAGGTGAATTGTGATTGGCTGGCTCGGTTGTCTGCTGTGTTGTGATTGGTCTCTTGATTGGTAGCAAATATATGATTGGTTGTATAAATTTCTTTGCTTTTTGCTGATTGGTTGTAGATGTTGGTTTTCGTTTTTGGTCACTGACTTGGTAGCAAGGATACGATGGGTTGTTTTAATTGCTTGCTTTGTGCTGATTGGGCAGTTTGTAGATGTTGGTTACTTTTGATTGGTCACTGACTTTGTAGCAAGGATGTGATTGGTTGTTTTAGTTGTATTGCTTTGTGCTGATTGGGATATGAGTAGATGTTGGTTCCTTTATAGTTTTGTTGGTAGTTGTGATTTCCGCTCTGTTCTTATTGACATGCTTCAATTTTTTTCTGCTCAGCGTTTATGTTTTGGATTTTAATTTCTCTTTCCCACGTTTTTTTTCAGAGTAATTGTTTGTCCTAGCATTATGATATTGTTTAACATAATTAACTTGCTAACTTGTGCATTGTGTCTTCATAGCATCTCAAATGCCAACTTAACCCATATGGGAGGTAATGTAGAATTAGTCTAACCCAGAAGGCGAAGGTTGGTTAAGTTAAGCTCATACATATAAATAAATTAATCTGTTTGTGTTTACCGTTTTTAATTAATCTGTATGCACCCAATGACTTGATTGTATTTCACACTTTGTGCACCATTTCATATCATATAATGATATGTAGAAGTCGACCTAAATTTGAAAAGAAAACATCGAAATGAAAACTGGGTTATTTTAACGGATCTTTTATTAACCATCTGTCTGTCTTACAGGTCAAGTGAAGACAGCACGGCCGAGACGCCCACGACCCCTGACCGGGGCAAAGGTCACGGGTTCTACATGCTGCGGAAAGACAGCGAGCGCCGCCTGACCCTGCTGACTATCCTGGAGTCGGAGCCGGACAAGATTGTACAGCGGTGGATGGGCAAACTGCATGCTGGTACCCCGCCAACCAAGATTACCACTGTAAGTTGCATTAGTTTCTACACGGGTAAATTTCCGAACCCAAAATGGGGGTGGGGGGGGGGGTGGCAATACAATATTTAGGTGGTTTTTGTAGACAGGTTTTTTTTTAATTCACTTTTTAATTGTCAGATTTTTTCAGCAATTTCAAAGAATATAGCCCCAAAAATGTGTGTGCTTTGAAGAAGATATTCAGTAAAATGTTTAAAGAAAAAACCAACAATATTTTTAATTGGGGTGAAACGGGTGAAATTTTGCAAGCAATAAAAAGAATGGAAATAATGCAATGCTACACCAAGAAGCTTCTTTCAACGCATTGTTGAGTATGCAACAGGCCAGATGTACATCGAGAATACCACAGATTTCTCTAGATTTGTACTCGTTTTTGTTTTTGGTTTCCTAGCTGCACCTCGGCATCCTCATGTCGGGCATGGCACAGTACATCAAGACCAGAGAGAGAAAATTCATCAGCGAAGCCATAGGTGAGCAAAACCAAGACACTTGAACCTCTCCAAGCACTACATATCATCCTTTCAGAGGTCAAAAGTTAGAGGTCAAGGATCTGAGGTCAGATGCATTCCAGTTGCATTGATTGCTTTCCCTCCTCTTGGTCGGTCAGCCGGCCGGCCCGGCTGGCCGGCAGGCAGGCAAAAGACTAGCCTTTCATATTCAGCAAAAATACAGAGACATTTGCACGTTGCAATTGCAGCCTTCCAAAGTTTAGCAATTCTATATTCAATCGTGTAACTTTTCCTCGGATCAGCTGATCTCCTCATTTTTCACTTCACACTAATGTCATTAGAATTGGAAAAACACTGTGCACAGTCTTGTAAAACTTGGAATTTACTAATTCTTTTATTACTTCCCAGTTGTATGCAATGTATATTGAAATGATATTCTAATGATAAAATTTGTAATGAATATTGTTCTGTTTGATTTACCGCAGATGAGTTGAAGATGGAGTTGGACTATGATCACGTGGCCCTTGGAGAGATACAACTAGCTTTGTACACCTTCCTGGATACGGTAAATAGTTTCAAAAATAGTTTGAAATTTTTTCATTTTTTCACCTTTTTTTTTTTTTTTTTTTGGGGGGGGAAATTTTTTTTTTGGGGGGGGGGGAGGGAAGAGGAGCTTATGTTGATAACTCTGAATTCATTTGTAAATCCATCAGAATTTAATGTTTGATTTTGAAGAATTTAAGACTGTTGAGCCTGGTTTACGGTAAATTGTTAGAATTTCTTTTAATTTGGTGTGAAGGACATTGTGAGTACTGTTATAATATTTCGGAAAATTTATAATAAAAATATGAAAAACAAGTGTTATTATCAATGTTATTGACTTTTCTTGCGATGTTTCAGGTTGTGGAAATACTGAAGCAACATGTCAACAACATCAAACCACACTGGATGTTTGCATTGGATAACCTGATCAGGGACAGCGTACAGACAGCCATCACGATACTCTCCCCTGGTGAGTGGTCTGTTTGTTTGTCTCTAGTCTGTCTGGCTGTCTGTTTGTCTGCCTGTTTATCCCCAGACAGCATACAGACAGCCATCATGATACTGTCCCCTGGTGAGTGGTCTGTGTGTTTGTCTCTAGTCTGTCTAGCTGTCACTTTGTCATGGTGTTTGTCCCCAGACAGCGCACAGACAGCCATCACGATACTGTCCCCTGGTGAGTGGTCTGTGTGTTTGTCTCTAGTCTGTCTGGCTGTCTGTTTGTCTGCCTGTTTGTCCCCAGACAGTGTACAGACAGCCACCACGATACTCTCCCCTGGTGAATGGTCTGTTTGTTTGTCTTTAGTCTGTCTAGCTGTCTGTTTTTGTTCATCATGCCAGCATGAAAGTCTAATTCTCAGTTAGCACATTATTAAAAATACAGATGGTGTAGTCATACAGGTCAAAAAATTCAATGAAAATAAAATTAATTGAATAATAGCAGTGTTACTTAAAATACAGTAAAAACCTCAAAACACACAAAATGGACCACGTTGATCGCAACAAAAACAAAGCCAATATATTGTGGCTATCCCAAACAACAGACTGTTTTATTTTGCCTTTTTTCCCCCGAGGCCAAACGAGGCCAAGCATTATCAAAACTCAACTCTGACATAGTTCACATCCTGTTGATATCTGATTGTCACCTCCACTGATATTTATCTGAAATCTCCTGATTTCCCTCACAACTTCCTCTTTCCTCTCTGGTCTCCCAGTTATGTGACCTTTGACCTCGCCGGTAATCACGCTTGAGCGCTCGCTTGTATCACCCCTGTGGTTTTCAGTTTCTTTCATATCTGTGGCTGGCTGTGGAAACTGACACACAATAGCCACACATGTAGTTAGGTATTTGCAGTTGTTAGATGTGTAGATGGCTTCCTACTTTGTCGATGCGAGCGATGTAAACAAGCGGGATATCAATGATCCGTTTGGGTGTAAAAAATCCAAGAATGGTAGGACCTTTCTTGTGACATTATGTGTTTTTATGACCAGCTTCATATTTTTTTCGGCAGAATTTTCTGGTTGTATATAGTGATTTTGAAAATAAATCACAACTGTAAAGATTTACATATCATCAGCATATTGTCCTTGGCAACTTTTGCTTTGATTTTGCTGGAGCAGGTTACATGATTGACTGTAGGTCACATGATTGACTGTAGGTCATGTGATTGACAATAGGTCATGTGTTTGACAGTAGGTCATGTGATTGACAGCTGGTCACATGATTAAGAGCAGGTCACATGGTTTACATTTGGTATCAATATATGTGTTTGTATAGTTTTGTTTTGTGTTTGCATTTTTTACCTGCTTCAATTTGTAAAAATCTGTTTTGTTCCAGCTTAGTATGTAATCTGTGATTACTGAATGAATTTTTGGTGTAATTTCAATAATTCAATTCAATTCAGTTGACATTTATTTAGCACTCTCCAATAAACCAATACAAAGTCGGATAATGTAAATACAATACAGTTATATTTAAACAAGCGATTACAAATGTGAAGGTAATTACCACCAGAAAAAAATAATGCTTTAATTGAATCTAGTTATTTAAATTAAGATTAATAGCAAGCGAAGTTGAGAAAGAGTAGAATAGAAAAGGATAATAAATTTGTTCTGTTACCATGACAACAGACTTGGGCCACAACATCGCGCCCAATCAGCCGCCCCACCAGGACCAGACGGACCACGCCCACCACCATCAGTATCACCACGAGGAGGAGGGCGTCAACACGTCGGGCGTGTCCACACTGAGCTCCAGTAAGTCCCATGAGCGGGATCTATTTATGGAGCGGGCGTCGGCCACCACCATGCAGACCGAGTACAGGAAACTGGTGCAGGAGCAAGGAAGGTGGGTTGTAGACTTCATGGAACTAATAAGCGTAGGAATATGCTGAGCAAAAACAAACCATTTCTAAGCAAAAAACAACAATAAAATTGTTTAGCAGATACATTGTTTTGTGTGAAAATCAAATTTTACAAAGCAAAAACAAGAATTTGTAAAAACCAAAATTTGCTTAGTAAAAAAATTAATTTGCTAAGTAAAAATGTGAATTTGCTAAGTAAAAACGTGAATTTCCTATATAAAAAATGTGAATTTGCTAAGTAAAAATGTGAATTTGCTAAGCAACAACAAATATTTGCCTAGCAAAAACAAAATCAAAATTGAGGTGCAGGCAGGGAGTTTTACTGCATTTATCAAAATGTAACCTGACTTTGAAATGTTGAATTTGTATTTTTTCTTGCCTGGATTTGTTGTCCTTTTTCTAGGCTACTCAGTGACCTTCTGGAGGTACAGCGGACGCTCAATGACATGCTGGGAGGTCAGGTCAGGACAGGTCGTGAGGTCGTCAATCACATGAGGTCAGTCAGGTTTCCTTGGATAGTACTAAGCCTTGCTTAAAGGGAAAATACAACATTTGCAAACATCAAAAAATAAAACTACCAAATCATTTTGAAATACCTTGCTTGACTGTTAGTGAATGACAGTGTAAAGCATCCTGTAAAATCATGGCACCTGGTATACTGTCATTTTCAAGAAAAGTGGTATTTTTGTATCAATTTCCAACGCTGGCCGGCCGACCAGCGTTGGAAAAAACTGGCTTTTTTTCAAATACTGGCCCCAATTGACTATCGCACTTGTTTGCAATCGATTACACACCTATGAACGGGTACAAGCCAGCTAGAATGGTTCCCTGACCTTACAATTCCCCAATGTATGTAAACTGCTCTGTTTCTTCTTATATGGAGTCAGGGAACCAGACTACAGGAAAATGATTGTTTTTCTTAGTTTTTATAGCATTTTCGAACCCAAAACCTCAAAAAAGTCAGTGTAACTATATTTGCTATATATTTCCAACCCCCAATTCCATCCATTTCTGAAAATTACAGCAAAAGCAAATGATGTATATTCCCTTTAAACAACTTTGTTCACTGCTGCTGAATCCAAAATTGTCTGCTGAACCTAACAAGATGTTAAAAATTCATTGTCAACTGTTGCATTCGACAGTACTGCGGCTGAAAAGAAGAAAGATTTTTTTTAATGACAATCTTCTTACTTTCTCTCTTTTTTGGCCGTGTTTTTCAGGGAGGATGACCATGCTGGACTTGAAGGAAGAAACAGTGGTAAGCAGGCAGTTATTTGTGCTCAAATCAACTTATTAAGCATATTTGTCATTTTTCTCAAAACGTATGAATTGTACAGGCTTTTGACTTGCTCCATCAAAATGAGGATTAAGTCCCAAATATTGACCCTAACCTTCCCAAATCCTCCAAAATCCTCTTTGCAAAATGGAGGATTTTGCAGGATGAGGCTATATGGAAAAAAATGTGTGTCTGATTTTGGGGGATGCACTGTGTCAGGGTCTTAGGCCGGACCTTGTGTTGTTTATTCTCAGCCATGCATAAATTTAGGCCTAGATTATACTTGAAATCCTCCACACTGCTCCAGGATGTCACTGGCTCTGCCTCAACATATTGACAGTGATTGCTGGAGGATTTTGCTAGATTGAGGCAGTAGTGGTCACCCCTCCAAGGACCACATTCAAGAAATAATGGAGGATTTTGCAGGATTGAGGCTGTATGCAATTTTTCATTGGAGGCAGTTACGGATCTTGCAGGATTGAGGTTGCTTCCTAGCAAAAATGCCTAGGGAGTTAGGGTTAAGTTAAAGATTTTACCAAGGGATTTTGCAAGAGTGTGTGCTAACAAAGCTGACACTTCTTCTGAATTTCAGGTGGAGGTGAGGATGAGACTATTGCTGAGGAGCAAGGAGACCAGGAGCTGATTGAGTGGCTCCGTAGCCTCTCCATTGATGAGCACAGCATCGGAAAGGTATCAAGTAAAACTGTAATTTCTTCACATTGTCTACTCTTTACTGGGCCCCATGGGAGACCAGTGGATTCCACTGAATGGGCTACCCAGTTCAAATAAGAAATAAAAATAAATAAGTAAGTTCATGGCTTTGCTAAGCAGATGTGTTCATTAGCGAGAGTAAAATGACATATTTGGGCAATTCCGGCGTTATGAAAGGAGGTGTAATGTCCGTGACAGAGCCAATTCACCATGATATCTAATTAATGATTCAGAGAAATGATCCAAAACTCCTAGTCTGTAATCTCCTTGACCATTACTAGATGATGAAGTATAACATTTGAAAAAAAAATAATACATTTTCAGGGTAACTCACTTGGCGTATGCTTGAATTGCCCACTTCAAAACCAGAACTTCCTGAAATGCACTTAGCATGCTTAGAATCCAAGTGCTTGATTCAGCTTTGATGTATCGTTTGTCATGTTGCATTGAATCCCTTTTTTATACATTTCACAATGTGTGAGAATTCTTTTTTTATTAATTTGACAGTTTGTGAGAGAGACCTACACCCTTGAAGTTGTCCAAGACATGATGACGAGAAAGGATCTACGGCACATGGGACTCAAGTCAGTCCAACTTCCCTTTCGTTTTTATATATTTATTTATGCCATCTTCCATCTTTTCTCCACAATTTTGCTGTAAATGTTTATATAACTTCATATAACAGAGGGGGTCCGCTCATAAGTCCGACGCCTCATAAGTCCGACAAAATCGCATCCCCCAACCAAATAAAGGCCCATAAGTCCGACGCCTCATAGGTCCGACGCCTCATAGCTCCGACGCCTCATAGCTCCGACGCCTCATAGGTCCGACGCCTCATAGGTCCGACGCCTCGTACGCTTCGTTTTTCCAGTGTCGGACTTATGAGGCGTCGGACTTATGAGGCGTCGGACCTATGAGGCGGAATAAATAAATGTTATGCCTCATAGGTCCGACGCTTCATAAGTCCGAAATTTCGGACTTATGAGGCGTCGGACCTATGAGGCGTCGGACTTATGATACGGCCCCTAACAGAGCTGTCATCCATGACAAAATGACAATGATTTCAGGTTAAAAACGTAATGCCAAGATGTTTTTGTAAGGATTTTACTTTTGCATCAGAAAAAAATCAATTCATTGTCCTAAGAAGTGATTGAAAATGGCAATTAATAATTTAAAATTAATATTATTATTTATTTTTTTGAAGGGGAGGTGTACAGTGCCGAATCTGGAATGCTATTCAGAAACAACGGAGAGACCCATCGTAGCCCACTGCAACTTGGTCAAGAATAAAACTGTAAAGATTGTGTAAATATATCCCAAATTGTGAATAGAAAAAAAAAGATGTTAATCTATCTGTGTGAGAAACTCCTTCCAGAATTTAGACTTAAAATATAAATAAATAAAAACAGACGCTGCCATCACAATTTGAAGCCAATTACCTGCGAAATGAATACCACTCTTCAATAAAAAAATCTCTGTAAATAAATAAAAACAAATGTATCTTTTATTTGTAAATCTAAAATCATGAAATCTGAGTGATTTTCGGTTTTAATCGAAGCAGTACATTTTCTAGTTTGTTTATCTTTGCGACTACTGCCGTTGTCGGTTCATAAAAATCATGAAAATTTTAAACAAAATTCCAATAAGTTTGGTCAAAAATTAAGAGACAAGAACCCCCCTTTCAGTATGCTAGTTCCTTTCATAGTCTAGAATATGATGGAGTGACTGGGAACCAGTCACACAGCGCCCTCTTAAGTTTGATAATTGCAAAGGTCTGTGGGGCAGACCACATAACAGGCCATTAATTTAACCCCCAAGATTGTGCGAAAAATCATATTAAAACTGGAGTATTCAAGACTGTTAGGAATAAAAATTCCACAATGTGTATTTTTTTTTGTACAATACGTTTTCCTTTCAGAACACCTCATCTTTCATATTAAACAAATTATGTCATTTACAAAATCTTTAAATTTCTGTAGATTTTTATACTGCTGCATAATTTTTACTCCAGTCCTTGAAAAAAAAATAACAATCTACAATAAAGCTAGCCCTTTCCAATTTGTAAAGGTTCACTCCCAGTAATTTTTTTCGCACTCTGACTTTATGCTCATCCATCCTTCTACTTTCAGTCTTTGTTTACTGCATTCATTCTCACCTCCTTTTTATTGGCTTCGTTATTTTTTAACTTTCTGAAAGCGTACGTCCCACAAGGTATTTTTAAAAAAAACTGTTTTAATGTTCATATTTGTTGATTCGCTTTACTTGTACAATGTTTCTCATGTAATGTTTTAACTCCAAAAAGAATTGGACCCATTGAAGAAACTTTGTCAAATAATAAGGGAATAGAGTACCGGAGTGCACCGCGTATTCTGTTGCACCCGCACAGCTTAAGTGTGTGAAGACATCAGCACGCGAATCAAAGTGAAACAGAACAATTACAGCTGACGTCACACTTCGCTACTCTATAAATATGTGATGCGATCAAGCTAAATGAGTCGTTTGTCGGGAATTTTTATTTGGAGATACAGGCCAAAATAGGGCCACTTCATCACATCACATCACTTCATCACATCTCTCGGTGTTCCGACCTCCATAATTTTTGAACTAAAGATGGTACCAGCATGCAGTTTTCACAGCAGTAATGCTGAGATAGTGCTCTTTTGAAATCTGTAATAAACAAAAATTTGACGAGGGTCGACAAATGAGAAAGTCCTTTATAACAACAGCATAAATTGTATAGTAATGGGGGAACAATGCACATTGGTTCTAGTTGCCAGGTTTTTTTCTATTCTTTTGATGGTAATATAAAAATAATTCCATATTTTTTGCAGCTGAGCATCATTGCATTGCCTCAAAACTTTTGAATATTTACTATCCAAACGATTGGAAAGTTTCGAAAAATTATGGGGTTAGCCCATTAAAAAAAAACACATGAAGCACAACGGCTGATTTAAAATTTGATACAATGTGGCATCAACATGTTCTATGCATCGTTTTGTTGCCCTTAAAATGTTTTCAAGTAGGTGTAGTACTGTGTGAATGCAAGGTAGGACAATAGGGTAGTTTGAAATCTTGTTTTTCGTGCAGTTTTTATTATCACTCTGTAAATAAAAACTTATTTTTCTGAAAATTAACCAAAATGAAGCGTTGGGCTATGGGTGAGGTGGCGTTACGTGGCCGTAATAATCTGAATATAATCTGTTGTCAAAGAAATCTGCAATTTGCCTCCTGCACAGTGGACAAAGGAATTATGGTTTGTGATGAAAGCTGTTGATATTGATGAATAAAACAATCATAATCATGCGATTTCTATTTTCATTTTTGTGTTTGATTTTCTCCTTTTATTTTTTCAAGAGTAGTTAGCGGTCAGGCTTGTAAAATCGCAGGCCCACAGGAGAAAGAAGCCCTAGGGAATTAAATACTTGAGAAATTCTTGAGAAAATCTGAAATTCAGAAAATTGGAAGAAACAGATCCGTACGGTTATCTTTTGTAAGCAAGTTAAAATAAAAAAAATCTTTCTCAAAATATGGGATGAGATAAAAAAAAACAAAAAAAACAATTGGGAGAGAAAATAAGCGGGACCACTGATCCTGAATATTTTTGGGTTTTGTGAAAAACCAGTGGTCCTTGCAGACGACAGCAACATCGGCCACATGCTTTTGATGAGCGCCCTCAACCGTTCGGGTTGCCGAATCAAGCTGATGAGATACAGCCCAAGATCTAGATTGGAGCAGTGCGGTCTACTACTACTATACTAGCTCGTCTCGCTTTTCTGGCCCGTATTTAATGTCTTGATATTCAAATGCTTCGTAGGTTCGCTTTGCTGGCAGTTTATTCAAACTTGACCAAGGTAACTGTAACAATATACTCCTCATTTTATCATATCAGTCGCAATCCCGGCGCGATTTGGTAACAACTTCATCACATTCACAGTGTTGTTGGTTGGGGGCGTGGCTGTGCCCGGCGCCCCTCCCACTTTTTTGGACTAATTATTGAGTTGTTTCTCACGTGTCATAATTAATTCAGCAACAGTTTTAGGGATTGCCAGAAATAAACAGAACTATTAGGATTGTTTCTCCAAAATTATAACATTTAATTTTGTAACAAATTAAGCTTTTTGCCAGGCATGTCACTTTTAGGTTAGATTGACCCGTTTGACTGGTGCCAGTTTAAGTAAACGTTATTTTAACACAAGCTTTCTCTGATTGAGTGCACCAGCTTAAGTAAACCCTAGTTTGCTGGAGGAATCAAAGACGAACTCCAGCAAACTAACGTTTACTAAAAGAAAGCGGGGAAAAAGTAAAATGAGCCATAATCAAAGAAAGCCTCTGTAGAAACAAGTATTTAATAATAATAATAATAATTTATTAATTTATAGTGCGCAAATTCCATTTAAAATATGTTCAAATGCGCATTACAGTCATAAAAAAAAAAAATAAAATAAACAGACGTATACGCAAATTCAACAATACAATGAACACTGATACAGGGTACAAAAAATCAATAAAAAAGCTCTCATAAAAAGATGAGTTTTAAGTAATTGTTTAAAAACATTCAGGCTACTTGCTTCTCGGATATTTAATGGCAGTGCATTCCATAAATTAGGTGCAGCACACTCAAATGCACGATCACCAAGAGTGACCTTGGTTCGACTTGCTGAGTAACTGAGGAGTGTTTTGTCATTGGAAGATCTGAGATTGTAATTGGATGAAGATCGTTTTTGGATTAGATGGCATAAATATAAGGGAGCTAGACCATAAAGAATTTTATAAGTTATTAACAGAATTTTAAACTCAATCCTGAATCTCACCGGAAGCCAATGTAAATCAAAAAACAGTGGGGTGATATGACAGTATTTGTAAGCGTTACAGACTAGTCTGGCGCAGGAATTTTGCACACGTTGAAGCTGTGATATTTGAACGTCAGGCAATCCATAAAGGAGGCTATTACAATAATCCAACCGACTAGAAATAAAAGAGTGAATTAACGTTTCAGTACATTCCCTGGTCAGATACTTTCTGATACGTCTAATATTATGTAAATAATAAAAAGCCGTACCACACGTTTTTGTGATATGAGTAGACATTGTCAAGTTTGCATCGAACCAGGCACCCAGACTCTTCACAACGGAGACAGGGGAAAGTCTGGACTCCCCAACATTGATGCTGTCAATATTAACCTTAGCCAATTGTTGGCGAGTACCCATGATAATAAATTCAGTTTTATCATCGTTTAACATCAACCCATTACTGAGCATCCATTTACGCACAACATGTATACAACCCTCCATTGCAGAAAGAGCAGACGCCTGGCTCGATGCATCATCTGGGCAAAAGGAAAGATAAAGTTGCGTATCGTCAGCATAACAATGCACATCTGGAAGTTGAGTCTCAATAATTTCGAACAAACTACTGGTATATAAAATAAACAACAAAGGACCTAAACAGGATCCTTGGGGTACACCCCACTCAAGGTCAAATTTCTGAGACAGTTTACCATGAACAGAGACCCGTTGAGATCGAGGAGAACAGTCCCATCAATACCAAACTTGGACTGGAGCCTGTTCAACAAAACCGTATGATCTAAAGTATCGAAAGCAGAACTTAAATCAAGTAAGACTAATAAAGAAACATGTTGTTTGTCCATAGCCATTAGTAAATCGTTTTTAACTTTCAATAAGGCCGTCTCAGTACTATGGTGACTACGGTAGGCCGACTGAGTAATTGGATATAAACCGTTCAATGTTAAATGAGATTGTAGTTGGAGTGCGACTGCCTTTTCCACCAACTTAGATATGAATTGAAGATTACTAACAGGCCTAAAATTTTCCATCTTTAAGTCTAGACTAGGCTTTTTAAGCAATGGTAAAACCACTGCTGATTTCCAGGCTGCTGGGAAATGACCAGTACATAAAGAGGAATTAATCATTCTGGTTATAACAGGCAATAACAGATCTAAAGAACTCATAAGTAACTTCATTGGAATAGGGTCAAGGATACAACACTTCTTACTAGAACCTACAATGAGCTTACGAACACCATCTTCAGAAAGTTGCACAAAATCGGTCAATGTTCCCCCAGACCTAGGTGATAAGGGTGTGGAGGAAGATAACTGAGGTGAGCAGGTCTCATTACTCAATCTCAACCTGATATTGGAAATCTTTTGAACAAAGAAATTACCCATCTCATTCGCAAGCATCGAATCATCGGTGTGCGGTGGCACAAGAGAGCTTTTGTTAAGATTGAGCAGAGACCTGCTAACCTGAAACAATTTCCGTTGATCACTACTATTTTCATTAATCAAGTTGGAATAGTAATCCTGACGAGCATTGTTCATCAAGAAAATGACCTTATTTCTGTTCAAAAAAGAAAACCGGTACCAGCCAAATATCCACTGTTTTTTATTTCATGAATAATTGCAACCACGGCCAGCTCAGCTAACGCTTAGTCTAAGCTTCGTTTGAACTAGCACTGAGCCCAAAATGACAGTTTCTTCTCTCGTAGATCAAGTGCAGCGCTCCAATCCATCAACATGCTTGGCTGGCAACGCGGCACAACCCTCCATCACCTCGAAGCCTGACCAATCGGCTCTTGTCAACCTCATCAGTCGTCATGAAGGACTCGCAAACCACGGAGCAACATGACGCTGTCCGCAGACTCCTGCCTGACCTTTTGACCCCGACGGAGGGCGGCAAGTGGTCACCAGGGAGGTCACTGTTGATGGCGGAAGTATGTTGACCTTTCAAAAAAGTTTGTGACCTTTTCCAACAAAGTTTGAGGAAAGTGGAAGTGGTCAGTTAAGAGGTTGAAGTGTCCCCCACCCCTTCTCCACCACCCCACCCCAAATCCCCCTGCTCCCATAACTCCCCCCTCCTCTAGCTCCTCCCTCCCCTATATTAATATTCCCTGTTTAATATTTTAAATGAAGTTAATGTCCAATTTTAAATCTTGTTTTTCAGGCTCACATCCGTCAATTCTGCTCCCACTACAGCAATCTTGACGACACTGCCAAGGCAAAGTTTCTCTTGGCCTTATCACAGCTGTGCGGAGTCCACCACGAAAGTGTCTACAAAGCATTCAAGAATATGGAATCTGCCCAGGTGAGATATTTTTAAACTTGACACTTCTTCATCAAATATTTTCCATATAAAGTCACAGTGGCAGAATACGATTTCTGCCTAAGTTTTTTCCCACTAAATAACAGGCAGCAGGCCTATGAAAATTGTGTGAAGACTTCCGAGTGCAAATTGTCCCATAAAAAAATTTAAAAGGTGGAAGGCAATGATTGGTGTCAAACTACACTGCGATTTTATTTTTTTAGGAGAAAGAAGAGGCGACATTACTGCAGTCAGAGCAACGTTTAGCCCAGATGCTGACTCCAGGGTACAAGACACTATTTGCTAACATCGGACGGCTGGAGGGAGGGATCAAATTCCTGGTGGACATGAGGGCAGACTTACGTGTGAGCTATAAATTCATACAAAATGACTTTACTTGAAGGAAAAGTTGAGTGGCTTGACGAAGTGCAAGAGGGAGATGTGGTGTTAGGGTGGGGCTGGGGAGGGGCACCTCCCCTCCCCCAGCTTAAATCTTACAAGATTGAGTGTTGCTGACAAATTTACTCTAACTTTTTCTTTTTTCGACAGACATTCCTGCATCATCATCAGCAGAGCCTGACCAGCGAAGCCCACTTGAGGGCGCTCCGGGAGACATTGAAGGACATGCTGGCTCACTGGTTCTCGGCCGGTCTCCTGCAGCTACAGACCATCACGTGGCAGTCCTCATGCGAGATGCTCCAGAAGGTGCCAAACAATGCACAGAATACCGTCATTTCACTCAGCTTGTTTGAAACATATTTTTGAAGAATAGCGCTGACAACTCCTCAACCATTCACGTCTCCACAAGTCTGATTTCCACGATGGGCTAAAAAGTTGAAAAGGAACTCATTTATTTTGATTTTTGAATTTGTGAGGAAAATACAAAAGCATTTGAGGGGTGGTAATTTTTTAAAAAATTGCTGGGAAATTTGGGAAGTTTTTTACAAAGTTGCCTTTTTACCAAAATGTAGGCCTACTGCAAAATATTGGACTTGAAGAATAATTTTATTGGATAGTAGTTTTTCTAAACCCAACCTAGCAGTAGAATGGTGTCTGGCCAAGTACCAGCTCGGTAATCATTGCTCAGTCCTTTGATACCAGACCGCAATGATTGTTCATCATTTTATCATTCTCGCAATTTTGTACGATCCTTCAGATCAGTGAGTATGAAGCAGTTCACCCAGTCCGTGGCTGGGCCGACCTCAAGCGTCGAGTGGGACTCTACCGACGCTGCTTTGTCTACACTCACAGTAGCATGCCTCAGGAACCAGTCATCATCTTACATGCTGCGCTTACCGATCGTATACCATCTAGCATAAAAGTAGGTACATGTACAAGACTTTTTCCGTAAGCATAAACTGTACAAAATTTGGACTGTTCCAAATTTGGATCGTTCCAAATTTGAACCGTTCCAAATTTTGCAATAAGTCCCGCCCACTTTTGGTTTTTGACTAAGTTTGATTGAGTTATTATGGTCACCTGACCAAAAGTTGTGATCTAATTGGTCGATGCCCAATGATTGACAGACAGGAAGGATCCATTACCAAGGATCCATAAAAACGGCCAAATGCTGGCTTTGATTTGAAACAACCCAAAGCGTCCTCTTTTGTCCAAGAAGAAGTATAACTGTATGACCTCAAGTAAGTACTGATGATAAACTTTTGTTCATTTCCGGATTTTGTTATGTCTTTTATCTTAGTCCATAGTCGGAGAGACGAGAGACCACAATCCCTCCAAAACCCCTCTGGCATTGGAAGAGCAAGAGGACCCTGAACGTATCACAGCAGCGATATTCTACTCCCTCAGTTCCACACAAATGGGTAAGGCCATAGCCCATTGGACAATTTTGTAAAGGCTTTGTTTTTTACCATTGTTACTCTGCAGAGGTAGGCACTAGCCATAGTCATAAAAGTAAACAATTAATAATGGTAAGACTATAGTTCAAGAAAAGAAAGTTTCAAATTCTGGACCAGAACTTTGTAGAATGCCTGTTCTCGTTGTATTCCAGTCGGTTCTTTTAGAATTTAACTTTGAAATTGTTATTCCTGATTTGCAGGATTGCGAGGTGTGGATCTTGGCAATCATCTCATCAAGCACGCCGTCCGCAAACTGCAAGCCGAATTCCCCAAGCTTGAGATGTTCTCCAGTCTGTCGCCCATTCCAGGATTCCGAAGCTGGCTCCTTGCCGAAATCGGCAGGCATCCCAAAGGTATTTCTCAACTACTTTTAGGAACTCATCGCTTCATAATTCAAGGTGTTACACATTACACCCCCTTATTAAAAAGAAAACTGACCACATTCTGTAGAATGATTTAAATGAAGAAAATTGTTGAAACTGTTGAATAAAGAAAATGGAGCAAAACAGGAATGGAACCTACTACCGCTGACAAACAACTCCAATGTCCAGCACAGAAACTACTTAAATTTTCTCTTAATGCCTTCTTTCTGAGTCCAAAGATAGTAGTGATATGACAGATTTTTGTTTTTCTATTTGTAAAATTATTTTTATAGGTAAAAATGGCGCGATACTTTTCACTTCCGGTGAGCTTGGAGATATCCAAAGTTTGGCGGGCCGATCTGACGAATCAGAGATGATGACGGTCAGGCGATTGTTGTCGACCAATCAGTGGGCTCAGTCTGAAAAGCTTGTCGACCTCTTGGAGCAGCCGTTAATGCGATTGTGTGCAAGGTAAGACCCTTTTGGGAAAAAATTTAATTAAGAAATAGCAAGATTTGCATATTCTTATTCTTAAATTTATCCAGTTTCTCGTTTTTCGCTCAATAAATTCTTCCTTTTGGTTTAAATTTGGGAATTTATGTTGAGAAAAAAAATCCATGATTATTTTTTTCTTCTCTGGAAAATTCAGGTATTTGTATGCGGAGAAACATAGAGGATTTGCTTTGGACTCTGTAGGTAAGTAAAAGTTTGTTTTAAGTTGAAATTTATTTTGATAATAAAATAGTTATTATGTGACCTAGCTTTTCTTTACTCATCTTAGTGATTAGTAAAGTACCTAACAGTGGACTGGATAAAGATTTTTACTAAAATGTGGTGATTTGTAAAACAGTTTTTGTAATATATGTGCTTATTGCTCAAGTAACAAACAATGCCAAAAAGAAGTCTAAAAATTGTGATTAACAAAACAAAAATCTCTCCTAAAATGTCCAGCCAATTTTCACCTTGGTAACGGCGCAGTGATGTGGCGACTAAACTGGATGGGTGACCTTACCCCCCGCGGCCTGACGCAATCCTGCGGCATGATGGTCAACTATCGCTACTACCTGGACAGCACCCAACACAACAGCCAAGCCTACACCGTGGAGCAGAAAGTCTCCACGACGGAGCAGGTTCTGGGGTTAGTCGAGGAAAGCCGACTTCTGGAACAGAAAAGCAGACTGTGATTGCTGGGTATATGAGACCTCCGTTCAGGAACTGTTGAGGGCAGTATGCGACCTGAGAACCCAACGTTCTTCACGGGACCAGATACAAGCACAAAGGAGATACAAATTTTCTTCGCTTTGATTTTCCGTGTTACAAATGTTCATATCTTACTTGCTGTCTTGCAGGCCAGTTAAGTACCGAGTGGAGAAAAACGCCAAGCGTTGGATCATAGTAGATGGTCGAACCCGCTTCTTGAGAGGCAAAGATCACTCTCTAACTCTGATTGATTGATATACTTATTGGTTGCTTCATGGTATAAAAGATGGCATGATTGATGATGATTGAGGATGTAATTTGGGTTTTTTTGGTGTTTCAGTTTATGCTCAGAGGGTCAAAACAAGTCCTGTTGTATTTTTGTTTTGTTCTTTTGTTTTTTGTTTTTGCGCTTATTTTACCAAAGTTATGAATACCCTAAAATGATTTTATATATCGATGTAAATGTTTATGCATACATTATTGAGTGAAACTCAGATAGTCAATATATAATCAGTATTTTTGAATATGGTTTTAAATTGGTGCCTTTTATTCTGTTTTATATATGGTCTGTGGTATTTTGCCGATGCGATTGAAGATTTTGTATTGAGCAGTTATTTCTAACATGTTATCATGAATTACGCTTTTCATTATCACCAACTTGGGAACTGTTTCAAACATGATTTCTCCCCCTCCTAAATCTTCATAGAGTTCATCATTGCAACCCTCCCCCACTCCCCTAATTCCTGGGATAAAAAAACAAAATCCAAAACCATATTTCAAATTCCATCTTATGCATATTTCATTGCTCTAAGTATCCCAATAATTTTTAAAGAATCTTTTGATAAAAACAAGCTTAAATATCTATCCATTTAACTTTAGAAGCACCCCCCCCCCCCCTTAAAAAAACATCAACAAAGTTCCACCCCCTCAAAGTAAAACTGTATGACTCGAGTTCCTCTTGAGGGCGCGCTTCGCCGGTAGATTTCGGTAGTTTCTCGAAAATTCAGCGGAAGAGGGGAGAAGATCCCGCAGACGTTCCAAAAAAAGACGCTTTCAAAAACTTGATTATTTATTTCTTGTGAGACTGTCAGGACAATGGAAGAAATAGAAACTCACTGCTACAACAAGGGGTGCGGGAAAAAGTTTGTTCCATCGGAAAATGGGCCAGGTAAACTTTGTTTTTCAGACTCGTGACTTCGGCAACGTTTGTCCACGGTGGTTTGTCATTCTGACTTCTGTCAGTCACCTTTAAATATTTTGGGCGATCGTGTAGTTACGGGCCCCTCTTTATTTCCGATCAAATAAGAGTCAAGGGTGTTTTTATCATTCAAAAATGTCCTTTTCAACCTAAAGTAAAGCAGACTTCTCTCAATTGTCCATCCTAATGTGAGTAATGACACCTTTTTTGTAATTTTGAACAGAATTAGTACAAATAGCATAAATTGAATGGCAATGCCAATGAATGGGGAGGATTGAAAAAAGTCCAAGTCCAATGTAGTGTTCCCAGAGTGGCGATAGGCGACACAGATACGTAGAAACGGGGTGGGATTGAGAAGGTTTTACTGAGGGCAATCAACCGTGAATATGTAGCCGGCTACAAGGTGGATCGATCGAGTGGTAGGGTATTCTGCAATTGTGCCTTGTTTGCTTTTTTTTCCCGTCAGATGCTTGTGAACATCATCCAGGAGAACCAGTATTCCATGATGCGTACAAAGGCTGGTCCTGCTGCAATAAACGAACCACAGACTTCACAGAATTCTTAAATATAAAGGTAAGTCAAGATGTTTAGCGTGTGATAACTTCTGAAGAAGAAGAAGAAGAAGAAGAGGTTACCACATTTAAACAGACTTCAACTTTATATTTGCTGTGGTCATTTTGACTTATCATCAAGTTTAAATTACAGTTATCAGGTATTTCTTTCTAGAATGTAAATTTCAATTTGTGTTAATTTTTAACTTTTCCAAGTAATTTTCATTATTAAATTTTTTGTTTCATATTAAGGGTTGTGCCAAGGGGCTTCACAGTAACCAGAAACCTCCAGAAAAACCCAAACCTGCGCCGTTGTCAAAAGAAGAAAAAGAGGTGAGTGACAGAGTAAACTCTGTGTAAATCATTTTGACAAAGACTACTGGTACTTATAACAATAATATTCAAAGTGATATTAGGGAAGAGTTTTATGGGGTCACTTGTTTCAATATGTCAAGAGTTCTTTGTTTTAAAAATATCCTTTCCGTAATTTAACAGTATCTGTATTATTTTACTGTCTAGGTCACTTTCTGCAAGCTCCTTTAATAGTTTCTTGAAATTTAATGTATGATACTGTTTTTCTTTGCCACAGGCAGTTGTCGTCGTAGAAGCACCGAAACCTAACCAGCCAATTGAACCAACAGAAAGACCAAGGTATGAAGGACAAGGATAAAACTGTCACTACTCCGCCACCACCCCACCACCCCCCCACCCCACGCACCCCCCCCCCCCCCCCACCCCCACCCCCCCACCCCCACCACCTTACAAATACATTATCCGTCTTGATATTCACCCTTTTCTTTAAATCTATTCCCTAAACTTTTTTGTATCTTAGTCAAATTATTACTCATCTTGTTCTAATGAAACATTTGTATTGCTGGTATCCTTCCAGTGAAACTGATCCACTTGTGCGGTTACCAGTGACGGTCGGTGCTTCGTTGAAAACCGCCCTTGAACAGCTCACAGTCAGTGACCCCGGTGTAAAAACAGGTGAGGATGTCACAAGACAAAACAATGCCTACTTTTCTGGAGTAGAAAATATTTCCCGAGCGTCGATGCAAGTTCATTATTGTAATTGCTTGATATACTTCTGTTTTGACAGCCGAGGGCGCTACCTCCAATGATGTTAAAGAAGGAACTGTTTGTAAAAACCTAAGCTGCCAAAAGGTGAGTCTACGTTTCATATAAAGGCCGGAAAGAATGTTGCAACCTGACGCTGCGTTTTTCTTCATATATCATCTCAATGAAGGTCGGTCATTGCAAAAATGATGACAAGACATGAATCTGGGACTGAGAAACATTTCCAATTTTGTTAGGAAATACTTGGAAACTTTTCTTGACTCTCTATAGACTTTGTACATGCCCCCTGAAGAAGCGTCAGGTTGCAACATTCTTTCCTAAAGGCCAATGTTTTAGACACTCTGCTATGATATTTTTAAAGTAATAATGAACACTTATATTGTTGGGTGTAAACAAAAGTATTAAAACAATTTTCATTTACAAATATCTTTGAATGCTTGGAATTTACCTTTAAAATATTCATCTTTATCTCAATATACCTTTGTGAAAACTTTTTAAAAGCTTTTTAAAAGCTTGTTATTATGTTGCTAGCTGGGTTATTTTTTAAAGAAAAAATATATCTGCAACTTTTTTTTTAAATATTATGATTGTGCTCGTCAGTTACGTAATTCAAAGACTTGTAATGATTGTTTACTTTTTTTTTTTTTTTCTTGTCATCAGTCATATGTCAATGAGCAGTCCAACTTCGAAAAGTGCATTTACCATCATGGAAAAGCAATATTCCACGAAGGGTAGGTAAAAAAAGTGAACTGTTGGAATTTGTGTTTCGTAAAATCATGCCAGGAGTGTTTCAGAAGTTATAAATTGAGAGAGCGTGTGTGAAATGTAAGGTTTAGAAATATGGAGGCGAAACTGTAATTTTTTGGCAGCACAGTTTCTCAAGATTTTATCAATAAAAGGAGATGCTTCTCAGATCAGAATCAAATTGAACGATGTAATTATTGTCTAAATGCAAATGTTTTTGGTTTTTCTGTTCAATCTCCAGAATGAAATACTGGTCGTGCTGTCGGAGAAAAACGACAGATTTCAACAATTTCCTGGAGCAAGAAGGCTGCACGGAAGGCAGCCATGTTTGGATCGTCAAGGAGGATGATACAAAGAAACTAGTAGACTGCAGGTATTATTTATTATTAATATTAATTATTTATTATTGATTTTTAAAAATGATTATTAGCACCAGTCTTTCCGTAATATTGTTTTGACTGCCATTGCTAGTACAGCTGTAGGTCCAGGTACCAGACCAGTTGAAGGTATACTACAGAATTTGGTACTTAACCTTCCTATGCAAACATACATTCTGTGCCAAGTTGTCCTTTCAGTGGAAATCAATCAAGTGACTGTTTTCAACAGTTAAGAGCTCCCAGCCTACATAAAGCAGGATGGACTGGCTGTGACATCTTATGTAACTTGATACAGCCCGATGCTTTGACTGTAGGTGATTGATAAGCCAGCTGTGCCTACCACTTGCCTGTTCTTATCTGTTGACTGAATTTGACTAGTCACAGTGCTTGCTTGAAATATGATCTGACTGTTGGTGACTAGCCTGTGTAAAAGGCACGGCAGGGGAAGAGGATTGATTTTTGTTACTGTCTGTGTCTGTTCAGACAGCAGGAGGGTTAATGATCACTATTCTTTGTTTATAACTGTGCCAAACTTTTGCTGACTGACTCGAGCACAAAATTCATTGAAATCTGTTAAATAAGCTTAACTGAGCATAGACTTTTCTGCTTCTGTAAGTGCAAACGGTAAAGAGCAACATAAAATTGGGTGCTGTTCTGTAAGTGACTTGTTACTTGTCTACATGATTGTAGGTATGACTGGCACCAGACTTCATCCCAAGTCGTCCTCTCCGTGTATTGTAAGAATTCCCAGCCTGACTTGTCGTTTGTGGAAGCCAATCAGGTCCTTCTGAATGTCAGCATCTCCTTCAATCAGGGGAAGAACCAGTTCACCAAGACTATCCGTCTATATGGGGTGAGTTGTCCCTGCGCAAACAAGAGAGGGCGCTTTTTACCATTATCGAGTACCAAGTGGACGGGATACACTGTGTGCCCATACTAGTGCGTGCGCGTATAGCGTGAAGTAGGTATGTCTGATTTCATTCTTAATATTCACCAAGCCATTGCGTCTTTGCGGGATTGTTTGCAATGCGTTCGAATGTCTCACCTATCATCATCATCATCACCATCATCATTGGGCGGCCGCAGCCGAGATGGATGCAACCAAACTCTTCCAGACTCTCTTGTCCGCCATGGCCGTGGTGATTTCATCAACGTGCTGGCTCACATCACTGCATACAGTGTCGACGTAGTTGAGGTGTCTCCTCACTCTGTTGAAGCAAGGCAATCTCCATCAGATGAGGCCAGAGACAACTTGCTCATAATTGGCTCTGTAGCAGTGGCCGGCAAGGTGGGCTCTGCGCTGTGCATCTGTAGTTGAGATAGGTTGGATGCTGCCGTATATTTCTGCCTTGGTCTAATGCTCCTTCCAGGAAATATTTTTGCGCTCTTATGAGGAGGCGAGTGTAGGTGCCATCTTGTCTCACCCAGTAGTCTCCCCCAACTCTCCCTTTCTTACCATTGAGGGGGTACTTGTGCACGGAGCCCAAAGTCAGTATGTTTTCAATGAATCGTTGACCACCTCCCATGCGTACATTGAGACATTGGTGCTAAATGCTATAAGAGCGCCACATTAATATTATTATTATTATTATTATTAATGCCAAACCTAGGTTTTGTTTATTTTGTACATTTAACATATTTCGCTATTGTTTCCAAGGTGATTGATCCGACCAGAAGCTCCATGACGATGCTGGGCAGCAAGTGCGAGATCAAACTCAAGAAAGGCGAGGCCGGCTCCTGGAAGAAATACGAGTTGCCCCCGGCAACCAAGACCACTGCCAAAGAAGACGGAGCCAATTGACGACGGCCTTCTCCAAAATTAACATATTGAATTCTTCTAAAGGCGATTTTCGGAAAAAGCAGAGTTCAGAACATATCTCTCTACCTTGACTAATCTTTTGCAATGATGGTGTAAAGAGTGTTGTCTTCACTTGAGAGTTATTTTTGTGGAAAACTTATTTGTAAAGACCATTTATTACTGGAAAGGAGATCTACTGAAATTGATCAAAGCAATTTAGGAGTGAAGTTAAATAAGGAAAAAGGAATTACAAATAGTCCTTTTGATGTATCATGTAAACATGGTAAACTAAGTTGTCATGAATTTTAATTCTACAATCCCGTGGAATAATTATTCTAAATTTAGATGGAAATGGAAATTAATTTGGAGGATGAAGTCACTTCCAGAAGTTTGTATTCAAGAAATATTGCATACTTTATTTTAAATACAAACGGTAACAATTTTCACATTGAAAGCAAACTTTTTTGGGTTGGAAAAGCCACTAGTCAATATTTTTAGAATGTAAAAAGATCCAACATTACTTCCAGTGATAAAAAAAAGATGTGTTCTTTTGTGGGATGTTTGTCACCAATGCACTTGTGAGATATGCAATTGTAAAGTCGATATGTTGGTAAATTTATTCGTAATTGTGATTATTCCCTTTTAAGGATTTTAAAATATATTTCTAAATCAAGAGCATCACAGGCAGACAGAAAAGTTCCGATGTGGAATACCATCTTCACTTTGCATGTACATTTGATCTTTTCCATATCATTAACATTATATCAACAGTCTACCTTTTGAGAAAAGTGAAACTGGTTTCAGCATTGCCACATTTTATGTTAAAATAAATTGACAAGATATTTCTTCTAAGAAATCCTTTGTCTTGAAGTCTACGTGTGTGTCTTTTGGGAAAACTTAATTGTCATTTATCTATGAAAAAAATACCTCCATGACCTTTAATGAATATATTATGAGGTCTGTTAAATGTATATACCGCCCTCTATTGAAGGGCTGTAACTGGGTCAAGTACACCAGCCATCTTGGATTCACACATGGTATCCCAGTACACACACACACATAGTATCCCAGCCAGTTATTTATAAGTGCATTGCATCCAATGTTGCATGGTGTCGGAAGATAGACATTCGCGTCGAAAGCATTCACAGAAACACAAACCAGATACGCCCACATAGAAAAAGAGCTAGCTGCAGTGGGTTTTGGTTGTGAGCGGTTTCACCGGTACCTGTTTGGAGAGAATTTCAAGTAGACGGTGATCACAAACCACTAGAGTCCATAATGAAGAAACCGCTAGCCTCAACTCCACCAAGACTACAGAGGATGCTACTCAACTTGTAGCCCTATAAATGTGGCCAATTTACTGGACTTCCTCCGTAAACATAGGCCGCACTTCCACCATGTACAGAAACATGTCGAACTTTGATAAATTTGGATTTTCACATTTAGGCTTAGTTTGTAGTTTATTTTTACTAGAGAAGCATACTCGCCATAGGCTAATCAGAAAGTGCTGCCTTTTTCAGATGTCTATTTTTCGTTTGCACACGTTTGCGTATCAAAATGAAATTTTGTTCATGAAATTTCATGAAAAAAAAAAGACATTTAAAAGGCAGCACTTTCTGATTAGCTTATAAAGAGGGTGAGTGTGCTTCTAAAGCAAAAATAAACTACAAACTAAGCCTAAATGTGAAAATCAAAATTTGACCAAGTTCTACATGTTTTTGTACATGTCAAAGTGTGGCCTTTATTTAATTGGCCACATTTATGGGGCTACTCAATCTGCAGAAACACAGTTTCACCTTGACGTACAAAAAGGGAAAAGAGCTGTATGTAGCACTGAGACGCCGGCACTGAGCTAAAATCATCTGCCTGGCACAGAAGCGGATGCTAATCTCATCCCAGTATACATGGAGGCATCGGACCTATGAAGCGTCGGACCTATGAAGCGTCGGACTTATGAGCGGGACCCCCTCACAAGCAACAAGTGCCAGCCACATTGACAACCCTGGATCGCTATCCTAAACGCACTCGCAAACAAGTGATAAAACTTGACCTGTGATTATACGCACAAGGGCAGAATAATCCCTGTATAATCACTCTGTGACAGAGTAGTCCACCTCTGTTCACATATTGTTTGTAGTTTCTTAAAGCAAAGATTTTTGAGTTGTTTAACAAGTTAGAAAAGTAAAAGTAGAATAGAAAAAAAGTGATTGTACATGAAAGGGCAGAATAATCCCTGTATGATCACTCCGTGGCAGAGTAGTCCACCTCTGTCCACGATGTTACTTTTAGTTTAAAAAAGTTGTAGTTTAAAAAAAGAAAAGAAAAAATGTTGTGTTATTCATAATCTAATAATGCCTTTCCAAATACTGCATGGTTGCAAGCATAATCATATCTCGGAACTCTTTGACAACAAACTTTTCAATAAACACTTATGTTTAAATCGCAGTAACGTGCGATGAACATTTTGAACTGGACTGCACTGCAAAGAACTTGGACTGTAAAAAAAAGAGAAAAATTGTTATATTTCATAGTTACTGAAACTTGATATTGACATTTCTTAAAAAGAAAGGGAGGTGTAATTGTAATGAATTAGTGGGTCAAGTACACCAGCCATCTTGGATACGCACACGCGTACATGTACACATGGTCTTCCAGGGTCAGTAATTTATAACTTATAAGTATATTGCATCCATTGTTACAGCCCCCCCCCCCCCCCCCCCCCCCCCCCCGGTAAAGGAAAAAAACCACAGATTTGAAGAGGATAAATTCTCAAAACAAAAAAAGGAAACACTTCTACCATCGTTAACAAGTTAGAAAGCCTTGAACAGCAAGTTATTTGTTTGAATTGTCTATAGGGGGGTTGCAAAGAAAGAACAGAGTTAAGTGTGCAACTGTTGAGAATTTTATTAACTAGGTTTTTAATTGCATTTTGTAGCTTTTATACAAATTTAAGTACAAATCGAGAGAAACAATATGTTCTGCTGTAGACTGTAGAGATTAAAAAAGTGGAGTTTGAAATGAGAAATTAAAGGACCGGTGTCTTGAAGAGAGAAAAAGGATGGGGTGAGTTGTGTAAACAATAAACGCGTAGAAAAGAAAAAATTTACAACTTCGACCTTGCCAGGACTCGAACCTGGAATCCCCTGATCCGTAGTCAGATGCCTTATCCATTGGGCCACAAGGCCTTGGTGATAGGAGGGGGCGTATATATTGTAGATGAATGTAATTGTAACCGTAACCTTGTGAAATTTTAGTTTTTTTGGTAAATATTGTAATTATCTGCATTTATGCTGTGTCTGTGCAATATATTTTGTTTCTAATAATAAACCAGAATAAATAAATAACTGATTATTGTCATTGGGGGCGCTTGGAGAGGAAATGAATATTCAATACTTATATTCATAAACTTGTATCAGTCTGTTTATAGTATGATATTGTACTTGGTGGAAATTCCTCCTCAATCATAGACATTGACCTATCGCGTTAGAATCGCGTCAACGCAGCTTGTGAAATATTGTCCAATTGCATGATATACAAATGGACGCGGAACGCGCAAAATCTGAGACAAACAGAACTTCCAATAAGGTCAAAGGGGCGTGGTTAACTTAAAAACGGCGATACATTTACCTTCTGAATCATGGAGGATTCCACGTTCTGGCCGTTTTTCTCGGGTTAAAGTCCACCTTTGCCAAAATCCGATATCCTATTCCCTAACACATTCCTAACACCCGCACTGTAATTCCTAACCAATTCCTAACACATTCCTAACACATTCCTAACACATTCCTAACACGTTGTTAGGAATACGTTAGGAATTGGTTCGGAATTGGTTCGCTAGGCAGTCCAGCAGGCCTTGGTAATGGAGTGGGCGAATCTATGTAAATGTTAATTGTCATGGGCGCGCGCATGGAGAGGAAATGAATATTCAACACTTATATTCATAAACTTGTATCAGTCTGTTTATATTATGATATCCACAGCAATTGTACTTTGTGGAAATTCCTCAATTGACATATCGCGTTAGAATCGCGTCAACGCAGCTTGTGAAATATTGTCCAATTGCATGATATACAAATGGATGCGGAAATGCGCAACATCTGAGACAAACAAAACTAATTAGCGCACAAAATTCCATAAGGTCTAATTAAGGGGCGTTCTAATTTGAAAACGGCGATACCTTTTACCTGCTGAATCATGGAGGACTCCAGGTTCTGGCCGTTTTACTCGAGTTAAAGGTCACCTTTGCCAAAATCCAATATCCTATTCCTAAACACATTCCTAACACCCGGCATTGTAATTCGTAACCAATTCCTAACAAATTCCTAACACATTCCTAACCAATTCCTAACCAATTCCTAACACGTTGTTAGGAATACGTTAGGAATTGGTACCGAATGTCGTTCGGAATATTCGGAATTGGTTCGCTAGGCAGTGGGCGAATCTATATGTAAATGATTATTGTCAATGGCGCGCGCATGGAAAGGAAATGAATATTCAACACTCATTATTCATAAACTTGTATCAGTCTGTTTATATTGTGGTATGCACAGTAATTGTCCTCAGATCTTCAAGAGAGAAGGAACTACATGAACTAAGGCCAAAAAAATAATAAGTCGGTCTCTGGTCAGCGCGCGCGTCGATTTTCATCATGCGCGTCGATCTTTTTTTTTCCAAAATGTTCCGCGGTAGCTCCAACAGCGCCCTCTATTTCCACACCTCCTCAATTTTTTTTTACCAAAGAGCACCAAGGAATGGGAAATTGCACCAAGGCAAATGATCGAAAGCAACAATGCAAATTATGGAGGACACCAATGTACATGAGGACACCAAAAAAGCAAAATAGTACCCACCTTGTCTGTACAATCCAAGCTTGAAGAAAAAAAAAAAAAGCAAAAAAAAAAAAAAAAAGCCGCGTGGCCGCGTCAATTCCGGAACTTTGGTCTGACCAGAGACCGAATATATTTTTTTGGGGGCCTAATACTTATATAATTTTGTTTTGAGTGAGTGGTGAGGACGGGTCTGAGTCAACGTTTTCCCAAACAAGGAAGCGAAATGAGGAAGGACGCAGACAACTCTACTTTACACTGTACGTGTGAAAGTCAACGCCGCCAAAAATAGGGGGCGGTATTCAGGCCCACCAAAGAAAAAACTTTGCAAAAAAATAACGAAGTTGGGGGGTCTTTTGATTTTTCCCGCATGATGTCATCAAAATGGCGGACAACACAGGGGTGGATGACGGTTCATTCCAACCAAAAGACGGTAATTATGTCACAATTTTAATTCCGAATTTCATATTTATTGTACGGGTTTTGTGAATTTGTCTCAGGGAATAGTTGGAATGAAAATGGTTCAATAGAAAACCCAGAAAATCTTGTAACGAGCTTGGACTTTCTCGGTATGTTGCCGGTCAAAAACCTTCCGATTTGTTTTACGTGTTTACTAATGACAATGTCAATAGCCCGGCCCCCGGCCCATGGGACCCAAATACTGGCCTGACTACCTCCGTCCATGGAGGTAGAATTAGTCCGTTTATAGAGCCCCACTGACGGCATGGCAATTGATGAGAAGGGTGGGCTTTTTCCTTTCAATCATTGCCGGTAATCGGAAAATTGTGTACTAGTTTATAGGACCCCTGCCATGGCCTGGGAATGTTTATAATTATTTTACAAGTTCCGTTATAAACATGGTAAATCAAAACTCGGCCCTCTTTCCACAAAATTAAGATCTAAGTTAAACATGATATTCAACATGGTAGCTTCATGATCTTAGCAATGTTAAGTAAACTATTTAGATGATTCCAAACAAATAAAGTGACTTCTCCAGCTTCATCGCCAAATGTTTAGGTAGGCCTATAAAAGTTGCGAACTCAACAATGTGCCTTAGTCTTCAACATTGTGAAGTTGGCGCAGAACTTGGAAGAAGAAGAAGAAGAAGTTCCCAAACATAAAGTGTCTTTTGGATGGGAATGGGGTCCTAAAGTACACGATGACCTGATTTTCACGTCATAGGCCTACAAACTTTGCTGCAAGTTTATTTACGCTTTGGAAGTACACTCACCTTCTTACTAGTAAGGAAAGTAATCACTCCTTTCTCCATATTCTCAGACGTCTACTTTGCATGCAATTTCATGTAATCTTTGTCAAGACGTTAAAATACATCAATTTGATTGAGACTGAGAAACAGACTAGACAATGATGCCGGTTGCCTAGCGGCAATGTCTGGACACCCTTCTGAGATTTTCCATTTTGTTAGAAAATACTTCAATTTCGTGACTTCTCCTACTATAAATTAAAACTCGTGCACAATTGTCAGGATAATTGAATACATGTAAAATTTATTTTAAAACAAACATGAACAATGTCATGATTCCCAAATTGAATCTGTGTTAGTAAGTCAGTGAGTTAAAATAAGTTAGTGATAATGATAAACATGCTTTCATTGATGTTTTACATTTTGAAGTTCACTTTTTAGAACTTTGTAAAATGGCTTTATGTATTCATGTGTGTATTTATTCCCTTCAAATCATCATCATGATTATATTTAATGCGTAGCGTGGGTTACACCAGTCTGAGTATCATCCGTTGTTCAACGGAGCCTGCGCACTCCGCAACAATGTCTGATATATGTGTGCATGCAAAGTTTGTGAGACCCCACACACATTCACACCAGCCAATTGACTTTAGAAATTGTGACGTCACTTCGAGCAGATATTCGGCCGAAACTGTTGATTGGTTACTTTGCTGCCATGTGGTTTTTAATACAACGGGTTACCGAAGACCCGATAGAAGGCGCCCGCTGAATGGTCAGAATCTCGAGGTCAAGACACAGTCTTGTATTGCATAATCTGCACACATATCATAGACACTTGCACATAGACTAGGGAAAAACAAACATGATATTAAATAATGAAATTATAAGATTGCATTAAGAAGTTTGCAGAACATTGTTTTGGGAATGGCAATTGAACAGACGAGTCATGTTTAATGGTCACAGTTTATCGTCTTGTGTCTTTGTCAACTCCTTCCTTCATTTTTAATGCTTGATCCTAAATCTTGGACTTTGGTCTGTCTTAGCCTTGCTCTCCAGCTGCTCTTGGTATTTCAGTGCCAAAACTGTCTAGAGTCAATATTGCTAGCTCTCCCAGCCTTGGCATTGTTTACATCCCGTCACGGCCGTCTCCATGACTGCGGAACGGGAGAAGTCAGGAAGTGAGCTGGCTCCGTGCCCGTCTGATGCTCAGCGATGCTTGTCCTGTGAAACAAAAGACCTGATGTCTGTTACATCATTCTATTCTACCCCACTGGTTAGGAATACACTACATGTATGTAGCACTATAAAGACCTTGATGCAAATCGTGCATATATTTTATTGTCCCTTCGAGTTCAAGAACGCCAGACTGATAAAAGGAATAGCTGTAGATACACTGGCTGATGCAGGTAAATTTAGATTATTAAAAAAAATTTTTTAAAGATATGAATTACACATTTTGAATTAACAATCAAAATAGTAAATGATTTATATCTATAGAGAAAATGTAATTGAGTTAAGAAATTGTGTTATACAATGACAAATATTTCTAGCATGAAACCTTACCGAAATAGATTTATGTATTAAAGATCATGCCAAAGGCAAAGATAAAACATCTGGAATCTTGGAGCTTTATTAAAAGAAAATCTAAAATATTACCGGTAGATCAGATAAATTATTAGGATGGATGTAAGATTTTGCATCTTAACTGTACCGGTAGGTGTGCCTTTCAAACATAAGGCCAAAAAAAAAGTTCTGCTTCTGATTACATGAAATTCGAAAATAGGGTAGGTAGGTAAGGAATTTTTTTTGGGGGGGGCAATTTTTTGTGTGTACGATCGTATGGAGGCGTCTGTGTGTGTTCCAGGGTAAAAGGTAGTACATTGTAATTGATGGTTTGGGGTATTTTTTTTTTCATTTTTCCCATAAAAAAATTAGCATAGGGGCTGTCGGAATAGGGTTGGTAGGGAAACCGGAAGCAGAAGTATATATTTTTTTGCCTAATACTTATGTTTTTCAAAATGTAATTTGTTTTTTTCTTTTAGCTACTAAACCTATTACTGAATTGACAATTGTAGCAAAAAATGATGTTGAGAAATCTTGCATAAATAAGTGGGTAATTGTGTTTATTCTGTTGCCATAGACTACACAGGCCTGCGGGCCTAGCTGCAGGGCAAGCTCAACGTGTAAACAATGTCCGTCTCGACCTTCTATTCATACTGTCATGACTGTGGTTCGTGCAGGTCGCCTCGCATCGTTACAAATCAAATACAAGCCCAGGACAGACAGGCCTATCCTTGGACGTGTTTTCCTCCCCAAATTAAAAGGCCTTTCATTACGCATTGTTGTGGCAGTAATGATCCTGTAAAGGCTGTTCCGCCTGGAGGAGACCGCTCGGTGCCCGGCATCCATTTACCCTAATGGATGCCAAGGTTACCGGTGAATTGGCTCTCGTGCATTGTCACAGGCACATCCAGGGAGCTCAGTGACGACGTAAAAAAAAAAAAAACCTGAGAGATTTCAATCAGAGAGATTTTTTTCTCCAATCGTCGGTCAGTTTGGCGGTCTCCATTGATTTCAGGCTTCGCGTGTCACAGGATTTCAAACATTAAATGCTTGAAGTCACTTCGCAAGTTTGCCGTATTTATTAGCATTGAAAATACACGTATCTTGAAGTCGTTCTCATGGATGTTTTTGAAGTCATCGATGGCACTGTAGCATTATATACGCTGTAAAGGCTCGCAGAGGTAGGATAAACATTGCAAGATCTCATCTTTTGTAAGTCTGTTTTAAAATTAATGCTTTCTGTTCTTCAGTGGTTTTGTGAAATTGTATCAGATAAAAGCTGTTTTAATTTTCTCAGTTGGTTTTGTGAATTTGTCTGCATATAAATGCTTGTTTCTCCTTTAATTAATTGGCATTATTCAATAATGGTCGGCACTGGAACTTTATACAAAGACGTCTTCCGGATAGTTTTCATTTCATTCCTGGTCGGCTTGCAGTTTCCACCTGTTTCTTGGATGTGTGAGCTGCATGAATGAGGCGCAGCGGCTGCAACTGAGGCAATTATATGAATCCAGAGTCATTTTGCGTACGGAGTATGCAACTGTTGTTGAATAATAAGGCGAGAAGGGAACCAGCTCAACCGTGAACCGGGGAAGGTCTCAGCCGCCTTTCTGTAATGTACGTAGTGTGTGTGTGTGTTCCGCATTTTGATGAGGAGTGGTCGGAGATGTAGAAATTATAATATTGCAATATTCTGGCTTGAACCAGTAGTCAAGTGTGCCCTGCAGTGAAGTAGAGCATGGATTTGCATATGCATGACCTGACCAGCTGTAATTGGCTGATTGGTCGATGACATATGAATAATTCATTTACCAGTGGTTAGATTTTGAAGTTGCTCCCTTTGATTGGCTAAAGATGTGTGAATTTTTTTGTTTTCATAAACAACTGAAATGGCGCTTTGTGATTGGCTGTGGGGGTTTCCCATCATGTATAATCCATGAGACTGGACCTCAAAACGACTAAGATATGCAAATTGCTGTTGATTATTCATGAACCAGACTTGAAATCTTCTTTGTTGTTTTTGTTTTTTTTCCCACTTTTAATTGTGCTCTTTTTCCTTTAACAGTTTCAAAATTATGAAATAATAGTTTCAAATCTTGTACCTGCAGGAAAATATTAGATTTAGAATGATTTTTTTCCCCAGGCAATTCAATTTAATCTCGAACGTCCTGCATCATGAAGGATATGCATTGAAAAATATAATCAGAGAAATATGGTAATTTTTCTTAATCGTGCAATTTAAATTACCAGGGTCCTTGAAAATACAGACAATTACAAGCAATAAAGCTGGTTGGCCATGCCAGTTTCTATCCACGTACCCATCAAACATGTTATCTATTATTTGAGGAGAAGGGGCCAAAAAGTGCAGGCGACCTTTGAATCGGCTTTTGTTCCAGCGGCATTGACTAATTACCCTGTACCGGGAAATGGTAATTGTTAATAATGTATTTGGTGTACTTTGTCAGGGGTCACCAGGACACTTGTTGCATACATTTTCAGCTGGTTTCTCGGCAAAAAAAGCTGGACTATGTAAATTATCATTTTTATTGTATTGGACAAATGGATGAGAAATGGACATCTTTCTTATCAGAGTCATGCTACTTCGCAGCTGATTTCCTCTTTTAAATTTCTCTTGTATGCCATTATATTAAAGTTCCCTCCCTGGC